TATTTACTGTCCTACATGTTACTATGTTAGACGTATTACTCATTTAAGGAAGGTTTTGAGGATTGTCCAATTATCACTACAGGCTTTGATGGCAATGGTACTGTTTTTTCAGCAGCCCTGGGTGGGCCCATTAGCGCCATAATAGCGGCCAAAGTCTCGTTCGTGTCTGGGATAGCTAGTCCACTGGAGTTCTGGCCTTTCTTTGACTTCATCGCGCTGCGACTTGTGTCTGCGCTCAGACCGACTGCCATTAGCTATTCCTTAGGGACAGTGATGCCCATATTCTTTGAGAGTATTTGAATCACTATAGACATCAACATCTGATTGGTCTGCGCAAGCTGTAATTGCTCCTGTTGCATTCTAACGATAGTCTCTTGAAGTTGTCCAATTTTCTTTTCCAATACATTTTGCATAGCTTTATTTTGTCCATTATGCTGCTGTCCAGGCTGTTGTTGCTTATTTTGTTGTGGTCCGCTGTTTTGTCCATTCTGCAGTCCACTTTGCGGTCCATTTTGCAATTCGCTTTGTCTCTGTGTCTGTTCTCCATTTTGGCTGCTACTTCCAATGATCTGTGCAAATGTACGGTTAGCCGTGACCTTAAGCGCTCCACCTCTTTGGTACTCTTTCACTGCCTGGATGTGGGCCTTAGTCTTCATTCTTTCAATGTAAATTGTGCACACCCTTTGAATATGGCCTAGTTCACCGCACTCTCTACATCTTTTGTCTTCTTTATCTCCCCACATAGTTTCTTTCCCACCTACTTTAATGGGAATCTCCATGCAGCTAACCATGTCTGCTTCTGATGAGAAATAAACGAATGCTTCACGTAAAGTCTTTGTGTATTTACCCTCTTTCGAGAAAATCCTTGGGATAATTAAAAACTCAGCCTTATTTTCGCCCAGGATCTCTTTCAAGTCCAAAGGCGTTGTTCCCATAGGGAGTTGAGACAGCTTTGCGACATAACGCAGTTCCCACACTACTTTCTCCTTTCCAATTGTACTTAAACGAGCAAGATCTCTACAACGAAAACCCACTTTTTCTTTTCCGCTTGGATTTTCTTTACACTCTCCTCTTGTCTAAAGAGAACTCTTGCCACAATTTTGATACCATTTTTGCATGGACGAGTTACAATTTTTTCCACTTCGCCAAACTGAGCCATCGCTGATTTGATCCTGAAATCATCAGTCCTGGGATGAAGACCGTAAATTTCAACTGATCTATCCTGTTCTGTGATGCGTTGGTCCTGATCGACTCTGGTGAAGATAGGCTGCTCCGAAGATGTTCCGTTTTCTTCGTCTTCTTTATGGTGAGTGAGTTCCAGCAGGTTCTCTAGGTCACCCAGCGTTTCAACGGCGACGCGAAAAACTTTTTGTCCGTCCTTATTCTTGATACGGGTTGGTCCCTCCGTGCAGTGGATGCCTTGGTGAATGAGGATCTGCTGGAGTTCATCTCTTTTCATAGCGCAGGTGTCGCCATAGATCAGATCCACAGGAGCCGTGGCCACGAAAAACCTTTCCTTAGTTCTCTGAACTTCGATCCACTCTGTTTCGTCATCCATTTCTTCGTCGTCTTCGTCAATTGCTGTCTCGGTAGCAGCGCGCTCTTGATCAACTTGCATTTGTTTTAGTCCCTTTTTGGGATTATAAGAACAGCGTTGAGTGGAATTCATTGCAATTGGGGTGGTGGCCCCAATACTTTGGCTTGGTTTTTGCGCGTCTTGGCCGTCAAGGGGAAGTTTTTGTTTTTTGAAATTGTTCATTCTGCTTGATTCTCCATCATCTTGTCGATGATGGAGTTGAATTTTTTCAGCCCCAGACATCTTGGGTTGATAAATACTTTTGCACTCTTGTGCGCTAACGTAGGGTGTGTAAGGGGTGTTAAGAGAGGGGCAGTGTTAATGTAGCGTCCGACTTGATGGATCGGAGAAGAGTTTAAGAGTTCTTTACTTAGTCTGTTGTGCGTCCTCACTCCATGGTAAATGTCTCGCACAGACCATAGTTTCTGTTCAACTTCAATTTTTTCTGTTAACATTCATAGCACGTGATGCGCGTATATTAGTCACGTGAAGTTGTAAGTAAGTTTTATGAATTCAATTAAAAGAAGCCGAAATAACAAGCCCGCTTAGCTCATTGGTAGAGCGTTTGCCTAGTAAGCAAAAGGTAGCAGGTTCGATCCCTGCAGTGGGCACATGTTCTATACTTTTGCTGATCCTCCTCGGCAAGAGAATTTTGTACGGCTGGCATGTAATCACTCTTATTTCTATGGGAGAATCCTTGATTCTTTTATTGTTCAACCTTCTGATGAATAAATGGTTGGGTTGACATGGTTTATCAGTTCGGCCACATTCAATCAATTACTCACACTCCTCAGAAGTTGATAATTAAAAAAACTCGCTGTTAGGATGTTTGAGGAAATATGCGTTTTGCTGATTTTCAAGTAAGTTTAGGAAGTTGGTGTCGAGGTGTAGTGTTTGAACAAGAACCTTCAACTTCTGTTGCCTATTTCTATTTCTTTTTTATACATATATATGTATATTAGAGCTGCTAAAGCTCAAATCACTGTGAAGGCTTCAAAAAATGTTGCACTGGTGTCATTTAATCGAACCTGAAGGTCGCGATCTTTTTGGAGATGATCTTAAAGACCTTTCATTGTGATACTGATGTCAAAATACTAAATGAATGTTGGGCATAAATGCACCAAAAGAGTTAAAACATGGAAGAACTTTTTTTTGTAAGCCTCTAAAAACAACTACGTAGAGGGAACATTCCGTCAGGAAGTTATCGTTGTAAGATGGGCAGTGTGGGGCCGATCTCAGAGTCGCCTTGAATCACCGCCGTAATGTATGCTGTTACTGAGACTAGAAAGATATCAAGGACGCAATTATTAGATCACGTATTATTGTATTACAGCCACGTGGCAAACTTGATTTACGTTTACCTCAAGTTCGAGTTAAAAAAAAAAAACATCTCTTGAGGTTACAGTGTTTAGATGCACCTGAGTGACCAGGAGTTAAACGTGGCATGCTATATTGATGCAAGACGCTCCTTTTATATATATATATATATTTTTTGGAGGAGAGAATATTCTCCATGCGCATTTCAGTGTTTACATTGGCGAGAATAGACTAGAAGGAGAGTTGGACTGATTGTCGTTTTAGAGTAGCCAAAAGTGCTCGATATTGAGGGGAAGCAGGAATCATGGTATAGATATGCTAATTGATACTTATTTATTTATCCTTTTCTTTTCATCGCCATATATTTATCGGTTTTTTTTACGCAATAAAGGGAGATTATTTGAATTCGAACACTCCCCTCCTCTTTCTGATATTGATGTGAAAAAAAAGGGACACAGTAACGGCTTTTTTTGTTCCTTTTGGAGATGTCAATGATGATCCACGGTTTTCGTCATTGCTTTGCTTATTTTATTGTCCGTCCCATATTTACATCCGGACCAAAAGGGTCAACAGCAAACGCCGGCTGCAATTAGTGTACAAACATGTCAATTTTGGTTTTTATAACCCCTGAATGATGAGTGGGCCAAAAAAAGACTATGATTTTGATTTTGTGCACAGGGTGCAGCATAGTAACCCCCTGTTTATGTCTCTCCTTATAAACAGAGTTCATGTGTGGTCATAGAAGATGACCCCTATGGGATTATATGGGTGGGGGTAAGTGGGATAGAATATTTTCCATTTCCCTTTTTCGAAACAACATGATCCGTCTGCTTGGCTTCATGTATCTAACAGGGCCATTCCGTGATCAAGCTGGTCATGCTTGCTTTTCTTTTTTTTTTTTTTTTTTTTTTTTTCAATAGGAGAGTCATTCAGTGGTGCTTTGTCAGGTTCAGGCACACAATGGCTAAAATTTATTCATACCACGTCAGTCAGCCAGTCAACCAGTGAGCCCCTTTTGGTCGCACCGCCTGATCAAACGTGCTTGTTGCATTACTGACAGACGGACAACACACACTGTCATTGTCGCTCTTGCTCAGTTGCTTTTCGTTCACGATGAATAGGGGTGTAGAATGTATACTGGTAATGATGTTATAAAAACTGTCCATTCCCGATCGAATTTGCAGCATGCTCTGCTGAGTAGCGAAGAAAAGATCCAAGAATCATTGAGAGTAGAAGGACAATATACAAAAGTACTAATAAAAGAGCGTGGAGGAATAGAATTTTGTGATCAAGAGACCAACTGACTATGATAATGTATGCCACTATTACATTACGCAGTATCCAGCGCATGGCATGGCGAAGGTCATAAGGAAAAAAAAAGGGTTGCATTGCAATCAACATTTTCTTCATTTTGTTATTGTCCTTTTCTCTTCTCTTCTTTCTTCTCTTTTCCTCTTTCCTTTTCTCTTTTCTGCTCACTTTCACTTTTATTGATTCGCATGATACCTGTCCTAAACAGAACTGTTTGCTTGTGTCTCTTCCTCTTTGAACATTTACTATTTACTACAACGAACACAATCACCTCCTTGCTTCTACTTACCACTTCACCCATTTTTATCAATTGCTCACAACGTCGCAGCCGTTATATCATCAACCCTTACTTCTCTAACCCTCCAACCCTCTCACCGCACCCTTGAAACTGCCCTCATTTATTACCTCATTGGCTCATTCACCATTGCTACACTCATTCCTGTTTTTCACTTTCCACTTTGCCCTCTCTCCCTGAACAAACATTTTATCCAGTTTATTTGACTTCATATTTGCTGCCTACGAAAGGTGTAAGAACGCTTTTTTTATTATTGTTATTTTGTTTTTTCTGCACCTACGCTTATCCTATCGTTCCACATTACCTCAGTTCTTGATTGCTACACAAACGCGGATTTTTGTCTCTTCCTGCTCTTCCTGCCATATCAATTTCACATCTACCCAGCTCTTTTTACTTCTATCACTTCGCTTATTGTGCCCATTTTTTTTTTGTCCCTACTAGTAATCAGTTAATCATTTTGCGCACAGACTACCCATTGTTGATCCCTTCCCTCTTTGGATCATGCAGAGTAGTGCCGTGACCGAGCCTCATGTCGGCCCTGATGTCATTACAGCTCCGGCTCCTGAACACCCTCATTTTATATCTCCATCTCATCCACCTCCAGTACAAACAAACAGTACTCAGTCCTATAACATCCACCAGCGCCTCCGACCCTACAAAGGCCTCGGAGGGAGAGCAAACCACTCTCCTTCAATCCGTCAATCATGGCTTTTCCCTACCAACAGAGCATCACCTTCCACTGCATTACCAGAGACAACCTCAGTCATGACGCTCAACCAGCGCCCACGCACTGAAACATTGACCTCGTCGACAACAGCACAGAACTCTCCGCCGAGTGTCGTGTTGAACCATAAAGAGCGAAGGAATTTCAGTGGGAGTGCACGCTCAAGGCTAACCAAGATCGATCGGCTCAGCAAGATGATGCTCAACCCAAGTGGATCTGCCCCTAACCTTCTGGATGGGCATCTATCAGGTTTACCTACCCCAGCGTCGCCAAGACGCACACGGCTCAGTCTACAGCCTCACACCATCCCTGTGACAGATACGACATCGACATCAATTTCTTCATTGGCATCTATACAAACGTCGTCTGATCTATCCACTTCCTCGCGCCCATCTCAGTCCCCTATTGCATCATCTATCTCTCACACGACCACCACTTCCAATAATAATACTACTACTAGTAATAATAATAGCTATCCTCGCCATATTGTTATGCACGCCACACCTCCTCTTTATACAATTGAGGGGTATCTAGCCAATAATAACACTATCACAGGCGATTCATTATCATCCTCTCTCCCTTCTACTTCGGCTTTTGCTGAAGGTGTCGATCCCTCGCATAACAGCGATCTTGTTAAGCGTCCCAATCTCGAAAAGGCTAACCGACATGCATCAATGCCTCTTCCAAAACCTGGATGGCGTTTATATGACTTGCCAGATGTTGCAGAGCCTGAGGCACAGCAGAACGATTTTGATGGTGGGTCCAGTGGTATGGGTGAAGAGAGGAGCAGTTTCCAATACAATGCATCTAATGCGTCTTCAACTACAAACTTGGATAACAACCCATACTCATACCGCCCCACAGCACATACTCGCCAGAGCTCCAGCAGTACATTTTACACCATGACGCCAAATGCCTCGCATCCAGACTTATCCCTGGCCTCTTCCAATAATCCTAATTTAAATCTCTTGGATCTCGCGTCAACACCTTCAGATCCTTCAGGCTTAACGTCTCCGCCTCCACCCCTTCCCAAGGCTGTGAAGAACACAAAGTCGCCCCTTGCTCTGCGACGGTCCTCAATGACATCCTCCGTTAACTCAGCTTCACCATCTAACACTTTTATGTCAAAAGGATCTTTGCCAAAGTCGTCTTTGTCATCAAACACCGTCCTCACGAGTAAGACTTTGACACTGGAACGGCAAAAGATTATTCTGGAGATACTCAGAACAGAACGTTCGTATGTAGACGGATTGATTATTCTGCAGACGTTGTTCCACGAGCCTTTGAATGCGCCCTATGCGACTACGAATAATTTATATGGCATGCATACGACATCGAGCCTTAGCTTGAATAATGGGCCTACGAATGGACTGGCAGCTGGAGCAGGATCGAGCATGAATACAATGTCATCGACTAGCAGTGGACTTTATTATGCGTCCTCAACTGTGGGTTCTAATTCGACTCTTTCACCTTTACTTTCCAAGAAGTCTGTGAATGAGATTTTTTCCAACTTTTCAGAGATCCTGCAGATCAACACTTTGTTACTGACACAGCTTGAAACCCGGATATGTGGTGACACTCTATCGACAGGCTGGGAGAGCGAAGATGAAACGGACCAAAACACTCGGAACGATGTAAATGAAGACCGCCAACTTAGCCAAGGAGGAGAAGGAGGACGAAAAGGGTCTTCAGAAAGTAAAACCAAGCCGAATCAGGTCTTAGTTACTGTCCAGGGTCAAAATGGAGAACAAGAGGAGCTACTGGTTCTTGATGCTGACTGGTGTATTGGCGATATCTTTATTGAAATCGTAAGCTCGCTCAACCCTTTTTTTTTTTTTTTTTTTTTTTTTTTTTGATGTAGTTGATGAGCCTTCATGCTTTATTTTTTCAATTATGGATTCTAAACCCTTTTTCTCTTGGTTTTGCTTTCCCAGGCTCCTTTCTTGAAAATGTATTCAAATTATGTCAAGACCTTTGCATCTGCTCTCACTCATATCAATGACTGTATGAATCGCAATGAGCGTCTCACAGAGTTCCTCAAGGTAGACATTGGCCTTTATCATTGATTATGCTTTTGTTTCTTTTAGTAATACATGTATACGCAGTCCTTCATTGACACTTCCAACCTTGATTCTTTTCTTTTCATAAATACAGAATACCGAAAAAAGGCCCGAATGCAAAAACCTGGATTTCCAGGCCTATTTAATGCTACCAGTTCAAAGGATCCCTCGATACAAGATGCTATTGGAAGGACTGTTGCGTCATACTCCCGAAGATCATCCTGATCATCGAAAACTGCAAACAGCATTTGAATCGATGGCGCAAACGGCAATCGCAGTTAACGAGACGACTCGACAACACGAAATGTTCCTCAAGATGGTGGAGCTCCAGTCCAAGATTGCGGGGATGTCTGAACAACTTGTCACCCCCGGTCGCACATTGTTGAAGCATGGGAGTGTCTGGAAGGTCTGTCGTCGGAACGTTCAGGTTCGAGTGCTCATCTTGCTCTCGGATTGTATCCTTTGGACAAGCCCTAGCCTGAATCCGTTGCTGGACGACACTCTAACGTTCCATCGTAAAGTTGGGCTCGAGAATTGTACAGTCATTGGGGCAGAGGATCCAGACCCAACCAAGAATGCATTCCAGATCATCAGTTCCGAAAAATCCTCACAAGTCTATGTGGACACTCTCAAGGAGAAAGAAGAGTGGATGGATGCTATTCGAAAAGCCACGCAAGACTTCTTGTCCGCTAAGAGGACACTCAAGATCTCCATCACACCCATGCAAAGTATCAGTGCTGCGGCCACTGCAGCGACAAGCTTTGGCGTTGGATTGTTGCGACGTGAGACTGGATTGTGGTCACCTAGTCCATTTAGTGGTAATGATTTTTCACGTTCTAATGCCCCTTTAGGTAGTCCTGTGGGCATCGATCCTGAATTTGCTGCTGCTTCTGCATCGAATGGAGCTCTTGCAGATGGCAATGGATACCAGTCTCCTATGGAGCCTTCCACAGGGCTAGGGGTCACCTCACCATTAGCCCAAAAGACACAGCCACCATTAAGAGTTGTAGAGAATTACAATGCGCCCGTTTGGGTTCCGGACCACTCTGCAACACGTTGTATGATTTGTTCCGAAGAATTTGGTACGCTCTTCAGGCGTAAGCATCACTGCCGCGCATGTGGGAAAGTTGTTTGCCACTCGTGTTCTTCTCGAGTAAGTGTCTTGAAGCTTCCAAGGGCTTTTATTTTATTTTTAATTACTTGTTACTTCTAAGAAAGTTGTACTTTGGGACAATATGTTAATTTTTTATTTTTATTTTTTTGAACTATTATAGAATATCTTGATCAGAAGCGGAAATTCTGAAAAGGTTGGTAGAGCTTGCGATGATTGCATCGACACCATGTTTCCTGAGGAGGAAGAAGCTCTGCATGCCGAGCCTGTTCTTGCCAATGCAATCTCTTCTGAGCCCCTGTTAGCGGATGCTTTCAGCCAGCAACAGCAACAGCAGCAGCAGTACAGGGGGTCAAGTAGCGATGTTGATCGCCGTGCAAGTAATCAGAGTCTGGATGGCGTCATCATTCAGCCAGAGGACTATTCCCCAGAGCACTTCTCTAGCGGCGCAGCAGGCATGGTACGAGGTTTAGTTGAAGCTAGCCTCAACCGAGTAAGTTGTCTAAAAATTTTTGGGGGTTTTTTTGGAGCCTCTAAACCTGTAAGAAATGAGACTGATAAAACAATTTTTTTTTTTTTTTTTTTTTTTTTTTTTAAAAAAAAAAGATGAAGAGTAAGTCAAGCCAAGCAATGAATAGCAGTGAGAATGATCCTGGGCAAGAGGCCAACATGAATGCCAACACACGTGCAACCAATCGAAGGTCCGATAGTCATTCTGCTACAGCGATGGAGTACCAAAACGCAGCCCAGGTGAAGGAATGCGGATTATGCAAGGTCGAATTTGGGATGTTTAAATGGAGGGTATGTCCCATTGCCCCAATGAGAAATATGTATTATGTATGTTAAATATGTGAATCAAATCTAACTTTGATACGAAACGCACATACCCTTGACCTTTGATAGAACATCTGTTCTCAGTGTCGTCGAGTTGTATGCTCTGACTGTCTGACCAAGAGACAAATCGATCATTTCTTCTTGCTTGGACTTCAGGAAGAACGTAATGCAACCGCTGCTGACTCTAACTTCAAGTCTAATAATAATGAAGGTGGAGCATCAGTTAATGAAACATCGACCGAATCTCAAGGTCCTTCACCAGGCCCTCAAGATATTACAAGACCAGGATTGCTCCAAAGCGCATCTGACAGCGCTGTGCAGACCGGATCGCGCAGTGAACTGTCCGGCGCGTCGACACAACGTAGCCATAGTTTCAATAACGACAGTGGTGATAGTGGAGGATATGGATATGGAGGCTTTGGGAATGGCTGGCGTGCGATCAAGGGCAATACCGACAGTGGACATGCCCAGATCGAGAAGCTTTGCGACCCGTGTTCTTTGGGCTTATCTGCTGATCAAATCAAAGTATTAGAGTCTGGAGGCGGATGGCAGTACTATCAAGCGACTCTGGGTAAACATCAAACGCCTGCTCTTGCAGCCGCACTTGCTTTGAGCAACATGTCACTGGAAGATGATTTGGAGGCTAATAATGAAGAAGGAGAGCAACAGCAACATCTAACCGACGACTTGTTGAAATTGGAACGAGATACTCCCAAGACTGAAATGACCCTTGTACGCGCTGGATAAAATCAAGGAAGCCAGCCCTGAAAATGACATTACTCAAGGACATACACATCCATTTAAAAAATATAAATTATATAAACTTTTAATACCTTGGTTATTATGGAAGCCCCGTGGGCAGTAATGGCTCTAATATTAATAAATATCAAAACTTGAAAAGAGACTCGCAGGAGATCGAAAATATAAAATTACTCTTTCAATCGTCAAAGTTGTTCTCAAACGCTAGATCAGGGATACTAGAAGAAGTCAAGAGCTCAACATTTAAGCGTTCAAGCTCATCCCTGATAAAATGGTCTTTAGTGCCAATGACCCCGCAATAGAATTGCTTCAAGTACGGATATCGCATCCGGATCTGGGACCACGGTAACGAATGAATAATGGTACTCTGAAGCCCATAGAGATGCAAAACCTCTATCCGTTGATGGACCCCAAATCCATTCAAGACCTGCTCTCCAATACCGCCCGCAAATAGGCGAAGGTTTCTGAGGTTGGACAAGGTCATCAATCGACGCCTTGTCATTTCAAACGCATCGATCCTTGCTTGACGATCTCGCCATACCCTCGTGGCAGAGAAGTCGCTCAGTTTTACATTGGCATTACCACTGTTGTTATTGCCATCATCATTCTCGGGTCGTTGTACAAACAGCTTGAAGACTGCTTGTAGATCTAACTGTTCCAGTGTTTGTTCACAGGCCCAAGGTTCTTCAAAAATTTCGGTGCTCATACCATAAGCCTGAAGCCCCAAGACCTCTAACTCTTTGCATGACTTCAACAGCGTTTTGATTCCCTTATCCTTCACAAATGCACAGAAGTAAATGGCTAGTTTTCTGAGACTCAAGCTGTGTCGTTGAGCGATGAGCTCAAGAGTTTCGTCATGGACTGCTGTCATATCACAAAGATGAATGTGAATGAGGAGTCTGTGTGTGGTCATGAAAAACTGCTTAAGCCCTTGTACAGTCATTTTCTTACAGCTCGAGAGGGAGATACTGGTGAGGGAGGAAGATTGTTGAGCAATTAACTCTAATGAAGTATCTGAGAGGTTGTCGCAAGAATGAAGGTGAAGCGCTTGTAAGTGAGGGCATCGTTCGAGAATATGAGCAAGAGCTGTGTCCGAGGTATGGGAGCTGATGATCGAGAGGAACAATAAATTATAGATATCTGTATCCAGCGTTGAAGACGCTAAGCATGGCGATCCTGGTGTCGATGTTGATGCTATAGACGTGTTCTCATCATCAGAACCCGAGATTGATACCGGAGATTGCGTCTGCTGAGGTAACGAGGGAGTACCCACAACCGACGTCGATGCAAACGCCGGCTGCGGTCCTAGTCCTGACCCTGACCCTGACCTTGACATATTAGACTCACTCTCTCCTTTTCCATTTTTTCTTTTTGGATTCCCTTTCCCTTTCCCTGTGCTTTTTCTGGTTGCAGCCAGGAATACCAATTCCTCAATATCAGCATCTACCAACTTCACAGTATGGAGTTTCCGGTGCCTTCTGAACAATGAGAGTAATGCCATGACAGGGACCCGAACGGATGTTTGAAATATAAGGCTCAGATACTCCAAACTCATAGTCGATGCGCAAACCTCAATGGACTTTAACAAAGAATTCTCATGTGGGCCCTTTGCTATTACAGGTTCTAGATGAAGTACCCTCTCCTCTTCCTCTTCCTTCAGTTTTCGCTCTTCATGCTTTTCATATCTCCCATTCTCTCCTTCTCCTGCTTTTTGGCAGTCTTCCTCTTCTTCCTCTTCTTCATCTATAAACTCAAAGGGCAAATCCAGCTCCAGCTTTCGTAATGATCCTAATGATCGAAGCATGGGTTGCAGGACTCTCTTAATCGGAATCAGTGTGTCTGCTAGCTTAACATGCTGCAGATTCAAGCAGAAATAAGAGAGACGTAACAGTGATTGAGGAGTCAACCATGATGCATTGAGACATCGGACATAATGGCCATATCGACTAAGACATGCCTCCGTCAAAACATATCGTTCTTCTCCGTTTGCAGAGTCTAAACTACAACGGCTGTTGCCATTGCCTTTGTTGTTATCAGTGGTTTTGGAGTTTACAGTAGAAGAATTGGACTTTCGAATCAGTTTTGAGTGTAAGGCAGGATGGGGTTGCAATAGAATAAGGGTTTGCCAGAGGAAAGGTGTCCAAATTGATGCCCAGTATTTACTGACGAGACAAGTAGAAAAGAGGTGTTTTGGCCCCAGAAATGTTTGAATAGCGAGTGCTAGCTCTGGCAACTGGATAATGATGTCGATGGTTAGTTTTTGTTTATAGTGGTGATGTTCGTCTAGTTCTTGTTCGTGCTCTTGATCTTCTTGTTTATATCCCTGTCTTTGCTCTCGTTTCTTTCCATGTTCTTGCTCTTGCCCTTGCGGTCGCTCTTGCTCCTGCCCCTGCCCCTGCCCCTGCTCCTGTCCTTGCAATTGCTGTACAAAGATAGCGTCTCTTATTACTGCTGTTCCTGCCATTATATTCTCGTATGCCTTTTTTCAGTCACTCTGAAAAGAAAAAAGAAAAAAGAAAAAAAAAAAGTCTGCAGATGATTGAAAAAACGAATAAGAGGAAGAGGTAATGCTTAAGTTGTTGTCTATTGAACGTTGAATGAATTAGAAGCGATGGCTCTGAAAGAGCTTCATTGCTGCGCTCCGAGACTGTTCCACAGTGTCCGTCCTCATAGGTGCATGTCATGTGTCAGAAGCGCACTACAAGGCAATTGCTGCATATTAACTTGGTTCTTATATTGAACGCCACCAATTTTAGTACTTCAACACATGTAAATGTTACTTTCGCCGAATCATTCTGCTTCTTTTTGTTTTTTGTTTTTTGTTTTTTTTTTTTTTTTTTTTTCGTGTCAGCGATCCTTCCTTCGGCCTACTAAGTATGGTGATTATTACATTAATCATTCTCCATCAAGGTGTTGAGCGACATTACCAACTTTTTAATCTTTTCTTTTCTTTTTTTGCTGCTTTGTAGGTTGAATCCATGAAGCTCGCTCAACGCATGAAAAAGAATGACGGCTCACTCAGCTACTCAGACAAACCTAATTCTAATTCCAAAAAACGCAGGAGCACCACTGATAACAGCAGCCAAGAGGAGCGCTTGGATAGTTTTGCACCATATGGCACTGATGCCATTGATGCTCAAAGCATACTTCAAGATGAAAAGCAGACCATTAGAAATATAGCCTTTGGTGGTATCTCATCATCATTAGTAAGCAGTAAGACCAGTAATGGTGCATCATCAACAAGTCGACGCCGTAAACCGCTCGATGGGCAAAATGGCGGCCCACCCCCAACTAAAAAACATAAACCGCCACAGGGTAGCCATCCCACAGCAAGTGTTCTTTTGACATATTTCACAAGAAACCCCTCAAACATTCGTGATACAGTCAGTCAGCAAGAAGACCAAGAGCTTGAGACCGAGGCACAGAGATCTTTGAATGCTCTGTATATTCAGACGCGTGGGGTTCAACCATCATCTATGGATACAGCCGTATTCAAGAAGACGAAGGAAAGCTTGGCTGATCAACGACGGATAGATCGGCTTTTGGGTGGACACAACTACAAGGGCTCTTGCAGCAATGAGGCAGCTGAAGGCTCTCACGAGCTTTCAGAGGGCCAAAAGTCAACTAGTATGAACAAATCTATACTTAATCAGGAAAAAACAATAGTTGAGAATAAAGCCGGTGAATCGGATCAAGGAACAACTCCAACTCATTCAAAACCGAATCCATCTCTTGAATCAGTATCTACAAAATTACGCCTTACTAAGCCCGGGGAGGTAATTAACAAGGGAGATGTAAAGTTCATTAAAAGTCCGTTGACTTCAGCATTTTCTACGCCAGATTCGAAGGAATCTTCTGCGACCAAAGATATCGTTGGTATTCAGGATGGTTCTACATCTCAAGATGGTGCTAGCGTCCCAAAATATGGCCTATCCATGCGAGAGTACTTCAAATACCGCCCGAAACCGATGGCATCATTATCGAAAGCAACCAACAGTAATGCAGAGCTCATTAGTGTTAACGACAGTAAAATCATTGATATAGTGACCAAGGACGCGTCAACTAGCTCTCCCATAGATGACAACCAATCTTCAGAACCAGCTCAGGATGTCCCTTCTCCTCCATCGCAGCAGACAGAGACACTTGCTCAAAATCTAAGCGACAAAAATAGCGATGAAGCATTTTGTGTTGATACCAAGGCAATAGAGGAGGATAAGGAGCAGCTTTTACCACCAAGGCGTCGAAGGCTAGTCCGGGGTGCTGAATTGAAAGTAAAGACGTACTGTGAATCATCTTCACGCTCAAGCGACAGCGAAGCAGCATTCACTACAGTAAAGAAGCAGCCGAAAAAAAGTTCGAAGGATAGAAAAAGGGACTATCGCACGCGTGAGCCCAAGCACATAATCTTGTCAGAACCAGAGTCTGAGGAGGAAGAGCCAGAGCCAAAGCATGCTGCCGCCTCAAGGCAGTTCATGAAGAATTTCTTTGGTATTTCCACGTCAACAACCTCATCCGCTTCCACAACATCTCAAAAGCCTTCAGGCTGCAACCTAGTCAAGGAATCGCCAAAACCTGCTCCTAGCAATGACTCTGATGACGGGTTTAATGGTAGAGATGCCTCTGTGCAGCTTATGCCAGTAGCCAATCGGCCAAGACCAAAGACTTACTCCAAGGCGAAGAGCGGGGTCGTAGTTAAGCGGAAGGATAAAAGTAGAAGTAGGAAAAGCTCTTTTTCTAACTCTGACAATTCGGGTTCTGAGCGCGACAACAGCGGCCTTGATGACGATCTCTCTGACTTTATGACCGAGCAGAAGCCAGATCCAAACCAAAAATCAATTACCACCATGTTTTCGAAGGCACAATCCCGTCCAGCATCAGCATATACCCCCATCCTCAAACCACGCAGGAAAACACGACTCACTCCGGCTTCACGTGCTGTCCTCTCTGGCGGGTTATCGAACATATCAAATACGTGCTATCTCAATTCAATTTTACAGGCACTGCGGAATACTCGTGAATGCTCTCGATTGATTTTCGTTATCCAGGAAAAGATGCGAGAGCTCGAAGAGAGACTGGGATCGCAGGTCAAGCTGACCGAGTATCAGCGCGCATTGTTTGATCATGCTCTCGACATGTTTCAACAGCTTGATGAGCATGAGAAAAAGCTTTGTGAAGGCGATGCTGAACTTAGGTCAACATATCCAACAATGGTGATTCGGACACTACGGTAAGTCTTGCTTTTTTTTTTTTTTTTTTTTTTTTGCCGTTTGGATGAACGAAGTAGGAAACAATGACTATACCTGATTCATTATGTTTTAATCCTCACTTGATGTCCATTAGCGACGGCGATTCTTTGTTCAACTCTTCGGAACAACAGGATGCTGCCGAATTTTTATTGTATATCATTAGTCTATTTGATGACGTCCTGAAAGCATTACTGCTGTCTGCACAATCATCAGACTTGGGAAGAATTAGTCCGGATATCATTCCGCGCAACTGGCAGCCTATTGATTATCTGTTTCAAGTGGGGACCCAGACCGTTACCCATTGCCAGCAATGTCGATCCGTTGTGACAAAAATGGATCGAGGAATCGACCTGACAGTGCAGATTGATGTTGAGAATCCAACTTTAGTCCGTGACCTGGGTTGGGGCATAACTGAAACGATGAAGATGGAGCATATGAAGGATGATAACCAGCGGTTTTGCGAAAAGTGCAACTCCAAGGAAGATGCACACATCTATCATTATCTTACATCGTTACCGAAAATCATGATCTTGCGTCTACAACGATACAATTTCAGTGAAGGGGCCGTGAAGCTTCAGAACAGGGTCTCATGTACAGAAAGGATGAATTTCAGCAAATGGATGAGCAAGGATCATCAGGGAGGGGCCCTGGATTATGGTATACATTGTTATATAGAGTTGTCTTAAAGTTCGCTTGAATTGATAGGTCTGATCCTTACGTTTGCAATTGCTATCCCTGTTAGAACTTTGCGCCATCATCGTTCACAGAGGCCGAGCCATCACCTCCGGTCATTACTACGTCTATATTAAAAAGGATGTTGAGATTGAGTCTGAGATCACAGAGCCGACTGGAGAGACGTATAACGAGAAAAAGAGCTTCCGATGGTATGTACAACTATACTTGAGGGTTGAGCCAGTCTTTGAAATCCTCTTATTAAATACGACTAATATATATTTCCATCTTTTATAATATGTGTAGGCTCAAGTACAATGATGCATCTGTGGACCCAGTCTCAGAGGAGGACATGACTCGACTTTTCTCTGGAGATATCAATATGCAGGCTAAAAAGAGCGGTAATCTGAACGGATACAATGCCGCTGAATGCTTGGCCACCGATACAAGTCTTGAAGCAAGCAATGATCAGAGAAATGAACCTATATTAAATAGCTTCTTATTGGACGACGACATGGCTACACCTTATGTATACATTTACAGACGACTTGATGATGATTAGAAAATCAAAAGCTTCCTTCTATCTTGTCGTTTCTTTTTTCTTTTTTCTTTTTTCTTTTAGCATGTATATTATTCAATTATTATGGCCTGTATTTTTATTGCTAGCAAGAATGACATGTGTAAGCTTATCACAAATATTAAAATAAATAAATAAAAAAAAAAGTTTATGTAATGTCCATATGAGAAAAACGAGAACAAAGCTTGATGAATATTTACTTTTCTAAAATAGCCTTCTACCAATCATAACACTATTTCCTTCCACCCCATTTCATTAGTTTTTCTTCACGTTTCCTTGTTATATCATCTTTTTTTTTTTTTTTTTTTTTTTTTTTTTTTAGCCCCAGAATAACCGCTTCTTGGTCATATTCAAAACTGATGAGAGCATGCTTTCGGGTGCTGCTGATGGTGCAGGTGCCGTCATAGTCGACGTAGATGATGATGAAGACGCTTCTGTAGAAGCTGTAGAAGTAGTAGCGGTGGTGGGTCGTATCGAGCTTCCTGTTGCAGAGCCACCTACGACTGAGGTTGCTGTTGATAAAGCCGGTGTTGAGGAAGTGCTTTGTGATGTTTTCAACAAGGGTTCGCCGTTTTGGCTCACCAGAGATGGATCATCCACCAACATTGAGGATCTATCCCGTCCTCGTCCAAATTGGCTTAATGGCGCATGGTTGCTCAGTGAAGGGGAAGAAGGGGCCGAGGAAGTAGAGAAGGTTGATGAATAGAGACTAGACGATAATCGCTGTTTTTTTTGAGCCTGGAATGGCGATGATGCGCTATTTGTACCAGTACTAGAGTCTAGGAGCATGCCACCCGATGACGCAAAAAGTGTTGGATCTGAAGAGGCAGACTCGCCAAATGTAGGACGTCTCAAAGACAGACGATGCTGATTTGATGATCTGAGCCATGCATCATGATTAGCTCTCTGCTCAAGAAGTCGTTGTTGCTGTTGCTGTTGTTGCTGCTGAAAGTGTTGTGCATCCTGACCAAATCCAGATCCATTTGGGTGAAGCCCTCGAGCTTCGTATCGGCCAAATAAAGGGCGGAATCCCACGGATTCATTTTCGACCATCTGACCCTCGGACAGGATCCCTCCATCCACCATTCCATTCCGCTTTATCCCATCCATATCAGATTTTGAACCATCCTGTGACCTCGTAGATCTTAAAAGTTCAGATGGCTCTCGGCCAAGACGACTCGACCGAAGGAGAGTTCCACTTGAGGTTAAACTATGTCCCAACACATGGAGCATATCCTCATCCTCTTGATCGACCGCCACTACTGACGAGTTCCTTGCCCCACCAGCGGTGGAAGATGATGAGCCACCAGTAATATTATCTATTGATTGAAATAATGCTGTGCTCGCTCCTGCTCCAGCTGATCCCTGGTTCCAAGACTCATATAGACTTGCATGCCGTGCTCTGGTATTCGCTGCTGCAAACTGTGCAGCTTTTCCTTGCAATGGTAGGTCCGGGCCTAATCCCTGTGCACGTATTTTCAGCAACGTATCAACCCCTGCCTCTACCTCTCTAACCTCTGCTGGCGTTAAATCTTTTGCAATGTCCCGACTTTCTAACTCGCTCGACGGTGCTGTAGTTATGTCCATCGCCATGCTCTGAGATGACCTAGGGCTCGTAGTTGAGAAGGATCGGCAAGCATGTACACCTACAACAAATTTTCCAACTGCTCTTAGATGTCTACTGGTTGCATTCCTGGCTGCCCATGTACCTTCATATTGTATTTTGAGCCAGTTGAAGGATTCGGATAAGACGCGACCATATATTCCAGATTCATAGCGCACAATGGTTCCAAAGGCTCGGAATTGATTCAACATGTAAGATGCAGCTTCCGGTGGAAAGCCATATGTGATAATAGCGTCATAGCTGTGATCGGCTGTAGCAGATGATGCGGATGATAAACTCGTCGAAGCAGCAGAGTCATTTAATAGTCCAGTATCGGAAGTAGATCTATAATCAGCACATGATAGTTAATAGTGGTCAGCTTAAACAAGCACATGGTAAATACGTGATAGCCAAAACGATCACTAGTAGCTTGTTTTACTTTTTGTTTACCTGCTATATTGATAAGGCGAAGAAAAATGAGATAGTGTTGCTGTGGGTTGAGAGTAGTACTTCTCCTTCTGTGCAAGGTCGTATAAGGTATCGGCCGGTGGAGCATCCTCACCAATCAAATTTGGTGCTAATCGTGTATCTCTGCTTGGTCCTGATTGCTGATGAAATGGATCACTATAAAGACGTAGGGTTTTTTTTTTATAACATATATATATATATATATATATAAAGAGTCAATGGTGGGAAATTGCAAAAGATGGGTTCCTGTTTAGATTTGAGCTTTGTCATAAACCACTGTGTCATCAATATAATAAAGCTCCAAAGATTCACTCAAAAGAAAATGTAGTCTCGCACCTATCCCATTCCGTCTTCCCGTTGTTTCCATCCATAAATGGCTCAATCTTAGAACCCTATGATAGATAAAGCCAAAAAAAGAAAATAACAATAGCAATGATAAAACAAATAAATATAGTAATTATACAATTTAATCTAACATTCTATAAACCTTTTTCTTTCTTTCTTTGCTATTTTCTTTTTATACTTTACCTTCAATACCGATCCAGTTCCGAGTAAGATAGCGGGTAAGTAGCGCTCTTTGTCTTTTTCTTCTTCATCCTCATCCTTAGGTGCTTTACCAAAAGTATTGCTGACTCCAAGCATATTACCCTGACGAGATGTACTGCCATCCAAATTCACAAAGAAAGATGAACCTGATACTGTTCCTGCTCCTGCTCCTGTGGCCGTTGCAGACGACGATGTTGCGCCGCTTGCTGAAATAGTATTGCCTCTCATCGAGGGTGAGCTCAGTTCACCTGTCATCGACCTGGGTGTATAGGCTTGGAACGATTGTGCAGTTCCAGAAACAGATCCCAACGCGGGGCCAAGACTACTATTCAATCCAGACGATCCAGCTGCGCCTCTGTGAGTCAATACATTAACTTTACCATCCTCCTTTAAAACAGAGTGTAGGCTAGCCATGCTACCGCTGCTTGATAAATGACTAGCTGCCCCACCACTACCGCCACTGCCCGCACCACTATTACCACTATTGCTGCTATTGCCGAAGAAAGGACTGGCGCCGTTCTGGTTGAAAATAGAAGGGCTTTGTGGCCCAGGAGTGGATACTTCAGGAATAACAGCCGAGAATCGAACAGATGCGTTCCGTTTTTGTAAATCTTCCTTGTTAAGCTCCGGGCGATCAATCCTCAAGATGCTTTTGGGTCCAAAGGAGGGCTGGTCCGAAGTAGTGGTGCTGTCTGCCAATGTTGATCCCGGGGCTGTGGTACGCAAGCTTGGCAAATCTGACTGAATCTTTGACGTCCCCATGCTCGTATTGCTAGCATCAGGCCTGTGAATAGCTGCTGCCTCTTCCTGCAAGCGAATTGACTCATCCAAAAGCTGTTGCTGTTGTAATGTCCGAGATGATGGAGGATCGTACCCCAATGGACCGGAGCTGTATCCGGGCGCCAATACCTCGTCACGCGTAGGCCAATGATGGCTTCTTCCCCCGTTTGTCAAGCTCAGTGAGAGATGAAGGGATGAGTCTTCTCCTCCATCACTCCCTTGACCTCCTTTCCGTCTGGCCTCCTCCTCTAGCGCCAATTTTTTAGCAATGTATGCTGATGGAACATAATTGGATGCCTTTGATGAAGAACCTTGGCTAGATCGTCCATGGCTGCTGGAACCAGAGACGTTGAATGTAAACATTTGCCTCTGGAAAAGAAGTCTCGATCAAAAAAGAGTCTCGGAGTGTTGATAATAGAAGAGACAATGATATGATCTTTCAACCTTATAGATTTCCTTTTCTTTTTTTTCTCTTTTCTTTTTTTTTTTTACGTCTATATCCACCTGCTCCTTGGTAGTTCGCTAGTTTCAAGTAAAGAAAAAGAAAGGATCAGGTTTTTTTTTTTTTTTTTTGGTTTTGAACTCGAGAGCCTATAGAACCTTGACAAAGCATTGCAACAAAAAAAAAACGCGTCAATTCCGTGTTCCTGAATCTCATGCGGCAGAGAAAAAAAAAAAAAAAAAAAGTGTTGTGTGTTGTGTGCTGTGTGTCGATAAAAAAAGAATGCATAGTTTCCATGTCACATGCATCAAGCTAATGTACCTTGGATGACTGTATAAAAAAAGGTGAATGAAATTTAAAGATTGATTGTATATAAGGATGATGTAAAGAAAGTATATCGACCAATTGAGGGGAAAAAAGAAGCGTGTTTATATTGTATTCCCAAGCTTTTTTTTTTTTTTTTTTTTTTTTTTTTTAAGTGCAAAGCGAGTAGAATGTTATGTGGTCTGTGTCGCGATGATGCGAATGGTGAAAAATAAAAAAAAAAATTTCGTCAAGTATTTAGTCAAAACAAGCCACCCGATCAAGTTTCGTAAAGCAGTAAAAGACATGCAGCATTGGAAAAAATAATTGTATATTTGTATGTACTGTATGTGTATTTATATTTATATATTTATTTCGATAATAGTAAACAATAAGCTCAAGTCAAGAGCAACAGAAAATGGCTATATACGATTGAATGCTAAGAAGACCAGAGAGCTGTATGAAGGGGGGGAAACGATGGGAATTATACACGTGTGGATCAAACAAAATACAGAAATGAAAAAAATACAATTGCATGAAAAAGTATACATCGGACTAATCCTGACGCACTGGGATGTCCAGATAAAAAAAAATTCTTGTTCTCCAGTCATCCTCAAGATGACCCAAAGAGATGCTTCAGCAAGTAAACCTTGCCTCTCTCTACGGCGGGGACGCTGCATGATACGCCTCAACTGTTTACTCCACTCTGATATTACCAGCAGAAAAAAATAAAATAAGGAAAAAATAAAAAAAGTTACTGCAGAGAACGTTGCTGTTCAACGGCGACTGCAGCCAGTGCAGCCGTTAGTGTCGAAACCTGTGAGCCGTTAAGCGGAGACTTTGGAGTAGCCACCAAAGTGGGTGAGAGTGACGAGGGAGTCATCAATCCCGCTAACCTGAGAGGAACGTCCTTAGTGCCACCAACAGTTGTTTGGATCGACAATGTCGAGTTGGGAAGAGTAGCACGGGAAAGGAGGGGGGATGCGATTGGGGATACGTCCGTGGAGAAGGGATTCTCTGTGGCATGAAAGGCGGTGGGCCCGAGCACAGGGCTTGTGTTAGGACTGGAATCAGGGGTATGGTCGCTGGGCGAGGATGACACTGGACGATTGCCGTTATTGGCAGCGGATGCAATAATTGCATTGATAGCACTCATCATGATGCTATCACCCTTGACTGCGGCAATGGCAGCGGCAGCAGTGATGGCAGCCTGGCTGGCATTGCTTCCCTCCAAGTTTGTAAAGCCAGGGATATTAGCGTAGAGAGCAGCCGCTAGGTTGGGATGCGAATGCTCGATGTGATATTTGAGACCATTCAAATTCTTGTAACACTTGCCGCAGTCCATAAAAGTACAGCGATAAGGCTTTGAGCCAGCCTTTTCATCTTCGGTGGATCCAGGCTGAACACTATGTCCGTGCTGATTGTGGTACTTGAGGCCGTTAGGATTCTTGTAGGCCTTGTCGCACCCGTTGACGTTGCATCGATAAGGCTTGTCCGCCCCTGCGGTACCGGGTCTGCCAATGTTCTCCATCATGCTAACGATCTCGTCCCGCTTACGAAGTAACTCTTCGACTGCAAGCAAATAACTGGGGGAACCAACTTCGCCGCAGTTAGGAAGCAATCCGCGCTGGATCGCCTGTTCCAAGTAGCCAGTGACGGAGCTCATGAGCTCATCCTGGCTGGCCAACGCGGCCATTGTGCTAGTTGCAGCAATGACGCCCTTGGAGGCTGCCGAAGACTGGAGATCGCTCATGAGTGAGGCAGCAGTGAGAGCAGCGGCAGCGGTAGCATTGGTGGAGAAGGAGGTCTTGGAGGAATGAAGTGCCGAGATTGGCTTCTTGGCAAGCGGACTATGTGTGTCAAATGAAGAGGAGAAGGCAGCGAGGTCTCGCTTCTTACAAGTGGTAGAGCTGGCTTGCGTGGCTGTTCTCAAAATAGAGTTTGAGAAGGCAGAGACGGCTTCGTCTGGGATAAAAAGCGAGTCTTCCGAGTAAATGTCGGATAATGAGACCCCATTCGTCTTCTTTTTGGCACCATAGGTTGATGCTGTTAGAGCCGAGACTGTTGCTGCTGCTGCGGCATTGATGTGATTGCTGTTATTATTAATCATCTGAGGGCTGTTAGGAGCTGACTCGGATTGTGTGGACCAGCCATCATCATCCATAAAACCCATCACAGCCAACATGTCATCTTCTTCTCCCTCCTCAAAGTGCACATGTGCTTCTTCATAGTGCTGTAAGAGCTCATGTAAATCGCCGAGGGTGAGGCCGCAGCAAGAGAAGTTTTTGCAATAGTTTGTTTCTAGATCGCGCTCGTAGACATCACCTCTGGTTGGAGAGGAGCTGTACGAATCAAGTAAGGCGTTGTGGCTATCAAGGGAAAGGGGGGGACACATGCATAAAAAGAAAAAAAAAAAAAATCAAGTACAGAGAAATCAGTCAATTTGTACTATAACACAAAATGCACCTCATAATGCACAGTTCATTTACAAACAAAAAATAAAAAAAGGCAAAGAAATACTTACTCTGAGAATTGAGGCGACTGTGAATATGAAAAAGGGGAAAGGAAAGAAGAACGGCGCAGTTGTGAAGCATGAAAGGAATTGAAGGACAAGGCCAGGGATTGTCTCCGAAGTGAAGATGCACCAAAGGAAGAAGCGGCCGAGGAATGTTCATCACAATGGACATTTGTCGAAGTAATATTGATGTTCGGAGTTGGGATTGGAGCAGGCATGATGGTATGATGGTTGACGTGTATCTGTAAAGTGGTAGATGACAAGCGTGCGAAGGAATAAGATATGTATAATAAAAAGAAAGAAAGAAAAAAGGGTATGAAAGATGACAAAGTAAACGCACACACGAACGAAGAGTTTGGGGTAGAGAAAAGCAAAGAAAGAAAGAGAGAAGAGAGAAAGAAGAATGAAGAGCAAGGAATGAAGACTGAATGGAAAAGAAGAAAGAAAAAGGAATTCGAACAAATGCATCACTTTGACCTTTTCAATACTTCGGGGCGGAATTTGGGATAGACAGCATGCGAGGTGATCCGCCTCTCACACTCCTTCTCAATTTTTCTTTTCTCTTCCCTTTCATTTGGAGAAAGGGAAAAGCTGCAGTCTTTTTTATTCAATCGCATTCAATGTTATCCATGTCCGTGCTAGACTATCGCTCTGATTTACAAGTAAAAGACAGGGTTATTGTTTGTGCAATTATATATATAAAAGACATTTTAATTGTATTCACTCCATTAGAAATGAATATAAGAATATAAAAAAAAAGTCCGAATAACTCACCTTCGCTCTTGTACATCTTTTGTTCTCTTACGAAACGGTGCCTGTAAGCAGACGAGCATTCGAATGTCCGGTCAGGCACTAAAAACATTCATGAATATTTTTATCTGTTTTGGGAAACTCTTTTTTCTACTAGACCAGTCCGGATATGTCAAGACGTAGACTTTCCTTCCTGTCATCTGTACACTTAATACATACTGGAAATGTTAAGAAGCAAATCACACACATAAAAAAAAAAAACTAGACTGGACTGGACTGAACTAAGACTGCATTCACACTTTCACAACTTTCGAGCTTTAGAAGTAATACAGCCGGCAAAAAATAAAATATAAAAAAGGTTAGACGAGATGAAAAGAGGGGTTCCTTGTCATCATCACGCATGAGAAAATAAAGAAAGAGAGGAAAAAAAAAGCTTAAAGATCACTGCTGACACCCACGTTGCAGCAACTGTTGAAATATACGCGATGTGTATATTTGTTTTGGAATGGATAAAGTCGTGTCCTTTGAATTTACACCGATGTTCTCGTGAATAGAAAACAAAAAAAAAAAAAAAAAAAAAAAAAAAGATTCAGTTATAAAAATACCTTGTCATGATCATGACGAAAAAAGAAAGAGGCGGGTGTATAAACGTCAAGACCATCACCTTCCTTCTTTCCCACCTCCTTTAATGACACGATGGGACATTATATTCGCGTGGAAAACTAAGTATAAAAATATATAGTGTATATATAAGCTGCTAAAAAAAAGAACCATTTCACCCAATTTTTTAGATCCAGATTGCAGCACAAAACTCAAAACTTTTTACATCCAAACAGATGTAAAAAAAACCATCTGGCGTAAAAAAGAGTTGACGATGGGTTCGTTGAATATTCGTATGCTTACTTGTATAATATATCTCTACGTGCGTACATGTACTGTACAAATATATATAAAACGATTGCAGTCGACGGTAGTCTTTGTTGATCCTTTTTCAGTTATTCTTGGATAATGTAGAAAGCCTGCATCCGGGTTCGGGAATATCAATCTTTCCTTTCCTCTGCTTTCCCCTTGCTTTCCTGTCCTCTCCTGTCCTGTTCTTACCTTTCCATCCTTTCATCCTTTTCTTTTTCCTTTCCTTTCCTTTCGCTTCCCAATCCGATGAAATGAATAAATGAACAACAGATTGAGAGATGGAGAGAAAGAGAGAAAGAAAAAAGAGATGAGAAAAAGTATATACGGTATATTACAACCCTTGATCGTGTCATGCTTACAGCTGTCTTCTTCATAATTCTCACTCCGTCCTTTCCAGCCATTCAGGCCTTTTGCTTGCTTACCTTGCTTGAATTTTTTTTTTCTTATCTTAGTTCGGCTCTCGACCTGCAGGAGCTGAAGTAAAGAAATATATTCCCTCGAATTTCCGTTTATACATTTATAGTTGTAGGACACATCCCAAAGTGATTTGTATGATCAGCTTTGTTACCCCTACTTGATCAAAGATGTCCTATTTGTTCCTACAAGTCCTTTCTTCCTTTTTGGTTCTTGTCGTCTCATCTCCTTCAAATCAAGTGCAGACAATTCGATGCAATGCTGAGTGAAAGAATGATTGAAAAGGATTTTTTTTTTTCTTCCAAAGATCGATTCAACCCCTACTTTCTATCAGGCAATTCACAAGTTTTTTTTTTGTCAAGAAGAGAGAGTATCCATTGATTTTACTTTGTTTGTAACACGAGTTTGTCTCTTTCATCGCCCATCATCAATCAACACGAGAAAAAAGGGTGTCCGTTTGTACGACATGAGCCTTTTCTCTGTTTCTATTTGGTTTTTCTTGTTTTCTTCACTCTTGTCAACCCCTACTTGCAATCTTGGTGTGTCCGTCCGTCAATGTTTTATCCTCTCCTCCCCACTTTTTGTGCTTCATCTTCTGCTTCTTTGTTTATTACATGCAGGCAATTGTTGTGTGTCCAGGATGATGCGCATCTGAGCAAAATTGGTAGCGTGCAACTAAACCACAAAGTCCAAGGTTGAGAGCCAACAGGCCAGCAAGGCAAGTTCTCATCGACATACATATATAGTTCTTTTTTCTTTTTTATCAAAATCTACATCCTCTTTTGATCTTACATAGCCTCTATACTGTATACATTAATGATTGTTGTTTACCTTTTCAACTTCACTCTCATTCTGTTGTTTGTCTTTCTTCAACTCTTGTTTGCCCATGTGTGTGTTTGGGGGACAACCAAGGTTAAGGAGAGGTTCACGGACATTCTGATGTCACATTTCTATGTTCTTTTTAATCATGAAGAGTCTTTATTCTTTCTACCATCGCCTGTTAGTTTTTTTTTTTTTTTTTTTTTTTTTTGTTCCTCTACATTGGTGTACAGGCACATTATAAATGGATGAACTAAACAAGGCGTCCAAGGAAAAGAAAACGATGCTTTAATTTTTTTTTTTTTTTTTCCACGCTCCCACGATTATCCCGAATCTGGAATCAATTGGAGAGCACTTTCATAAGAAAAAAGTTTACCTTTATGCTTCTCGAACGAGCATTTGTTGTGTATATTACTGTATTATGCAGAGATACAGATACAGATGGTTACAGAAAGTCTGCTTGAAAAACATAGAAGGTTGTATTATTGCATACATGCATGTGAGCAGTCGTTGAGGGTACAGCATTTGCATATGGAGAAATATCAAGTATAGGATGCGCTTTTTTTTTTTTTTTTTTTTTTTTTTGCCATTGAGGCGCGATGGGAAGCTGCATTATGCCACAAGGGTACATGAGCTTCTGCAATCAAGCATGAAAGAATAAAGACACAAGAGTGTTTTCTGGCGCAAAAACAAATCTCTGTCTCTCCCCCCTTTTGCTAGTGTTATTAGACGCGAAGGACTAATAAAAGATGATTTACACAAAATATACTCTTTAATTGCACATGTTAACGTCAGAACCAAAAAAAAAAAAAAAAAAAAAGAGCCATAAAAAATATAGTTTCAGTTTAAAGTTTAGGTTATTAAATAGAATCGAAGTTGCAACTTTATAAGACGAAATTACTCTTTTGGAACCCTTGGAACCCTTGGAACAAAGAAGAAAAACCTACGCTGAGAATTCGTCAAATGATGCACCATGGATAAGGATAGAGATAGAGATAGGGATTGCTGTATACATAAATATATATATAGATATACACTTTTATTTGATCATCAGCAAGCGAGATCATCCTCAATCCATCGCAATATTTGAATGTCATACATCTCTACTTCTTTACGAAACTTGATGGGTATATTGACATATTATATGGTATATACGAACTAGGGAAAAAAACAACTCATTCTTCATCAGATTCGAAATTGTACCCGTCAAATAGATTCAAAAATGAAAGAGGATTGTTATTCATCCATTATAGATTTATCCATTTATATTTTTATCTTTACGTTTCTGATATGGGTTAAGAGATCGGTAGATGAACTTTGTTCTTCTTTTCAGGGCCAGATATATATAAAAAAAAAAGGCCGAGGCCTCCTTCTACCGGTCAATTAGTGTCATCAGAAAAGATGGGTATACAAATATACATTTATATCAGCCGCCAAAAAAAAAAAAAAAAAAAAAAAAAAAAAAACGTGCTGTGGTCGGTTAAGAAAAAAGAAAAGAAAAAAAAAAATCAATTAGGGTGGAACCCAATGATTCCGAGCACCTATTAGAGCTCATGACAATCTTCCATTAATCCCGCCCCATATAACAATCTCCTCAATGTCTTATCCTGTCTTTGCAGTATATTTATTGTAAATGATGACTGAGAGTGAGAATTGGATGTAGTCCACATTGCTTAATTATGTGATATGCTGGGATGGCTTATTACTTATCGAATGGGGTTCATATATGGATTATATAAGCTAGGCAATAAAGAGAGGTGTCATTTTAATGACCTGAACGTCACGCCCAGGCTTGTATATATCTATACTTATTGCAACGTTATTCATGTATATATATTATATATATATATATACTATATACATGTCTTGTCGGTATGCATTTGAACATTAGACTATGGTCCAGATCATATACATGTAGTATGGTGAAGGAAAAAAAAAAGATGCGTTGGAGCTCTCAAGACAAGACCCAATACATGAGAGCAAGTAACGCTTTTGAAGCTCCGAATCCAAAAAACCGATCGTCCGTGCGCAACCCATCGTTTCCGATTTATTAAATAAAAAACATTGGTGGATTTTTTTTGATGAAGCGGTGCCGGAAGATAAGAAAGCGAGAAAGGAGAAAATGTCCACAGACCACTGCTCAAGAAAATATAAAATATAAAAAATATAGATATATATATATATGTATATACATATACATATATATTTAAAGAGAACAACATGGCATGATTATATTGTACACATGTAAGCTTAGAGTGGCTCCTTAACTATCTCCAATATCCGTCACCTGAGGCTATGTCTATCACTGTCTGTAATGCTCCAATGCACTGTCAGGCATTATTGAATTTGACAAGACACATGTATGCATTTATCTCGGTCTTGATAATCAATAGCAATAGCAGCTACTATGCATCCTGTCGGATATACAACAAGTTGTATTATGCAAATCCAAAGTAGGTTTCCCCAGATAGCGAAAGAGGCAAATTTAAACGACGTGGCTATTTTCAGGGATTCAGGTATGCTATGGCGGCTGATATCGCAGAATAAGCTCGTCTATAAGGCTGCCATCCGAATCCTGTATCCTTCGTCTCCTAGCTCAGAGCTTTCTGCATTGTATCCGGCGGTAATGGCCAAACAAGAGTGTGGCGACACTCAGGTCAGGTATGGACTTGAATGATTCGTACTAATAGCACGACCGACTAAAGAGTAAGGCGTTTGATAGTGATCAGTTCAGCATTAACCAAAAGCCTTTTCATGGCATTAAGAATGTCTACTTTGATCGATCGACTTGGTAATATCCGAACGATAATGAATGAGTTTAAGCAGCAAGAAAGATAGAATAAGGCATACCACAATTGGGCGCAAACAGACAGCTTCGTCCATTCTTTGTCTTTATTTCGCCTATGATCGAGCCCGATTGGATGTGCTAATAGACCTATTTACTTATTGCCTATCATAACTCTACATATCAGTCATGCATCAGCCTCGTTCGTAGTACAGCGCTGTGAATGGAGAAGAGAAAAAGGAGTATCACTTTCAACGGAGCTTCTGTTTTTCCAACATCGAGATGTGGTAGCCGTAAAGGATAATTGTGGTGTTGTATATGGCTACCTCAGCAAGCAGATCCGCCCAAGTTATCTTATGGATCCATAACTGGAGAAAGGACAAGGAAAAGGAGGGGAAGCCTAGTAGGTGGGTGGCTTAAAAACAATAACAAAACTGTTTTTGGTCTGAAGAAAAAAAGTTTTCCTGGTTATAAATTCCATTGCAATGTCTTTCTCTTTTTCTCCCTTTTCTCTTCTTCTTCTCCTCCTCCCCAATCATAAAAACACATATCCTCTCATTGATAATCTGCATCCACTTGTCCTGTAAGTTTGTTTGTCAAGAATTACACCACTATATCTTTTCCATTCCTTCCTCCTCCTCCCCCCCCCTCTTTTTTTTTCTTATATATTGCTTATATTTTTACAAAGGGACAAATGATGAGGAACCAAAAAATTATAACTTTCGTTCTTCCTACAGATACTGCTGTGCAGTACTGATGAGGAGAAATTTATCTTCTGATCCTATTATATAAAGCTACAATGAAGAGACAAAGGAATTGATTACACAATACCAAACGATCCAAACAAAGATCGATCTATCCTAACACATTCCTCTTGTCTTTTTTTTTTTTTTGGATCCTGAACAGGGGTTTTCTTGACTTTAGATAAATAAGACTGGTGAAGATTCGATAGTACGATCAAATAGTATGGATGGTCGTTTGCTTAGAACCGTTATGAAGAGTGTAACAAATAAAGAATTTCTAAACAAAAGTCAAAGCTGGCTGGCTGGATGAGGAGGGGCTGCATTGTAGATCTTTTGATCGTCAAAAAGTCGTACAAGAATGAATCCAGTGTCACAATTGATTTTTTTTACAGTCAATTTTGTGCACTTTACACTTGTATAATATTCATTTACCGGACTTAATTTTTTTTTTTTTTTTAAATGCAACAGACCTTTTTTTTTTTTTTTTTTTTTTTTGGTCTACAAGCTATTTAATTAATTCGTGGAAGGACAATGTTGTCGAACTTTTGATTACACTTGATACACACCGTTTCATCACGGACACAACAGCATACAATCGGGAAGCAAATCACTGACAAGAATGTTCCAGCATTGAACCCTAAAGCACTACAAGAGAGAAAAAGAAGTAACAGAAAGAAACATGTTGTTTTGGTTAGTTTTTCTTTTAATAAATATGGTATACAAATGGGCTGTGGTGGCGTTCGGCTCGGTCATGGATGAAAAACGTAAAAGCGATGAATAGTGTAAGAAAATTTGGATAGTCCAGAAAAAGACCCGAAACAGCGCATTTAAAATAACATCAGGAAAACAATTATATATAATAATAATAATAATAATAATAATAATAATAATAATAATAATAATAATAAACCCTCCACTACTGCATCAAACATACTGGTGTGTTCTCAGTTCATGGTATCCTCCTTTTGAACATGGAGGCAATGATGCTGCAATCTGTCGCTGTTGGATAATCGCTGGATGCAAAGGCAAGATGTCATTTGGACGTGGGACTGTTGGGTCTACAAACTCTGTAGGTGGTCCAGGTTGAACACCAGAGAAATGCCCTGGTCCAGCACTGGCACTTGTTGCGCCACCGTCGCCCATGGGTACTGGTGCGCCATAATAGGGTGCCCCCGTAAAATTCTGTCCTGTCTTCATATCTGGAGGTGGTGGGCCGTAATTACTGTTATAGCCTTGACCTTCCTGTGGAATGTTGGCATAGGGGCCTTGCTGCTTCTCTGGCGGATAATTGGACATGTTCTTTGAATGTAGCGATGTATTCAACTTTTTCTTTTCTTTTTTTTTTTTTTTGCAAGAAATAAGAAAATAAAATGAGTTTTGCAACGATGTATTTACAATTCTTTTTTGCTGTCAAATGAGAAAGAGATGAATGATGAAGTGTGGAGTGAAAAAGAACATGTAGTTCATTAGAGCTTGTATAATAACAGTTCACAGGGTGACTGTTGACTTGCTCTCGCCCAACTCGTGATCAGAGGATGCACTTTGAGATAAATTTGACGCGATGTTGACCTCATTCACTTTTTTTTTTTTTATTTCAAAAAATGAGGTAGAATAGATGTGTTTTGTATATACAGTTGCGAGGATAGAAGGGTAAAATGTGGCGCTTTGCCTTTCTTTTTTTTTTTTTTACTTGTCAGCATGGGTAGCTTTCTGGCTGGGATCTTCATCGCGAATAGCATGAATGGGAGCTTTGTCCTGCTTCAGCACGTTATGAGACTCAACCATACGGATTGCATCTGAGGCATGCTTGCTCAAGTTGGTCTGCTGCTTGTCAGCCTAAAAGAAGTCAAAGAAATAAGAATAGCCGAATAGAATTGGTTAGTCCTTTTCTTTTTTTGTGCTCTGACATCTTAGTTGTTGTCCTTTCTACCCTTCATGGAGAATGGAATAAAGAGGACTCTCCAATTATTTTTTTTTTCCTCTTTTTTTTTTTAAAGAGGTAAATACAATGTGATCAATAAGGCAAATGGTTGTTGAGCCTTATTAGAAAAAAGTGGTGTCCTTCATCTGCTGGTTGCTGTTTAACAACAGCCAGTAAAAAGTAAAAGGAATCATACAGCACTTCATTTTTAGATGAGAGTCTTTTCTGCAGACTGTGGTAGGAAAAAAAAGACAATCACATTGATATTCGCATGAAGGGCTCGTGAGAGGGAAGAAAGAGGATGGGGATCCCCATACCTTCAGCTCTTCGAGCAGGCTATAGAGCATTTCCTGATGATGAATGCTATCTTTTTTGACCTTCGAGTCCGAATATATCACATCTGCCTGAATTTGGTCCACAAAAGGGTCTTCAAACGAAGTCGCGTCTTCTGTCATTAGTCTGTCATTGTTGTTGATGGTCTTGCCGCCGCTTTGATTATGACTTATGGGATAATGGCTATTTGGCATCATGTTTGCTGCTGTCGCCTTCTCATGTGCATGTTTAGAGTTCACTGCAAGTCCCACATCCTTCCAGAGATCATCTTCCGCATGTTCAAATTGCTTTACCTCGTTCAAATAGTTTTGTGTGGTTTTGTCCATAGTGCCAGCAAGTTTCTGAGCAGATTGCTCTAACTTTTCAACCACCTTCTTGGCATTGTCAACCCAGGTGTTACCAGTCTTGGTGTCCTTGTGAGCGGTCATGGATGAGAACGCGCTGGGGTGAGCACCGTTGACGCTGGCAAGACTTGCAGGGCTAACATGGGAGTTGGCAAAGACCACGAGGGGAATACGGGTCATTGGGACGCGGGGAAGAGCTGAGGCAGCGGTGCGAATTGAGGATGCCATCTTGGAATTTAGAAGTGTGTTGCAAAAAAAAGTTCTGAGAGAGAGTAGGGGTGAGAGTGAGAGTGAGAAATAAAAATGAAGAGAGAAAGAATCGTCGAGAGTGTGAGTATTTATTAGATCACCTCAAGTTGAACAATCAGCAGACATTGACACCAATCGAACTGTTAAAACAAAATAAGGCTTTCCTTCAAAAGGAAACTATTAAAATCCACTTTAGTTATGCAACAACTGGTGTGGTTCACTAAAGAAAAACAAAGGGCTCATCCTCGTATTCACAGACAGACAACTATGACTAAGAAAGTAATACAATTGTAAAACATTCATCCACATGTACCCTGACTTTCTTTTTATTCTTATTTTTTTCGTCTTGTCCGTCTTCATCCATCAGTTCAGCACTAGCTGGTTTGTCTAAGATTCATAATGCTACGTCTCGAGACCCAAGATGATCCGATAGAAAAAAAATAAAAATTAAAATCATGGTATCCGGAGATTGATCGATATAACTCACATGAGCCGAGTAAGATCCTCAACCGGAATGTTGGGATGTCATCTTTTTATCCCTAGTGAGTGCAAGTATGTAAATTGCTGAGAAGAAACATTAGAGATCTTCTTTCATTTTACTACTCTCCTTGTACTGTATAAACTTTGTTCGTTGGAACAAAGAACTACTTATGACAGAATGACAAAATCTGTTACATGTACATGGCTAATTTTGAAATCGTAATAGGATCCAATAGTGAACGAGAGCGCGCAATCATCTCCATTTCGCTTCGCCCTTTCTAAGCATAGAACATGTACATGTACATATTTATGTACAGTACAAGATGGTGGATATTGGTAGAGACACAGAACATGACTGGTTCCCTTTAATCGTTTTTTAACATGCCATGGAATGGAGTCATGGCATGTTTTGTGTTCACTTTTTTTTTTCTGGGCTGGTTCGCGTTTCGTTCTTGCTCACAGAAATTGCATTGGTGACACCTTCACATGTCCCCACTTGACTCAGTTTGCACGTAATAGATCTTTCTTTTTTTAACGTTTTTTTTTTGCGGGGCCATTTCTAAATGAGGAAGAATGCGGAGAAGAAAGAGCACTTCAACGGGAGGATGTAAATGTTACATGCAGCAAAGAAAAAAGAAATCATATGATTATGCTTGTTTGTTTTGTGGAGTCAGATCTTCTGGTCCTTCTCATTCCAAGGATTTGAATGGATCACCAATAACCCTGTTCAGGGACCGTTCTGCCCCTCCCTTCGCACTACACACTCTACACACCACATGGCCATATGGTTAAAGTACAAAGCCATTGGGAATCATCCCCGACAGATCATCCTCATGTCTCCATGTGTATCCGTCTTTTTTTTTTTTTTTTTTTTTTTTTAGCCGATCGAATCATCATTCTCCCGATGGTGCTGGTGACGCTGGTGATGTCGAAAATAGAGATTTGCTCGGCAATGGTACATTATGGATGATTGTAAAAACAAGGATTGACATTCTATTTCTTTTCTTTCTTTCTTAAACTATACCTGAAGTAATCCTAATCCATACGATCGACAAAAGATTTACGTTCATAAATGTTCTTCACAAAAGCAAACAGATCAAACATGCCCTCGCGTTTTTTAAAAATTCTTGAGCTCCAAGCCCTTACGTGACTCTTTGTAAATGCTGTTCACACACTAATCATTAACAGCTATCAGCACTTTGGATATGCAAATCATACGCGTTTAATGAATCGTTTAGAGATCTTTTTATATCTTCTTTGGTAAAATGGGCTTTATTCCGTAACTGTGTTTATTTGCTTTATTTTTCTTTTTCTTTTTCTTTTTTGTTTTTTTTTCGCTTTTTTTTTTTTTTTTTTTTTCTCACTCAAAGTTTCTAGCAGCCTCCACGAAGAGCAAGGACCAAATGAAGGACTGAACCACCTTCAATATTATAGTCGGAAGCCAAGCGGTCATCACCCCTTTTTTTAATTGGAAAAACGAAAAGAAAAGATTGTTAGGTCAAGATCTAGGTCCACAATTGTAAAACACCTTTCATATTCCGAGTTTTTTTTTTTTTTTTTTATAAAAAAAATGTAAGGCAACTCACATCTGCTTTCCTCCGAAAATCAAACGCTGCTGTGCTGGAGGGATACCTTCCTTCTCCTCGACACGCTCCTTGATACGAGTGATCTAAACACCATACCATGTTCAGGAAGGGAAAATAATAATAAAGTAATGTAAGCTAGGGTATTCTTGATTCCTGAACGAAGCTGAGTGAAATTGTCGTATAAACTATTTTGAAAGAACATACCTTGTCATTGGGCTCAATGTCAATCTCGATCTAGATGTCGAAGTACAATGAAGAGATAGACAAAAATAAAAAAAGCATTGAACAAAATAACACAAGAAGGTCAGCACATGTGTGATGAAGCCGGAGTGGTCTTTTTTGTCTGCTCATTAACCAGTAGACCATGCTGGTGAACTGCGCCCTCTGACATTAAGGGGGAAGAGATGGAGACTCAGCCAAGTGAAATTTTCCTGATTGCCACTGTTCCCATGCCGAAAGCATGACGAATCCTGCTTAAACTTCAGCTGAGCGGGCATGATGTCTCCAAATAAAAATAAAAGAAAAAAAAAAAAGAGATGAAGCTCCCGATGGTCTATTCATTGGAAACTGGTTCCCGATTCCCCATACCTCTTTGCCAGTAAGTGTCTATTAATAAAAAAAAAAAAAAGAAAAGAAAAAAAAGTTAGATACCATATTTGCACTTTGATACGCAAGTTTTTAAGGTCTACTATGCAGAGTAAGCAGTCTAATAGCAAAGAAAAAGCCAGTATCTAAAGACTGAGCGTGTTTGATACCTTGACTTTAATGAGCATATTGACAGTGTGTAATGTGAATATAGATGATGTAGGTGATGTAAATGTAAAAAAGCGATGTAGACTCACGCGCAGCGCACAAAAAAAGACACCTCGCCCTCCCCCGTGACGTGTTTACGAAGAAAATTGAGCATGTACGCCACCAACACGAACACCAAAACGTTTATTCATTCTTGGCTCGCATATTACTAACTGCGACAACCTTCATCTAAGCGAAAGCGATATTGGTATCGGCGCTAGCGTCGGATCATCCAGTTAATCCATAGGCGCGCTGCGATGGGCACAGAGGTGCTGCAAAACTCTTTAGCTCCTCAATACAAAGTTTTTGATTCTCGTAAAGATTTTTTAACGAAGCCCTGTATAAGATGTCATTACGGAGGAGGATACCCTTTATAATTGATATGCGCACAGGGACGTGGAGACAGCTACAGAAAATGCTAAGATTGCCATCTCAAAAGGGTTTTGCCGACCGCACCTCACTATTGATCGGGCAGGACACCGAAGTCAAGTCCTTAAGGAAAGCTATAAAAGTAGACTAAGCAGTAAGTTAGAATGATTGATTAAATGGGTATTTAAAACAACAAGAGCAACAGTATGGATCTATGCCCTCAGCAATTCGACCGACTACTGAAGGCCCTATTTATCTAACTCGTAATGCTCTAGTAGCGGCTGCTAGATCCTGCGGAATTCAACTACGGCCTGATGGAGCGTAGGGGAACAGAGTCCCTCTAGTTTTAGACCTGCGTCCTCCCTCTTGGTCCATCTATACTCACTCCCTCACTGCCACTGTCAACAAAAAAACCCTTTTTTAATTTTTTGTACTAGCTTAGAGTATAATTGTGTGTAATTATATAAACACTAAGAGACATATTCGCAGCACACACGCACAATATATAAATGCCCATACTGCTCTTCCAAGGCGCAGACATTGGCCGTTCCCGCGCTTTAGATAGATATCATCATAATATGGAGTATGGAAGGTAGAATTAAGCATGCGGAAGAAAAGCTCTTTATCATTTATTTGTTATTGCAGGCATTATGATAGTCTTGTTGAGGTTGTGATCTAGTACCAGAACCTGTACTTACCCCAAGACCATAAGTACTTGCTCTTAGGGCGTTGTCGTATTTGTTCTGGGAGTCAATGCCACAGGAGCCGCCGCCCCAGTTACCTTTAACGTAGCTGCAGGTAGTCTGGGTCTTGGGATTGACGTTGTTATTCTTGTCGCTGCAGGTACACCATAAAGGAGTCGTGGCAGTGTCGGCGCTGTGGCTGCTGATGCCAAGCGCCAACAAGGCGACGAGGAAGAGGAGAACGGACTTGTTGCTGGCCGACATTTTCACTTATGGAATCTTAAGAAGGAAAGCTGCATGAGCAAGGTCAGAAAAAATAAGGTGATCAGGTAAAGGTCGTGAAAGATTTCTTTTATGGGCTAAAGAGTTAAAGACTTACTCTTAGATGTTATGAAGAGCGAATGAGTGAAGCTGTCCTTTTTATACTTTTGGGAAAGCGTAGATGGACACATCCTGGCTATCATCACTTAAGAAATAAGAGAAAGTCGGTATACATTCCTAATTATCCATTATACCCACTGTCTTTCTGGGACCAGAAACTAGTCATTCCAACCCTCGAAGAAGAGATGGGGACTGTAATATACTGTATATGTTCCCAAGCAAAGAAGCGGTGCATATTTATTTAAGACGGAACATAGACACCTGTACTCTTTTAATAATATAAAGTTAAAAAATGAGGAACTAGAACCTCCGCAGGGTTTCATTTTTACCTTGATAAAATGCAGCTGCAAGGATAATTGAGCTTTATTTACGAGAGGACCATTCATTCAGGCAAAAAAAAAAAAAAAAAAAAAAAAAAAACGCTTCTTAGGCCTGCAGTGACCCTTAGTTTTCACCTACTGGATCATTCCATACGTTTCAAAGTCAGAATCCGTATTAGAACGCGATCGATCATTTCTGCCTTTTTTTTTTTTTTTTTTTTTTTTTTTTTTCAATTCTTAGTTGTGTATGAATAGAGCTTCAGTTCCTGAACCATTCCAGGCGGAGCCGTTTTGAAGGTTGCTATACTGATTTTAAATATCAAAAAAGAGATGTATATGTATATAGTACATCCATCGCAAATACTTTGTCTGGATGAGGGATTGTAGGTAATAGAGCAACCTTGTTAGTGATCAGAGAAGAGATCAAGTGTTTGAAAGGATAAAGAGAAGGAACGCAGTATTTCCGTGTGACAGCTCCATAAGATATCATTTCTGTATTTGTGACACAACATGAATGCCAGCTTCGCCCGTTTCCATCCTCGCGAATCCTTTGGTAATTTCCTCATAACACAGCAAAAGAATGGTATGTAATCACATTCACATGTAATATGTATCACAGTACACCCATGTCCTAGATGTCTTTCTTGCATATACCATTGCTTCATTAAACATTTACTGTGGAGGATTTAGCTCTCGATATGCTATGACAAAGATCAACCATAATTTGAACGAAACAAATCCGATGAATGTTTGCTTACTGTTGGCAAGGGCCTTTTTTTTTAGTTCCAAGAGACCTTCCATTTTAGTGTGCCTCGCCTTAGGCGCGTAACAACTCTCTTAGGGCCTTGCCGGCATACTAACGCCAGATATCAATGACTAGCCTGCAGCCAATAATAGAACCACTGACCTTGCTGTAACTGTTTCCAGGCACAGCCTCTGGCAGGGGACAGTGTTGAGTTTTCTTTATATTATCGTAAGAACTCCAATTATTATAGGAAAAAATGAGGGAGACCTGAAAGAACCCGGTTTAGAATCGCTTCAGATGGAAGTTTCATTATCATTACTATTATTATTATTATCTTAAAACCTGTATTTAATCACTTGAGACATCCTATGACGGAAATAGGACAAATAACTTATTTGAGCCTTGTTAACTTAGGTTCGATCTGTGCGTGTAACTTAAATATAACCATTAATTCTTGAAATACAACCCACACATTTCACTTTTTTGCTTGAACACAATACGCACACGATCATGTCCATCAACGAACAAGCTCTCGGCAAGGTATAAAGGAAAAAGTCTCATCAACACTTTTATCAACAAGGGGAAGAAGAAAAAAAAAAAGAAGCTCGGCAAGGAAAAGAAGGCGTGGATATTCACAACGAACACTCAAGGACACGTTTATTTGAGATTCGCGTTTGGAATACGTTCTGTCATCATCCAAGGAAATAATTAATAATAATCAGCAACTATAGAGTCATCTCAACATCCTTTCGGAATCCAGATTACTATTTTTTTTTTTTTTTTTTTTTTAAAAAAAAGGGCCTCAATTAGATCTCACATTCCGGTGAAAACTGATTTTGGTGATTTCTTTTTTTTTTTTTTATAAAGCTCGTCCACGATCTTCAGTCAAAATTGCAGGAAGCCACTCGGATGGTGGCCTCTGTCCAGGCACAGATCCAGGCTAGGGAAAGAGAAAAGAAGCTTTCTGAGCTCACAAACAAGGAGCTTTCATCACTTCAAGCCGATACTGTCACTTACAAGTCAGTTGGTAAAATGTAACGTTGGCAGATTAAGGAAAAAAAAAAAAAAAAAAAAAAAAAAGAACAGGAATACGACACGAGTGAATCGTTCTTTATGCTTTACTGTTGCTGTTACATTTTCGTCCTTCCTTCTTTCTTTTGCATCTGACGAGCTTGTATTTTGTCTGTATGTATGTGTATGTGAAATAGGTTCGTTCAAGAACCATTGAATGATTTGACAAAGGAATTATCGGAACGTGCTAAAGATATGACTAAGGAACTCGAAGCATTGGACAAGAAGCGGATCTATTGGGAGCGAAACAAGACAGAAGCTCAAGGCAATCTGCAAGAATTGATCCGACAGATTCAACAAGCTCAAGGAGCATAAAATTTTCTCACTCTTTAGAGTAATAGAGTAAAAATCGAACGAAGGAAGAAAATAAAAAAAAAAATTAAAAAACTCCCCGTCTCCAATGAATGGCCGCTACTTCAATGACATTGTCTGGCCAATTTCCTTTTGTTATTGTTGGAAATCAATATTTATTGTAAAAAACGATTAGAAAAAAAAACGAAAATGCTCGAATCCATCATCTTTTCCGCCTATATAATGGTTAGTAGACACGCTTCTTGGGAGGAACAGCCTTGCACTCATTCTCATCCAAGGTGGTGCCAGTGACAGCACGGTAGCTCAATTTGACGTCGCCAGTCTTCTGGTTCTGCCATGAGAGGGTGTGCTTCATCCAGTTCTTATCATCACGCTCTTGGAAGTCCTCACGAGCATGGGCTCCGCGAGACTCCTTGCGAGCGCTAGCAGAGTGCATAGTCTGAGCAGCGCAAGTCAATAAGTTCTGAAGCTCCAAAGTCTCAACCAAGTCAGAGTTCCAGATCATGCTGCGGTCTGTAACACCAACGTCCTTGAATGATTTGAAGACCTTGTCAATCTTTTCAACACCCTCATCCAATGATGACTGAGTACGGAACACAGCGGCATCGTTCTGCATGACCTTCTGCATGTTCAAGCGAAGAGCTGCCGTTGGGATAGGGCCGGAAGAATAACGGAGTTTGTCCAGGTTGGCAATAGATTCGGCACCAGCATCAGAAGCCAAGGGACGGTGGGGAGTGTTGGGCTTCAAGGTGTCACGGATATGATGTGCGCAAGCACGGCCAAAGACGACAATGTCCAAAAGTGAGTTGGCTCCCAAGCGGTTGGCACCGTGAACAGAGACACAGGCAGCCTCGCCAGCAGCGTACAAACCAGGAACAACCTTGTCTTCACCATTCTCATCAACAGTCAAGACCTCTCCTGTATATTTGGTTGGAATACCGCCCATGTTGTAGTGGACAGTGGGCAAGACAGGAATAGGCTCCTTAGTAACATCAACTCCCGAGAAAATGGCGGCAGTTTCTGAGATTCCGGGGAGACGCTCATGGAGGACAGAGGCGGGCAAATGAGAAAGCTGGAGGTAAATGTGATCCTTTTCAGGACCAACACCACGACCCTCACGGATCTCCATAGTCATGGAACGGGAAACAACATCACGTGAAGCCAAATCCTTGGCAGTAGGGGCATAACGCTCCATGAAACGCTCTCCTTCAGAGTTGAGAAGATAACCTCCCTCACCACGAGAACCCTCGGTGATCAAGCATCCGGCACCATAGATACCAGTAGGGTGGAATTGAACAAATTCCAAGTCTTGGAGAGGAAGACCAGCACGAGCAACCATGGCGTTACCGTCACCAGTGCAGGTGTGAGCAGAGGTGCAGGAGAAGTAAGCACGGCCATAACCTCCAGTGGCGAGAACAGTCTTATGGGCACGGAAACGGTGAAGAGTGCCGTCCTCCATGTTCAAAGCAATAACGCCGCGGCACTCGCCGTTCTCCATGATAAGATCCATGGCGAAGTACTCGATGAAGTAGTTGGTATTGTGACGAAGAGACTGACCATACAAGGTGTGAAGAATAGAGTGACCAGTGCGATCAGCGACGGCAGCGCAGCGGTAAGCCTGACCACCTAAATTTGCAAAAAAAATAAATGAAATGAAATAAATAACACGCAAACTATTTTTCACTTTCTAATCTCCGCATGCGTTGAAAAATTTGTCCAGACCAGTTACGATATCAATGAATTGATGACTTTACCCTCGCCAAACTTCAAGCTCTGACCACCGAAAGCACGCTGGTAGATCTTGCCCTCCTTAGTTCTGGAGAAGGGGACACCATAATGCTCCAATTCAATGACACTATGGGGGGCTTCACGACACATGTAATGAATAGCATCCTGATCACCAAGCCAGTCAGAACCCTTGACAGTATCGTACATGTGCCATCTCCAGTCATCCTCACCCATGTTGCCAAGAGCGGCATTGACACCACCCTATTTACATTAACGGTTCAATTGAGAGAGATCCAACATCATTTAATTAAGGATACATTCCACATTGATTTATTAAACAAAGACGAGGCATGAAATGTCCAACTGTTTACCTGAGCAGCGACAGTATGAGAACGAGTAGGGAACAGCTTAGAGATACAGGCAGTGTTGAGACCAGCCTCAGCAAGACCGAAGGCAGCACGGAGACCAGCACCACCAGCACCAATAACAATAGCATCATAGGTATGATCAATAATGGGATACTTGGAGGTAATTGGATTCTGTTAAGTGATAATGATTAAGATGGTTATTAGCATGTGTGTGCATGAATAATACATGGGAGCACAGAGGCGTGATTTTAGTATTTTTTTTTTTTTTTGCGGGGAACACCCAAACAAGGAAGGAGCGAGGCGAGGTAGAAAAAAATTAGAAACAAGGTCTAGGATCACAAGAATCAACTCAATGGAGAAGTGCACATACCGATGATTCCTTAGCATTCAAAGGCTTGGAGGCAAAAACCTGCATAGCAGGGCGAGAAGTGTGCAAGGCACGGCTAGCAGCATTCTTAGCAGCTATAGGTGCAATAAGTAGCAAGAAAGTGGTTAGTCACTTCGGAGAAAATAATTCATGTTCTCCTCTTCGGACGAAAAAATAGAAAATCAGAACAATTGCTCTGGAGCAAGATCTGGTCAGTGACATACCGGTGCGACGCTATTAGAGGTACAATTGTCATTAATTGAAAAGAAAGAGTAATGGAAGCATTCGATTAGCAACAGAGCGACAACAATAAAAAAAAAAAAAAGAATATGTTGTCTTTCCGAGAATTAGCCGGAGCAACGTGTGTTTTATCAAGCAGGAACACATTGAGCAAATAAACACGCGACTAGGCTCGTCTCGGAAAAAACCAGGACAAATAGCCATAAATAATTCGACCAGCTTAAAGGCGAATTGTTTTGACTATAGAAATGAACTCTACGAAAAGCGTGTTGCATGCGTCGGTGTCTGCATGCGAAAGGGGGGCATGTTACGCACCAAGATGTTAGAGCAGGACTGGATTCGGAGCATGGCGGAAAAATAGACGAGTGAACAAGAAATCTAAGTATGTATCCTTTATATCCTCTTGATAGAAGTGAGGAGTGGAGTGGAGTGTGGAATGGAGGGAAGGAGATGGAGAGGAGTGGAGAAAAAGATCGAAATGGGCAATCCGAGAGGGGGTAAAAAGAGTGTGTGAGCGTAAAAAGCGTCCGAGGACAGGGGATGTGGACAGTTCCGCGCTTTTGCTCGTGTAAACACTTTCTGCCGAACACAAGAAAAATTCGGAATGACATGCGATGAAACAGCCTTCTGTCCCGTCGCTGGCTTGTGTCACGTGCACATCCTTTCTCCTCACGCTTTGAAAGTCAGTTTTAGTCAGTTTATTACAGGGCTGAGAAGGACTATGTACGATGAAGGGCTAACAAAAGGCCGTAAAAAGAATTGAAAGAGGAGATAGCGGCATCGGTAGTAAAAACAAGGTTTATTTACTTGGCAGAAACAAAGCCCTTCAACTCCTTGAGCCAGTTGGTGTACTCAACCTGATCTTTGTGGAAGACATAATTTGGTACAAAGTTGGCAAGGTCTCCATCAATCTGACGCTCCTCCAAATACTTCTCGAACGTGATCTGGAGCTGTTCATCCAACTCACTAAAAGGAGGGCCGCTATACAATCCGCGCTTCTCCCAATCTGCCTCGGCAGTCGAGGTATTGGCCAATACAGAGTCTTTGATGTTGGAAATGGATTCGACAATGAAGGTGCCATCCTGAGCAATGGCATCCACAGAGATGCTTCCAGCATTAGGCTTGGAGATTGTAATCAAGCAGCGGACAGGGAAGGTCAATGATTCGAGGTCATCTTCACCCTCCTCTGTATCATCGCCAGAAGCAGAAAGACTCTGCTGCTGTTGACCCTCGTCTTCGAGATCCCCTTCCAAGTCCAGTTCCTCTTCCTCATCTGCATTGTTGATATCTGAGACCGAGAAAACAACCTTGATACTATAAAACAATAATATAAATTGAAAGGGGAAGAAAGAGGACAGAAACATGATTACTGATGAATACGTGTTCTTCATCCTTCGGAAATAATCCTATATCCCGATTCTAATCACGTACTCTTCGTTGCCGAACTTGCGAGTCAAGATGACCTCGTCAGAGCCGGGCTTATCAGTGATTTGAAAGGGACTTGTTTTCAAGTAGTTGGTGATATACTCAGGAACCTCATCACCTTGCTCCTCTTCGTGCTTGATCTCATTCTCGAGGACACTCGTAAACTCCTTATCAACTTAATGGAAATGAACAAATAAATACAGGATTAGATTTTATGAGGTTAAAACGATAGAAAATGTTTCTATGCACATTCGCATTCCTCTTCTCCAGCATCAAGCTAGAGTTCAATTAAGCCACATACCCTTGTTCCAGGCAAAAGGAGTGTTACTGAAAGAACGCAAAGCCGAGACAGATCCAGCGCGGGTCAACAATGCAGATGAAACAGCAGGCTTGGGAATGACAACAGCACGCATCGCCAAAGTAGGCATGGTACGGGCAACAGCAGTGCGGAGAGCAAACATGATCCAAATTTCGATTGTGGGTGAAGGGAGTAAGGAAGAAAAACAATAACAAGGATCAAAGCGAATGAAAGGACAAGATCGGCTTTTTCACTGTCCTTGCTTGGAAATATGAAATACTGCCTTTTAGGGCAAGGGACAGTCACAAGTCCGCCACGAGAAGCTGCGGCGGCGCGTCCATTCGTCTTCATTTCTCTTTTCTTTTTCTTTTCTTTTCCATCAACCATCTACGTTAAACATATCTTGATACTATGGATGCAAAGACACAGAAATACGACCGCCAACTCAGGTAGAGCCGTATACACATAGCACTGGTTACTGCGTGTTTCAACCGGATGCTGACTGCGGACGCATTATGACATTGCTACTTCATATAAACCGTTTAATAATACCCATCGCATCAATTTCAATACCCCTTAATAGACTTTGGGGTAATAGCGGTCAAGATGCTCTCGAGTCTGCACATATACTTCTAGTCAATGCCACCGCTGTTGGCTGTGAAATCCTCAAGAACTTGGTTCTTCCAGGTGTGAATGGCGGATCTGTTATTGTAATCTCTTCCAGACTATAGGCCACTGTTTTAAATCTTTAGCTAACGCTCCAATTACCAAATAGGGATCGGCCAGTTCACGGTAATTGATCAGGGGACTGTCACGCAAAACGACATAGGTTCCAACTTCTTTCTCGACTTTGAAAGCCTAGGCAAGCCAAGGGCGGAGCGCGCATGTGAACTTCTCGGTGAGTTGAATGAGGATGTTAAGGGCCATTGGATTGCCAAGGACATCCTTTCAATCTTGAAGGAGGATCCAGCTTTCCTCGCTCAGTTCTCTACGGTCATCGCAACCAATATCACACGCGAGACTGCTGAAAAGATTGCAGCGCTTTGCTGGGTCAATGGGCAACAAGGCGTCGATATTAACACTATTCCTGCTGGAAAGAAGAAGACCGCGTTTGTTTGGGTCAAGACGGTTGGATTCATCGGAGCAGCCAGGATTGCAGTACCGGAACACACTAGTGAGTTTTATTATTATTACTCTCGACTTTCTCGATAGGATTGAGTATCATGAAAACATTCAGTGGAGATTTACCGGACGTTTTAATTCTACTCCTAGTTGTGGAGACCCATCCCGACAACGTTGCCGATCTCCGTATCGATACTCCTTTCCCTGAACTCATTGCCTTTACAAAGTCATTCGATTTTAATACCCAGGATGGACTGGAGTTTGGCCATATTCCATATGTTGCTATTCTTCTTAAGTATATGGAAGAATGGAAGCAGGAGGTGTGTTATTATTAGCGGAAGTCTTCAATTTGCATTCCTATTACTCCAGCGTGTAGATCTGACAACATACTTCTACTCATCGTTCCTACAGCATGGAGGCAAAATCCCTTCCACATACGCGGAGAAAAATCAACTCAAAGCGGCTATTAGATCTGGAATGAGATCAGCAGATGATGAAAATTTCGAAGAAGCTATCAACTCGGTACTTAGATCATGCCAACCCACTGTAGTTCCGAGCAGTATCAAGGAGATTTTCAATGATCCAAAGTGCGTGAACTTGACTTCAGAGGTAGAATCACCAATATGAACCCTTGAAAAAAAGGCTTTACTATGTAATTTAAATATGCCATGGGACGTTCGCTAAATCCCATAAATCCTTTAATCTCTCGTGGTTCCTCATTGCCCTGGTATTTAGAGCTCTAGCTTTTGGATACTTGCGCGCGCTTTAAAGGATTTTGTGGACGACTATGCTAAGAGTGCTGGCTTACTGCCCTTATCTGGCACCATCCCAGATATGAAGGCACAGACTGATAGTTATGTGACGCTGCAGAGCATGTAGGTGACATATTTCACGTTTTGGATGATGTTTGATTCACTGAAGTATAACGACAGCAAAAACAATATCCATGGTGCTGACTGTAACGTCTCTTGCTTGCTAATGATTAGCTATAAAGCCAAAGCAAAACAGGATATTCAGGAGGTATCAAAGATTGTGGACTCACTGTTGGAGTCGATTGGTTTAGCACCAGGCTCAATCCCACTCCAAGAAATCGAAACTTTTTGCAAATTCTCTGCGTTCCTGAAAGTCATTCGTTATCGCAGTCTGGAGCAGGAATACAATCAACCTAAAATAAAGCAGATTGGTGAGCATATCGCAAAATGTTGATATCTGTTTAAAAAAAATCAAGTTAATTCAGAAGCGTTCAAATTGTCTAACATTCCTTTCTTTTTTACCCTTCTTTATTTTTATTTTTTATTTTTTATTTTTTATTTTTTATTTTTTATTTTTTATTTTTTATTTTTTATTTTTTATTTTTTATTTTTTATTTTTTATTTTTTATTTTTTATTTTTTATTTTTTATTTTTTATTTTTTATTTTTTATTTTTTATTTTTTATTTTTTATTTTTTATTTTTTATTTTTTATTTTTTATTTTTTTTGAAAATATATAGCTTCATGGTTGTCTGATCCTGACTCTATTTTCCCTCAATACGTCCTCTTACGTGCTTCAGACTCCTTCTATGATGATCATGGACACCATCCTGGTGAAGGAGAAAATTGGGAAGATGATGTGGACCAACTTCAGGGCAATGTCAATATCTTGTTGCAGTCCTGGGGTCTTGAGAACGACACTATCTCTAAGGATTTGACACATGAAATGTAAGGAGGATCAACATCTCATCAAATGCATTTTACAAAGACCACAGGTGCTAGTTCAGTCTATTCACGATATTTGATTTTAACGAATTCGTTCTCTTGATTGTCGTTAGCTGCCGCTACGGTAATGGCACGATTCACAATATTGCTTCGTTCATAGGTGGAGTCGTGAGTCAGGAGGTCATCAAGCTGATCACGCATCAATATATCCCTATGGACAACACATTCATCTTTGATGGAGCACGTTCCGTCTCTGCTGTCTTTGCGGTCTAAATCATCTTCTCTTTTCACTGCGACTCTTTGAACATCCATAATTAGGGATGATCGTTAACATAAAAAAAAAAGTTGCTGGAGACAGACGAACAGACAATTAAAAAACGTAACATTGAGCCCCCTTCAAAAGCCATAAAAATAAAAAGCACGAGAATATATGAGATCATCTAGATCTTCTTTCAAAGAAAGATTTTTAATATTATTATTATAAGATGCAGTAAGTAGGGATATGAAAAAAAAAAAAAAAAAAAAAAAAAAAAAACTACTCTATCAGCCCATGTTTTATTGTTCACCAACAGCATCTTAGCAGGAGTCGTTAATCTTTGTCATTCCAGCTGGATCGCAGGGATCTTCTTCTCGGATCAATACCAACAGTCTCGCCATCATTGCTTATAGACATCCACCGGATCTTTATTTACAAAGCAGACTATATACTATGAATCTGCTGGTATGTGTCTGAGCACAGATAGCTTTTTCAAAAAAAAAAAAAATAATAATAATAATAAAATAAAAAAATAAAAAAAAAATCCCTTACTTGTTCACTCGGCTATGCAAGAGTGTGCTCAAAGTCCCCTAGCATAAGACGAGGATGACAACGGCTATGATGCAAAAGACTGTGATCAATCCAGACCCGATCTTTCTCTTTCGGCTTTCTTTCAATGGCTGGATTCTAGGCTGTCCTAAGAACGACGAACACGAATGGGGAAAAGTGATTGAAAAACATCTCTTGGTCGTAGCAGTAGAGATGGCTGCAGTTCTGGTGTGAGCAGCGTAGGCTTCTTTAGTAGATTTGGCTCTCGCTTCCACAGTTGCAGTTGCAGTTGTCGCTGCAGTTCTTGCTTCTAACTTTTCAGAGCATAAAGATGAAAGTGCTCGAGAAGCAGATTCCTGATTCTTGTCTTGGTGCTGCGTTTGGCCTTGGATATCTTGCAGTGGAGAGGTTATAGCAGTGGTATTAGTGTTATCGATATTGATATTATAAGAGATACCAACGGACGGCGTTGATAGACATGGAGTAATATCAGGTGAAGAGGATATGGATGCAAGAGATGAAGGTGCAGAGGATGACGATAGCATATGTGTGACAGTAGAAGCCTTGCCTGCCGAAGAGACATAGGCAGAGGTAGAGGTCGAGGAAGATGAAGGTGAAGAAATAATGCCAGAGCGCTCATCAGTATTACGAGCTGACCAAGGGAATGACTTGCGAATAGACAAGGCCCAGTTAGGAAGCCGACTTTTGACGGGAGTTTCCTCTTGATGATGCTGCTGCTGGCACATACTGGTTGTTACTATAGATGATTTTCCTCTTTGTCCCTCTGCTCTTCCTTCTGTTTGTATTTCTGCAGCTGTCAAGATGGCAGAGCGATTCACTATCCTTGGCTGTCGGCTCCTTTTGTCGCCATTGTCATCATTACTACGATGGTTGTCGTTATCTTTGCCATTACTGCTGTCTCTATAGGTTGTTGAACGGCGACAGCTATAACCTTGGTCGCCCTGATAGTCTTGATGGCCATGACAATGCTGAAGACCCTTTTTTTGTTGCTTTTTTTGATGCAATTGATGTTGGTGATAATGGGAAGAAGACTCATTTGTGGACGATATTTTGTGTTTCTTTTCATGGCGTGCTGCACGCTGTAAAGAAATGATGGAGGATGGAGATAAAGACGGTGTCAACGAGGTCAGGGACTGCCCTGAGTTCCTTGACGAAGACGAAGGAGATGGTGGTAAGGGTGAGGACGAGGCCATGGACGATCGTGGTGGAGAAGAGGCAAGAGTCGATGAAGGAAGGCAATGCGAGGGATATATAGTGGGCATGGATACCGTATGGACATTGGTACATGCGACTGGCGGCTGTGATATTGGTTGGACATCATTGCGGGAGGCCAAGAGGATACTGGCAGGATCAATATCAGGACAGAATTCATGAGAATGGTGATGGATGCTGCTACCGTTGCATTTCATGGAGGATTGGGTGTGAGCAGGAGGGGTAGGAAAGGGGGCCTGTGGTAAACTGTCAGTGAATGCAGGAGTAGAATAAGAGACGACCATTGCTGAAGTGCTGAGGTCAAGAGGCCTGATAGAAGAATAGAAACAATGCGGTAAGAATGAGTTGTAGATGAGGATAGAAAGGGATACGTATATAGAGATGGGGAGAGAAGTAGAGAGAGGAAGCTGGAGAGAAGGAAAAAAAAGATATTTGTGAAGGAGAGAATATGTAATGAAAAGTGGAATGAACTTTGAATTTTCCTCTAATACTCTAATGCAGAAATAAAAATAATTGAGCGCCCTCTTAAGGTTAACTCTTTTTTTGGACGGATTAGTCCATTTCAAGGCATACTTGACCATGTGGACAATTTATGTCTCCTATTGAACAGCTCATGTCTGTACTTCATAGCATGGAACAATAGCGTCCATTGCAAGGCCTAGGCCTTGGGGGACAAAAGAATCATTTCACTTGTCCAAGTGTCTTTTTTTTTCTTTTTTCCTTTTTTTATGCAGTAGGATCCACCTTCATACTTATAGTATACATTTAAGCTTTTATTATATTTTTTTTACAATTTACATCTGCCTACGGCTGTTAGATTCCTAACTTTCATCGTTTTAAATATCCGCTTATTAGTAAAAGCTACTTTCATTTCAAAGGATGATTATCCATTGCTGACACATTTGGACTTTCAGCTTCTTATATTCCATCGTTCATTTTTGCTTTTTTTTTTATCTTTCCATACTCGTAACAGAAACATGATGAAGATCATCGTCAATAAGATTGACAGCTTGTAACCTTACTGTGTATTGCTTTAGCTGAGGGGATATTCAGGAACTCTGTTAAACAAGTCCTGTTGGACGATCAGTCGACTAGTATATATATTTTAAAATACTGTCTTTGAATCAAAAACGATGGGACGAAGTTCATGTGCGCATGCACGTGCTGAAAGGCAAATGTGGCTTGCTCTTCTCTCTCAGGCTGGGACCAAACTTGATATTTTGGCTGCCCCCCATTCTTAAGCTAAATTAAAAGAACTTGATCTCTGGTACTACGGGAGTGCACTAAGAAATGCATTTCATCATCATGATTCATTCGGCATGCACATTCTAATATGACGACCAAACTATGAGCTTCATTCATTCGAGAATGTGAATGGTTAATCTATTTTTATTTCAATTAAAACTATGCCTTCATGTCTTTCAGAAGCATTTGGTGTCCTACTTTTCTACGCTTCCATACTAGGCTTTTATGCTATTTCCCTTCAACTTCTATCTCGTACACGATGGATCTGCAATACAATGTTAATGATGAAGACTATCAATCCCAACTTGATGACTTCAAAGATTTCTGCCCCTCATACTTTGAAAGGTGAACTCACATTGTTTGATGAGAGAATGAATGTTAGTATCACCCGCAATCACGATGGAAACTCGACTTCGCTTTCACAATATATCACTTCGGGTGACTTCGCCAAAACTATAGTGTGCAGATGAGGTCCAGTCGTTCTTGGATGCCGCTCTTCTTGTGGCTATTAGATATAAGTGTCGTCAATTCATACATACTATGGTGTACTAGGAAAGGATCAAAAAAAAAAAAAAAAAAAAAAAGATGGACATCGCTAATTTCGCTTAAATCTTGTAAACCGACTTTTATCGCTATCTAAGTCTCAAGTTGTCATCGAGCAAAGGAACTCAAAGAGAAACGTAGAAACTAATGAGTCTCTGGAGCCTACTTTCAAGATATCAAAAGGCCCATATATTACTAAACACTCCCTTCCAAGCCCTCGTCGACATCTACTAGGGTTTCATTTCCCGATAAAAACCAAAGAAAGTGAAAGAATAGATGTTAAGAGTAGGATGGCATGTGGAAACTGCAGGATTAAGGGTCTTAAGGAAGGCAAGAAGTCCACCTCACGGTCAGAATGGCTTCCTCTTTGCCTGAAAGCAAAGCAGAGTTGCTTTGAGGAATATCACACCAAATAATATTTTGCGTACAAAACACAAGTAAAAAATTAGCCAAATTGCGACCATTTTATTTTCAAAATCAAGATAAAGTTATACATGTATTTGTCGACTGGCAGTTTTCTGTCAACGAAGGAATGTGTCGCCCACTTCCACCCACAAGCGAATGAGATTAGAGCTTTAGGGGGAACGTGACATGATTATCGGGTCGGAGGTTGATTTTATTTGTTACCAATTGATTAGCCGTAATTTGACAGATTGACAGAGGGGGGTGATCCAAGCTGGTCGCCATTCTTGGTTAAACTGACTCAATTGCAAGTCTTTTATCTTGCAAAATACCTGTAATTGACGATAGCACCAGTTTGGATCACTGTCAGAAGGCACAAACTGGGGCTGTTACTCACCATCGTTGCCTTGAAATAATAAAAACAGGTTCGCCCATTCCATTCATCATCCTTTTTTTTTTTTTTTTCTTTTGGTGCATCTGTAGACATGGAGTTGACAACTAACATCGCTTTCCGCTCACGCTTCAATATTGTCCGCCATGTTGTGCAGGCATCAACTCCTTCATTCTCTCTTGCCAGCAACGTCTACAAACCTCTCTTAAATAATAGTGTGGCTGAAGCAAGCAACAAAAGAGATATACCCCCAATCGTGTTTGCTCATGCAAATGGATTTCATAAAGAGACGTGGGAACCGCTTATCTCACGCCTAAATCCTCGCTGGGTACCCGGCGATTTGTATGCATTCGATTGTCGTAATCAAGGCGACAGTGCAATTCTAAACAAGGATGTATTAGAAGATACTTGTGAGTAACAACTAATAATCGATTGTTGATAGTCATGATCGTTCATGGAATGACTTGTTTACTCTTCTTTTCAACGACAGTTGATTGGTATTCATATGCGCACGATATACTGAAGATTGTTGACACCTTTAAACTCAAGAAGCCTATTGGAATTGGACACAGGTAACAGATGAATGATGTATTTTAATAATATTTAACATGTCAGCAGCCCTAACTGCTTTACCTGACGCACTCTTGTAACCGATCCTCTTTTTTTTTTTTTTTTTTTTTTTCCCCACTTTTAGTTTTGGCGCAAGTTCATTGTAAGGACTATTAATTATCTATTGTCTTATACTGCTACACATTAAAATATATTTTGTCACTCACAAGACTTCTAACGAAACGAACATTTCCCACATGTCTCTTTAAAGCGTTTTGGCTGAATTGGAAAGACCGGGCACTTTCTCTGCGATTATAGCCATCGATCCAACGATGTTCCCCAAAATGATTTATATAAACGCTCCACTCGATGATCATCCCATGGCTCAGCTCACGCTCAAGCGTCGCGATTTTTGGAAGAGCAGGTAACAAACAAAAACAATAATTGATGCTATCTAATTTCCTGATAATGCAAAATCTAATTTTTTTTTTTTGTTTATTTGCCTCATTTCAAAGGATGGAAGCCAAAGCCATGTTTTTGGAGAGACGATTCTTCCGAGCATGGCATCCGGAAGCATTGGACATTTATGTTGTAAGAATCCTTTTTTTAGCACTCAATGCATAAATTAATTTAATGATAATCATGCCATTAAAAAAAAAAAATCTCTCTTTTTAATAATGGCTGCTCAACAGGAACATGGGATGTTGGACGTTGTCGACAAAGATGGCTCCCAAGGCATTACACTGAAGTGTCCCAAGTTCCAAGAGGCTGTTACATTTGCTTGCGTGGGAACGGGTCTCTATGATTCCTTTGAGCGACTGAATGAGCTCAATATCCCTATTCATCTCATCTTTGGCGAGAACTCTGAAGTCAAGTAAGGATCTGAATTTTATGTCGCAGATTGAGACTGTCAGACACAATTCAAAGATAAAGACTGACACCTTTTCAATCAATGACTTCCTCTGGGGCCTTCTTTTTTAGTCCAACTGAGCTGGCTAAAATGAAGTTGGCGCAGTGTAAGTTTGGTTCCATGGATATTGTCAAGGATACTGGGCATTTGTTGAACCTGGAGAAACCACAAGAAACTGGTAAGCTGATGATTCCTAGTAGACTAATCGCATTGACGCGCTGTGGTTCGGATGATTATCTAATTTTCTTGTCTATACATGCTCTTTGGATTTAGCTGACTTAATCTCTGCCTTCTTGGAGTCACAGTTTGGGACACCAATGGCTCGACTTTAGATTAGAAATTATATAAAATAAAAGACAAAAGTTTCTAAATCATAAATGAACATGGAGTGATCAGTCTACTAGATGAGTAGTGATGAATAGCAATGAATAGCGGAGAGGTATAGTGATAGTATATATGGCACCTATAGCACAGATAAAATTGCCTCTTTTCTGTTCGTTCACTCGTTTGTTTGGTTCCAATCTTAGGCCATCATTGCTTTTCTTTTCTGATTTATCCTCACTTATTTCCAATCTGGAGTAAAGTCTTCGGTTACAGACGGTTTACTTGACACTGTGCATTACATAGTATGTTGAAGCCAGTATGGATACATATTAATGTATATATATATATATATATTATATATATATTCATGCTTTTGCTCTCTCTCTCACCCAGACCATTGGTCACAGAAACGAAGAGCAGTAGGCGTGCAGGAAGATAAAGATAAAAAAGAGTGTAAGGGTACATGAATACCATGTGTACAGATATTTCTTTTTCCTTTACACTTTTTCCTTGTGAAATCGTGTTCAACAAAACAGGACAGACCATGGCTAGAAGAGCAGCAACAAAGAAAGTAAAAAAGAAAGAGGAAAATACCTGTCCACACACACACATAAACATTTGAAAAAAAAACAACAACAAGTATGCATCTGTAAACACAAGGTTATTGAGAGAGACAAATTAGGTTTAAGCTCATGCGCTTTGTCTTTAGTTTAAATCACGACTTTTTTTTTGTCTTTTGTGCAGTTGGTTGGTTCCTTTTTGTGTTCATTGTCTCCACCCAATTCTTTGTGCGCGTTTCCCGCCTTTGGTCATTCTTCAACCGAAAAAGAAAAAAGCTCTTACTTTTTTTTTTTTTTTTTTTTTTTTTGCCAAGGACCCTTGTCTTCTCTCATTCCTTCTTTCCTTTTCCTTCCTTCTCTTCCTGGCCTCTTTGGTTCTTCCATCCCTATCCTTTCTTTTTGTATGCGTCTGTCTGTGTGGATTCACTCGTCATCCACATAGAACCTCAACTCACCCACCCATCCCCTCCATTACTCCACAACTGCCGGAATCCCTTTTCCCATCCATTATTTTCACAACATGAATCCTTCACCCGATTCCTCATTTCCTGGCATCGGTAAGGAAGAAACTCAATCAACTCCTCTATTGGTCTCTCTCTCTCTCTCTCCTTTTCTATCTCTAGCTTTTTTTTTTTTTTTTTTTTTTTTTGGCGGAAACAACCCTCAAACTTACCATTGCCTTTTTTTTTTTTTCTTTTTTTACACTATAATTTACCGACTACCCCATGTAGCCCACTATACATTCCTAAAGCGATTAGGACAAGGACGGTTCTGTATCGTCCATCTTGCTCGGCATTTTTATACGGAAAAGCTGGTAAGAAATCAACCATCTATATCTATACACAACACTCTGCATCTCTATTTATTGCCATTACCTTCATGCATCTGTATTTGTACTTGCTACACGGAAGATAGCATGCATAGAGTTGCCAGTTGGTGCGCTCTCAAAAAAAAAAAAAAAAAAAAAAAGCCAGCCTTTTTTTTTAATGACGAAAAGATCGGACATTGGAGAGCCTATTTTAGCACTGGCATGCATTCCTACAATTGAAAAAAAAAAAAAAAAAAAAAAAAAGAGTTACCGGCTCCGATGCAAGGGGTTGAACAGCAACTGCGTGATGAAATAAAACAAGACGCACATGCTGACCCTGGACACAGGCTTATACCCCCTATTCACATCTCCAACCTTGTTGATCTTGGAACCTGTAAGCATGTCATCGACCCACACTTTTTTTTTTTTTGCAAATCACATTACCTCAAAGCCCCTGGATCCAGACAACTTCCCTCTCGTTCTTAATTGAGCCTTTCACCAAAACTCCTCCCTCTAACAACTATCCTTCTTTCTTTGGACGTCAATACTGTACCGCAACTCCATGTATGAGATAGCATGATATATACAGTAATATTTTCTATCTTTATTAATGTAATTCTCATTGTTGGCGATAATGGGTCGTATAGTATGCGGTCAAGGTTATAGACAAACAAGCACACAAGCCCGATATCCTGCTGCGATTACGACGAGAGATTGAACTCATGGAGTCTCTCGACCATTCTAACATTGTAAAGCTGCACGAAGTCATTGAGACTCAATTCACTATATACGTCTGTATGGAATATGTAGAAGGTAATACTAGACAAAAAGAGCAACTTGCATGCTTTATCAATGTTACATATACATCACTGGTATCCCTTCTCAACATTAACCTGACATTCCATGATTTTTTTTTTTTTTTTTTTTTTTTTTTGCTCTCATTCTAGGCTGCAGCTTGGAGCAATATCTTAGGAGACAGGAAAATGGAAAGCTCAGTGAGGCCGAGGCGCGTAGAATCATACGTGAACTTGCAAGCGCAATCTCCCATTGCCACTCGCGCTTTGTAGTCCATCGAGATATTAAACCCGCCAACATTCTCGTCACCGTTAATGGTAAAGTCATGTTGATTGACTTTGGCTTAGGCAACACCTTCTCTTTCCGATCACGACTTAACACCATCTGTGGTAAGCTTACATTTATATAAATAACCGATGATTTGATGATCCCTGTAGATTTTAACGTCGATTGCTTTGAATGCTAAATCTTTTTCTACTTTATACGTGATTGTCTGGATATAAAGGTTCATTGCCATATTACTCCCCTGAGATCGCTCGTGGATCCAGCTATACAGGACCCGAGATCGACATTTGGTGTCTAGGCGTCGTACTATATAGGATGACAGTTGGGCGAGATCCCTTTGTAGGTGCGACGAAACGCGAGGTCAAATTGCAGATTACTCAGGAAGGTTTCCAGCCTCCATCATTCCTTAGTCTTGGCTTGCAAAATACCCTTCGCACACTTTTAGCGGCCGAGAGTTCACAGCGACGTAGCCTGTCGATCCTCGACAACGACCAATGGCTCTATGAGGACATTGCTCATAAAACAAAGCAATACCAATCTGAATCACAGCACCAACAGCAATCCCAACAAAAACCGCCATCCTTAGCAGAAGGCCGTACTATGTCCGAAAACAGTCGATGGAGTGGAACAACGCTAGTGCGCCAAGGCTCCAAAACGACAACAATGACCGTAGCAACCGTAGCAACCGTAGCAACAACAGCAGGAACAGAGGCAACCACAAAAAAAAAGCGTCAATCTCTCACAGAGAGTTGTTATTACCATGGCAAGACTGGAGGCTCCCTGTTTGGAAACCGCTCACTTTTGGCTGATACACTCGGTGCAGGTGTGTGGATGGTGGACAAGGCTCAACCTCGATTCCGGAAAAACAGGATCCGGGTTATTCCCCAGCATGGAGCTCGTAGTGATATGCTGTTTCAACAGGATGTGGATTTAAGTCTGCTTCAATTCTTGATGCCGATCTTGAGAGCCTGTAACGTGTCCTATTACTTGCATTCTACATCACGGATCCTTTGCGGCACCAGCTTTCCTAAAGATGATTTCTCTAATAGTGGCAATGGCAGTGGTAATAGCGGTAGTGGGTGCGAAGATGGTGCTATTGCTACCGGAGGCGCTAGTGGAGATGGCATTGGCCAGAGTCATAGTCATGGTGGATTATTGTTGCAAAAGCTGATTTATCAGCTGGGGGCGGCTATGACTGGCGGAGGGTCGACTTTGTTTCAATCATCTACTAAGCAATGTGGCCTGAGATGTGGGGTATTCTCGATCGACATTATTAAGAAGACAAACAAGAGAGGATCTGGTGCAGCGTATGGCGCAGGGCATGTCTTGGTGATCAAACGATTGTTTGGATCGTCCATGACCGTTCAATATTTCAAGAAACAGTTCCTCTATCATGCCTCGCCTCGTAACGCCGCTGCTAGAACTGCCATTTCACTCAACTGAAAAAAAAAAAAAAAAAAAAAAAGAAAAAGCAAGTCGACATGATCTATCGCGCTACTCTTGGGCTTTTTATTATTACTATTACTATTATTATTATTATTTATTTATCTAATATCCTTTACTTTATGCATAATTTTGCTTCATATATAATCCCTATACCAGATTTACACGTAATTCACATCCACTTATTCACAAAAGTCTAGTAATATGTAGTTGTATAATATAATCGTAATCACATCTCACATCTTCAAAAAAAAAAAAGACATGTTCCTTGTACTTTGAAGCATCCATAAAAAGAGAAACGCGCTTTTAAGCGCGTAATTAGTCTTGTCACGTTCATTTTACTAGGCCATCTTCAAGCATTGCCTTTCTATTATTAACAGAAGTCCATATATAAGGGAATATGGCTCGCTGGGCCATTCCTAGTTTTTTTTTTTTTGCTACATCTGATTTTTGTCAGAAATATCTTGGTACCAGATCCCATATCACATAAGTAGCACTATTGCCTCCTCTGTGAGCAATTGCGCGGATTTCACGTCCATTAAACTAGATTGCCTCTTTCCGAACCCTAGCCAGCTCAGACCTTGGATTTGAACTTATCCTTTCTTGAATTTGAACTTATCCTTTCTTGAATTTGACTGATACGATCAGGTTCATAAAAGTCAGAGGGTCGAGCGGGGGTGTGCATCGACCTTTTCCTTCATTGTTCTAACTGCTTTTGGGTTACTTGGTCGGTCTTTCTTTTGTATCAAGACTATTCTCAACTCCTTGCAGCTAGAAAAACCCACATCCGTTCCGCATGTGGTCCTGTATATATTGTGGTGCCGCTTTAGTTGCGATTTATTAATTATTTGCATTTGTAACACTGTCAAATATGAACGGTTTGCTTAACATAATTCTTGTAATTGAACAGGACGACGAAAAGGAGGAAAAAAAGCTAGTAATCTCATTTTTCGGCGAAGGGCTCTGCGCTTAGCCCGTCGTTGTCTATCCTCATCAATTCAGTCATTTAAAGACAGTATTTTAATATATTTTCTCGCGAGGATGGATATGAATATAAAACCCGTCCTGACAAATCAGATCTACATCTCTAGTTTTATCACTCTACAGCCCTTTAGTACTTCATTTCTATCCTTTTGAAAAGCATCTTCGCAATGTTCATATTATCCACAAGGCGATTCCTTCTACCGTATTGGGCCCACAGGCACATATCCCGAATCCGGCCAATCCTGTCGACCAAGCTTTAGATCCTCCAGGTACACAGCAAGGAAGCGTTGCTGCCGCTGTTTCCGTCGCCGTTGCTGTCCCTGCCGTGGCTGTTCCCGCGGTTGCTCACCCTATCGAAACCCCAGACAACGGTGTAGCTGTATCAATGAATTCATTATTTTATATAATGGAGCCCGAGTTAATAGATGACTAAGGCTGGTAGTAGCGCCGCGTAGTCTTTTGATAAGAGAAAGAACAATTCTTGAAGCGCTAACTCGAGCCTGGATGTAGTATAGCTCTTCCTAGACAGCCCGACAGCGTCACGTCTCGAGCCGTAGGCTTGATGAATAGATTACACCTTTTTCGATTTTTAGCATGTCTAGATTAAATGACTTTGGCGAAGCAAATTAATGAATTCTTCTCTTCAAAATACACAAAATGCATCCGCGCATACCAGTAAAAAGCCATCCACATACACCTTCTCTCAGATTACTCACAGAAACCTAAGCAGCTTCATGAATCTTCATCCTATTCCTGAGGCTCCCCAAGCACTATCACTACTGACATCGATGACGAAAATTCTTTAATCTCTAAATCCATATAAATAAGTGCCTATCACAGAGTGTTCTAACGAGACGTGGATGCAGGTTATTCTTCACGATAATCGCCTTGGACATAAGTCCTTTGGGCAGACTTGGATCGTATATTCGACTGAAATGGCACTTCGTGCTGAGCTACTGGATTCTTAGGTTGGCTGGCTATGAGGAGACTACGATCATTGATATGTTAATAACTTAGATACCCTCGCACAGTTTGCCTCATACCCCCCACAATAGCTTCTTTTCAGCAATATTCAAACCATTACAGCTACTTATGGTACTGACTCGAGCCAAAACAGAAGCCTCCATACATGTTTGTCCTCTTCCGCTCCTGCTAACGCGGTCATCACTACCACTACACTACAATTACTACAGCCACTACTACTACTGCTTCCGTAGTATCCTCACCATGATCGAATAGGGGGCCTCTAGTTTATAAGCATAGACTTGCGGTAGCCTTAGCATCCATCTTTGGCTTACAGGGCTATAGGGTTCTTTTAGTAGCCATCTGTCATTGACCCCACACAAAACTCAATCGATACTTTGATTCTGAGGGCCTCCATTTTGGTTTAAATTTTAGATAAAGTCTACTTTAATGGGATGGAAAAATAATTGGATTTATGTCTATAGCCGCTTTCGAGAACAAAAACCTTCCAGTCGTTAAAATTGAAATGAGCGGTATATATCAATATTTTCATGTAAATGGTCTATCAAAATGTATAAAAAAAACTTGCATTTTCACTCTTTTTTTCTAGAGCAAGAGATGCTCATGAGAAGCCGCCTCTGGGCCTATCTTCATCTATTTCGCCTGTTTTGGTTATCATCAATGAAAATACAATACTTCTGCTGCGATCGTGTTGGCTCCCTTGTATTCCTGAGCTGGTTAACCCGATCTTGCAAAGTGCCCAGGTTTAAATTAGCTCTACGCTGTAGCGCCTCCAGTCGCTTCCTCAACTCCTCTGTATCCACATTTATCTAGAATCCTACTACAGTCGCAGACATTGTAGTTGAGGAAGCCGCCATCGCGGCTCTTTCTATCGTCAATCTATGCCTAGCTTCCCTCCTAGAGACAAGCGGGGAAGGAAAGGTGATGCTCTATTTGCATAGCCTATACTACTGCTTATTATACTGCTCCTCACACCGGCTGCCACGCTTGCTGTTGTGTCGATTGGCGTGTTAGTTGCTACTTTGATTGCCATGTTGGTTGGCATAGTCTGATGTTGCGTAGCTCGAATAGCTAGCGCTTACAAACAATACAAAAAAAAAACTACTCAATCGCATTTTCTGATGAAGGATCCATACTTCAAGTTTTACACGGCAGGTACATACAAGATGCAAGTAAACAGTCAAGACCGAAAAACTGAACGCTTTAGAGCCGCTGCCCTTGCTACGTTCCAGTGCATCCAGCTATATGGCGCTGGCCCTCAGCGGAAGCACAAAGACAAAAAGATCGACAAAATTAAATGTAGACTTGATATATCTGCACACACTTTTGAGATACTGGTCCAACTCAAGCCATAAGGACGCCACTGCCATTGTCATAATGCCGACTAACAAAATCCCTGTCATTGAGGAGTCAATGTCTCAGGCGGGAAATTGGTACTTACGGTAGATGGGAGGTAATCCATTCACCTGGACACCCTATATGGACTGTACTCCTGTGGTGACAGACGCTGACTGGCCGGTCTTTGGTCTAGCCCTCAAAGTCCTGCTGAGCTCCATATACAATCGACTTCATAGCTATAAGCTCGCATACTGGATATACAGCATCCTCTGGGAGTTTCCAAGCCTGGATATAATATTCTCCTATGACAATGTACCGTGTCATGCACGAACATGCGCATCTCAATATACAACTGAAAGCCATTCACAGACATCATCTTCTCAAACCACTCTCAGAAATCGAGCCAACCTCATTAACCTTCATTCTATCCTCAAAACCCTCCAGATATTCTCAGAGCTATCAGCAATTACAGACTCTCTGATTACTATAAAATATGCATGAATGCATAGCACAGAATGCTCTAACGAGGCGCTAGTGTAGGCCAGACTTCACGAGTTTGAATATATGTCCAGCTGAAACAATACTTATTACTGGCCTGCTGGGTTGGTCGTCTACGAAGAGTTAGTATGTGAATAACTCGGACAATAATCTTCGGATTGTAAATATATTTAACATTGGAAAGGAGGAAAAGATGCCGCTGTCTCTTATTCTTACTCTCATTTCATTCTGTCTTTCCAATAATCAATTCATCCATCTATCCTATTATTTACTACGTCGCAGGCCACTGTTTTTGAGAACAGGTCGGTCGCCAACCGCTATCCCGATAGAATTGATTCTAGAAAATAAGGAGCAAGTAGCTGCCACGCCAGCCACCTTTGGGAATAAGGATTCTTTTTTTTTTTTAACAATTTATCTCTCTAACCGAACAACGCTATAAAACTGAAGAACTATCTAGTCCAGAATGTACTTGATGTCCCATCCTCCGAAGAGGAATGCTTTACAGTCGCCATAAGTCTCGTCACATTCTCTCGGTATGCCCTCTGGGTGGTGCGCGACTATTACCACAGCTCATCACCGTGTTTAACGTCGAAAACATACAGTTACAGGAAAGGAATCATCCTCGTCCTTTCCATGGTTGTCAACCGCGGCTGTCCTAACAAGGTCTACAACAGAACCTTGTCTGCGGCGGGTGGGTTTAACGTAGGTCTTGGACAGCGCCTGTAGTGATGCGCATCCATTGCCGTACTACAATGACAAAACCCTTCTACTGTCATAAAGCCATATCCGTTGCTCCAGTCACTTCTTGGTCCAGTGTGTGGCACACGCTTCTGCCTCGGCCCCACACCTCGGCCCTTCTCCTTGGCGATGGCTTTCTTACAGGGTGGATTTCAAGTCAACTCTGTAGCCTGCTGCTCAAGGTAGCCAACGAACTCGTGAATCACTTTATGAGCGATAGAACGCGCTGTGTGGAACAGAGGACCCCATTCGTTGATCAAACTGAGCGGTATAATGCCTCAGTAGAGATCGCTGAGACGCCACTTGAGATCAGGAGCACGACCGATTTTGTTGCCTGTGCTTATAATCATACTCCACTAATGCATGAAAGTCCTTGTAAATGCACGTCTTGATCAGGGCTGACCCATCTCAGGCTTGCGTTCTTGTGGCCCTTGTTGTATTTGGTGATGGCCGCAAGGCTCTAGCGACCTATGCGCAGCAGAGCCTCCTTCCAAATGTTACTATGGCTCTCACCAAGGGTGCTACAAGCCCATACATGGTTGTTATCTTCGTCTTCAGCCTCACAGACACAGCAAACTCGATCTGGATAAAGAAGGGGTTGTCTAGCTTGCATGAAGTTGAGGATGGGCAGTATACTATGTAACTTCTTGCTATGGTGGCATCCTGGCTGCGGCATCCTTGACATTACTGTAGAAAAGATGCACAGGGCGTTTATTATGGATATGGCCCAGCGTTGATCGCCACTCCACACCGTCAAGGTCACAGATCGCTCTTTTTGTGCGCCATTGGGCTGTCCATGCTTGATGCCATTGAACGGTGGTTTGCTGCTTGAGAAGTTGACGGAGGTCTTGTTCAACCAATTGGCCTTGAAAGTGTGTAAAGTGCTGGATCTCAGATTGAGCACTGAGATCGACTTTCCAAGGTACAGAAGGCACTCTAGCTGCTCTAGTAGCCACTATATCATTGTAAATACAAATCAAATAAGCTATTAAACAGGCTACTCTAGACCTTTTGAATAGCAAATGAGTGGGCAAACACATTACCAGCGTTGTTACTATGACCACGGATCCGCTTTACCTCAACTGAACCCGGTCTGTCGCTGACGAGTTGGTAAACTACTGCTCAAACCTCAGCATAATTGCATCGAAGACGTTCCCTAGGCAATGTATGATGCCGAGGTTTAACAAGTTGTTGATATTGGATCACAACTGCCTGGTTGTCGAGCTACACACAAATATCTTGACTAGGATAGCAGCAAGCAGGCCCATGAGCTCCGCTTTAGCAGACAAAGCAAACCTATTAGTCCGGCCTTGCACTGCGGTAGCCACCGCTTGAGACCTGTCAACGACACCGAAAGCCATAGTGACATCGGCAGAACCAGTCTTTATCATGAACCCATCCGAGGAGAGGACACGTGGAGTTTTTTTTTTTTTTTTTTTTTTTTTTAATAACAAGAACCCACGAGGTCATGTAGAATTTATTTAGATGTTAGCTCTATAAATGGGTTGCCCTATTACTGGGGTCGCAAATAAAGCGGTATCCAATAATCGACCGAAGCCGCGTCGTCATACTGCCACAGTACAACACCCTGTTCATAAACCACATCAGCATTGAGTAGACTTCCTTGGTCCCTGGGACCTGTGGCGCGGCTCTGCTCCCCACTTGGCCTGTTCTGCGTAAAGGTCGGTCATCCTTTAGCCACAGTCCTCAGTCATCAAAATTTTGCAACTTCCCAGGCGCTCCATAGCCGCCAATTTCACCTGCTGTCGGTAGCTTACCGCCACCTGCCGGTCTGCCTCAGTCCTGATCGCCTTCATGTCTGCTGTTCGCCGTTGCCCCTGGTGAGAGCCAAAGAATTCACCTCTGCTACGTCTATGCCTCCTAACACAGTTGCGTCCTCTGGCGCGTGAGATGTTTTCTGCGTGTGGCAAGTCAAGGAGATCAAACCTGTTTTTATTGTTGCCAGGTGGAAGCCTTTTATTAAAGCCCTGCCACGACCGCCACACAATATTCTGACCTTATGAATAAAAATGGAAGTACCCCTGAGATGCACCCCCAAGCCTCGGTACATAATAGCACGTTTGCTCACAGAGGTGATGCCATTGTCTCTTTCCCAGTTGACGATGGCTTTGCAGCGTCTGTTTCAGATCTCAATCCTTCCGATTTCCTCGATAGCTTTGGTAAATCTGCAAACCACATATTTTGCAATGCATGCGATTGTCTTAAAAGTATCTTTCCAATTCTTGACCATGTCTTTCGGCACCAATCCATGGTAAAGGTCTTGGACTGTCCTGATGGCTCTCTCACCCTCGTCATCTTCATCCTCTTCGTCGTCGTAATACAATTCGCCCGCCTGTCGAATTGCAGCAGCTCCTCTGTACACGGCTTCCAATGACGCCCATATCGCCTCTTCGCTTGCTGGTATGGACGTAGGTCCCTTGCCAATCTGTTTCTGTCCTGGTGCTACTGCCATACTGTCTACATAGACTGTTGTTGGTACATTCCTTGGACTAATAAGTGTTGCTGCGAATAGACCTGCCAGTTCTGCCTTGGATGAGGCATAGCCATCAACTTTTCCAGATATTACTGTTGTGTATTCGTCCACGTTCTCCTGCGCAACAACTCCAAAAGCCATCCGCGTTGAGTCCTTTCCTGCATTCTCCAACGATCCATCAGAGAATAAAGAGACTCTTCCCCTTCCTACTAACCTTTCTCTTTGCCTTAGATCTTTGCCTTAGAGTGCTTTCCATGACATCTTGTGGTATCACGGCTCCAGTGTGATCTGCTAGTCCTGGGCTAACGTTCGCTTGAGGTGCTTTATTGCTCACTGTCGGAACAGAATCCAATTCCTCTTGTGCCATCCTACGTAGCCGTCTGTCGAGGGCCTCTTCGTTGAGCTCACTTCGTCCTCGTACTTGGTGTGCAGCTGTGCCCTTCTTGAACGTTTGGCTGCTTCTCGTCGTCTGTCACGAACAGCAAGCAATGTCTAGCTCATGAATTGATGAATGACTTTTGTCTGATTCGAATCTGAAAAAGATCACGTGTGCTTGATTAATTTGTTCCGCTCATTTCCTTCACTCATTCCTCCATGCATAGTTTGCCTGTCAAGCCAAGTCGCGTCTCCTAGTTTTCTAGCTCCGTGAATAGCTCCAAGGATTCTAGAAGAGCTATAAACCAATAACCAAGGCTTATAGTGCCAAGGAACCTTGAAATAAGATTGCACCAGATATCTTCCTCGGATCCTGTGTATTAAGTTAACTCAACACTTGAAGTTCCGCATATGGTAAAAGTCCTTAGGAAATATTTGAGTAAGCTTTATTTAGAGTTCTTGAAGCGCGTCTCCGCTTCAGTCAAACAAGTATAAATATGATAGATTTGTAACATAGTAAACCTCAGTCTGCAATAAAACTATTCGTGAATCCATTCTAGTTCTCAGCTCATTATCATTCTTGTTATTCATTCACTTACCTTTCCTTGCAAACCCTTTGTCAGTCCTTGACATCGTCTTTGTTCTTGGTGGAGTACTCTCTCTTGGGCTTCCCTGCAAGCTTCCCTACGGGCTGCTTCCTGCTGTGCTCGAGCCCTTTCGTACCTCTTGCGAGCTGCTTCCTGCTTAGCTCGGACCCATTTGTACCGACACTTTACTTGTCTCTCTTCCGCCGCCACTCTTAGTCTCTCCCGTTCTTTTGCTGCCTGCAAAGTACGAGCTCTTGCGAGTTGGTCACGCATTACCGCCTCTCGCTTACCCTTTCATATTCTGCTTCTCTCATTTGCTTCCTCTTGCTCGCAGATATTCTCTTTTCTCGAAAGCCTCACGTAATCCCTCCAAGCAAGCTTCTCGTTCTTCAGCACTGCATTCAGCGTGCCTTTGCATACCCTCTTCTAGGTATCGTTGCCACCTCCTTTCTCTGCCCTCTGATGCTTCCTCCAGTATTTGTTACGGCTGTATTGTCGAGGGGGGGCTTTTTTTTTTATTATAATTATTGTCAAGCTAAATAGGGTGACTGAGTTATCCGTGCAATCACGTGATTAAAATATAAATATATTTATAGTAGGCTAAGGCATTCTTCAGTGAATTCAGTTCGCCATTGTAGTATAATGGTTAGTATATCTCGTTGTGGCCGAGACGATCCTGGTTCGATTCCAGGCAATGGCAATGTAATTTTATACTTTTGGATCGCTGTATCGCACGACTAGGTCCCTGGTTTTTGTGGGAAGAGCTGATCTTTGATCTGCTTACAAGGTTTACAACCCTACCCGTGATTCTACCAAAATGATTCTTTTTTGTTCGTTACAATGTTTAGATGTATCACGCTGACTTCGTATTTTGTTAAAAGGAAAGGAAATAAATAGTTACTGCTTGAAGTTCATTCCATTATACTATTATGTGAACGTGTCTAAGGGAAAAGTAATGTGTCATGTCGGTCAGGTTTGATTTTAGACTCAAAGTACATGTACCATAATCACCCCTCTTTCAGATGCAGTAATATCTTTTTGGTACATTCTTATCTCTACTCCCAGGATACATTAAAAAGGTAGTATATTACCTCTTTTTTAGGCACCGTCGTAATCAATATTTATTTAATAGCAAATGGTATGATGAATTTATTATTTTGGCATTAGGCGTATACTTCTGAAATCATCACAGAAAACGTTATTTCGAGGATTGTTCTACTTATTCTCAACAATCAATGTTTGTACAATTGATAACCATGTCACCCTTGATGAATTAGCTTGAAGCCTCGTTCGCTACTGCAGTAACAATCTCAGGGGCTGGAATAGATGGCGAGGTTACAGAGGCGGCGCTTTTGGGACCACTGACTGTAGAATCTCTTCGCATCTTGTTCTTAGAGGTCACAATTTGTGCTGGATACACAACTGCGCTCATTCTCCTTTGCTGTTGTTCTTCGGGCTCCTCCTTGATACCAAATTCATCCGAGAAAGAGTGGAGCGATGGAAGCTCTAATACCGTTGATGTTGGCCTCCTCTCTTGCGTTGTTGGCAGCAGTGATTCTCCTGGCATGACGATCTGTACACCATGAGCACTTGTAAAGCTACCGCTTCTACCTGTTCGGCCACTCTGCACGCTGAGTGCACTGACACTGCCCTTGCGGCTTCCCGGTCCACGAAAAGGGGCTGCGGGGGCCATCAGGGAGCCAGCTCGGGGGCGGAAAGGCGTGATATGGCTATCTTCATCCTCTTCCGACGAATCTGGGTATTCATCGTCCTCTCCTTCTTCATCCGTCACCAAGTTTGCATCGTTTTCATCAGTACTTGTATTGGAAGAGGCATAGGCGGGTCGGTAAAGATGTTGGTTATAGGGTGAAGCAAGAGGTCCAGGTTGAGGCATGTAGGAGCTGACGGGGCGGCCAGCCCATGGAGGAACCTGCATTGGATGCAAATTAGAAGAGGGATGTGGGGCCATGAAAGCAGATCCAGAATAGGCTCTAGCGCGCATGGCTGCCATCATCGGTGGTGCTGCCAAATTTTCATGAACGCCATAGGCGCCGTATGGCAAAGTGCTATGTCGTCTTGCAAAATACCCAGAATGAGGGCGTTGTGGGACTGGGGGATTCTCTGCAATGAGGCGTTTCCGAAGGACTTCACCAAATGAAAACTTGACGTCCGCAAGGCTTTCACCTCTTTGAGGGATATGAAGGACAGTATCCAATCCGATCAAGAGTTCTTGCTGAAGTAATGATGATGCCGTGCATCCAAAGTTCATAGCAGCAGGGTCCATGGGTGAATCAAATAGCAATGGGCCGGGCTTTCCATATATCCTAAAAGCCTCGCTGGTGCCGAGCAAAAGCTTTGTACGTTCCACAGCGTTGGGAACTTGGAATGTGGCAAACATAGATCGACCGGTTGGTAATAATGCTTGAAGGCTCTGTGCTATGGCTGAAGGCGGGGGTGCGGCACTAAAAAAACCCTTTCGTTGTGGTACAAGATTCTCCCGTTGCATCACCACATCTCCTTCAAGCTTGACGATCAAGGACCCTTCCTCTCCCGCTTTGCTGTTCTTGGACGCATCTAGACTCAATCGACTCGGGCAAACTGCATAGGCTTGACTGACGTTATAAAGAGACACAAATGGTTTTTTAGCCTTGGGATTCTCATAGAAATGAATCTGGCCTCGGATAGGTATTGCCTGCAGAACCTTGCCCTGCTTCTTCTTCTTGGTTTCCTCTCCGCGTTGGTCCGAGATCACGACGTACAAATTCAGCCACTCTTCACCTGCCCAGAACCGGACCTGGAGTGTGCCCGCATACTTTACTGGACCTTCTATCGCGGCCGCAACTTGTTCTCTGAACTTTGGTTGCCGCAGTAATGTTGAGGTATAGATCTCCTGAAGCCGAGAGCACTCGTAACAGCTAAGACGAATGGCACAGACCCAATCTTGGCATGTCGATCCCGCCTCAGGTTCACCGAGACTGAGCTGCTGAACAGGTTGGAAAATAGTCCTGTTAGCTCCTTTCCAGTTAATTGTGAATGTACCGCCGTTTGGTCCGTCCTGCATTTCCACATTAGCCTCCTCAAGGGTCATCTCTTCCGGCTGAAGGTGTGTAGTATTATTAATAGGGCTTAACCGCAACTTGGATCCAACCAGCTCTACGGTGTAGACTGCCCATTGTTCCCCTTGTAACTTAGCCCCGTCAAGGCCCAGATCGTTCTTTTTCTGAAGCTGACCGCGAATATAAACCTTGCCATAATAAACATCAAACTGCTTTAAAACCGATTCTGTATCAGACGTCTGACCTAGAGGTGCACCACGGAATCCAGTGAAGTTACGAGGAATGGCACCCAAGCTCGCAACGGAGCTCTTCCTGGGTGCGCCGGGCACGGGCATGAATGATCCAGGGGGAGCCAGTGAATTTGAGGAGCCACCATTGTTATTATTGTAAGATGCTGTAAGTTGAGGTGTCAATGCAGGCGAAGAGTTGCCAGTCAACAAAGGCCCGTGACGAGGGCTGTGGTTGTTGCTGTTGGCTGCCCATAGTTGGGGTGGATGATTGTGAGATGGGTGTGCACTCCCAGAGGAGGAAGAATCTGAAATGCTCGTCGGGGACTGAATAAACGATGCAGATGAGGGCGTTCGAGTGCCTTGACCATCATGGCTGCCTTGTTGACTTGATTTGGGCTCAAATGAATTTATCTGTAAGGGCGATGGCAAATTTGAATTGCGTTGGGTCTTTGCGTCGACATTAGATGGTGATGGGTCTGTGGGGGGGATTGGTGGTTTGGTAGTGTCCTGTTGAGTTGAGGGCGGGGAAGGATAGCTGATCCCTGTGGATGAAACCAGCAGTGATGAACTAATATCTAGTCCCTCGACCTTTGCTTCGATACAATCTAGATCGGAACCCGAATTTGAAGAAGTTGAAGAGGCCACTGTTGTCCTGCTGCCATTGACGGCCAGTGGGGATAAAAATGGTGAGGACTTGGCACCTTGATCATGCTTCATCAAATCTCCCGAACTCCATTCTGCTTTTGCGATAACAGCCATGATGGAAAAGAGAGCAATAAATACAATCAGAAAATATATGAGAATGTAGTAGCACGGATGGAGGAGTTTAGAATAGATTAGCGGCGTTCATTTAAGCAAAATTATTTGTAAACAAAAAGAGCACAGCTTGAAAGGATGCTGATTTTCCACTTTACCTTGCTGGACATCGGTTCCTGCCATGATGGTTTTATGTTATGTCAGGGAAATTAGTAAAGGAGTTATTACGGTGTGTGAAGGGAGAGAGAAGAGGTAGTTTATATTTTTATATGCTCACAAAAGAATGGATGTATTGATACCAACAGACGAGAAGAGCAAAAGAGAGTGAATGCCACTGTGTGGGGTAAAAAAAAAAAAGTAATATCGAGAGCACTCTGCTGACAAAAATGGTGAACAATGAAGTCTCGTGTGAGGATGCGCTCACGATTATTGGATGTAAGCTGTGAGTTGTGGAACTACAGACGAAGGCAAAAAAAAAAAAAAAAAAAACAAAAAGATAAAAGGGTTAGTGATCAAATATGAAGAGGATAGAGAGAGAGAAATATGGTGAGGGAGAGAGAAAGAGTGAACTATTTCATTTAGAATCCGTTCATGATGGTTTACATGATGAGTAGAAGAAAGGAAAAGTATAAACCCAAGGAAATAATAAAAGCATTCCCCTCATTATTTGCTTGATGGCCACTAACATGGACATCCACCCGATACAAAAACGCAATTATGAACTCACCGGCGACGGCGAGAGAAGCGGGGAATGACGCTGAACAGTAGCAGTAGCAATAGCAATAGCGATAGTGATAAGTGAAAATTTAAGTCGATAGCATGAGAGATTGAAATAAAGCTACTAGTGTCGGAACCAAGGATATTGATGGCTACAAGTAATGCTCAGGTTAAAGATGACAAAGCGAAGGAGGAGGTTGAGTTTCCAATATCGTCGTTAGAATACAGAAAAGTAAAGAGGAGAAGAAGAGAGAGAGTAATTGGGATGGTTGAAGAAAAGAAGAAAGAGGATTTGAAGAAAAGAAGGATCAGAAAGAAGAAAAAGAGGAGTGACGGAACAAATTAAAGGCTGTCTCTTCCCAGCCTACAGTATCCACCAACTGCCTGTTCCCTCATCCTCGTCCTTTTTTTTTGTGGAAAGGCAAGATGCACACACAGACACATCGACAAAAAAAGTTTTGAGCATTTCGGGTGGCCGCATATATTTTTAGTCAACAGACACAAGTGCATGGATGACCATCCTTCCAGTTAGCTCAAATGTTGGGCCTAAAATTATTGCACAGGAATATTTTGTTAAAAATGAACAGAGGTATTATCGTGATCCATAGTCTACTAAACATCTAGTTTTGCTCACTTTGCCATTCTGCCTAAACTGGCATCCACATTGTATATTTTTTCTTCCTTTTTGGTCCCTTTTCGTCCATTTCCAACGTCTAACGTCTAAATCTGTGCACTGTTATTCTTTCCCTTGTCATTCGCTCCTGAATTGCTCTTCAATCAGAGGTCCTCTCTCGAAGCCTAGGTCGACTAACATAGATATAATAGTGTATAAATGTTGTTGCCTAATAAGAAAGAACAAGATCGTGTGTTGAGTGCTCAGCAGCCTGTAAACACCCGTCTTTTAAAATCTTTAAGGATACATAAACTATCGAGTGCCTTTTTGCCTTCTTCCAGTGAAATTATATCCTCTATGCATGTTTCCCTTTCTTGCTCCTTGCTGTCTGGATTTATTTAAGTTCTTTGAGGAGAAAGTTGTATCCATTTCTTCAAACGGCAGAGCTAGGGTTGACACTAGAGTCCTTCTCAGCACTAAAAGTTGACTACAAGTATACATATACAATAGGACTCACTCTCCACCAGAGGAGCACTCAAAAAGAATGCCTCCTTTTGGATTTGAAAAGGAGACGTCCGCCCCTTTGAAAGGACGTGAATTAAAGAAAAGGAGTTTGTGGCAATGAATCCTTTTTTTAACTATTGCTTCTGTTTCGGCGTATAGGGAGACAATAAAGCAACGGCTCATAGGTGTGAGACACTGATGTGATTGTGGATGGAGATGCTTGTCCTAAAGTGATCTCGCATTGATAACAACCCATATTTTCATTCTTCTGCTTACATGCATATCATATCCATTAGTCTTTTTTCACAATGCTTTGATCTGCATAGTTTGATAAAAGGAATACATGTGAGAGTCAAGGTCATATTTTTAGAAGAAATGAAGTAGCGAGGTACGAGGACATGTGTACATGTCCATGTTGCGCCTTGTGTATTAAATTAAATATATTAAAGCAAACTGGGGGTGTCTTTCCTCCTCTCCGGTTCCAATTATATTTTGTATACTCGTTTTTTATTTTTATTTTTTATACAAACCAACCATCTGGAGAAGAGCTGGATTAGAGCTGGTGCCCACGCTACCACGGATCATTCATTTTTTACGTTTTCACTTGCAGGATAGCAAGGTTGATGTTAAACTGTCCAATCATTATAGGGTTTATTTTTTTTCTCAAATCATGACTATAATTAAGAGTTCTTGTGCAGGCCATTAGTTCCTGGAATGAGTTAGGAGCTTGAACCCAGGACCTGGAGAAAAGATAAAAAAAAAGGGTGAACCACACGAGCTATTACAAGAGTCAATGAGCGCTGAAGTAAAGAAACTCCGTGCTGGGTTATCAAGTTTTTTTTACAGCTGACCAATACAATTCTCAGTGGTCAGTCCTTTTCTCACATTCCGCATTGACAATCCTCGTAGCTAAAAATATTTGCAGTTTCGTCTATTTATTACTCTACCAGGTTTTTTTTTTTAATTTATACACCCTTGGACTCCATCTTTCTTTCCTTCACTCGCTAACTCTACTTCCCCCTCCTTGCCCACAGTCAACTTCGTTAAAGCTGATCTAAGGAGTTATTTCACCTACTTAGTCACACTTTTCTAAATGATGTGTCAACACCATTAGGAAGTCATCATGATAGATAACGATTAAAGAAATAAAAAAAAAAAAATACAGGGTGATTAAAATCTAATTAGAGTGATCGTTTATCATCGCATATCATACTCACAGATCAAGTGTATGTATTAAATATCATCACCAATTGCCTAATTCTTGTCCTGAAAATTATAAAAAGAATAACATGCAGCAAGTGTTGAAAGCATCCAATAAGGATGTCTCGTCAGCAAATGAGGGCAAAAAAAAAAAAGGCCATCACAAATACAGAAACAACTGTAAACAAGAAACAAAAAAGCAAAACAAAAACTTTTTTTTTTTTTTTTTTTTTTTTTTACAGTGGCAGGCTTTTTCTTCATCAATCTCAGGTTCAGATCCTCTTATCCTTCTTCTTCCTCCCTTTTCTTCTGTCCCTTTCTCTTGTTCAACCGCCTCGATAGACCTTCGTCCCCCTCCGCCAATTCGCTTGGCCTTATTGATTCATTCTTTTGCTCTAAACACCTTGCTAAGCAGAGCAAACAACCCTCTCCACTCTTCCCCTTCCTTGCTTTCCGATCGTTGCATTCCTTTATCTCCTCCTTTTCAGTTCTTCCTTTTCGTTCTTTAATCATTGCACTGAGCCTTACCTCAAAGTAAATATCCTTTTGATTTCATAAAAAGAGAAAGTGATCTCTCAGGGAAATAGTTTGATGACAGGATGGCCCGAGATCGTGTCACCTTGATCCCAAGTTGTTTGTGTCTCCTTCTTACGATTTGGCTGTCTTTTCTTTTTTATTAGCCCGTGCGCTTCAGATTGTTAAAAAAATATAAAAAATAGAAATGCCTGCTTTAGTGTGCCCTGAAGACTTGGTTAAGAAAGCCAACTGTCATCCTGCAGTAACAACAGTAGAGATCTCCAACCTTAAGAGGAAAAACCATCTACAACAACAGCAGCAGGACCGCCAGCACTATCACTATCAGAGGTTCAGAAGCATCTTTGACTTGCCAGAAGTATGTGATCTTATTGCAGGTCATCTGGACAAGAACACTCTTACGGTTGTTGTTAGGGTCTGTCGACTGTGGTATGCGAATTGGATCAGGCATCTTTGGAGAAGAATCCGAGTGGAAGCAGGAACGCTCAATGGCATCGAGATGGTAAATGCTTTCCCAAGATTGAGTTTGTACATTCGGCAACTCGAATGGATTCATTCATCTGATCCAACATCAGCAAAAGCTCCCATTGCTTCTGAATTGCTGATGTCCTCAACTGATCTATCAAAATTGAATCTACACAGCCTTCTACTCAACGGTGGAGCTGGTGAGCTCGATGAAACTACACTCACCTACATTATACAATCCTCTATTGAAGGATTGTCGGCATTACAACTACACAATATCCGAGACGTCCGAGGCGATCTATTAAAAGCAGCTGGTGTTCTTGTTAATCTGAGGCATTTCAGTTTGGCTATGGCTGACCAGGATGATGATGTTCATCCCCACCACCGTTGTCTTCAGCAATACAGCGGTGTTTCAACTTCAACCTCTTCCTTATCACCGCCATCATCATCATCATCATCATCAGGATCCATTATTTCTCCTTTAACCTCCGCAATGCTATTCCACGAGCTGTCGGAGTCAGAACTCGACTCGGCTTCGCCGTCGCAAAGCAGTCCCAATGACTCTCGAAACATTGAGGAATATACTACAGCAGATGAACTGCCTACACTCATGAATGCATGCCCCTATCTAAGGACGATTCAAACCATCAACTTGTCTGTACCATTGACGAGAGAAGCAGATGCGACTCTAGACTCCGGATATACTTCAGATGCATCTGAGGATGGCAGTATAGAGACAGGAACAGAAACAGTTCCAGAATTAGAAGCCATTGTGGACGTAAAGAAGGCTACAGTAGACTACATTCCACAACAATGGACCATAATGCAACACCTGACGGATATCAATCTTCATGGTACTGCCGTCTCGGGAAATACTCTTTCTGTTCTCTTTGCTCGATCGCCTCATCTTATCAAGCTCAACCTTGGACAGACAGCATCGCCTTTATACCTCACCGGATTCCATCTAGAGCCCACTCTGATTATGACTGCCATGTCAAGCCTCGTATTATCTAAATGTCATTTTTTGGATGGTCAGGCTTTCAAGGAAATCTTCAAAGCTTCGCCAAACCTCTTGACACTCGATATTTCTGATACAAACATAGACGATGCAACTTTGGGCGCCTTGGGACATCAGTGCTTCAAATTAATGGAGCTTGACATGCAGGGATGTCGGCAAATTACCGATCAGGGGGTCCGTGATATGTTATCCTATCCACCTTCCACAGAGAGCAATGAGGTCCTTGCTCCTTATCAAAATTACAGCCTCTGCTCATTGTCAATTGTGAATTGCACTGAATTGACAGGTCAGGGCGTCCGCCATGTCTTAATGACCTGTGCTAGACTGAAGGATCTAGAAGCCCAGCAACCAGAGCTCCTGCCAGAGAGTCTCTTTCCTCATGGACTGGAGACAAATGACGAAGAAGAACTACACAATTCTTTGTCAGAGGTTGATGCTGTGGATGATGTATCATCCTTGCCGTGGGCGTGCTACTCGACGCTTGAGACACTCCGAATTAAGAGCCTCAACTTTCTCAACTTAAGACAAGCAAGATTCCTGAACGCTCGTCTGAGCGAACTAAAGCAACTCAAGGTGCTTCATATTGGAGGCAGTCAATTGGAATTGTCTGTGCTGAGTGGGTTGGGTAATCAGCTAGAAAGTCTTTTTGTAGATGAACTTACAAGGGAAGTGAACTTGGATGATGTGCGATGGCTTGTAGATCATACTCCTAATCTAACACGTCTGTGGTGTCGCCAATTGATCCGACATTCTGAGCCTTGGAAATTACTGCGAGAAACAAGGAAGAACCTCAAACTGTGGTAAAATGAAAAAAAAAAAAAAAAAAAAAAGCTTTGCAGGAACATTGAAGACACCTAAAATCTGAAGATAAAAACAGAGATCATCAATAGATTAATGATTAGACTAATAGACTATAGACAAACAACAGAGTAGCATCATCATATACAACACTTTCATTTGATCTTTCTAATATCGCATCATTTTCATCCATGAATTTGTAACCCATTTTACAAATTTTGGTTTTTGTCAGCCAGCCCCGCCTTTATTTTCTTCAATCGCATGTTAAGTGATTTGCTCTCGAATGGTTGTACTACTTAAAATGGACACTAAAAATAAGCTGTGGGATTGTCAAAATGTAAACCTCCCGACTCCCCTTTTTGCAGCCTATTTCCGTTGTCATAAATGATATTTATTTCTTTTAATGATACTTTTTTTTGAATAAATGGATGCTCTCATATAAGGACTCATGACAAGGTAATTAAACATTTAAGATGATCAATAGACAAAACATGGCATTAGAGGCATATGAACTAAAAAAAAATAAATGTAGCGTGAAACTTGACCACAAAATTAGATCTAAAGTCGTCATTGCCATTGAAAATAATGGTTGTCTTGCTTGTTCCTGTGAGTGACACATGGTATCCAAAGGATGGTACACATCCTTCTCCGACTACCATGGGAAGCTGGAAAATCAACGGACTAGACACCCCTGGAAGGTGAAATGGGAGACAGAAACGTAATGCAAAGCAAGTGGCGGGTACAAAAAAAAGGAGCGTGTAGGCTAAGGGCAGACTTTTAGCCTTTGGTACAGTAGATCTATTTTTTTTTTCTTTTCTTGCTTCCTATTCTGCCAGAAACATATCATGGTTGTTGGTACACCGTCATGTGTCCAAGCAATGAGGAGCATGCCCAAACAAAAAGGAATTTCGAAAGGACAAGGAGCATGAGGAAAGCCATCCACACAAACAACCCTGTCGAACACGAAAAAAAAGGCCTAATCTTACTTTCTTACTTATTGCAAAACACAACACTTGGTGCTTTATGCAATTGGTATTTATTATATCAGTTTGTTGATAGTCTTTCTTCTAGTTTTTTTTTTTTTTTTTTTTTTTTGTGCGACAGCGTGGCAACATTCATCCTCATCTGCATCTTTACCCCAACTCATTAGCTTATCAGGTTAATAGATACTCACCATTCATTCGTCATCATTTAACAAAGAAAGAACGGAAGAGAATGAAGAAGAGGGAAGAGAAGCTCAAAGGTAGATGAGCAACGAAGGTATTAAAATCAATCGAGATTTTACTTCTTATTCTCCAACACATTTGAGAGGAGACAAGGGAAGACAGAATCAAAGCGGACAACAACTTTCTGTGATACCCTCCTTCTGCCTGCATTGGGGTGTGATGGTATCATAGCTCCTGCATGCTATCTCACTCATATGGCCAATGGCTTGGTAAAAGAAAGTTGAGAGCGATTGTTGTATTTGGATCCCATCCTCTCGCTCTCTCCCTTTCCTCTTTCTTTTCTTTCTGCATCTATCTTTGTACTCCTTCATTCCCTTCCATTCGAGCTACCTAACATTCATATTTAATGGAAAAAAAAGAAGAGCTGCAGCCTACTCCATCGCTTGTCAGCTAAGCAATAAGCATTCTGATAACACTTATACCAACAAGTCATCGCTGCCATTACAGGCAATCATAAAAGGTAAACAAAGTGGGTCCGCTGTAGGTCCAAAGGTCTGCTGCAAGGCGACATGATGGACAGTAGGACTCTTTTTTTACTCACGCTCAACTCTGTCTTCTCTTTTCTCTTCTCTCCCTTGAATGCATATGTCCACACCCTTGTTGTTTAGACTCCCTTTCTCTTCAGCTTTGTCCACATCCTTAATTACACGCATTTTCCAAACTGCACCTTTGTACACTCTCCTCTATTTTCGGCCACCGTCCTTATATTATTGACTTAAAGGCAATCAAAACCGCAGGGTGTTGGGAAGGAAACAGGAAGACACAATACAGATTCACATCAGCCTCTTGTTCATACGTCCTCGAGCTGTAGCAACCTGCCTTGAAACAACTTATCTGCTCGCTCGACGGCGTTATTATTAAACCCCGATCACTTCCAAGAAGGCAACACTGAATTCGACTTGGTTTTATATGGGTGCTTTCATTAATTCTCAAATTTCGCCTCCACCCCTGCCATCAGTGCAAACTCACGTCCGTTCCTTGCCAGAGTCTGCGACTGCCCACCTAGTCGCGTCAAACGGCTCCTCTTTCCAGTCCTGATTGAAAAGAGAACCTTCCTTTTTCCCCTTTTTCTCAACTGGGTAGTCTTAGGTCTAACCGCATAGCCGATCAAAAGGAACCAAGGGGAACGACATCAATTGTAGTGTCCTGCTGCTTCTGTTTTCATCTCCTAGCCCCTCTTCTCTCTTTTACTTTGTTCTCAATCCTTCCATCCAATTACATCCTTTCGTACCTGACTTCTCGTATCGCTGGCACATATTAATAATAATATTATTTATTTTTTAATTTATACACTCTTTGTGTTAACTCTTTGACATCTTTTATAGATCGTTGTAAAGACATCAATAGAAAAAGAAAAAAGAGATTATGGTGTGTGTCCTAGTTTCTTTTCGCGCCTTTTACTCCACGCCATGCCCCGCACAAAGTTTTCAACAAATCCGTCTGCAACATCTTCATCAGCAACCTTGAACGATCTCTCCCATCCATATCCTACACCCTCTACCTCGCCCTTACTGGTGCCGACTCTTCCCCCACCACCCTCGCCTCTGTCGGCTTTAGCTGCCTCTTTCACGATCAAAACGCCTAACAAACAGCATGTTCACGACAGCACTCTTTCCTTACCCGTTGGCACCACATTGAGCATCCCACGTAAGAATGGCAGCCGCATTGGTCAGTCAATTTTAGGCCAGCTGCTGGCTGCTCACAAGCCAGGAAGAGATCATCACAAGTTGGCCAGTGATGCTGCTCTCTCACTCGAGACTATCCGACCCAAGGAACAACAGCGTCGGTCTATTCTACCTGCCAGTTGGACGATAAACTTTCAAAAGCCGTCTAGTACACCATCGTCTTCTGCCAAGCAGCAATCTGTTGACAAGATGACACCATTAATAGGATCAAGCCCACATATTGGTCGTAATGTAATGGAGAATTCAGACCAGAATGAACATCATCAACCCATGCTCCCTTCTGTTTGGCTGGAGAATGTCCTTTCCCGTCTGTCCCGTTCAGACACGAATATCCCACCCCATTATGCTACCCTTCCCAGGGTCACTTTTCAGGACCGTGCCATGCCCCTTCGATCTGTCTTTGCTGATTCTGATGCATCAGTAGTGAGGGACAAGAAGGATGAGAGGCGAGGCGTACACAAGATCAAGACCGCTCTTTCGTCTTCTAACCTCAATCCAAGATCCAAAGTCAACGATAATGCTTCGCCCAAGACCACAAATTCCCCGACAATGACGCGACGCGGTTCAGCGTGTGAACTAGCCCTTGGAGACGATGCACATGAACTATTTCACCAAAACAGACCCAAGGCACTATCATCAGCCGTGATTTCATCCTCGATTGTGCCACCAAAGGAAACATCCCGCAATGTCCGTCAGCATTCACTGGACTCAACCATGTTTGCTTCCAAGTCAACAAAAACCCTTACAGTCCCTGAACACCTACCTTCGTCTTCAACAGAATCCTATCCTCCACCAGGCACAACTACGAAGACTACCCGTGGTCGTTTCACTATCGAGTCATCCTCTACAGCACCGAACCCATTTAGAACCAGGACATTGAGCTGTACGGCTGCATCAGCTCCACAGATCCTTGCACAACATCAGCAGCACTTATCGACGAGTCAAACATCCTCTGAGAGGCCATTATTATCCATTACAACACCCCCTCCAGCCCTCTCAGTCCCTTTGCCCACTCCTTCATCTCCATCCACAAATAACGGTCACTTGTCTTCCTTTTCCACTCCGCGCTCAATACATACGGCTGTCCCTCCATCACCTTCTTCACCTACCGCTACTCATGTCACAGGTCATCAGTATGCTTATGACCAGTTCTCGAGCAACAGCAACAGCAATAGCAACAGCAGCACGACCACTCCAATCTCAATCCCTCTGGCAAGTAAACCTAATCATCAAAGGACACACTCTAGCTCTTCAGTCCAGTCCTCAGCTAGTACTTCGTCCAGGCGATCACAGGTGATTATTCCACCACCAGCGTCTGCATCCTCCCTCCATTATGCATCGTTTTCGTCAATCACATCCACGGGCCCTGTCTCGAATGCCTCGCCTCTGATACACCACCAGAATTTGTCTTCAAGACGTTCTACAATCAATAACAACGGTGGCGCTACCAATAGTAACAATTTTAGGAATCTGTCGATCCAAATCGTAAATGGTGGGGACAAGGCAGATGGAGGTCAGGATAGCCATGACAGCCAAGTGTTTCATATGGAGACGCCTACGGTTCATCCGTTGGATGAAGATACCTCTGTTCCAGCAACATCAGTGCTATCATCGTCACCATCATCATCTGGAATATATGAGGGTGCCAATGCTCAAGCAGGGCCACAGGCAGCCCACCAAACCATGAATCGAGTCCATCCAAGACAAGATTCGATCGACAGCCCAGCGGAATGTCATGCTCCGATGACAACTAGCAGCAGTGCTTCTGGCCTGAATAGTGGTCTTAATAATAACGGCCGAGGAGGTGCTGGAATAGGAGTAGAAACAGGAGCGGTCATTTTGAATCAACAATTTGGGCGCCAGGTTTATGATCGCGATTACTCAGCAGAAATAGGATATTTTCGGCAAAGGTCCCTTTCTACCACTAATGTGGATATGCGCAACACGTTCCAAAAGCCATCCATTCATGGTCACCAGCAGTTGCACGAGCAGCCCTTGTTGAATGGTCCACCACAAGGATTTTCGTGGAATGAGCGACCCACAAGAAGAAGCCATGGCTCTGTATCGAGTGCAGATCATCATCATCATCCGCATCGTAGTGGTACTCCAATCAGATACATGTCGGAGAACACACTAGGGCCCATGTCATCATCATACAACTGCAGCTCCAGTTTCTCATCATCATTATCCTCGACATCGCAGGCCAGTGATATTGTCGTGGTCAAGAAGAGCGCGACAGGACGAATGTTTACAGTTGAAAGAACACTGCCAGCTAGCCCTACCAAGTCAAGTCGGTTCATTGTTATGTCGTCTACCGATGACCTCTGTGCCTCTACACCATCCCCACCAGCCAGACCAGCTTCACCACTGCAAAAAACAAGCGAAGACGCAGAAAAATAACAAGGGATTTTTATTTTTTAATTTTTTTTATTTCTCTTTTATATTTCTAACGAATTTTTTTTTTTTTTTTTTTTTTTTTAAACACATATCCTGATTATGATTACTAGTATCATTATTACTTTCATGGTCGCCCTTGTACTTTTATCAACAAAGTGTCTATACTCACTCTTTATTTTTTATTTTTTACTTTTTTTTTACTTTTTTTTTTACTTTTTACACAGATTATTCTTCCAATGGTATACCCTTTTGCGCTTTTATTCTTTTTTTATTACTACTTTTATTTATGTATGTACCTTTGAGTTAGATTATGAGTTATTACTGCTGTAAGGAAAAGAAGTACAAAGTAAACGTTATAAATATATAATGACTAATGCCTTCATTAAAAACGTTTCACAGAACATGATCAGAGAAGTAAAACAAAGTCGCAAGTTTCTTTCGAGTAAGGGGTTCTTTGTGGATATCTTGCCCCTGGGAAATGTTGGATGTAAACAATAGGGTGGACTTGTTTAAGTCATAGGATATAAACATTGGCTTGACTGCCACATTTGTACACATCCTATTTACTCCAGCAGAACTTTTTTCCCCGCCATTCCCAACTCTTGCATGTACTTCTTGTTTGTCTACATGTACAACCAATCCTTTTTTCCTCAGTTCAGCTTTGTTTAATGTACGTATATCATTCTACATCATTAATGCTACTACTCCACATTTCACATTGATGTTTCCTGTTCTTTTGCCTGACCAAGAGGCACTATAAATGTTGCTATCCCTCGTTTTTTCCATCGTGTACTCTGGATGTAGAAGATTTATTTCATGCACGTTCCCAGTCATCTCCATGATTTGATTTGTTAGTTTAGCTCAGTCACATTTCAATGCACCTCTCTCCACTCTTCTTTTTTGTGTTTGTGCGTGTGTTTTGTGTCATTTGATGCTTTCTTTTTTTCTTTCTTCATTGTTATTCCGCTCAATTCTCTCTGCAACGTTCCTTTCTTTCCTTTTTGTGGATCCCTTTGAACGAATCATCTCTGACTCGAGAGCCACAAAAACATACAGTATACACATGAATTTGCACACAAATATATTTGTACTTTTCATCTCGTCTTGATATGATCATGATAATAATGGTAACACATTCACATTCTTCCTAATTCTCTCATTCTTTTCATTGCACTGTCGTTACTATTATTGCCAAAGAAACTTTGGATCGTGATGGCGTTTCATCCTTCAGGATACATATATATATACTATCCATCTAAGACAGGGAAAGGAGACGGAAGATGAATTAAGACATTTTTTCCAGGGAGAAACTGTTTATCTAACACATGGAGTAAGGTGCTCCTTTTGGGTGGAGTGTCGGGCCCTCGATCTTTTATGTCGTAGTTTCTACCAATGATTTCAACGCCCATTCTGCACAGAGGAGATTCAATCCTTCATTGTTTGTGTTCATTTTGCCCTGATGTCACTCTTGTGCGTTGTGTGTTTAGTGTCTAATTCACCCATTCATTCTTTAACCGAAACTTAAAGAAAATCAAACAAGCAGCTTGTTCCACTCTTTCTTTTTTTCTCTTTTTTATTCTTCCTTGTAATTTTCTTTTTCCCTTTCCTTTCTCTTTGCTTTCTTTACTTCCTTTACTTTATTTGCTTTCTTTCATCGAACTCATCAACGTATATATTATACTACTCAGTAAAAGATCCAAATCTTTCTCACGCTACAGCCTCTCTTTCCCCTTGCTCAACAACACTCTTTCAGAACAAGGAAGTTAATGATATCGACTTAATTTGCAACTACACATTAATATAAATAAACATGTCAGATCCTGTATCGCCTTTCGCATTCACACCCCAAGAGTCGCAAATGCCCCATCCACATACACATGCCCTTGCTCAGACACAATCACATACACCAGACTCATCCTTTGCAAGTACATTCATTCGACGCCACCGAAGGAGTAGTAGCGCCCATTCCCATAACATGACCCAAGCGAATACTCCAACCGCAAGTGTCACCCACGCTACATCTAGTTCCAGCCCTACCCCACCATCTCATCCCGAGCAGCATAGCACTCTGGCTGTTACTTCTAGGCCCATGCCCAAGCTGTTCAAGGTAGAGATTGCGAATAACGGCGACTGCAAAAGTTCAAACCCGATCTTCTATCCAAGTGATCTTATCCATGGAATGGTCCATCTCTATTTGGATAAACCCATGACTCTACCTGCACTCAAAATTGTCTTCCGTGGAGAGTCAAACTACCCAAGATCAAACCAACAGGACCATCTGGATCACCATATGCGCAGACTCTTCAGTGTCGCTATGACTTTATGGGGCTCTCGGGAACCATTGCCAGAGGACCAGTGGGGACAGTTGCCAGCGGGTAATCACATTTTTCCCTTCACAATTCAACTACCCGACAAAAATTTGCCAGCATCTTTTGATCACCCATGGCTCAAGAACCAGTATACTCTCACAGCCTACTATCGAAGGCCTAATGGACTCTCCAAATGGCAGTCTAAGGCCAAACCAATTAATTTTATGCCTCTCTCAACCCCTGGGCTGGAACATGGACCAATTCAGGAATCATGTCCCAAAATGGGTACAGCTCTATTATTGTCTCATCCGGATTTGACGCCAGGGGGAAGAGTCCATGTGAAACTGACTGCAGCGGCGGCGATTGATCGCTGCCATTTTTCGCTTTCGAGACACATTCGGGCCCGGATCAACGAAACGACGTATAAGGAAGACGAAGTTATCTGTCATTATGAACGGAAATCAATCCCAAAGGGCGAGTTCAATTTAGTACTGCCGATTCCCAAAATTACACCCCCTACCACAGAATCCTCGGCGGCACTCAAGATCACGTATTCTGTTCAAGTATCGATCTGGAACGAGCGCTTCTTTTTCAAAACAGAAAGCCATAACTTCGATATCCCAATCGTCATTAGGACACTGCCTTCATGCGACAATCGAGCGTGTGAGGGACTGGACTGGTGTGAACCAAGTGTGGATCGACCCATGTTCTTGACAGAGGAACCGATGCAACCCTTACCATTATATGACGCAGAGCCGAGTCCCCCAAAATATACCCTGGATCTGCCCTCATATAATCAAGTCCTTAATGCATGCTCATCCGCTGTGGAGTCGATTCCTGATAGCAATAGCAATAGCAACGGCAATGATAACGGCAATGGCAATGGCAATCAAAATGACCCTACTCAAAATTTCCATCATACCGGACATGAAAATGATCAGGATGATCGCGCTTCGACCCATTCTACAGAGACGACCAACAGTGATGTAGAGGGCCATGCACGCACCATACCGGATCATCCTCATCCTCACCATCCATCTTGCGTCTACTATGTTGCCCCACTGGATAGACTTGAGTACGGACAAACAATTGAATGCCAAGGTTTATTGTCGCCACCAACATCTTCAAGTAGCAACCATAGCTCCAGCAACGATAACACTAATACCAACAACAATAGTGATCAACATGCACTTGCTTCTACATCTTCGTCCTGTTCGTTGAATCAGGATACAGAGTGCCATCCTCATACCATACATCCACGTGCTGTCGATTTCTTCAAAGTCCATACCATTATTGAACCAGCTTAATCAAGTTTTAATCCTCAATACTTCACTTAATCCTCATTGTAATTTTATTTATAGTGTAAATAATAATAACAGTTTTGTTAACAAAAAAAAAAAAAAAAAGCATTTTCGAAACAAACAACATTCTCCAATCCGACTTTTGTCAAAGAGACTTTTTTTTTAATAACGAGGATACATGATCTGTTGCGCTTTTAATAACTGGAGTCGTGGACAATTTGTTATTGTTTTTTTTGTCTCTAAAATGGATCATACGTTTTTACAGGAACAGTATAAATAGCTAGCACCACCGTAGCAGTGTTAGAGACTTTAGACAATAAACGCCACTATAGGAGCAAGAGTCGGGCGATTCAGGTCAAGCACAAGACTTTCCTCACTACATGGAACATTTCAATCTTACCTTGTGCAAAGGTAAATAGAAGCTACTTTTTTTTTTTTTTTTTTTTTTTTCCTTTTTTTTAAAAAGATTGTTGTTACTCTCTCTGGCGCAATTTTTCTTTGTAGGTGTGGTCGCTTAGCTATGTGATTGTCGGAGTCAATGAATACTATACATCCAAGAAGTGCCCATCCTGTGAAGAATTTGTTGAACAAGCGGAGATTCGTCGTAATGGCGGCGCACAACATATGCAATATCATCCGTGGCCATCTGGAAAGACAACAACAACCATTCTATCTTCACCCTGTGGATGAGAAGGGACAGTCTCCCTGGACGTAACAAAGGGCACCACCAGCGACAAGCACAACCGCGGCTGCAGGGTCGAGTTTGGGTCAGAGCACAACGCCGACTCGTGGCCAGAGCAGCAAGCGGTCAGCGGCATCTTTGTATCATAGCAAAAGGCGGGCCAAAGAGGGGAGCACAAGAAGTTATAATAGTTAATTAAAGAGTTAGATAGCCCATATGTGGGTTCGTAAGCACACTACCAGCGCGGCCACCTAATTACTCCTTCGATGACTTTTTTTTTTTTTTTTTTTTTTTTTGATAACAAGAACCCTCAGGATCATGAGATTTATTTTCTACACTCTGTGAACAAAATGCTCCAGAAACTTTTTTTTTTTTTTTTTTTTTTGATAACAAGGACCCACGAGGTCGAGGTCATGTAGGATTTATTTAGATGTTAGCTACAAAATGCTCCAGAAACTATATTTAATAAACAGCTATTACTGCACAAACGGCAAGAGCCGCTGTTAATTGCTTTTTCGATGACGTATTAGGATCGGAATTATGCTACAAGTACCATTCACGTGATTAAATTAGAAATCATATGGTTATTATACTCGAAATATCAATTCATCGAAACAAAGCCGTTGAAAAAATCACTGTCTTAAGAACCGGGGGGTTATACTGAGATGCCCTTAAAAACCGCAGCGAGACGCAAATACATAGAACACACTGAAGTGTTGTACCAAGATAAAGGTCTTTATTAGTTTATGATACATATAATACTATACAAGTAACTAGTGCTGAGATGAATGAGGTTGCATACCTGAAGTGTTGTACCAAGATAAAGGTAAGGAACACTTCAGGGACGGAGAGTCCACTATTTATTATAGCGGGGAGGATCGGGTGGCTGAGCTCACGTCCAGGCAGGACGGGGTGGGTTTGAGGGTACCACTATAGGTACACCTCTGGTCCTACCTACCATGACGTCACTTGTTATAGGACGTGAGCTTAAGTTATCTCGATTTAGGACACCGTTCATATCCGCCCTGCGACTTTAGCTCAGTTGGGAGAGCGTCAGACTGAAGATCTGAAGGTCGTGTGTTCAATCCACACAAGTCGCAAATCTTTTGCCTCGATGGAAGCCGTTGCAGTTTTTGCTTTGGATTAGGATGAAGTTATTTGCACGGGGTCTCTATTGGATTAATCTATTTGGCAGCCTACTTCTGGGGGCTGCCACTTAACTTCGCACTCTTGGGTGGCAGCTGGGCTGCCAAATACAGTCTTTTTCTTTTTTTTTTTTTTTTTTTTTTTTTTGATAACAGCGTCATAGCATCAGTTCTGTGGATACATTGCCTTGCACAGCTAATGCCGCCGGAGGTACTAAGGGCAGCGGCGATGACATCTTCACAAAACAGCCTTCAATGTACACGGTTAGGGAATGATTTATTGAAGACGTCTAGGTAGCAGGTGAGACGCGTTTGTTCCGAGCGAAAACCTCTCATAGGCATTGATCTCCAAATGGCACCTCCAAAACTGTATGAGCGACCTACTTGAAAAAAAAAAAGTCATTAGTTTTCTAAATGAGACAAGACAATGTCACTACACATAACTATGACGTAGAAGACGGGAGCTTTATTAATTTGAAGTATGGGCGTTACATACATATACGGTTCCTAGGAATGAAAAAAAAAAAAAAAAAAAAAAAATAGTTAGAGGCCAAATAACGCTGCCAAGTAAATAATGAATGTTATTTGGCAACTGGGCTGCCAAATATGGTAAATATGGTGCGTGCCAAAACTGATGCAATAATTTGCATTTTTTAACATTCATTCCTCATTCTCCTAACGATCTTCCCTACCATCACCGCTTCTCATTCTCATTTGTCTCACCTTTGTAGACTGTCATCCAACATGGGCTATTTCTATTTTTTTGTTTTTTTTTATCTTGAACCTCTGATAAACAGCTCATAAACGACATGCAAAAATACTTCACCAACCAAGACGGAAATTTACGCTTTGGTTAATGAGGCCAATGTGGATAATCACTGAAGTTTTTGGGCAGTACATGCTGAGGGAAAACGGCAAGAAATAAGATTGAAGACAGTGCTTCTCTTCATTACCATTTCAAGTGATTGTACAATATGAAGCTGGTCCTTTAGACGCAGTGAGCATCTACATGTGCTGCTGAGTATGCAATACTGCGTGCTAAAGACGAACCAAGGTAAGTTGGCTATGATAATAAACTTGGAATGTAATGAGACAAAACTAAGGATTATTGCGATTAGCAGTCATTTATATGGGTTTTTACTATAGCTAAGGTTTTTACCCTTTTTATTTAACGAAGATCCCTGGATCATAATAAAGACATCTTTCTTTCGTTCTCGTTACTTATGACCCTGGCATATTTCAATAACAGAAAAGAGTATTTATGTCTCTTTTCTATCACTATTAGTCACGGTTATGCTATTAAAGTATTTTAGCCACTTAGATATAGAGATATAGGTGATTGTGGCACGTTCGGCTTTGAGTGCGAACTGTCACCAACTATCAAAAGACAAGTAATATCGGGTAAGAGGATAGATATTCCACAAAATAAGCTGAGGTCTACCCATTGTATTTTGATGAATTTGATAAACAAGAAAGGGAAAAGAAAGAGAGTAGGTAGTAACACGGCACGCTATACATCGTAGAAATGAGTATGATTGTATGATTGTTTGTATATCTACCGAAACAAACTACACGTTAGAGGTTCCTAATAACTGAACTCATCGTTGTGTGCTTAATAGTGTACGGAAATACCTAAGATGTATGCACGCGTTAAATGAAAGAAAGCATCGGGGAACCATCCACAATCTATAACAATGCAACCAACAAAAGTGCAAAGTAAAGCTGCATAGTATATTTCAATTATAGATAAATCATTTGTAATTCTGTATTTAGTTCCAGAGTCGCATAAAGAATGCCAACATCTACTCTGAGCTACATACGACCTTGATAAGATAAATATTCTGGTCAGTATTTGATGCTTAGGCAGCGGCTCTAGATCTAAGCCTGTGTCGTGGAAGGCTTCCTGGTTATGGTGTTTAGGGCTAAAATAAAGACCCCGTACAAATAAAAAAAAAAGACCCCCGTGCAAATAAAAAAAAATTATTTGCACGGGGGGAGCGGTGTAAATAAGGTGTGTACGGGGCAGTGCAAATATCTTTTTCCAATTGAAATGTACTATGCCACTCTACTTTGCACTTTTGTTGGCCTTGTTGTTATAGATTGTGGATGGTTCCCTGATGCTTTCTTTCATTTAGCACGTGCATACATCTCTAGTATTTCCGTACACTATTAAGCACACAACGATGAGTTTAGTTATTAGGAACCTCTAATGTGTAATTTGTTTCGGTAGATAAACAAACAATCATACTACCATACTCATTGCTATGATGAATAGCCTGCCATGTTACTACTCTCTTTCTTTTCTCTTATATGTCCTTATCTCTATCCTTCTTTATTATGAGCTCAAGCGTCCTTACCAATTAGATTAATCCTTTTCTTATTGCTATCATAGTGTAAAAACAACTGAACGCGTATTGATAGATTAGACTTGATTTCAATAGGGCATCCTATACTCCTTAGACTCATTCGCTTGAACTATACATAACTTTTGACGTTTGCATATAAAACAACACGTAGTTTAACGCGCGCTTTCCCTTTTTCTGTCCATCTAAGCAAGACCGGACATAATAAATACTGCAACATATTTTTATTCTTTCTTAGACACTGATGCACCTATACTAGGTTGCATGCGGTGTTCCTAAGGAGGAACAACGGAATTTGCCACCTGTCGTCCATTGTTCCCTTTACTGAAGACAATTTTCTGTTGCTGATGAGAAGTATAAGGGCTCGTATTGAAGTTGCTGTTGTTAATCTCTGAATTATACCCATATACACTACCATAAATATCTTTTTTTTTTTTTTTTTTTTTTTTTTTTACTTGTGGAAAAAACAAATATTATTTGACAACAAGTCACTTAATGTATGGAGACAAAAAACGCTAAGGAATAATATCAAGTTGATTTATTGCCATGCTACTTCTCTTGCATGTCTATACTAACATCAGGCTGTATCCCGGGTTCTGATAATTGCTGATCCTGGTTCTGAGTTGTATCCAGATCTGAATGCGGACGTTCTGATGGTGATGGTAGTGGTGATGACTGTAGCTGTTGCTGTTGTGGCTGTCCTTTATTCTCGGTTGCGGAGGAAATCTCTGACATGATATTGGACACAAAGAAACGATATAGGTTTGTTAATAAAGCGTGATTATTATTATTATTATTATTATTATTTTTCCCTCCCTCTCTCTCTCAAAAAAGAACACGATTCTTACCAAGTAGAGCGTCAATGCTAGGGCTGAGCCGTCCATCGTTCGCCTGCAATATCACATCACAGACCTGTCGTTCACATGATGGGAACATCTCTGTTAATGCAACAAGATTTTGGCGGTAATCTTCCATACTTTGTTGTCGATGTTGATGCTGTGGATTTCCGGGGTATCCTTGCTGTTCCTGAGAAGATAGGGTCAATTGTTGGTTTGAGTGGGATATAGGCTGTTGATCTGGAGAGACATAGACAAATCCCCCAAGTGAATCATTCCTATTGTCTACATCTGGCCTCTGGCCTTGTTGCAGCTGTTGTTGACTAGGGCGAGGCGGATATGGCTTGGCCATCTCCTCATCATCTCCATTGTCTTGGAACATCCGCTCTATCATATCCAACGGTTTCTGAATCGTCTTTGTGGCAAAATTAGCTCCACGTTCAATCAAAGCTGCTGCAGGGTTTAAAATAGATGATGAAGTAGATAGGGCTGGTGATGGAGTCATGCGTTGCTGCTGCTGCTGCTGTTGAGACGTTGAAGCTTTTTCTTGATGCGTTGCTTCTGTTGTAAGATAATGCTTCTCATTAATATGTTGACGTTGTTGCTGTTGCGATTGCTGCTGACGGACACTTTTTTTGGTAGCAGCAGTGCCCGCTAGTAATTTTGCTAGCTTGCTATCATGTTTACGATGGCCACTGCTGCCACCGTCTGTCGCTGCTGGAACGGACGACGCTGTATTGACGGTGGTGCCTTCTCCTGCTTTCATGGCCTCTGCTTTTTCTTGACTGAGTTCGGTCATGGTCTTTTCGATCTGCTGATCGAATTCTTCAGGAGATATTGATAATGAACTGGCTTCAAGATTCTCAATAAATGAGATGGCGCCCATCAACGAAGCGAGATAGTATCCTGCTTCCGCCTGTAATTTCTCGGGATTCCTGAAGCGTGAAATGTACCTGGTTGAATATAAAAACCAACATTTTGTTAGACCGTCCTTGTTTTTGTTTTGCTGACAAATTCGTAGAGGAATAGCAACTTACTGAACGTTAGAGACGAGGTTCGGTGGGTTTGCGCGGAGTACGACGTAAATTAAAATTGGAAGAAACGTGTCAGCGCCTTTTGAGTTACCCTCTGCGCGGCGAATAAGCGCTATTTTATTAAAAATGAAAGAATGGTTAAAGTATTAGACTACTATTACATCGCATATTGCACAAACATGCTAACAAATATACTTGGATTCAGTCATTACAATTGACTTACTGAAGATGAATTTGCAACAGTTCAGAATGCAAATGACTTTATCGCGAGGTGCTTTATAGTTATTAATTTTCATAAGCTCTACAATCATCATTAGCAAAAATACATAATACAATCGCCAGCCCACTACAAGTCAGTAAAAAAAACCCAAACATCCTCGGTTGATAAAAAAGCTCCAAAACTTGCTTTACCTGCTTGTGCACTATTCAAATGCAGTTCATTATGTGGGCTGTGCGGGATATCCAAATGTACCTCTCGGATCCACCGAAATATCCGGATTTTTTGAGTCAATACTTCATCTCTTTCAGCATCATCTGTCGTAGATGGAGAAAAGGTACTAAACGCAAAGGTAGGGTACAATTTAGTCAAACCATCTCTACTCCATGTTGTATAGGCCTTATATATCCGAGTCCTATAGTATGAGGGGCTCCTTACTAAGCAAAGAGTCGATTCATGACGAGTTTCTCCATGCCTTCCTTGACGTTTTCAAATTCCTGATCAGATACATCCTTCCATAAGTCGCACATCCCCATTTTTTCTGTGATAAACTATTGGTAAGTTAGCAGGATGGCCGAAGAACTAGTTTATCAGTGAACTAAACTCAGTTATTATTGTTTTCTAAGCTTCAATGATAATGACAATTTCTCAAGTTCTTTACGTCCAGAAAATCATGAATGATCTTGACCTGTTCGTTCACGGTCCAAGGCTTTTTATCGAATTCTTTCAGAAAGCTGTATCATCGGGGCGAAAACATTGGACAAGAAGGTTATAACGTTGTTAGTAAAAGCATCCATATCCTTTACTGGGACGAATAGCAGTTTTTTTTTTTTTTTTTTTTTTTTCAAAGCGAGTATACCTTTGAAAGTAGCGCGTGATAGGCATAGCGCTTCTGTGTCGCATTTGTTCAAGGAACTTCTGGAAATCAAACGGGACGTCTTTGGGCTTCGGAACTTCTTCTCGATCCAGCCGGGCACTGTTATTGTTTTTGCTCCCAGAGGTCCCATCGCGATCGCGAGTTTTTGATGCTGATGATGACGAGGAGTTTTTCAGCCGGCTCTCGTTCTTCTTTTTCGTTGTTGAGGGCTCTGCTGATTTCGCCTTTTCATGCATGGCGATATGAACATCATGTGAGGTTCTGGGGGAATTCAATTCCTGTGGTGTTCCTGGCGGCGATGGCGATGATAGGTTAGGCGATAAGGCGTTTAATTCAGGATGCAGCACATCGCCCTTAGACATGGACATACCTCTGTCAACCACAGTTACTGCTATTTCATCGTCTAGTTAATTACCAGGTAACAGCGTAAGCACATATTCCCCTTTCATGAGTATGTTTGGACGAAAAAAAAAAAAAAAAAAAAAAAATCACATCTCCTACGAATGTAGAGCTAAAAAAGAAAATACCATTCTGATCCTTAGATTCAGCAAGGGGATCAAACTGCATAAGAATCTTTGCCAACTCCTTCTTGGATGCCTCATCTTCCTGGCTTTTTTCCTTTGTCAATTCTTCAGCTCTGTCCTCAGTGTTAGCGTTGGTAGAGTTGTCTCCCATAGTAGTAGTAGCATCCACGATTGTGACATGTTTCTCAATCGATGAAGTCCTCTTGAGACGATCTCTGGTTTCATTGAATACCCAATATATAATATGTCAGTGGTAATGCAGAATCTTAATTGTAAGAATACTCTGCTCATATACTATTTCTCCCTTGATCAAGATTTCAACCAAAGCATCATTACCCAATGGTGATTAATGAGGATTTGCGACGTGGAACAAGGGGTGGCTGGGCAGTAATATTGCTTTCGCTATTGACAGTAGTATTGCTTTCGTCATTGGTCGTAGTTGGCTCTGGGGATGTTGGCTCTGCGAAGGAGATGGAGGAGTCGTGTGATAGTGGTTGAGCCATTGCAATTCGATCAGTCGGGTCTTTGTTTTTATCCTCGGTCTTTTCACTTTTAACGCTGGCTTTGACCTCAGCGATTCCTTTGCTCATATTATCCTCGCGGGCCCCCAGGTCTTTATCTTTATCCTTATCCTTATCCTTGATGTTATTCTCATTATTATCCTGGACTGAACTTCTTTGACCATTTGAAACACTTGCCGCATCTGCTGCAGCCATAGGGGTGGCAGTATTAGTAGATAAAGCAGATGTAGCTTCAGTTGTAAAGTTGGAATTGCTATTCATCGCAACCTTGTGCATTGCTTCCTCGAGTTGTTCGTTGCTCTCATCATCCTTTAGTGACATCTTGTTAGTCTTTTAAGTGCATCAAGTCTAGAGCCAAAAAAAAAAAAAAAAAAAAAAGAGCAGGCAGAGGCAAAAGGTCAAAGAACGGTATCACGTGTGATCTAACACGACAGATTAAAGAACGACCGAAATTGGATACCGCATTATTTGCGACTCCAGAAACAGAGGCTGAAAGATCCACATGTAAAGTTGGATAGCATTAAAAAAAAGATATCAAATCCCTAATCGTGTTTATGGGTGAATGGATGATAGGACGAAAGCCTCATGCTTTGGTTTCTGCTTTTTCTACACCAAAAAATACAAGACACCAAAAGGCAGATGGGCCACGCGGACGATGAGCACCTTGGTCAGGTCAGCAAAAGTTTTTTTTCTTGCCCCCTACGCCCAGTCGTTCACCCCTAAATTGAACCCGCATATAAAAAGTCCAAAGAAAGGAAGCAGCAATGGAGAATAAGCCCATCCTCTCTTTTAACACTCCTAAACTTGCATTCCTTACAAACCTGCCTTGGAGAGGCTATTTTTTTTTTTTTTTTTTTTTTTGTTGTTGTAAGGAAACAGCACTATCATGCTCAAGTCAATTTCCACTGCCCTAAAAGGTAAGGTTTTTTAAAATCATCAGGATATTCGTTTATGATAAAACGCATGACGTCTCTTTAATTTATTTCACTCATTATCTTCTCTCTTTCCCTCCTCTTCTTTGGTGGCAAATGCTTCCTGATGGATAGAAAAGCTATCGAAGCCTGAATGGGGTGGTATCGAGACTACAACAACTACGGAGATTACTACATCTACAACAGAGCCTCGGATTACCACCGTCAAAACCACTGTTACCACCGACAGCTTCTCGGAGGCAGACCTCAGAGATGATCAGGAAATCGAAAGGGTCCTTCTAGAGCTGAGCATTAGAGAAGAAAGAGAGAAGAGTGCTCTCGTGAACACGGATGCAGATACAGGGGAAAATCAAGAAGACTCTTCCACTACTGCTGCGGTCTCTAAACCACAGCTGTCACCAATCATAGTAACAGTACCAGTGGCAGTAACAGCAGTAACAGCAGGGGCCTCGCCTCCGCTTAGATCACCCTCAGAACGCGCTCGACAAGGATTCAAACGTATTCTAGAAACATTTACGCGCAAAGAAAGTATAACCACGACTACAATCCAAGAGAGACCCGATGGCGGTGAGATTGCAGTAGAATCGGAAGAGTCAACTTATGTAGCCACCTTCTCAGCACCACGCGAAATAAGGGTTGATCCTACCATTATTCCCAATGTTGTTCCTAGGTTGGCTATACCAACATCTCCAGCATCAGCAGCATCGCCAGCATCGCCAACATCACCACTATCTTCAACACCCCCAACGTCTCCAGCGTCGCCATTGTTGTCATCATCACCACCATCATCGCCGCCTTCTAACCCTCCTCCTATTCCAGAAAGCTTCAGGGACCATGGATACCCCAGGACCATCAACCACAAATTCGTAAAAGAGCAATCACATAGACAGAATATTCATGGACTTAAGCATGCACTTTCTGCATCGATCAGTAAATCGGAAGCCAGCCAAGAGTCAAAGAAGCTCTGTAAGGATATATCTATATGCATTTGACGAGTACTAGGTCCATAAAACAAAAAAAAAAAAAAGGCTGAGTGAGAAGGAGGAAGAATGATACTGTCGCTACTTGATTTTTAACTCGCCTGTTCACTAAACCATTTTCTAAATTTTAACTGTACATTGTTCAGTCGAAGGGGGTATTTTGACAAGCGCCAATCATAAGAAATGGTATCATGCCAATCTTCCTATCAATTGGGTTCAAAAGATCTCAAGCGAGTATCGCTTCGGTAACTATGTCATATCGAACCGTGAGGTAAAAAGAAAATAAATAAAAAAAAAATTAGTTTGGTCTGTCCAGGAAATCATAATATTTTTTAACTTCATATTCATCATCGTTTTTTCATTTCTTTTGAGGAGTAGACTGGAACCAAGGCATGGGAAGATATGCCAATATATGTACGAATTGGTATGCATCTTCTGTTTGCCACCATGTTGGATCGTAAATGTAAGCTTTTTTTTTTTTTTTGTATTCGTATGATTCGCATGACTCGCATGATTTACGGTTATAGAAAACTTGTATACTTAGATTTTTATTACTTGGACATGGCTATAACTGTACCCTCCACTACCATTTCCTCATCCTTCCTTTTTTTTTTTTTTTTTTTTGTTTTTTGTTTTTTTAGTACTCCAAACACACAAGATCCATCATCTATTCTCAGCCGAGTCGGTGAAGCAAGGGAAACATTTTGATGCATCAGAATCAGTAGCCCAAATCGAGCATTTCATCAAGACTTATAAATTGGATCTATCGGAGCTTCTGCAGCCCGATCTCAAGCAGTATAAATCGTTCAACGAATTCTTTTATCGTAAACTACGGCCGGATGCACGTCCTATCCATTTCGTAGACAATCCTGTAAGTAAAAGAAAAAAGAAGATGGCGTCACATTATTATACAAGCAAAAAAAAAAAATTAACCTTTTTACCGATTTCGACTATAGAATATTATCGTGTCGAGTGCGGATTGTCGTCTTTGCGTGTTCGAGTCCATTAGTGCTGCGACGCAAGTTTGGATCAAGGGCAAACTATTTTCGATCAAAGAGCTTCTCAAGGATGAAATTCTAGCTTCGAAATATGAAGGTGGATCCATTGCGCTGTTTCGTCTGGCACCACAGGATTATCACCGATTCCATTCTCCTGTCACAGGTACGATTGTCAAAGAGCCCTTCAAGATTGCTGGGACTTATTATACTGTGAATCCTATGGCAGTCAATTCAGACATCAATGTCTTTACTGAGAACGTACGCCAGGTCACCTTGATTGATCTCGAGCAAGAAGAGGGAAAGGATGAAGATGAAGGTAGCAATAATAGCAACAGCACGAACACTGGTGGTAGAAATGCTCAATTTGACCAATGTGTCTTTGTCTCCATCGGGGCTTTACTTGGTATGAACAAAAAAAAACCCGGTGTTGGCTTAATTACTTCATCAATTTATTTCAAATGTATGAATGTTTGTAGCTACATTTTTGCTTACTTTTTTTTTTTTTTTTTTTTTTTTGTTGATGACCTTAGTTGGATCTGTTCAATTGACAGGCGCAAAGGAGCCGGGTAACAGGGTTCGCAAAGGTGATGAGCTAGGCTTCTTTGCATATGGTGGATCTACTTGTATATTACTTTTCAAGGCAGGGGCTGTACAGTTTGATCAGGACTTGGTTGCTAGCTCACTAAAAGGCATTGAAACCCTTGTGCGGATGGGCGAATGTATTGGTGAGCGGAAGTAAAAAAGACCTTGGTACTCCAGATAGATATTATGCATAACCTAATCCAGTCCAGTAGAAAATAATAATGCATATATATATATTTATTGTAAATGTAATAAGCAAAGTAAGGGAGCAGGGGGCGGGTGCCTGAGGAAGAAGTCCCCCCTCTCCTTCTTATCTCTTCCCCTCTTTGGAGGCACAGCACAGTATGCGGAAGCCACGTTTGCTGAGCGTGTTTCATGGTCGAAAAAAGTATATGAGAATATGAGAGTACAGACATTCAGCCTTTTTGAAAATGGACAAGTATATCCAGGTTGTAATTGTGTCAAACCATGCACACAAAATGAGGAGTATAAAAAAGCTTTGGTACACCATGGAAATTGATATTCTTTTTAATTTTTTAATTTTTTTTATTTTTTTATTTTTACTCATTCCTAATCGTCTTCATTCATTTTCATTCTTTCATTCATTTCATCGTGGTCATTCTTGTACTTTCCTTAACTTTATGCTCATTAATACTACAACGACACGTTCCTTAGTTTTTCTTTCTTTTATATAATTTCGTTTGAACACGTTTGTGATCCATACCCACACAGTCACCCACTCGAGCATTTTATTTTATTTTCACTCTCCACCTTAGTACCTTGATATATAGGATATATACATCATATTCAGCACTCAACCCATCCACATTCCTTCTCACGAAACGATTGCCTTTCTCTTCCTTTTTTCTCCTTTTGCCCTTTTACAGTTATACTCTTTACTTTCATAATTAATTAATTCAATTTCATATTGATACTATGGCAGTCTCTCACATTCAGGTAAAAAAAAACATTTATTCCAAAGGATTCCTAAAAGGGCGTTGAACAGTTCAGGGGTAGAGCCTGTTCCACGATGTCATAAACGTGGGTGAAAAGAGAAATGGAGGATGATTGAAAAGGACAAAGGAAAGAGAAAAAAAGGGGCAAGTGGAAACGGACATTACACGCTGGATTCTAACCATTCCTTTCTTTGAAAGAGTCCGGACCCTGAAATGTGTAAAAGAAAAATAAAGCTTCAGGATGAACGAATGATCGCCATTTGTTTCTCTGTCTTTTGTTCTTGTCAATTGGAAACCTTTTTTTCTTTTTGTACACGCTTTCATACACTTTTTGTTCCTGAAAATATTCAAAAAGAAAGCAATTGGAATCACGCCAACGCTATCACAAAAAAGGTTAAAGAATGTAAACTCACGCTTTTTTTTTTTTTTTTTTTTTTTTGGTCCTCATGCTCGGACTGCATGACGTTACATGTCCATACATAAAAACAATGAAAATGATCACCACTCTGCATCTGCAGGTCGCTGCTTCTTCTGTTGGTCATGCCACCAAGGACGACAACATTAAAGTTACTTTCCAAACACTCTCAAAATTATCTCCACCCAAACCATCGCCGCTTACAATGTTAACAGACACCACCAGTACCACTACTACTGCAATAACAACAACAGCAACAATGGTGCCCACATCAAATACAGCAGCAGTTACTGTATCAACACCTACAGAGGAGTCTTTTGATCAGTACGATGACTCCGATATAGATGCACCACTTGGTAAATGGGTAGGGGCGACAAGAGAGACGCTGCAGGAAGGTCAAATCATCAAGTCAGGTTATCTTATGAAGAAGGGTGAACGACTCAAGGTAAACAGGGCACAAATCATGCATGTTTTTATTCAGTTTTCAAAGCGAATGCAATCACTGCTCAATTTGAGCAATGCAAGTTTGTGTTCTTGTCACTTTTTTTTCTTGACTTCGAGAATTCCATCAATCGTGTCATAAAAGGAGGGGGCGGACACAAAACAAAAACAACATGATTATCAACTGTTGTGGCCAACATGCATTGTAAATATAAACATCTGTTCCCTATTTCTGTTTAAACAAAACAAAAACAAAAACAAAACAAAAGACAAAGCATGCATGCTTTGCACATGTACATCCCTCTTGTCAAAGCAAAAATAATAGATACACAGCACGATCTTAAACATAAAATGTATAATCATGTACATCCCCCTGAACACGTATTTTTTTTATGCACTATGATGAAAAGAGTGAGATGAGTTCAGAAGTCCGCGGAAGTGCCAAGAAGGAGCCAAAAAAAAAAAAAAAAAAAAAATCAACAATTGAAAGTGTAACTTGATTCGATAAGAATAGAATCGGGCATATCATATCCATTAATATATGTTGGTCAGGGACAAGGGTAAGGTGGCAGTCTGATCCAGCTAAGCATTCATTTCCTAACATGCTGTCGTTTTGAATGGCCTCCTTGCTTAGATTTGGAAGAAGCGATGGTTTGTTCTCAGGACATCCAAGCTGGCCTATTACAAAGATGACAAGGTAATTTTTATTTATAACATTAAACAGTAACGAGAAATGGGCGAATGCATACTTTCAAATATGCCCTGCCAAATGCTGTTATATTTGCCACAAACCTTACAGTGGCTAATCAAGTAGCGAAATTCATACGTTGCATCCGTTGCATGCGTCTTTGTTTATTTAGGAGTATGAATTGTTAAGGATTGTAGACCTTCGCGATATCCATCGGGCAGCTGCAATGCCTATCAAGCACAAGCCAGGAACATTTATCATCTTGACTCCACAGCGGACTTTCTCTGTACAAGCTACCGATATCCTAGAGATGCAAGATTGGATCAATGCCATTTCTGAAGCTAAGATTCAATTCGAATTTATGGCTTCAAACTCGGACTTGGAATCTTATTCAGAATCAACAGTTCATCTTGAACAATCTCCACAGCTATCAACTATACAAGAGGGACAGCAGCAGCAACAGCAGCAGCACTCAACCTCTCAGATGGCAAACAAGCTTCATCTAACATCATCACCAACAGCATCTACGGCAACACCATCAAGAAATTCCGTCACAGGGATGATTTTACCAAAATGGCAGTTACAGCGACCTTTGTCGTTATTAGATCCAGACCTTTTAGATGGAAAAGAAAAGCCACATGCAAAAGGTAAAAGCGTAGCGGTGCCATCCTCTTCAGGCGTTACTACGTCGTCATCTGTTGGGACTACATCTCCGCAATCAGTTGGAAGTATTCTGGGTAGACCAACAATAAGGACAAGTGGACTGCGGCACCCTGCAGAAGGCCTATCACTGATCACCTCTTCTGGGGTTCAGACCAAGACTCAGGCCCAGGCAATACAAATCTCGTCCCCATCCTCTCCTTATATGGAACAAGTGTACTCAAATGAGCCCCCTGTGGGTTCGCTTTCATCCGAGCAGTCATTTATTGGGGCAGCAGCAGCAGGGCCAAGTATCCCAGGGACACCATTATCACCAGTCAGATGTTATTCGGGCGGAGAAATGTTTTGGATGGCAAGCCAAGAGCATAACAACCAATCCTCCAGTGAAGAGGATGCAGGGGATGATAGTCCTGATCCTTGTATAGCAGAAGTAGCACGCGTTGCTTCTGAGGCCAATGCTTCAGCATCTGGTACAGCTACGGACGAGCAACATGAAAGTAGTGTTGTCATACAAGGACACCTTTACAAGCTAAGCAACAAATACAAGGTATAGTGTTCATCTCGCCTTCAATCCTGTTTTCTTTCTTTCCGTTGTTATGAGCTTAAAAGTTAATGGGCTGCTGTGAAATCGATTTATATAGACATGGCGCAAGAAGTGGTTTGTTTTAAGAGGCGATAATCTGGCCTATTACAAAGACACTAAGGTATTTTTTTTTCCTTTACTCATTGGTATCATAATACATTCTCATAACACGTATTATTTTTGTTATTCGTTTTCGTCGTGCTACGGGATGGGTTTTCAATACATTAACATTTTTTTTTTTTTTTTTTTTTTTTTTTTCCTTTAACTTTAACAGGAATACCAACCACATGGGATTATCCCATTGTCAACCATCATCGATTGTCTTCAGACCGACCCAATATCAAAGTCAAAGCAATACTGTCTCCGAATTGTCACAGCTAAGAGGTCATTTATATGCTGTGCGCCAGATGAGGACACACTCTTGCAATGGCTTGATACCCTTCATGTAGAGTGTGATCGTGTTGCGCAAATAGCCCGCCAGGAGGACATGGTAGATTTTTTGTGCCAACAACAACGGCATAATCAGCAAGGATCGGAATCATTACATGATGATGATGATGATGATGACGATGATGAAGAACAGGCGAAGCAATTGGGAGGAGGATCTAGGCTCCGGATGAATCTTCATAATCCACTTCCTCATCGTCCCAGATTCAGGTCCAAATCTGGAGACAACTCTGGTTCCGGATTTTTCGGTAGTAGTGCCAACAGTGCCAGCGGTGGTAACTTGGATTCTGTAGGGACGCAGCTTCGAAAAGTATTAAGTCTGGACAGTGCAACAAATACGGTTCCAGCATCAGTCATGGTGTCTACTTCGGAAACAGGATCTGGATCAATGAATAGGAGAGCTTCTGCGGCAGGAGCACCAAGTGTAACTTTCCAAATTCCGGTCATCGCTCCTCTATAACAAGTCTCCTAGCATTTAATTCCTTTTTTTTTTTTTTTTTTTTTTTCTTTTATTGTCGATATCAATTTACATGCAAGAAAAAACAAACTTATAGTATATAATTATGACGCATAAAACATTTTTATGACAGATAAAACATTCCCCCTAAAAGGTGGCGCAGCTAAGCTGGCGCAGCTTAGTTCTTTAGTTTAGAGACGAGTGGCAAAGTCAGACACGGTATGAGCATCAAGAACAAGCTCTTTGACAGTCAATTTTTTTTTATATTATACCAATGATAACATTACAAGTCCATGTGAAAGAGAAGCTAGCGAGAAAAAAAGATAAAAAGCATTGAAAGACAAGGGCAATATCAGCCTGCAGGATGATGCATATGTTTGTTTTGTGAGAATATGAATATCAGGAATGTTTTCACACATTTTACAAACTGATAAGACATGTAGTGAGTACAGTACCAGTTGTGGCGTATGATAATATTCAACATCAGCTCCATCACCATGGCTGGCAGGAAAAAAAAAAAAAAAGATTGGATGGTCAAGTGTCAGATCACATGAGCTGTGGATGATCTGATCGCCACCGGGTTCCACACCCAAACTTTGTTTTTTTAGGTTTTTCGATTGTACATTTACATGGATGTTTTAAGATGAATTTGTCCAGATATCATGTCTATTGTCCCTGTAATTATATATACATTTCAAACCACAAAAGACTTCGCATGCACTGAAATGTGGACATTAGAACGAGCGGAAGGATGGGTGGTAATTGTTTTTTTTAAGACATGAAGAGTAGAGAGTAAACAGTGGATACGAATGGATGACAAGAATGGAAAAGTTGATTGACCGAATTAAAATGTTGGCGTACATGTTTGTACATGTCATGTCTTTGTATCATTTTATTGTACCCAAATGAAGTGAACTAGGCAGAGCACAGACACAGCCAATCTTTTTTTTTTTTTTTTTTTTTTTTTTTTCCTTCTGCTTTTCTACTTTCAACCATTCTTTCTTTCTTTCTTTCTTTCTCTTTTTCTTTTTTGCTCCCTACTCACAAACAACTCCCATTATACACACGATACACACTCGCATACCCATTGTTTCTTATTCTAATTCTCATTCTCATCCTTATTTTCGTCTGTTACTCTATTTCTTTCTTTTTTTTCCTCTTTATTGTTATCACCTCCTTCCATAAAGCCTCATCCTTCTCGTTTCTTTTTCTTTTTGTGTCTTTTGAAAGTGAGCCGCTGGATGCTCCCCTTGATAGCTAATATATCATCCTAATCATCAATGAGAAAAACTGATCCATCTTCGTCCTCTAGTTTCAACAATAACCCCTTCTTCTTAACTCTGTCTTCTCGACGAGCCGCAGCAGGGGACTGCTTGTCTCTCCTTGCACAACAGCACACTTGCACCACCATTGCTTTTCTCACTCAGTTTTACTCTCTTTCTTGCCTTGACGATCCTTAAACCTCGTCTTTTAAACACTTTTACTTAAACACTAGTCCATACAAACAAACAAAAAAAAAAAAAAAAAAAAAAAAAAAAGAGAATATCAATTCCATTTTATATTGTATATACCATTGTAACAACACAGCAACAACAAGATTCGACTTTTTACTTTTTACTAGTGTTCGGTAAGTCATTTCTACTCTAGTTTGAATGGTTTGTTCCTGCACTTGCTAAAAAAAGGGCTTTTGCAACCCAACCCCTACTGAATGTTGGGTACACAATCCTGTATCCAATTCTGTCTTTTTTCCAAAACCCGTATCTCCTTCCATCCAATCTATTTGAATTGTGTCTGTTAAATTTTAAAAAAGTATGGAAAGTCATAATCATCATCATTTCCGTCTTATTCTCTCGTCATTCATGCGAATCAGGGGTGGAATCAGCAGGATCTTTTTTGCTTTTTGGGGTTGAACTGTTTTTAGCCTTGGGACTGATGACGCTATACGAGGAAAGGGTTGAAGAGAAGAAAAGAAGAGGGAATGAATCGGAATGTTTCTCATACTTTTTTCTTGTCTTTTTTTTTTTTTTTTTTTTTTTTTTGCATTGACGTCAAGTTTGTATCCACTATTTTTCAGCCCTCATCTTTTTTTATCCACAACTGATAGAAAGAAATATGTATATAAAAAAAAGGATCGGTGGAGGCTATGTTGAAACAATTGAGGTACCAAGAATGTCTACAGGGGCCTTTATCTTTTTGTTCGAATGCATTGTCAGAAGCGGGCAATAAATTGTTTGTGTGTTACATGCATATCCTCTCACATTTGCATTAACTTCGTCAGCAAAACACTCCCTAGGACCCATTCATTTTCTTGTCATATCTCTCCTCTTTTCTTTTTCTTGTGGGTCCTTGCTGATTCTCACAATCCCTTATTTCTTTTTTTAAAAAAAGTGAAGATGTTAAGACCTAGACGAGCATAGCTCGCAACCCCAAAGAAGAGAGACGAGAGGGTGAGAGAGCTCGGGTTTTTAAGAAAAAGAACTATTACTGTAATGTGTTCTTTCATTTGAACCACATGCGTCCAGTTGACTGTCGATCAAGTGGTACCTTTTTTGTTTTTATGGATCTGTGCTCAGTCCTCACAACCGTTCCATCCTCTCTTTGACTCGTCTGAAAAAGCTCCCCGGATACATATTTGTTGCATGCATTGTTATAAAAAAAGATAATTAGCGATTAGTTATCCATTATTAAACAAATTCCTGATGCTTTTTTTTTTTTTCTTTTTCTTTTTCTATTTCTTTCCCTGCTCTTCTTGCATCTTCATCAGCTAGAACGATATCAAAATAGAGGTTATCCTTTATAATCGCAACCAGTCACCAATCAACAGGACCTTTGCAACACTTGCAAATCACCGCATTTTGTATTTTCCTCCTCTTTCTCTCTCTCTCTCTCTCTCTCTCTTTTTTTTTTTTTTTTTTTTTTCTATCTCATCTTCTGATCCATTGAACATACTATCCTCCCTACTCTACTTCATTATCCCAAAAGGAAACAAAACAAATGACTACCTTGTCAGCCCACATGCCTTCATCCACCAATATGTATAGAACTGTCTCCTCGGACGGATCATTGACTTCTTCGACTGCGACAGCTCTTAATCCCACGACTGCAGCTCGCTTACAGCGACTGCCTACGCCTCCTCGTAGCCCAGGCCTTGCTCCTTTGGGAAAACAGCTGACACTGATTGAGCCACCTATGACCAAGGGAATTCGATTTTTGATCCTGGATTGTCCCACGGACTCGACTCTGCCCTTTTATCTTGCAGAATTGAAGCGTAACAATGTGACGGATGTAGTCAGGTGCTGTGAGCCGACCTATAGTACTGCCACACTTCAAGCAGAGAACATTTCAGTGCACGACTGGCCATTCCGAGATGGAGCTGTGGTATGTATCTTTTTTTTTTTTTTTTTTTTTAAAGTTACCCAGATTATCAATGCGTTTCTCCTTTTACCCTGTCCATTTCCTTTCTTTGTATACAATGCACTTTTTTTTTTTTTTTTTTTTTTTTTGCCATCTCAGGGGCCAACCAAACTGTTGAATCTCACATTTCCGGGTCCCCAGTCTTTGCTCCTTCATCTCTCTTTTTTTTTTTTTTTTTTTTTTTTTTGGTTGCTCGGGTGACTCCTAGACAATTAAAGTTTGCCATGGTCGCGCATTATCTTTTTGCTGAACTATCGGCACAAAGAGAAGAGGAATCAAAAAGAAACAAGGAGTGTATTATTTTTTTATTTTTGGTGGCGCGTGTGAAGAAAGATGTGATCTGTGCACAGCCCTGAATCTTGTGATCATGCAAATTAATTTTCCTCCATGCCTTTAATTACATAGTGCAACATGACACGTGTTTCTTTTTTTTTTTTTCTTTCTTCCTGACAAAAAACTCTTATAAACCTTTTCCCCCATATATCTTGAATATATTAGCCACCAACTCCCATCATTAAGAATTGGCTTCAGCTAGTAGACAGCCGCATTGTCAGACGTCTTCATCACCAACGCAGTAGCTCGCCTTCATTCTCTTCCACATCTGAAGAAGAAGAAGAGATGACTCAGGTCCCTACAATTGCTGTTCACTGTGTGGCTGGACTGGGCCGTGCACCCATCTTGGTTGCTATTGCCATGATTGAGCTCGGTATGGCGAACTTGGACACCGTCGAGTTTATTCGTCGCAGACGCCGTGGATGTTTCAACAGCCTTCAGATTCAGTACATTGATGGATATAAGCGGGGCAAGATCTTGAAACATGCACTAGGCAGTGGATCTGGTCAATTGTCAGGATCGTCTCCTTTGGCACACGGGGCAAGCGGATCAGGATCATCAGGCGGGGTTGGAGGTGTTGCAGGAAGCGTCAAGAATGGATTGAACAAGATGTTCCGTCTCAAAGCATGACTCTGCGTGGTTAATGTCTTGGCGGAAATGTTTGCAGATGCACAGAAAGAGAAGAAAGTAATGGCAATGACAAAAAATAGGAGAAGTGGCAGTACTATGAATTTTCAACAACAAAGACAAAAACAACAGCAGAGATATTCTAAGAAAAGCATGAACATTAGGACTACATTGATGAGGGTCCGGAAGATGAAAAGATGTGAATTTGTGAATGGCTTGATGATGGTAATGATAGTACAAGCTGAAGGTCCTGAACGCATGACCGATTGTTGGAAAAAGAAAGAGATGTACCTTTTGACTGTTGAAGATAATGTAGCAGGAACGATATCATTGAGACCCAATCGACTGTCGTCGTCAACCACTACAATCCTAAATCGACAAAGGCGAGACTCTGGTTTCAATTTTGACGCACCATTTATTCGGGCACCAGGTCGACGGCGACATAAGTATTACAAGCACCACTACAAATCGTATGAACGATATGAGAATTCTCAAGAAAATTATCATACTGCCATCATCACGACCATCATCAACAGCCCAGAAAAAGAGCAGCGACAATTCATAGAACATGGTCGTGGACTGGATGTGTTTTTGTTGAAACACGCAGATCATGGTTGCGGTAGTTGTGATGATGTTGTTGTCGACCAATAAAAATAAAAAATAAAAATGGCAAGCTTGCTCATTCACCTTGACCTTTGCAAGCTCATGCCTATTGTTCTGAAGATGGACTAGTTTTGGGATCGAGAGCCCACTAGAGTGCTTTTTTTATTCTCATTGAGCAGATGTGGGGTCATTAAGCGAGTCTGAACTGGATTGGACCCGACTTTGTTCCCATGACAAATCCATCATGTCACTTGTGGATACAAAACCTGCGCAGGATACAGAAAAACAAAAAAGATTTAGCATTGGCATTGACGCAGGTTTGTGACAAATCAAGCCTTCCTTTCATTCCTTTCATTTCATTCCTTTTCTTCATTCGCTTTTTTTCCCTTCTTTTCTTTCTCACTCTCTCTCTTCCTCTCTCTCTTCCTCTCTCTCTTCCTCTCTCTCTCGCCTTCTTTTTTTTCTTTCTCAATTTCACCCTTTTACTCTACTCCATTCCATTTCGTTCATCTCTTTCGTCTTTTTTTTTTTTTTCCGCTCAACGTCCTCTCCTAATACTGCATTCCACCGATTCCAATGCCCACGGTCGCATACTCGGCCGTGCCTTCACATGAGAATGGTGGCGACCCTACCAACACAACCCCGAAAGAGGAGCTACCCCACTTCACAGTAAGAGAGGATCATACTTAATCAATGGATTTAGTAATGGTTTTATTGGCGCTCTCTCTGAATACAAATAAGGCATCAAGGAATTATCATCTCAGCTTCATTTTTTTTTTTTTTTTTTTTTGTTGTTGTTGTTGCCATCTTTTTTCTCCATTACCATAGTGGCGCGCGGTAGGAGTTGGTATTACCATTGGAGCATTACTTTGCTTCACAAATATGTATTTTGGACTTCAAACTGGTTGGATCTCAATGATGTCCTTGCAATCCTCGCTTTTGGGGTTTGCAATCTTTAAAGTTGCAAAACCTTATTTAACTGTCCCTTTCGGACCAGCTGAAAATATCGTCTTACAATCCATCGCTGTCGCCACAGGGACCATGCCCCTAGCAGCCGGATTTGTCGGCATCATTCCTGCATTACAGATGATGAATACAGATGATAACCCCCCTCGTAATGGGAAAGAAGGAGGGCCCATTGTCTTATCGGCCACAGAGTTAATCCTTTGGTGTTTAGCCATTGCGTTCTTTGGCGTCTTTATTGCAGTGCCTCTTAGAAAACAAGTGATTGTGAAAGAGAAATTGCCGTTTCCATCTGGAACTGCGACTGCGCAGATGATTGGTGTCCTACATAACACGCCGCTTAAGGTTCATGATCACCACAGTAACGAGGACAGCACGCCATCCACACTTCGACAACGCCGTCGTCACGGAGTTACAGATGATCTTGATGATGAAGAACAAGCAACCGCGATTTTACACGTAAGTAAACAACAAGGTGGTCCTGACCCGTCGACGCAATATCAAAGCACGGGCAAAAGTACTGCCTTGAACGCACAGACACAGGCAAAAGCAATGGCCCAGAACCAACACCAACCACCACCTTTGGGACAGATGACTCCTTTAGGTTCTTCCGCCAACTTTGAGACCTCAGGACCAGGGTCAGGGTCAGGCTCAACGCCAGAACCAAGATCAGATGATACCTTGATGATTGAAGGTGAGGGTGGTGAATTTAGTCTGGATAAATCCTTCTTACAAGAAGATACCTGGCGGACCAACATGGTGGCTTTGGGTATTTCCTTCACGGTCTCAGGACTCTACACTGTCCTCTCATATTTCGTTCCAGTTATTGCAGCAATCCCAGTGTTTGACTGGCTTATACCAGGATCGGTTCAATTTGGAGCCACCTGGCAATGGTTCTTCACTCCCTCTCTCAGCTATTTGGGCCAGGGCATAATCATGGGCTTTCCAACGACGGCGGCAATGCTCCTGGGCTGTGTCATCGGTTGGGGAATCCTTTCACCAATTGCAACACTCAACAAATGGGTCACAGGCCCAGTCTCAAGCGCGACCTCAGGTGCAAGAGGCTGGATTCTTTGGATCTCTTTGGGCGTCATGATTGTAGAGTCCGTGGTCTCGTTGTTAGGCGTCGTTATCTTGTCCTTGATTGCCCATTACCGATACTCACTCAAGCTGAAGCGCGTAGAAGAGCGTAGAAAGCTGTTGGAGTCGTCGATGAGGGCTCACCCTGGTGCACAGCACAATAATCACGATAGACAGGAGGATGATTATGATGATTATGATGACTATGATGATGCACCTGCTGATCAACTAGTGCCGCTCAAGATCTGGGTCTGTGGGTTGATTCTGTCCTCGTTCTTGTGTCTATTCTTGATCTGGGTTCTGTTCAAGGATCAACACATGCCGCTCTATGCTACCGCTGCCGCTCTTCTTTTAGGCTCCCTCCTTTCGGTCCTCGGTGTCCGTGCTCTAGGATCCACAGACCTGAATCCAGTTAGCGGTATTGGTAAAGTCTCTCAGTTTATCTTTGGAGGCATTGTCCCTGGAGGTATTGTGGCCAATCTGGTTGCAGGAGGGATTGCAGAGGCTGGAGCTCAACAAGCTGGAGATTTGATGCAGGATCTCAAGACAGGTCATCTTATGGGTGCATCTCCCAAGGCCCAATTCTGGGGACAGCTAATCGGCTCTCTAGCTTCGGTTTTTATCTCCACAGGCGTTTATAAATTGTATTCCACAGCCTATGAATTGCCCGGTCCACAATTTGCGGTCCCAACTGCCAAAGTCTGGTTGGATTTGGCTCGATTGGTCAATGGCCATTCCTTACCAGAACATACAGGCCCTTTCATCTTGGGTTTCTCATTCCTCTTCGCAGGACTCACCATCCTCACGACTATTTATTCTGACGCCGCATTTTTGAGGAAACTAGATAGTGGCGGCGGCGGTAAACGACCAAAGTGGCTAAAGTATATTCCTTCAGGCATCGCCTTCGCCATTGGCATGTACAACCTCCCTAACTTCACTCTGGCTCGATTCCTTGGAGGTTTAGTCTCGATCTGGTGGGATTGGCACTGTAAGAAGTATGCGGGTCAACCCAATACGAGGTTTGCAAACCTTGGACGCGTTTTCTTAATCATCATCGCTTCGGGCTTTGTCTTGGGCGAAGGAACACTCTCGATCGTCAATTTGATCCTCAAGACCTTTGATGTCCATTCTTGGTCTTGCGCTGGATGCGTAGAGGGAATCTGTGTCTGCAACTGAGTAACGGAAACAGCAATATTATTTGCATATATTTTATTTATAATTTAGAAGCACTGTGTCCTTTTTTTGCATATGTTCTAGAACTTTAATAAGTAAACATGCTTTAAGTATCCTGAATGTAGCGTTTGTTTGCAAAGAGAAAAGGATTGTAGTTTCTGTCTGCTACGCACCATATTTTTCTTTTATTTATCTCTGTATTCATTCCGCACGGCCCATCTGCATCATCAACACAACCATTGAGGTCCAGCCTGTGAAAGGATGGCTGCGCTGTCCATGTCCAGTCGTATCATTGTATTGCTCCCAGACATACCCTGTACGCTCATATTCGTTAAATATGTTGTTAATCAGGTTGTCACGGAGGTTGTTAAAGATTTCCTTGACCTTGGCCTGATAAGGGCCTTCAACCATATAGTTCTATTAAGGCGATTTTAAAATATAGCCATGAAATATAGTCAGTGCATAAATCTGCAAAGTAAATAAAAGCTACCATCATTCCCTTGTCCTTACCTCCTTCAGTGAATGCAGCGCAAGATAGTTAATTGGCGCCCAAATGGGGCCTTTCCAATAGTTCTCGCCCGTGCCGAAGAATTCGTCTTTTATGGATAAGGAGCGAAGGCCGAACGGTGACCACAGTTCCTCAGGATCACTCATTAGGTCAAGGATATGACCAAGCTTCTCAGATTTTGGGTCAATGATGCCCAGAAGCATAGGAAACAAAGATATGTATCCTTTGTGGCACACATGGATGCTCGCGTCATTTTCATCGACAGTCAGATCACAGTAAGCTTTGTGTTCCTCATTCCAATGGAGACCTAGCGAAAAAAAAAAAAAAAAAAAAAAAAAAAAAGACGAATTTAGCGTTAGGTTAAGTTGCACTTCTTTGCATCCCATCTTTGTGCAGTGTCTCGACTCACCATCGACGTCAGCAACAATGTCATAATAATGCTCCTCAAACTCTTCTACATCTTCTTCTTCCTCAACAATTTTAGCAATGCTCAGGAGATTACGGTTCATAAACCCAATCCAGCATAGTAGATCCACATGCAGTTCCCATACGCTAGGTAGTGGAGCTCTTGGATAGTCGTCCAATCCAGACGTGAGCGTATGGGTTTTAGTACGACCCCTCCACCTATAGCCTTGGGCAGCAGAGCTATGCCGATGGCCATATTCGCGGCTCCTTCCACGCATAATGCTCCTCATCCAAAAATAGTTAGTCCTAAGCTTAGGATATAACCTAGCAAGATAATCTGATGCCAGGTGTGTATTCATCAGTCTTGCATTAGTCACGTCGGACTTCATGATGCCTTCGGTACTGAAAGATGTCTGCTGCTTTTGCTCATGCTCTGATTCGCTATGCTCATTCACTGAAAAAGTATTGTTGACATTCTTTAAACGGTCCAGGTAAAGGTTGATAGCTTTGAACAGAGTAGGTGGATTGGCATGTTCCGGGTATTGAACTTGAAACTCTGGAGGGACACGGCTTCTGGCCTCATCCCCCAGGATCTGTTCCCGTTGGATCCAGCCGTCATCATTTTGCCGATTAAACCAACTCTCAATAATCTCAAGGCTAAGATCATTGTCCCATTGGCCGATAAGAGTTTGATGAAACCCTTCATCCCAATAGAATCCACGGGGGAAAAAAGAACGAGAGGGAGTTGCAGTAAATAAAGATGCGGGAGGCGTGTATTGAGGGTCAGGGCTAGGGCGGCGTGCAACTGGACCTTCCAAGTGCTCGTTGGACCCTTCCTCATACATGGGAGACTCGTCAATAATAGAGGATCCATAGAAATAACTTGAAGTGAATGTTGAAAGGATATTTCGTTTAGCAATAAGTCCGGAATACATTTTAAAGACTCAGGGAACCAACTCAATACAATGAACCCACCCAATGCCTCCGATCAAATTACTCATAGCTGCTTTGGCGAAATCAATCATCGAGTTAGAGTATCCCTGTTGCTTGAGATGGAAGGTTTTTTCAAAACGCTCGTCAAAGGCACTGATTGCTTTGGCAAGCTCTTTAGTGATCGTTGTGCTAGTTACAATGTTCGGAGACGACTTTGAGTTGAATCTTACTTCAAACTATTACTCATTTAAAACAGCAAAGGACCATAACAGTATTTAGCCCATTTGTATCTCACCACAGAAATTGAAACCGATTCACCAGTGTTTCTGCCATTGCCTTACCTCAAAAGGCGCGTCGTAATGCATTTGAAAGATGATGAAATTTGGCTGTCCTCCAAAGAACTGGTTTGGCAGTGAAAAAAGCTCCTTGGGCATTAAATCAGTCCTACCCATCTGCTGAAATGCTTGTACTTGATGTATAATCACTTCACGGACAAAGTCTATTAAACGAGTACAAACATGTAAGAGTAAGCCTATAGCTCACAGGCTTGTCTCAAACTCAATATGGTGACAGTAAGACTAACCAAATTACCTTTTGCTCTCCAAATATTTCCTCGAGGTATAGTGGCGCCAAAGAAATGAACAGAATCGTGTTTGTTGTCCCCTTTGGCTATATAGATTAAGAATTACCATACAGTTGATAGGCTATAAGTTCAAAGTGAGACACCTGAGATAACAAAAGCCTAATAAAGCACACTAGAACATACTCTGCTCAATCGCAAAATCAAAGTTGCCGAGATCTTTTGCATTTCCATCGAATTTAATTGGCGATTGGGCCACCTATATGATCTCGCAAAAGGAAAATATAATGATTAGTATGCATTTGATCTGTTGCCCTTTAAAGGAGCTGATACAGCAGATCGTGCAACTTACGAAGTTATCCGTGTCAATCTCAAGTTCGCCCTCGCCATCGATCCCAATGTAGTACAAGGCCGCAATGGACATTGGCTCTTCTAGAAAAAATAAAAAAAATAAAAAAAAAGTCAGTTATATTATGGCGGGACAACATCCAATAGGCACACATAGTTCATGTCTAATATATACCTTGACGGATAGGCTTTCCAGAAATTCTGGCGCCCCATGATCCACCTAATAAAGAACAAACCAAAAAAAAAAAAAAAAAAATAATAATAATAATAATAATAATAATAAAATAAATGAAATAAAATATCTTTTTTTTTTTTTTTTTTTTTTTTCTTTTTCGGGGCTCAATGACCATTGTGGAGATTATCCAGATTTGTGCTTGATATCAATTCTTACCATGATCGCCTCCAGGGACTTTGATGAAGTCGGTGGTGATCTCAACATTGTTGTGGGTATCTTTAAGCTGCTGAGTGCCAAACGTTCGTCCATCCGCCTTAAGCCATCCATATTTTTCGAATTTATCGCGTTCCTCGCATCCATGACGGATATCTAAAAGTTTGCAATCCGTAAAACAGTTCATATGAGATGAACTCCATGGTTTTCTCCAGTTTAGCCTTGCTGAGAACATATAAATAAATAAGTAAATGAAAAAAGCTTACTGTCTATGCCTGCGTAGTCATGAGCGCCATACCACATCAACCCTGTCATGACTGTATCAGGTAAACGCGGTCGGGTCCCAAAGTAAAGGTTGGGCCTATACAGCCCCCAGAGTAGGGATTGATTCTGAGCTGCAGCTGCAGCCAAAGAGGGAATCTGGTCTACATTCGAAGTGATGTGAATGTTGTTTAAAAAGGAGTTTAAGGGATCCATGGCAGAATCATCCTGTGCCAAGACAGTCGAGTATGTCATTAGAAAAATGATGCCCATAAGGGCAATGGAGCGAAAGGAGGCTCGCATTGTAGTCCGGGGCCTTGGCTTATTCATTTCTTGGGCTCGCGACGATAAAATGAACAAAGGTAGATGAGAGAAAATGCAATCCGATTTTGTGAGAGAAATGGGCTTTTATTCTTTAGATGTGCCTCTCTAGACGTGTCGTGTTGTGGCACAAAGTATTGCTATCCAGCCAATCATATTCACATGGAATAACTACGCGTTTTTGGAGGCTATTGCCAATTTGCCATAACCCACCTGAGATGTGTCGAATCATCGTTAACGTCCAAGATACGGATTAAGCCGCTCTCTAACGCCATGCGTTCAGAGCCATTTGTTATTGTCTTCTCTCTCACTCACTTCTTGCTATCGCTCACTATAGAAAGAAAGTCATATAAGATCTATTTTATAGTATCGATACGCATGATGATTCTTTTAGTGTCTTTAATAATGATATTTCTGACTTTCTCAACCAGCAATTGCCTGCTTTCCCTCATTATATCTCCATAAGGCCTTGTGGATCCTGGTGAAAATCTCCTTTGATCTGTGAGTTGCCGTTGATGTTAATAATAGATATACTGGAGCCAACAAATATTCAATTCTTAGCATTAAGTCATAGTTCACTACGATGATCGTCATGAAGAGCATGACTACATAGCCCCATATCGTATACTGCGAGAGCTAGAATCGCCTCCATTTCTCTACGGATCTCCTCACAGACAGTAGAAGTAATCTGTTTTCTGCTGAGCGATCATGACCAGTGTGTGCTTGAAATTATTGTTGCTCGTATGACTCGTGCTTGCCTCTATATTACGTCAATAAAAAAAACTTCTTGTGGCATACAGTATTTAGCCACTAAGGTCACTGTTATGAGATTCTGTGTGGATCTGATCATACTATTTTATTCCATTAAAAAACAGGCAATACTTAAACTTACCCACGAGCTGTATGATCAGCCTCATTTGACTGTTGATGCTCTTAATTCGAAAGCTACGAACATTGTCATTAGCGTCATTATCAAACCATATATAAAATAAACACTCTATAAATGGTTTTCTATTTGCTTTATTGGAGAAGATGATATGTCCAATGTACTATGATTTTATTAAAACTATTTGCTTCTTTACAAGTCTTTCTTTGATTCGGATTTTCCGGTAGCCTTGGCCTCAGCCTTCTCAGCCTTCTTGATAGCAGCCTTCTCGGCAGCCTCGGACTGAGGCTCCTGTCCACCGGCCAAAGCAGCGAATGGGTTATCGGCCTTCCAAGGACGTTTCAACTCACCCTCTGCGGGCTTGCCAAACAAGTGAACCTGGGCCCACTTGCTTTGAAGTGCGTTCTTGACAGGAAGAATAGACTGAACGACAAGAGGACGAATAACACCAAACTGGAAATGCAAGAAGACCATGAGAGCCAGACCAATAAGGGCTTGCTTCTGCGCCTGAGCGTTTTGTTCAAGGTCGTAGGCCATGACAGTGGTTGTGATAAGCTTGGGTTGTTCTCCCGACAAGGGCTTGGGCTGATCTAAGTACTTGAGGACGGTAGTGTCTTTCTTGGCCAAGATACGACGCTTGATAAGGTATGAAATGCCGAGAACAAGAGCTTGGGCTGTGACATACGCTCCAAGAATAAGCTGTTTGGTCTTTGTGTCCTCAAGATCCAAGCGGTTAGTGATCTGCATTGAGCCCATCACCAAGGCCATGTTCATAATCTGATAATGGAGATGATAGAAGTATGATATTAGTTTTCTGAAGTTATTGCAAAATAATGACATTAAAAAGTATGATGTTGATCCAACATGGTGCTTGATTGTCGCTAATGTTCATGTTGCTTCTTCCTGACGTTTACAAGAAACAAAAAGACCCCATGCTTTCCGCTCTAAGGAACTTCTCTACACAACTTTAGTTATCAGAAAGGCTACCTCCGCTTCCAGATCAGTAACTATGAAAGCTCAGTGTTCTGATGAAGGAAAGGACAAAGTTGCATTTCGAACTATGAATCGTCCCTCAGACTTTTACGGATGGTTGATGATTGTGCTGTCATCTGAATAATCTACAGGTCGATCTTTCCTGACAATAAATCCTGTTCAGATGCCTTTGGTCCTGTTTTTTAATTCGAATCGAATGTGACACTCACCTGGGAGTTCATTTTATTAGCGATCGATCGTAAAGTACAAAGAAAAAAAAAAGGAAAAGGAAGACAGTAGAGAAGTGGGAGGAGGAGGAGGAAGAGGAAGAAGAGGAAAAGAAAAAAAAATAAATAAATAAATAAAACAAAAGCAAAGAAATGAAGTAAAAGGAAGGTGACAGACGTTAGACTAGACTTCAGAGACTTGTAAGTCCAGTCAGTGCCAGAACCATCAGAAGAAGGCGATTCAACCAGTCAGGCATGTTTTTGCATTATCGCCGACCAATGAGATGGCTCCGAATGGCATCCTGTCAACTATTCAACTTACACATCATCGCTCTCATTCTCCCCACGAGGGTATCGTTCGAATTGTTCGAATATGAAATTTGTATCTGCATACACCTGCAGCAAAGAGAGCAACACCCGGTTGTACTTTAAACCTGTCTGGCTTGAGCCGTAGCACCACAAGTTGATATTAAGCGAACGATTTATTTGCAACCTTTCACATCCATGCAGGCCATCTGGCTATTGTTGTATTAATGAAGACGAGTAAAATAATCATGTCAAAGATCTACAAACAAACAGATCCAAAGATCGTCGTGGAGAAAATCTCCTGTTATTACAAGTATCCTCTATTCCTTTCCCTTCTGTGGCTGCAGTGATTGAAGCAAAACAAAATGTTGCGAGCAGTTTTTGTTTTTGTTTTTTTTTTTTTTTTTTTTTTTTTGACAGATGTGTTGGCATGGCCATGTAAGATTGTTTTGAAAAATATAGTCCTTTTTATAACGTGTTGACGTGTTGACATGTTTACTAATGATCTGTAGACATGGTGTTTAGATCGAAGAGCCAAGTTTTTCACAAAGAGTCGCAGTATTCGCAGTCGGTTTGTAGATAGAAGACATTAGCACTTTGTCTCTATTTTGTCGCTACTCGTTGAGAGATGTTAGCGATCAAAGTGTTTTGCCATAGAAGGCTGAACTAGCTACTATTGTATCACAAGGGGGATCTTTTCGGTGCGAATCCTTCTTCTTTGCTTTTGATTACTAAAATGGATCTGTTGTCGAAGGCTAGCTGTTGAAGGTATCCCAATAAGGCAGAAAAAAAAGGAAACCTTCGTTACTTTGTTTGTAAAACTGTTCACTTTTATTCCTCCACAGGCGAAGGCAAAGTAAATACATCAAAAAGGTAGAATGACTTTGAGAATAAAGGTGGCAGTGACTGAGGGATCATCAAGCTGCCGTTTAAGGTGATATCGATTGGTTCAGTAAGAATCCGTAGCAATATGTATACGATATTATAGGACATGTTGACACGTAGCGGCGTTAAATGCCAAGAAAAATATTATCCGTCAAGGAAAAAGGAAAAAGGAAGCAATAAGAAACGAGAAGCATTCTAATACACGGGGTGTTAGTGAAATAAATCAAGGAGAGGGCGGTTCACGGGAGCGTTATCAGAAACAAGACAAGAGAACATGGCTGCGGCTGCGGCGGATTAAGTGGCGGTGTGATCTGCGACCGTGACATGACGATAGAACTTACCATCTTAATCATGCAACTATTTTTTATTTTAGTGTGCACATTACTCACACAAAAATAGAAGACTAAAGCACCTGGCACGGGGGTAGTGATTCAAATAGATTATGACACAGCAGTGTTTCTCTTCTAAGAGTGAGGATCAAGTATGCTAGTGATCGTGACTAAAAGGACTGTAGAAAGTATAATATGGAGCCTGAATGTTCTACATGGAACAATGCATTGAAGAGCAGGGTAACTGTCTAAAAAAGACAGCAAATTCAGCAAATCAGAAAAGAATAGAAGCCTTGGAGGGAAACTTGTGCTGCTGCGGTCATGGTTTCTTTACAAAGCCACACAGCATAATTTGACTGCATAAAAATACTTTGAACATTTCCCCAAAAGGGCGTTCATGCCTTTTGTTTATCAGCCACCGGTTACTCTTCTGACATGGGGGTTTTTTTTTACATTACACAAGATTACCCACCTATTGTTCCCTTGATACGCCACGCTCAGACGCCCGCACACATGGCCAACCTCATGCAATGATTTCCCACTAAATTACTATATTTAAATATATTCTTTGTGTAAGCATGCCAAGCGATTTAAAAAAAAAATAAAAAAATAAAAAAAATAAGGGTCCCTAAAAAAAAAACACGGCGAAAAGGTTGCTCCGCCTTGATATATGTCTCCCCCACATTAAGTTAGAGGATGTTTGTCTTCAAGGATATAAAGATGTTTGAAGTATTATATGATGGCCATTTTGAAAATGGCCGTATTTCCTTATTGAGCAGTAATAAAACAATAATATTGATATACAAAACAAGATACAAAAACACAGGGAGGCATGCACAAGAGGAAAAAAAAAATCATCGAAAGTCTTGGCATTTTTTAAAGTTTGTTTGCCAAGAGATTTATGTTGCACAAAATACACTTACTCGAGGGGAGACACATTGACAGAAAAGAGCAGTTGACGAATTTCTTGGCATTGCCAAGAAATGTAATAGGCACATAAAATAACATGTACCAATTGAATATTAAGATTATTATTATATGAATACTTTGAATTGAAAAAAAAGGGGAGATGAATCAAGTTGAACACAGGTTTAGTGCACCCATGCACATAATACACACGGTTAAGAGAAAAAAAAAAAAAAAAAAAATCTTGCGGAAGCTCTTCCGGCATATCGATTTGGGATCGTTCATCTGTCTGATGAACAAAAAAAAAATGTTACAGGGTGCGACTCTTGTTCAACACAATGCCAAGAGAATCAACCCGCCAAGAAGTTGATTTCATTTCAATGAAATATCGGAGGCATGCTCCCAAAAAATTATAATGTCCACCCCTCGGGGATCCATATTTTACAGGCCGATAATGTGGAGCATGTGTGAATGCTCTTTCATGGGTACCAGATTTCTTGGAGCACACATCCTTTCAAACCCAAATTCACTCAGGCACATTAAAGAAAAAAAAAAAAAAAAAAAAAAAAAAAAAAACGACTCGATTCGACTTTATATTTTATTTATTTATCTCGATCTGTTATAGATCAACTAGCTACTTGTGACTGAAGTCGACGAATAGATATGTCTGGCCAATGATAAAAGGGTCGACAGGGTTCTTTGTCCTTTATAAAGTTCATTAGGAATGGGATCCAAAAAGGCTTCTTGCAAAAGGGGAAAGGGAGGAGGAGTATGTAAAAAGGGTTCAACCTCATTATGTTTTAGACAGATTGGTTTGATGGGGAGAGAATGCACCTTGACTAGGGAGGAAATCCTTTTGCACGTAAAAATAGACTTCTTTTGTGATCTCTGTGATCAATGACAATGTTGTCTCAATTGGGTTGAATTGAATAGGACTTCGCTTTAAACGGATAATAAACAAAGACGCACAGAGAAGGACGAACGTGCGTTGTCCAAGGTCGATTAAATATATTCCCTTTATTCACTCCATTCAATCCTATAGAGTCGACAATCCCACTTGTTCCCTGGACGACCCTCGATTCTATAAAAGCACCCACATTCCCTCGTTTGTTATCTTCATTCTTCATCACACTTTAGCATCAAAAAAAAAAAAAGCTGTACAATTATAAAAAAGCTATCAGATACAAGCATCTTCTTACATTTACAGAAAACATAATCATAATAAAAAAAAACCAAAAAACTCACACTCTCTCACACTTCACACTTCTTGAAATCCATGCAGGTTCACTCAGCTAATCCTTTCCACTACACAACTACCTCTGCCACACAGCACCCTTACAACCCAAACATGCTTGCCTCCTCATCACAACAACAGGCGACCACTCAATACACCCTCCAATCCCAGACTGAAAAACAGCAAGAGGGTTCTGAGGAAATGTTCTTTGCGCTTGAGCGTCTCTTGATGGGAATCTCTCCTTTCCCTCCAACTATTCCTACGCTCGCAAAACCAACCTGTCCATCTCTCGACGATCAGATCATGGGCGACATCCAGGCTACATCCTCCATCCCCTCAATCGTCCTCAATGAGCAGTCCCTGGATATGTTGCAGCAGTACTACCAAACCCAGGATAGCAGCAACTCTAGTAACTTCTTCAACTGCCAGAGCAGCCCCAGCCAGGCTGATCAATCAGACTGCTCTTCCACTTCCAGATCTGTTTCACCTCCTTCTTCTCCTTACAGCTACTCCTCATCTTTGGTCTCTTCACCCGCTATGCCTTTGGCCTCTGACCCCTTCTGGGTCAACAATGGCGCTTCTCTTTACGGAAATGCCTCATCCATGGTTGCACAGCAACAGCAGACCCCAGAATGGGACGCATCTCTATTCGACCAAATTAATTTGCCATTTACAATGACCGGTCTTGAGCAATATATTCCTTCTGCCACCGAGGAGAGCACAGCTTTTTTGGGCCAACAGCAGCCTATAATGCCTAGCCCAATCAACTCCCTTTCACAGGCCACTTCCTCCGTCAGCAAGCGTACCAAGCAAACCTACCGTCGCTCCACTTCGCCATGCTCTGCACTCTCTGCCTACGAGGCTCCAGTGATCGTTCGCCAGCAGCGCGCCTCCTCAATCTCTTCAGTCTGCTCTGCCTCTTCGAGCACTTCCACAGTCACCAGTACCACTCCTCCTGCTAATGCACGCCCTGTCAAGTCTTATGCTTGCCCTACTTGCACCAAGCCCTTCCCCACACGCACACAGCTCAAGTCGCACATGGCCATCCACACCGACTCTTTCCCCTTCCCATGCATGTATGCAGGCTGCGAATTGCACTTCAAGCGCAAGCACGATCTTCGCCGTCACGTCGATGCTAAGCATGCTTTGGTCAAGAAGTACTTGTGCACCGGAGGATGTGGTGAGGGCTTTGGTCGTCGTGACCAGATGGTTCGTCACCTTCGTCGTGGCACCTGTGGCCAAGGTCAAGGTTTTCAAACCGAATGAAAAATACACACACATAAAAGCAGTACAACCCATGTATCATCATCTGTAGAATCATCTAGCGAAATATTAGATAGCAAAGTGCTTGCTATGTTGTACATTAAATATATTTACAAAATATCTTCTCGCTTTCATGATCATGCCATTGAAAAATAAAAAATAAAAGTCCTTTCATAAACACCTAAAAGTATCAAGTGTCAAAGAAACTTCTCGAGACCTGGCAAAATGCAAAGCAACTTTTCCTCAACCACATGGCAATGGCGCTTCTTCACACAACCATAGTATTTAGGGTACCTTTTTTTTTTTTTTTAAATTATTGTTATTATAAATCGGGTGTATGTTAATGGACTAGAGCTGTTCACGTTCCAATATTTCTAAATGAACAAAGCATTTCTCAGTTAAGAATAAGCAATGTTGTTGTATACTTTTAAGAGTTGAATAGTGGGCGCTCTCTTGGAATCTTATCTGCCTCCCGCTTGCAAGTCTATGTCTGAGAAGAATGGAGAGGCTGCGCTCATGTTAAGGTAGCATGCAAAGGCTTCAGTTGCACCAAAGTCTCAAGGCTTTTATGAAAAATCTGATTCATAAACTACCTCAATGGTAGCCGTGGACTGACATTTTCAATAATCATTAAGGAATATGGAAGGAACTTGATACTTGATATTTACTTACACCACAATACCAAGGCTGAGATATACTAATTCAAGGGAGAAATTAAGAGAATGCGGTCAATCCTTCCTTGATTTTTTAGTGGCTTCTTATTGGTTTTGAAAGAATGTAAAATCTCACACAAATCCTTGGCTTCATCCATTCATCCATTTCACAACACTACCAGGAATGGCGACACGAAAGACCTCTGCTGGCCTTTGGCCATCTAGAAATTGGCAGTCTAATGCAGGGAACCCTATTGCCAACACAGGTTCTTCTAGCACCTTTGGGGGGAATAACACCCAGCCAGTCGAGGCAGTGAATTGTATACCCTATCTAGCAAATCCGAGCTCGAGAAGTACCAACAATGTCACCTCTCCCAACCCGCTTGGCACCATTAGAGCATCTTCACCGTTCCATAGCAGTTTTGGTCCGACACCAACGGCTGCCACAGTCACACCAGCGGCCGCATCAGGTACTACTGCTGCCGCTACACCAGCTGTAACTGCTTTCACAGCATCAACGACGGTTCCTACAACTACAGCTACAGTCGTAAATAGTCCATTTGCATTTGCAGCACCGCCGAGTTCTATAGCCACTCCTGCGGGCATAGCCCCTGCGATGACAGCTACGACTACTGCAAGTGGCTTCAGTGCTGGTAATTCGAGTGCCTCACCTGTTCCTCTATTTGGCTTAGTTTTTGAGTCTGTGGCATCATCAACAACACCTACATATAATTTAGCTAACTCACAGCATACAGCTTCGTCCACAGCGACGACAGCAAGTCCTATAGCATCATTATCAGCGACGATGGTTCAATCGGATATTGTGAAAATGATTCGCTTCGAGTTCGAATGGAGACTTATAGATGTCCTTTTCAAAAGCGGCGATGGTTTTACGCGTTCGTACAAGTGCAAATCTGGCCAGAACGAATACGAGTTTCAATGTGCAGTCAAAAAGATCGAAAACTGTTTTTTATTTCAAATTATCTGTGCAACCGAAAAGGATTATTCGCAACTCATGTGGGTAACCAGAGCCAGTATCACAAACAAGAGCAAGACGTTGAATGAAAATATGACGACGACCGACTGGGTTGATAGCCGAAAGATTAGTATCTCTCGTATGGTGTATCTTGGTCTTTTTTTTTTTTTTTTTTTTTTTTTTTCTTCCTTTCTACCGTAGAGATGCTGCAATCATTGACAGCAATAGCTTTGAACTCAATTGAACGAATACCTTCCCCTTTTGGTACTGCTGATAGATCCTTTGCTGCAAGACTTATTTACTTTAGGGCCTAATGGCTTTTATTCAATTATTGTAACACTGTCCAGTGACTCCGACTTGGAATCTCATCCTATTTCCACTAGCGCTATGCATTGCTTTTCTATTTTGAACAGGATGCTTCAGGATGTTGACTCGCATGATGTATCCTTTGAGTTTGAAGTGCCTTGCCAATCTTACGTCCAAGAACCGATCTCTGACAAAACTCCTGAACATGACCCAGCCAATACAAGCAGCAATAGTAGCTACGACGCGTTTCCTGAGCTTGCAAGAGAGCTAAAGATCGAGGATATCGATGATGGAGTGCCAGAAGAGTCAGATGAGGAAGAGGAGGATTCGGAAAAAACAAGTAAGGTTTCCAGCAGCATGACTGAGGTAGATAAAGACCAAGGATTGTTGAAGCCCAAAAGCAAAGATGACATTGATTCGATCAAAAAAGACAAAGGAAAGGGGGGATCTTCCATTAATTCTTCCGCAACCACCATTGAGGTCGTTACTGCGCATAAGATTGTCTTGTCGCAATTTGAATATTTCCGTACCATGTTTTCAAGTTCATTCGCAGAGGGTGGCCCAGGAGCGAAAACGATTAGGATTAAAGACACAGACCCTCAGTGCTTCCGCATATTGATTGAACATCTCTATTTGGGCCAGCTGACTTCAAATATGGAGCCCAGGATCACGACAGAGGACTTTGTTCAAGAAAACGTTCCAACATGGGAGGATGTTTACTTGGTAGCAGACCGATATAATGTAACTGAATTGAGGGACAGAGCAGCTGAACGAATTTTGAGGAACCTGAGCACTGCCTGGGTAGTTCCATTCCTGTTCAGGACCGCTTATTTATTTGAGGATCTAAGGTTGCCCGTAATCAAATATATTGTCCAATTTTGTATGAGTTCTGTGGCGGCAAAGGATGCTTTGGCGAAATATTATGAGCATGAAGAATGCAGCTCAATTATGGCCGACATCTTGAAAGAGCTCTGGACGGCGAAGACGAATACTGCCTCGAAGTAAATAATGCAGAATAAAGTTTATTACCAAAGCAATAATAAAAAGCATTGTTAACTATATATATAGTTTGTCGTTGTTCAGAAAACATATAATATAAATAAATAAAGTGCAGCTCCCTCCATATAGCTTTTTTTTTTTTTTTTCTCCTGTTCTTTTTGAAATCGTAATCACACTCGCATCATCTTATTTGGTTTTTTTATTATTATTTGATCAAAAATAAAGGACGACCTTCCATTAACATGTCTATTCGTCCTTCTTCTCTTCAGCAGGAGCAGCAGCAGCAGCATCGGCCTTCTTCTTCTTATTGGCACTCTTCTTCTTGGGCCTGATCTCAGAAGCCAAAAGCTTCAAAATTTCTTCATCCTCAATCTTCTTCTCCGACTGAATGATCTCGAGGTCAATGGGGGTGTTGGTGATGCGGAGAGGACCTGAAGGCATGACGCAGACGGTGAACAAGAACTGGGCAACAAATTCGCCATCCTTCTCTTCCATGACGTCATATGCGTTGACAACGTTGTGCTTGATGCACTCCAAAAGACCCATGCGGGCTTTGCGCTCATCATCCATCAAGCGCAAGTTGAAGGGGAACTGACCAAACTTCTTAGTGATCTCGGACAGGACAACACGTGAGGTCTGCATCTTCAAGCTATAGTTGGTGGCAGTCTTCTTGTAGATGGTGGTGCGAGTAGTGCTGCTCTTGATCTTTCCATCGCCTGAGGAGATCATGATATCGACACAGTAGACCTCATTCTCAGCAAAGGTGCACTTCTCAAAGTCCTGACGCTGGCCTTCAGTGGGATTGAGAATGATCTGCTTCTTGCCGTCAATAACATTCTTCTCCTGCTGGTGAGAAAGCATACCCTCGACTGGCTTGCAACCATAGGCAGCAGCAATGCGTTGAACATGGTCAGTCACAGGAGTGTTGGCATTGCCGGCACGGATCAAGCGAACAGCAGCTTCGGCAGCATGGTGGGCAGCCATGAGGACATCTGCTTGCTTGCCCTTAATAGGGTTCTCCTTGGAGGCACCAACAACGATAGTAGTGGCAGCAATGGCACCAAATCCATCAATCTGAGCACCAAGCTCACTATAAGCAATTGGATGAAAAGAAAGTAATATATAGCGAGTATGTTAGGGTTATCTACTTTTTTTTGATTAATACAATTGTCCCATTTACCAACACATACATCTTGACCATATCACCAGTCTTCAACTTCTGGTCAGCCTCGGGATCAGAGGCAAGAGGGGAGAAGTGGCAGATGATGTTGTTGACCGAGAGCGAAGTAGGAAAGCCGACACCTAACACAATAAAATGCACACATAACATTATAAAAAATTTAATGACAAAACGCCATATTATATTTCCTCGAGATAGTTAGAAATAAGAATATTACCCTTGCTGATCTTTCCCTTGGTGTAGACAGTCTTGGTCGCCTCCTCGATAGCCTTGTCGCCATTGATGCAGATCTCCAAGACGGAGGCTCCGTCAACGCAAGCAGCAGTGACCTGAGCAATCACGCCTACAATTAATAAAACAATTGGTGTGCATTTTAGTCACGTTTTAGAATGGTCTGGTTTTTTATAATTTTCACCAATTGTTCCCACGACTTTGAAGAGGGAAGAGTGAGGGGGCTACATTTGTGGCGTCTGATACATACGGTTGGTGATATCGGCAGCAGCCTTGTACTTGGTGAGGACATCGGTGTTACTAATACGCGGAAAGAAGAAGGAAAAAAAAAAAAAAGGCATTCATTATGAAAGAGGTATAAGTAAAAAATTCAGGTGCAAAAACAGAAATGGTAGTAATGTTCAATTATGCTGAGCGATTCATGTAGAGGGGGAGTTGAGTGTATGGCTTAAGTGGGTCCTGTACAACGCGTGTTTGTTGTTTTGCGTAAAGGGTATGAGGGCGCGGCAACACTTTTTATTTTTTATCTTTTGAAACTTTTGTCGAGTAGGTAGAAATTCATTCACGTCAAGAGCGAGCGAAAACAGAATCCTTACGCGACGGTGATATCCTCGGGCTCCTGGACGGTGACGGTGAGCTTCTTCTTGTCGGCAGTCTTGCTCATATTAATACGATCGATGGTAATGGAAGAGAGATGAGAGTGTGAGAGCAAGTAAAAAAAACTTAATGGTTTTGTTATTGTCACTAGGGCAACTCAAAAAACCGTCACCTTCGCTACACGTGATAAACTTGCATATTTTTTTAGCGCGTTTGCCACCATCACTTTCTTTTTCTCTCTACCTCCAACCTCACACCACTTTTCAAGACCACCTGTCCAGATATGACTACCATAAAGCTTAAAGAAGACCATGATGTAATCCTCCCTGTGGTTTGCGGAGAGCTTACAGAATCTGGCCCTAATACCACGGCGCATTTATCCATTTCAAGTACTCTTGACCATTGGTATACGATGCATATGACTATAACCCGAAAGGACTTGAACCTCGAGGTGAATATGCATATCGAAAAATATGTGTGTCAGAGGTCGACGCCTAAAATCCCATACAAAAAAATGCTTGTTGTTCCACAAAAGAACTCTGTCCTTCCTGTTGCGACTACTGTGAAGCACTCAGACGAGCCTAACGAAGATTTTCAAGGTAAGCAGTTTGCATACGAAATGTTGAGCAAAAAGTATTTGAAAGTTGTGAAAGTAAAAGCTCTTTATTTTTCAATATAAAATAATAGTCAAGGTCCCTATTCAGGGAGTGCTTTTTAATGGCCAATACTGCTTTGATGTTGTGCTTACAACAGACTTGAATCGGATTACAGGGCCCTTAAGAGGGGACCCCAAGCACCCTCAAGCTCTTGTCAAGCACCGTGAGATTATGCTTACACTACTTAAAGATCTCACCACCGTTGATTTGTGCTTCTCCTTCCCCTCTGACAAGAGCTGCTCAAATTTTGGGCTCTGGGCACACCAAACCATCTTAAAACGATACAAGCCCCTTGCTGAGTTCATCAACTCACCCCCGGCTAAAGAGTCAAAAGAGAGGAAGATCGTGCGGTTCAAAGGCGACAAATCGCGTGACTCTTCACGCTCTTCGGATTCCTACTCGGGTGAGTCTGATGAAGGAGATGAGAGCGAATACGAAGAAGATGATGACCGCTGTTGTCTGTTGATCGATGACGAGTTTATGATGGCTACGATCTGTGCACTTTTAATGTATGTTTATACTGGCGACATTGAGCTCTCTGTTGACACCAGCAAGTTTGCCATCAAACAGTCAGAGGGCGACGGCTCAACTAGCGGACAAGGCAAAAACTCAACCAGGCATCCCTTGGGCCTCGACTCTGGATGGAGGTTTAAGGATGTCACTTGGATGGATCTACTCAAGGCAGCAGATTATTATGGAGTGACTGATCTTCAGGCTCGGTGCGAGGAAGAAGTGATCGCATCCATTAATGAGTCTAACGCGCTTGATATTCTGTTCAACGTTGGGCAGAAATATAAGGATATTAAGCTGGAAGCTATTGATTACATTGCGAATATGATGGGTTCATTGTTTAATCAGGAGCGAGACCCATTCGCACCATACAAGGACCATCCTTCGTGCTATGAACTGATGGTTGAAGTGATGCGTCACAAGGGCAATCAAGGCTTATAAAACATCGATCATCAATTCCTCAAATCATCATTCTTGCACAGCTTTATCAAACGCCTCAACGAACAATAGCTTTACTTATCAGGCGGTACTATTCTATACTTTTCTCTGATACTGCATTTTGAATAAAACAAAAATAATCACTGTTCAGCAGTCGCGTAAGATGTGGCCGATGCATGCATAGTTGGTTTCACAAAAAGATGTCAAAGCGCAGGAAACTTAAATCGTGCGACATCACATGTTCAGTTGAGCCCCTCTAGAGCACCCATGACACAACCACGACCATTTTGACCAAATGTCAATTCAAGCGTGTGATATCAGACAAACTCAAATTAAAAGGTTCAAATAGTATATTTTTGAAGCGGGCGCTTCTCCAAACGCTTTAATTGTTGTAGAGAGACATGACTGTAGACTATATCCGAATTTTCTGCAACCTTCAATACTCCTCACTCGGAATCATGTGATTTTGATGAACCGTTGAAAAGAGGCAGCTTGTTGTTGTTTAAGATTATGCACAAGAAAGTATAGGCGGGCCAAGTGAATTTTTTTAAAAAAAAGGATCAGTGTAGGATTGTGGATTTGAACTTTACTCCTTTCAACTGTTCACACAATTACATGTCATGCTTGACTTCCAAGTGACACAGGTTCATGAAGCAAGATTGAGGATCGAGGCTCCACTTCGGACATTAACATATTGGCATGTTCAACATGCAGCCGAATTGAATGGCATTTCTTGGTCCATTACCATTTCGAAGGACCGAGAGGCTTTAAAGATCAGCGCTACATCGACCGCAAGAGGCGGCCTCGGGAAGTTGGCATCATTGTTCAAAAAGATGCATGTAGTTGCCACACATAAAGGTGCACCGCATACAGAGTCAAGTTCTTCAAATAGCACTTTTACTGGTATGGGACACTTTTACTTGGAGACAAAGTAAAACTTTATTATGTAATCTGTCACATCATTCGTTGATGAATTGAAAAACTCTATTTCATCTTTTGGAGTAGCATCGATTCCGGCAAATAGGGTTCTTTATCAAGGCAAATATTGTTTCGATCTCATATTCTCCACCAGCGATGAGCCCTTACTGCCACCGTTGAGCCCAACTGAAGAAACGGAACTTACTAAAAGTCGTAACATAATGCAGACGATGCTAAAGGACATCTACTCAGTGGATGTTTGCTTCGCATTCTGCTCGGACGTGACATATGCTAATGTTGGACTTTGGGCACATCGCGCTATCCTTTTGGAATATAAGCCTTTCGCAAAGATGCTTGAGTCTTCATCTAAGAAGCTATCGTCACGAGGCAGTAATGTTAAAAAGGATAGCAGAGGCGATAGCAGCAGTTTGGGCGTTCCTCTGCTGATTTGCATTGATGATTTCTCGATAACCACTATGTGTGCATTGCTCATGTATCTTTACACAGGCAAGATTGAACTCAGTGTGGACGCTAAGAACTATGCTTTGAGTATGACGGATGGTGAACTGGTCGTGAGAGGGCTCATCAGCCAAACTAAGGAATCGGTTCGTTGGCCTCCTTTTGACGACACGAGCTCAATCTGGAAGCTAAGGGACGTGAGATGGGATGAATTGCTCGTGGCTGCTGACCACTTCGAGGTCGAGGGACTCCGAGATCATTGTGTGGAGGAGATATTGGCATCAATTGACGAGTCCAATGTATTCTCTATTCTTTTCAGTACTGGTCGTTCTTTTCCAAAAATTAGGGAAGGAGCACTTGAATTCATGAGTAATAGGATGAGCACCTTGATTAGTAAAGGTGAAAAGGACCCCTTTTTACCCTATGTGGACCTTCCAGAGTGTCATAGTGTAATGTTGGAGCTATTGCGGTACAAGTTTTCAGACTTGTAAAAAAAAGAGAACGATCTTTTTCCTCATCCGCCATCTGTCATTTTTATATTTTTTTTTTTTTTTTTTTTTTTAACGGATGCTGTTGTAAATATTGAACGTTTTTTTTTTTCTTTTCTTTACTTTCTGCTTTTCTTGATAGCAGAAATCAATCTTCAAAAATTAAATTGTAAAGTTCATTGGATTGGTAGAAGCAAGAGCCCCAATATATCAACATGTCTTTATCGCATATACAAATGTTGGTTAGAAAAATTCAATTATAGGCCTTTTACTTAACAAAATACTTGTAATCGACAACAGATTACCCAGAAAAAAGATCCAAGACCTAGCAAATAGATTAAATGCTGTTGAAAACTGGAAGTCGAGGACCAATTGACGTAGTAAGGGCTAAAAGTGAGAATTTATATAACCAATCCACTATGGTTGAGATGTTCCTTTATTCTCTTCTCCTTTCTCAATCTTCATCAAACGAGTAAAAGATATCTTGCCTCTGTTGCTCCTTTCCATTTCTTCCTACTCATAGATTCCCATTTTATTTTGCTCTTTCAACGCAGCTGTATCAACCTAGCCATGTCCACTGCAGTGATTCCCACCTCTAGGTCAAAGGCCTCGCTCATCCTTCCTATCAATCGTGTACTCTCATTTCTTGGTCGCTTCGATGGTAGCAAAAACACTCGCGTCCTTAAACTCATTGGTAGTTTATATTTCATATTTATTCTGTACAAGTATCGTCGATCGGTCTATGGAATACGTCCTCGTCCTGAAATTCCTGGCCCTCCAGGCCTACCACTCGTGGGTAATCTGTTCGGAGTACTAATGTTGAAGAGGAAGCACTTGTTGCAAGCGCAAGAAGCAACCTATGCGAAATATGGTAAAATTTATACGACCGCGGCCCCTGGTGTTGGTCGGACGATCAATGTTATGGAGCCTGAAATTTTGGACCATGTCTTACGAGTCAATTTCTGGGCGTATGAGAAGGATCCTAGAAGCAAGACTACTTTGTGGCCTTTAATAGGAGCAGGTAAGAATACACATAATGCACACACCACTTTACAGACCGAAGAGTATGAGCAAAATAACAAAATTAAAAAAAAATTGGCTGCGATCTAATGTCAAAATTTTTCTCGCTGCTTTATTATTATAATAAAAAGGCATTTTCGGTGCAGATGGCGCGCACTGGAAGTGGCAGCGCAAGTTGACAAGCAACATATTTTCTGCCAAAGCTTTCCGGCAGTATACTTCAGAAGTATTTTGTCGTGAAGCTCAAACAGTTATAAATTATATCGATAAATATGCCAATTCTGGAAAAGTAATCGATCTTCAGCAACTGTTCAATTGTTTCACTCTCGGTAAGACAAATAGTATCCAAATGATCATTTTATAACCGTTTTAAAACATGACGTTCGATTCTCTTCGACGGAAAGGGACCTGTTTCTGACCGGATAAATTCCCTTACATGGGTCTCGCACGTACTCTTATTGAGAGAGTCGACTGTACATGTACATATACTTGGTTCGTTACTAATATCTCATATCCTATCGTTAATTGAGCGAATAATAGATTCTTTTGGCGAAATCGCTTTTGGGCAGACCTTTGGCTGCTTAGACGATCCGGAGCATCCGACCGAATTTGCAGTTGCGTTCGATCATCTCAATCATCTTCTCGCTGGTGGAGCTTCGACACCATTTTGGGGCCTCAAGCTCTGGTTGACAGGTCGAGGGAAACAAATTGCAAAGGATAGCAAGTTTGTTCGAGAGTATGCTCTCAATATTATTCAAGATCGACGCAATAACCAGACATCTCCTTCACTTGCTGCAAAACATGGAAACCCGCACCAAAAAGACCTATTGCAGTTATTCATGGACGTGGGTACTGACAACGTTGGTAATGTTGATGAGGCTACGAAGCTCTCAGACGATATGCTTGTGGACAGTGTCCTCAACTCCCTCATTGCTGGCCGCGATACGACCGCACAGGCACTTACTTGGACATTCTACCTCATGCACCGCACGCAGGCAGGGCCAGAACTGGTCCAAAAGTTGGTCAAGGAAACAGAGGAGGTCTTGAAGGGAGAGAAGCCAACTTATGAAAGTACCAAACAGCAAAAATATGCCGAGGCTTGCTTCAATGAAGCATTGAGGCTTTACCCTTCAGTCTCCAGGAACTCAAGGATCTGTATTGAGGATGATGTCCTACCTGGTGGTCTTAAAGTATACAAGGGTGAGCGCGTAGCATGGAATTTATATGCCATGGGCCGTGCGACTCATATCTGGGGACCAGATGCAAAGGAATACAAACCTGAGCGTTGGATGAAAGGGAGCAAGCCATCTTCCACCAAGTTTATTTCCTTCCATAGTGGCCCACGTACATGGTAAGACATTTTCTTCAGCAACCATTCAAAGCTTCATCTTTACAGACGCTGACATTGATCTCATACTCCTTGTTTCGCTTGTTTGAACAGCCTCGGACAGCAGTTTGCCACCATCGAAGCTGTTACACTTATGTCTATGTTGATCCAACGTTTCACATTTGAACTCGTGAACCCCGATCTTGAGCCTGCATACTTGCCTTCCTTGACACTTCCGGTGGATGGAGGTCTGCCCGTTCGTATCAAACGTCGCAAAGAAACCATAGCTGTTTAAATATATTATTCATATCGATACATAGTAAAGGGATTAAAATCAATGCTAACAGCAACGTCTTGCAACGCCTCTTTCAAACATAAATGAAAAATGGCTGTGAAATGATCAGATCAACAAATATTTCTTTGTTATTGGTTCGTATTGAAATAAAGGGGAAAAAAAAAATAATAATTCAAATGTACACTTGTATTTAGCATGCGTCCCCTACGGTTTTACTACTAACGATCTATCTTATTCTGGTTTTGCTCCTAAAGACCCACTTAGACTGGAACATTCAGCAACATGTTGTTGCCCTTTTGGTTAGGAAGGTAGGTGACATTCTTAGCTTGGGCCAAAGTGCCGGCGATATCCTTAGATGCCTCAATGCGACGAAGCTCAATTAAACCAGCACCAGCCTTCTCTAAAGATGCGGAAATAATCTCGGCAGCATGGCTAAAGAAGAAAACAGGTGATATATAGAGCAAAAAATGTTAGCACACAAATCTCAAGCTGCAGAAAATAAGAAGGGTGTTTTGCCTGGAGAAAAAGAGACATAAATAATTGATTATTTAAAGACGTACGCTTCACCCTCAGCTCTGATAATGGAGGCATTCTTCTCCTGCTCAGCCTTCTCGACAATGAACTTGGCGCGCTCTGCCTCCTGCTGAGCAATCTGCTTCTGTTCGACAGCGTTAGTGAATTCGCGACCGAAGGTCATTGTAGTCTATCAACCCATCATGTTGAAACGTAAAATGCAAATAAAATAAAAGTATTAAGAAATGCCAAAAAAATAAATAAATAAACAAGTAAACCAAATAGCTTACAATAGACACATCCTCAAGCTCGATATGGAACTCTCTAGCACGCTTCGCAAGATCCTCACGGATTTTGGAAGAGACAAGCTCACGTTGTGTGATAAGCTCGCCAGCATCGAACTGAGCAACAATAGACTTGAGGACTTCGTTTCCGATCGAAGGAAGCACACGTTCATCGTAATCCAAACCAAGTCCCTGATAGATCTGGGACAAGTTCTTGACATCGGGTCTGTGAAGGACACGAAGGGTCAAGGTGACCATCTGCATATCCTTGGATCCCGTAGTGGTGGAAATATTGCGTGGCTTCGTGCGCACATCAAACTGAATCGCGCGCTGCAACCATGGGATCAAGAAATGAGTACCCTCACCTACTGGACTAGGCTTCACTCCCTCCAATCTGTCGAAAATAACGGCGCGGTAGCCTCCTTGGACTATAAGCAAATAAATATTAAAAAAAAAAAAAAAAAAAAAAAAAATTTGCATTAGACATGAATACCAACTAGGAAATATATAGACCCTTCAAGTTGGTTATTGATCTGATTGCAAAGTGTAAATCCTGCCGTTTCCACTGTTAAGTAATTTCGTGAGAAAGACTGAATACAGATCTATATTTTTTCTCTTTCTTTTGTAGTAGAGATGGTAATAGTTGGCGTTGCGATCTATCTTTTCAAGATCGCCTACTGTGTGGATTATCGTTTCTACGGGACCACTTCCGAGTATCCCGAAAAAATGAAAGCTTATCTTTAGTCTCCCGGACGGTCAATGCCAATATAGATCCCGATTCAAGTTTCCCACAAACATATAGTATAAATAAAATTTACGGCTTGACATGGCCGTCTAAACTGATCGTTCCCCGAAAGAAGGCAGTTGATCAGTTTAAAAAAAAAAAAAAAAAAAAGACGGAAATAAAGTCGGCATGCCGATTCAGTCCTGAAGAAGACTAACTCAAAATCGAATACATGTCGTCACATTTCAGCGCGGGTTTTGTAATGCTATGGGGCTGGATCCCGATTTTCTCTTGACCTTGACTTTCAGACCCCAAAAGTCTTAGCTAATCGTTTGCTGCCAATCGGATCAGATTCTATTCTAAGAATACATACCGTCATACATGGAGTACTGCAGGAAAGAGACTGCAGCTCCAACAGGAATAGCAATCTTTGAGATGGTAGTGAGGATGCCAGACATGGTTGCTGTTATGAGAGAGAGAAAAGGGATGTCGTGAAACGAAAAGAAAGACGTGCTATATGGCAAAGATGCAACAACACTTCAATGAAAAAGCTCCGTCAGCAATATGTGGAAGGCCAAAAGGGAAATTTATTTGATCGATTGTTTTGAGGGCTGGGCGGCAGTCACGTCGCTTCAGTCACGTGAGTATTGATACAAAGAGTTTTTTTACAAGAATGCGAAGAATGCTATCAACAGAGGTATAAAGACAATAAAATCAAAAGATGGAAGTAGCTATGACATCCGTTTTATGTACGGACCCCATAGTCCCAGACAAAGACAACTCCATCGTCCGAGCCACTCACAATGCGAGTGTCACCAAGACCAATGCAAGTAACAGGACCTTCATGACCCGTGAGAGTATAGAGGCATCGACCACTCTCGGTATCCCACACCTTGATCGTCCTATCCAGGCTGCCTGACACAATCCGTAGCTTATCAAATGCTAAGGACCATACACCTTCTACATGACCAAATAGCGTGTTGAGACATTCACCCGATTCGACATCCCAGACTTTGAGTGTGTTATCAAGGCCACCAGTGACAATAATTGGCATCATGGTTCTAGTTTCTACGTCAGAGCTGGGATCATGAAGCGGCGATGGCAAATTATTCTCAACTACCCCAGAACGGTTGATACTGCATACTGTAGTTGGCACTCCGCCAGTTCGACCTTGTGAAGATGATGGACCGTCTTGTGGTCTGTTCTGCATACGCTCTACAATGATTGAGATCAAGGCATCTCCAGATGTTTGCAAGCATTGAACTCGTCCCACATGTCCTGTGAACGTTCTAAGACATGTCCTCGAGGCGATGTCCCACAATTTGACCGTCGTATCATCACTGGCTGATACAAGTAGCTTTTTCTTGTATATCTGTACCTTGTTGACTAGGTCACAGTGTCCCTTCAAAGTTGAGCATTCGCCTGTAGCAAAGTTCCAAATCTTGATGGTCGCATCTACAGATCCAGAGGCAAGAATGCGGGAATCAAAGTCCAAGGTGACAACACCATCTGTATGTCCCTGTAGGGTGCGAATACACTGGCCTGTATGATAATTCCAAATCTTGAGCGTCCTATCCATCGAGCCTGTGATCAACTTAGCCTCGTCAAAGTGGAGCGCACGCACGCAAAGGGCGTGGCCTCTCAAGGTCCGAAGACATTCACCTGTTTCGATATTCCAGACCTTGACAGTATTGTCGTAAGATCCAGTAATAAGAAAAGACTCATCGAACTGTAAACACATCACGCCATCCGTGTGGCCTCTAAAAACCTTAAGTCGGTAGTTACGTTTCCGCCAGTTTCTCTCAACGATCAAACGTTCGGAATAAATCTCTTTCCAAGGCCTCTTTGTGGGCGTCTCAGTCTTCGCTGGCGGTTCTGGAGATTGAAACAATGGCGTTGAAGTTTTAGATCTAGATTTCCCAGGCGAAGGAGAATGTAGATTATGCCGAGCACGCTTCTGAGAACATCCCGCCTCGATATCGTTTTCATCGGATAAAACGGAGCGTTTGTTGGGCCAGCCAGATGATGGGGAAGCTTCTGTTGGAGAGAGAGAAGATGTGGAACTAGGTGGAGAAGGATGAGATGGCATAACATCACTATTGCCTTGGTGACCGTTTATATGTTCTTGGTCATCATGATCGCTCTCGTCAGCGGCTGCTAGCGCACTTTCTGATTGTGAGCTGTTTTGGGGTTGTAGCTGTGGTGGGGGCTGTGGGGGTTGGTGCTGTTGCTCCAGCAATCGTTTTGATTTAGCCTTCTTTTTATCCAACAAAGGTAAACCCCATCCACATTTCGTGCATTTGAGTCCGATATGTTGCTCACACATGCGATGCCAGACCACGTCGTCGTCTGCTAGACGCTTCCAGCTTTTGCATACCTGTGCTGCATGGCAAAGCGATGTTGCATCAAGATATGAAAGAATGCGAAACGCTATTTCAGGTGGAGTGATGGAAAGGAAGTCAATTCGGAGTAGTGGTTGGAGGTGGTTAGAGAGGAACGAGAGTTGGGGCACGCAGCATTGAGTCAGTAGGCCACTAAGAACCAACTGGCGATGGGGTGCTGGTGCAGAGCCAAACAGAGACCAGATATGAGAGATGATTTGTTGATCCTGCTGAGGCAATCGTTTGATATCCTATGGTTGATAACAAGTAAAAAGTAGGAAAGAGTCGTTAATCATGAATATTCAGGTGTTTCGGGAGTAGATGAAAACATGGCAGCATTGTTGCGGATACAGGATACATCGATGATCGTGCGGAGATAGACGGGTAGAGGAAGACAGTAGTCTAGTCAGTCAACCAAAAAAAAAAAAAAAAAAAAAAAAAAGAGCCAAAAGGAACAACAATACTGCGTCCAGCACTTGTTGAGCTACTACTAATGGTTTGACAATAGAGCATCATGGATCAAAGTGTGTGCGAACCCTGCGGAACAAAACATATCATTGTGCGAGTAGTAGGAGTGAGAGAAGTAGTTTCACTAATGATTGGAATGTTGGATGGTATAGCACGGGTTTGGGTTTGGGTTTGGGTTTGTAGTATGTGTGTTTGGGTAGGCACTATGTTTATACTAGGAAGAATGTCTGGGTCTGCATGTCTCTATTGTTGAATTAGTGAAGTCTGTACCTGTTGCAATTGATCAAGTTGGATCTCGTCTGCCGCTCGCTTAGATCGCAAGTCAGGTCTGTGGCGGTAACACAGACGTTTTTCTGCTTTAGCAGCTTTGTGGTCAGCAGATGATTGTTCAGACCAATTGAGGGTTGGAAATGATTCTGGAAGTAGATTCTCCTTCGTTGGTTGGACAGGTGCTAAATCCTCCAAGGCATCAGGGTTCAGACAGAGCGATGGAGCCAACAGCTCGGATGAGTCTGGAGGCGAAGGCGAGTCGTAGGCCATGATGACAAGGAAGCTGTCAGTTCGATCGAATTGAGTAGCGGATGAGCTGCTTTGGATTACTAGGGTGAAGTGGATGTGCCTGAATGTGAATGTGAATGTGAATGTGAATGTGAATGTGAATGTGAATGTGAATGTCTAGGAAGTGTCAGGGCAAAGCAAGACCGTGCGAGTTGGAATAGAATACAGGCAAGGATGAACGGGAGCTTGAAGAGGAGTTAACGATGTCGGCACTATTGAAATGAGATTGAGATGGTGTATAGTTGTAGTTGCTTCTGTTATTTGTGATGAGAGTGATGGAAATGGGCGTTGAAGAAAATAGATCAAATAAGAGGAAAGGAAGAAAAAGGAAAAGTGAGAGACGAATTATATTTGTAGGGTGTGAGGGAGATGATGGAGTCAGTCTCCAAGGGTGTTTGAGAGGCCATCTTCCCGCACATGCCTCAGCTCTCAGGACAATTAGGACCATTCAATCATGAATAAGAATTATGGCAAGCAAGATGCATATCATGTTACAAACACAACACCTACACAAGGAATGAATGGCATCACCTTGCCTTGGTAATGTCGCAATCCACTAGAAAGACTTTATTTTGAATACAATTGTTTAGTCAGTTAGTACATGTCCATCTTATTCAAAATGTGTCCTTGCAGCATTGACCGTTCTCTTCTCAACAATATATCAACACTTGCTTTTACTCTCATCACGACCACTTTATCACCATTAGAAGTATCCTCAACAGGAACAGAAACCATCCCATACAATTCGAGTCATAAACACAAGTGTCCCTTATTCATTAAATGATAATCTCAGGATCCTGTAGTAAGTTAATATAATAGTGAAGATATGGTTCGATTGTGTATTGTTGTCATTGTCCATAAACTAAAGCTCCCAAAAAAAAAAAAAAAAAAAAAAAAAGAGTCCAAAGATGGAAGGAACATCATGGCCCAAGCATTCACAGCCTTGCCTTTGTCTTTGCCTTTACCTTTGCCTTTACCTTTGCCTTTGCCAATATCTTTTTTTTTTTTTTTTTTTTTTTCTTTCTTTCTTCTTCTATTACAATCTCCCCTTCATTTGATGAGACAACACAAAGGTGTATAGCAATTATAAACTTTTTTCTATTTGTTGCCTTTTCAATACGAAATAGATTAAAGAGTTGGAGAGCTAAAGAATTGAGGCTGTCCAGGGTGACACGGGCAATCACACGCCTTTTTTTTTTTTTTTTTTTTTTTTTTGATGAAATGAATTTTTGATAGGCAAATGTGTCCAACCTGCAGATTGATTGTAAACGAGAAATTATTTTCAAAGAAATAAATGAGCAGTTGTATCGCCTCGATAGAAACACCGAGGACCATGGATCTCATTATGAAGTAGATCATTTTGAATAAACGTTTGCATAAATTCGATTTCCTATTGGATAGCAAGCAAGTGATGAGGATTAGAGATGTATCCACATGCTCGTGTGGAGAGAGGAAAAGGGAGCATTAGGATATTGACTTCTTAATGCGTAAGGACCCCTCTTTGGATCTCCGTGGGACGCGTTGTAACTTTTTTTTTTATGAGCACAGCTTTGGCCAATCAGCATTGGATGTGGCGAAATTCTGTTACGCGAAGAGGTGACATTTTGGCCCTCCAGCACGCCATTTGCTAATAGCCCTCTCCTGCCGACAATCGACTTTGGATATTACTGTTCTACAAATATACATCTACTATCCACGGGAAATAATATGTCAATAGTGTTATTGGGTCATGAAATGGTGCTGCTTTTGCAACGTAACAACCCTTTAGTTCTTCATGTTCAACATCTCTACCTCCTACAAAAAAGACTCTTTCCACACTTCCTCTTTCTCTCTTTTAGTTTTCCCGCCGAAGACATCACTCAGACCCCTCTCATTTCCTGCCGCTCTGGCGCAATACCTATAAAAATCCATCATGTTTTATACAGTTCTATATACAATAGGAGATTTATCAAACATATCCACTTGATTCTTACAAGCTGCTTTTTTTTTTTTTTTTTTTTTTTTTTTTTTTGAAAGGGGAGAAGGGGTATAAACATAATACAAGCCAGCCGATCGAGGGGCGATTACCTTTTTTTTTTTATTTTTTTATTTTTTTATTACCTATTACATTAATGTTTAGAGACTTCTTATTTGAGTGCTGCTATATGTCATCCCGTGCGCGCGCGATTTCTATTATTTATATTAGAAGCATCCGCATCATTGTATGTACGCTTTCGTTAAATGAATGCGCAAACAAGATAGGCATCACTTAAGAATATGCATTCATATCATTTAAAGACTTGGTTCTTAGTGTTATCCCATGAAATACTGTTTAATGAACCGTTTGTTGCGATTTTTTTGAGTGATTGGTATTCGCATTTTACCCGCAACCCCAGGCACTTTGTTAGTGCTTCCCCCTCTTTCATGCTTCAACGACAAAAGCACGCCACTGTTGCAAAAAAAGATGTGCTAGTGGTTTTTTTTTTTTTTTTTTTTTTTTTTTTTGCAGATGCTTTAAAAAAGATAAAATCCTAACTAAACAGGGGTGCTCGGATATTCCTGTGCTCATGATACGCCTTGGAAGGGTTGAAATGATCGAATATGGTATTCTTCCATACAAATCTCTATTTTTATTTATTTATTTTATTTTTTTTTGTTTTTTCAATTCCTTTGTGATATTAGGTGGACTTCGCATTACTAGTCAACTCATGATGCAGACCAACAGACACCAGTCTTGCCTTTAGGTCGGGACGCCATGAATTTGGGACAAATGCTGTAGTTCCATTGAAGCATAGGCTTTGGGCCATGTCAGGCTGATATTGCACACTTTCCGATTTGACCATCTCTTTTTTAAAAGTGCTGTTAAGTTCCAAGGGGATTTGTCAGGGCAACTGAATCAGTTCCGGCTTTGAATGGCCGCCTTAAAAAGACTTGCCAAGTCTTGGCAGTTAGAGCAGAGTAGCACTCCAACTATAGCCTTTACGCTTGTTATAATCCATAGTAATAATAATAATAATAATAATAATAATAATAATAATAATAATAATAATAATAATAATAATAATAATAATAATAATAATAATAATAATAATAATAATAGTATCCTTGGTGTTGTCCCAGTAGATGGCACAATAGCAGACCCATATGATTCTATTCTGGAATTCCTTTTTTTTTTTTTTTTTTTTTTTTTTTTTTTTCGCTTTCGGACGGAAAGAAGGCCCTGGCTTATTTCTGATTAACTGAAATAGCAAAACATGAAGCATTAAGCCTTTGCTGGTAAAGCGGACTAAATTAATTGCCGGTGCCTAACTTTTTTTCCTGGTGATGGTATACACTAGGATATCTAACGCAAATGTGGATATACCAAATCCTTTCTGTCTGTACAAGACCTTAGTGCCATATACGGGTTAAAAAAAAAAAAAAAAAAAAAAAAAAAAGTAAAAGTATATGCTTGTGCATACGCATATTCTTGAGTAGCATAAAAAAAAAGAGACAGGAATTTTTAATAAATGATGAAGGGCGATGTTATCTCATCTTGGCTACTAGATTCAGTACTGACTACTTGCTGAGTATCAATCCCTGGTTCAGCACCTGCTCTTGGTTCAGCATCAACAATTGGTTCAGTCTCAACCGCTGGTGCTGTTGCTCTACTGCTGCTTCTATGTCCAACTGGTTCACTTTGGAAAGTTTTCGTTTCCCTTCTACTCGCGGTATCCCCGATTTCCTCTCTATTCATTGCTATCATCCTTAGGATCTCTGCCATCAGGTTAACACTGCACTCATGATATTCATCGTCGTGTCGGAACTGCAAGAATGGATCCACTTCATCTTCACGCCCAAAGATCTTTGCAAAATTTTTCTTTATAAAGCTCATAACTGGCTTCTTGATCTCCTCATACTCGCTTCCCAAGCGGACCAAAGTTGGGATCGCATTCTCGACACTAAGGTACGATTGGATTAGCCGCGCACAGTCCTTGACTAACTCCTGAATGTCAAATTGATGAGCTAACAGTAAGAGTTCGCCGATTTGTAGGGTCTCTGCCTCAGGCGAACCTGCTGGTTTTGTTCTCTCTTCAGAAAGGCCGCGGAGGGGTGGGGTGGGGGGTGGAGGTGGTGTCGCGGCTACGGTATTGACATCGGCTAAAATGGATTCGATGTCGTGTGTGTAGATATACGTTATCATGGCTTTAAATGCCGGGAAATTTAAATGCGAAATATCTACGGTGACGGGCGCTTGCAATGCTACCGAAGGTCTACTAGTGGTGGAGAAGTGTGAAGAAGCCGACGATGATGTCGATAGTCTCCGTACCCTTCTCAAGCCAGAAGACGACGTTCCCTTCTCACATTTTTTGGACTTTATCATTTGCGTCATCTTTTCTCTAGCAGACTCTACTATTTCCACATGAAGCGATAAGACTGGATAATCTTTCAACAACGTACGATGCGCCCCGACCATGTTATAGCTACCAAGAGCCGGATTATAATGACAAAAATGAACATCGTGTGGTTGATCCATGGGAACGGTTCTGTGACTGCTTTTGGGTGTGGAGATTGACGCTGACACTGATATTGGTGCTGCAGTTGATCTATAGCTGCTATCGTTTTCCCAAAATGGGTCCTCGGAGAAGGAACTGGAGCCTGTATTGTTATTAGCGTAAAGCGAATTCTGGTTGGTGATTCTTGAGGATGGTCTATCAACATCATATTTTTGATCCATAGAAACGCTATGGCTACTTCTGGTTATCGATGTTGGTATTGATGGCGGCTCTGTGGTTGATCTGCGGCTGATTATACTTCCCCAAGTTGGAGGTGGATCATCAAAAAAGGCACTGGTACTGTTGTAAGCGTGGAGGTGGGACGCCAAGTTATGGGCGGTGATTGAGTTTGTATCCAAGTTGCCTGACGTCCTAAATGACTGGCTCTGAGAATCAGCAAAAGTGGAAGTAATCGGTGGCACTCTGCATTCTTCATCTGCCCAATAAGACAAAATGTCTTTTACAGACGTGGCTGGTTTTGCTGATGTTATATCAGGCTCCATCAGGCTTCTCGCCAATTCATCCCCTGTTTTTTCCTCTTGGCGAGATGAAGTATCAAACTGTGCCTGCTGCTGTCTCGCCGTAGCAAATAAGGTCGCATCATTGCCCGTTCGTGGCTTAAGGTCAGCTCTAAGGTATGCGCTGCCAGGTGTTGTATAGTAGTGGGATCCAGTCTTACATTCTTCATTGGATGATATTGACTTTAATAAGATCTTGAATTTGTACAGCCCATCCGTTTGGATGACCCTTGTGGAGGCACTCACTAGTAGATATTTGTGAGGGGAAGATTATTAATAAACACATGATTTTTTTTTAAAAAAAAAAAAAAAAAAAAAAAAAAAAAAGGTATTAAGCACAGTTATTAGTATATATTACATGCGATGCCATCAATGCGTGAGCTTTCACTGAATTTATGCCGTGCCGAGGCTTTATTGGTACTGTCCAAGATACAAGTGCTACCATAATTATCAAATAGGCTGGTGGTGGCTGAAGTCTCAGTGTTGTCTGAATTAGTTGTAGGTTTCAGTATGATTTTCACGCTAGGTGGGTGCATGGGCTTGCAAATGATATCGATGTGTCCTCGTTTTTTGATTTGCACCACAGCATGATGGTATGTCACAAGTCTGGGATCCAACTTGGTGCTAGGTTGTTCTGAAACCATAATAATTAAATCATCTTTATGACCTCTAATCTTGGTCATGTTTAACTGTGATGTCGTGTGATAAAAGCTTAAATATCTAATGTTTATTGTTCACTCGAAAACAAAAAAAAAAAAAAAAAAAAAAAAAAAAAAGAAATGGAGAAAGAAAAAGAGAAAGAAAGGAAGAAAGAAAAAGAAAGACAAAGAAAAATTTTTATAAAAGGGTTTACGCAAGCCTTCAGAGGGAGCGCAGGTCTGATGTAAACAACAGCTCTAATAATTGTTGATTGTTATATGTATAATGTAGCACATCCCCCTTTGTATGCGCCCCGAGCATGTTTGATCCCCGAGTTTGTCTGATTCCAATTTATTCCTCCCATGTCTGTGTCCTTCTTGCTAACAGTGTCAACCCTTAGTTTATTGATATATATAATAGAGAAAAAGTATTTATCGTTTCTACCTTTCGCTCTGTTAGCCTCGGCACAGTACGTGCAGGACATTCATATAGGCTCGAATTTTTGTGGATATCTTCAGGATTTATTCTGTTACTGATACTTTCTGCGTATTCAGGCACATTGATCAAGTGCACGACAAAAGCAGTTAAAAAAAAAAAATAAAAAAAAAAAAAAAAAAAAACTACAGACACATAGGAGTGGTAGTCACAGCTACAGCTGCAGTTACATTTATAGTACTTTTCTCTGGAACTGTAAAGTCTGTAAAAATAACCTTTTCTCTGATCTCCTGAGCAACATGATCAGTCTCATCAAAGACAATACCCTCATGAAACAGCTTTGCTCTTTTGTTGTCAATTTTTTCACCTTCTCCCCATTGACCCATGAAGCCACCAATATACAATTTGGAGTCAAGGACACGATGACATGGGATTGGAAGAGGAGCAAATGGATTCACTTTGAGAGCCTGCCCTACCGCTCGTGAAGACGACTGCAGCGCATCTGAAATATGCTTGTAAGTCGAGATTTGACCTTTAGGGATCTGTAAATTGGGTAATTTTTTTTTTTTTTTTTTTTTTTTAAAAAAAAAAAATAAAAGGTCAGATATCCCGATATGTAAATCTTCCATTGTCCATAATCGGAAGTGTATAACTTTACCTGGGCACAAAGGTCATATACTTGGAACTGAAAAGGTGTTATCTTTCGACCAGTATGTTTGTTGATTGCATTTTCACGTTCTTTGGCAGTGTTTGGATAGAGATGCACCGCTATTCCAGCAAAGGGAATAAAAATTAAAAAAGAGAGGGGAGATTTCATTTGACATGTAAAGAATATTATCATTAATATACAATATGCAAACTTGGAGATTTCAAACGCTTTAAGGACAAGAAAAGTAGCAATGAGAAGAGAGGGAATGCATACTGCAAACATCATCGTCCATGACCGCAGGCCTAGGCGCCTTCTTCATATTGGTACTAGCTCCTTCCGGTTTCTTTTCTTTGACATTAGCAGCGGCAGCAGTAGAGGCTGTACGCTTCATAGTTCGTTCAGCAGGCATAGCTGGTAAATTTGTGAGTATTGTACAGGGGGTGAGTTGCTTGAGAGAGGGAGAGAAAGGACAGTGATGTTGTTAAGCAACAATGAATGAATGAGAGAATGAGAGAGAATGAGAGAATGGAGAAAATGAAAAGTTTAATAAAGAATGAGACATTTTCGTTTGACGGGAGCAGAAACTGCGCTTTTGAAAACGTGGGGCGTAGTGATTTTTTAGTTTTGGTGGCACCAAAAAAAAAAAAAAAAAAAATGCCTTAGGACCAATTGACCTTGCATTATTTTGTCATACCGAGCAACCGTGCACGACAGCCACCAAAAAAAAAGAAAATTAAATTCAGGTATAAAAAAGCTTGTTGAACAATGCTTTCCTTCCTTTCTTACACACATTTCATTTCAAAAACACCTTATATATAACATACAGCACATACAGTCATCATGCTCGCGCTTCTCGCTTTTGCCTTTCAGCTCATCAGTCAAATCTATGAAGACACTACCAAGCCAAAACACAATACTCCTCCTTCCTCATCATGGGCAGTAGTATCAACTAAGCGCCATACCCATACCCATACCCATACCCATACCCATACCCAAACTCAAACCCATACTCACACTCGCATTCAAATATCTTCTTCTCAAAAATCATCTCAATCTCATAAACAATCCCTTGAACAACCTCCGTCAGTTCCTATTCATCTAAAGACACTGTACCAGGCTGTACTTGTCATTATGACCTTGCGCAACCATATCGATTATGATTACAAACTTCTCAATCGCCAAAGTGGTATGTCTCTCTCTAAGCTGATTTATTGTATCCGATCAAAGAAAAGAATTCATGATCGTAGTTAAGACTAAAGATTTTTTTTTTTTTTTTTTTTAAATTTCAAAATATAATTATTTCAATAGAGGAAGAACTGTCCCTGAGTAACGTGTGCATCCCACAATAGTCCAGCCTTTCCCTCCAAAAAAAAAAAAAAAAGTGACCAGTTGACTATTTTCTTCGCCAAAGGTGGAGAGAGAGACTTTTTTCATCCTTTACCCTTTGCCCTTTGGCCGTCACTGCCACACTGCGCCCAAATGCCAGAACTATTTTTTACAAGTCTCATACACTTTCCCCCCCCCCCCTTTGTTTGCATCGTTCCACACCCAACTTTGTATTGTAAAACATCAATATCTCTTCCTTTCATACATATTGTAGTATTATTGTGTATATTATTAATAATAATAGTGAAAAAAAAATAAAATAAAAAGCACAGCAAATCAAAGTGGACACGCGTTGATGACTAGCCTCTTTTTTTTTTTTTTTTTTTTTTTTTTTTTCTTTTACAGGTGCAGAAAACCCATGACCGACGGGAAAGCAGAATATAATTTAAACTTTTTGTCCCTCGAAAAAAAAACAAAAAAAACATTTATTTGTAAGCCTAACCTCATCACATCTACCTCTTTCTCGATCGGAATTTCAGTTCCTTGACAAGACAAACCTCTTTTTGCTTTGTAATCTTTGCTACATTGAAGACCATCAACATCTTCTTTTGCTATCTGCTAAAAAGTGCGCAACAGGCACTGTTAGGTAACCCCCTATCCATCTTACAATTCTCGCTTGGAAGCACTTTGGGTTTATTTTAACTGACTCGATCAGAGTCGGTAGTTGTACAAATAAAAAAGACATTATGTGTATATAATATAGTACGCAAAGAAACAAATGAACAAAGTTCATAATGGTGAATGTAAATAGAGGGATATCCAGTGACTAAAAATGAAGGCTAGTCAAGAATATATAACATGAAAAGATGTGAAAGTTTTTTTTTTTTTTTTTTTTTTTTTTTTGTTGCTGTTGCCGCTTTGTTTGTTTAAACTTGAATACCAGCAAGGTTCAATAGTCCTCCTGTCCACTGTCTGGCTACATCGAATGTTGATGCAATCCTGATAATGGTCAACGCAAGCATCACTACATTATAGAAAAAAGAAAACAAGTTTAGTATATATTTGTGGTCACCTTACAATGCCAAACTCACATGAAAAAAAAAAAAAAAAAAAAAAAAAAAAGCAAGGTAATCGCTCTTGCTTTTCCTTACCAAGCAAAACAGGAACCCAGAAGAGGAAAAGCATCTTATCCTTTTTCAATCGCTTCATCTTTTCATGATAGCGAGCCCTCAATTCTTGAATGTGTCTGTACTCACCAACAGCCTCAACAGCCCGTTCTGCAACAGCAGCGCCTCCAACTACTGCGCCATTATTAACAATTTCCGTAATGATTCTACGGCCCCCTCGTACCACAGATGATTCACCAGCATGCAAAGCTTGCGGCTGTTGTTGTGGTTCCGAGCCCATGGGTGGATACACGCGTCGAACCTTACTAAGAGGCGATGTCACAGAGGTATTACCACCCGTGTTCGGCCCAGGAGCAGTGGTCAGTGTTAATGGGCTAAAGTGTGAATCCGAGGCTGAAAGAGCATAGCTATTAACGGCAGAAAAAGGGTGCGTGTAGACGCAACGACTCGGTGTCTCCTCGGAGCACGGAGCTACATTCGTAGGAGTGCCAGTACCAGTGTTAATATCGTTACTGATAGTCCGACTTTCTGGTCCCGTGTGCAGTGTGTAGAGCTCGTGTGAGATAGCCTGCTCGTCCAAAGTAGGCTCACCAACGATCGAGGCACTACGCTCATGGCTGAATGCTTGTTTCTCCGAGACGTGTCCCACAGTCGTCTCGTTCGAGGCTACCTCCTGCTTACCACTGAAGCTGTAAGGCATGTAAGCATTGAAGGCTTGAATCGACGTCGGCATACTTGGCATATTCATCAAGAAGGCGCTCTTCTCTGGCAAGATATGGTCCAAAGTCTTGAAGAGTTCAAAGTCCAGATTAGAAGACGTAGATTGAATTTGATGGAAGGTCTTTTGGAACCAGTTCGCGTTCATGTCTGTCGCCTGAGCTTCCTTTGTATCTTGGACTAGAGGCGTTGCCATAGGAATAAGGCTAGGAGATGAGGGAGCCTGCACAATATCAGCATTTTCTGCCTTTCCAGCCGCTTTACTACTTTCCAACCTGTCTTCTTCCTGTCTGTCCGTATCACTGTCACTTGATAGGCTGGATTCATCTGAAGTCTCAACACCGACCCATTCACCTCGACCAATCCAGGCAATATCCTCAATTTCGGAGCCAACAACGCTAGATGCATCAAAAGACTCCTCGTTCTCATCCTCTTCCTCCTCTAAAGCATCACTCTCTGTGGCAAAATGCTCCAGCCATACACCACTATCATCAACATCATCCATCTCATTCAATGCCTCCAATTCCTCATCAACCCCCAACTCGCCGTCGACCTCATCTGCAGATTCATAAGCATCAACTTCTTGAGCCCCAGCATCCACCCAGGTATTACTTGATCTCAATGCCTGCACAAGCTCAGCCGCCACATTTCCATCGTGAAATTCGGTCAAATCTACACAGCTGACACCGTGGATGCTTCGTACCATTACATCGGCGCCACCCTCAATCAACAGCCTTGCTATTTTGATTTCCCCGCGCCAACAAGCATAGTGTAAAGCGCTGTAGCCGTTCATATCTAAAGCATCGATTTCAATTTCTGGATTCCTAATCAAAGTCATGATCAAGCGCTCAAAACCCTTCATAGCTCCGAAGTGCAATAGACGGTGTCCAGTGTCACGGCGTTCAAGATTTATGAGACCATGACTCGTGGCAGGCAGCTCCGAAAGCACTGTTAGCAACATGAGGATCCTATCCTCAAGATCGGCTTGGAAGTCAACATTGACTTCCTGACCTCCGAAAGACATGATCAAATCTCGGACGAGATTAGCGTAGTCCAAAGAGTTTTGTTGTTGTTGTTGTTGTTGTTGTTGCTGCTGTTGTTGTTGCTGCTGTTGTTGTTGCTGCTGTTGTTGTTGCTGTTGATTACCGTTGGCAACTTGGCTACCGACAATACGTAGTGCAATATTCCTAGCATCCTCGAGTCTACCGGTCATTTTGAGACCGACAACCTGCAAAGCAAGTTCCATCAACGCCTTGTCACTTTCATCCACATACGTAAATAGCATCATCTCGCTGACATCCCCTGCCTGGGGCATTGTGATGGCCGGATGCTCCTTAAATGTAACCACAGTTGTTCCGGGTTGAATTCGTGGAGGGAGAATGCAGATCAAAGTGTTGGTTGACCAGAACTGTGTGGGAAGTGCCGGTGTGGCGTCAAACATTGCTGTCAATCCCGCATAAAAGTTTGCGCCCAAAATCGTCACCTCAATGCCGCCAAAACATGGTCCCTGGTTAGGAATCAACCTTGTCATTCTAGGGACAATAAATCCTGAAGGAACCATAGCCAATGTAGAAGACAAACCTAGAATAGAAGGCATGGATGTAGGAGAGAGGACGGATGACGCTGCAGCGGCGAGAGGATTGGGTGTGATGGGTGAGGCCAATGAAGGCTGGTTAACAGAGGAAGCCAAAGGATTGTTTGTTGTGGGGGCGCGTCGGCGTCGGACTGGACCAACACCGCCTGATGTGCTTGTGCGTCGAGCGATAGGCGACGGAGTAATATTAGCGGTATTATTGAATGTTTCTGGGAAGAGAGCCTGCTGCTGCAACTGTTGGAACTGGAGGTGTTGCTGCTGAAGCTGTTGCTGTTGGTGCTGCTGCATCTGCCGCTCCTGTTCCTGTTGCAACTGGCATGGCTGGTTCATATGATCCCTAAGCTGAGCAAGTGGTGAGGTCATCGGTGGGACCAGTGATATAGGGATGTCAACTAACTGCTCCGGTACCATCCTATCGTTATTAGAGGTATAAATAAAGCTATTCATGGAATGGATCTGACGTTGCTGTCCATCAAATGTAGATGAAGGATAATCTGATGAGGGAGTTGTTTGGCTAGCCTGTGACACGCGCTCTGTAGGCGTAATAGGTGATGATGGCGATGGTACTTGGCGGACATCATCTGATTGTGAGAACTGAGAGATGAGGTCGACTATAGAAACATTATTGGGATCATAGTGATTGATGTCCATTGATGCTTGAAGCGGAGATGGCGACGCATTGGAAGACGAGGAATCCATCTCAGACTCTTCAGATTCCTCCTCTTCCTCATCCCCCTCATGTCCTGTGCCCATGTCCACATCGCTCTCGACCTCTTCTCCTGGTGTAGTTGGGGAACTGGGCGGTGTGAGAGTGACGACTTTGTTAGATGGGTCTGAAGCCTTCTTGGGAGCAGCCTTTTGCTGTACACCAGCATCGCCTTGTTCTGCTTTTTTAACCTTGGAGGCTTTGTGATCATCTGTAATCATGATCGGGGGCGAGATACCGGTAGCAACAATGTTGTTTGCATAATCTCGAAGGAAAAATTGGATACAGAATCCTTGCTTTTCACTGTGATGCCTGCAGTAGCAAGTGATACGGGTTGGCAAGATCAGTTCACCCGAGTTGAACTCTGCAATCTCGGTGCAGTTGAAAAGTAAGATCTTGCGCTGTTCAAGGGCAATCTGCTCTGGATCATCATCATCAATGGGTGCAGGGCCAGCAACTATACTGTTCTTCTTTTTGCCAAGACTCTTTTTGCGTAGCGCCCTTTTGCGTTCGCGGAGCACACATCCTACACATGTCTGAATGACCTTGCTCTTGTCACTGTGACACACAACAGAAGCCTCAAGATTTAGACATGTTCCATTGTTCAATGCTTCGTAGACTCCAGGGCCTATTGTACAAGTAAATCGTTAAAATGGGTCGACCAATAAGCAATTAATCTCTTTTTTTTAAGCACAGACGGGACCTTTTTTGTTGGGTTGAATAGGGCAGACAATTATAAAATAAAAAATCATGTGCTCTTGTGACACACACAATACACGGCCACTTACCGAGATTCTTTGCGTTGATGCGTTTATTCTTCTCTTTCGCTACCATGTACTCTGGTAGCTTGATGTGAGTCCAACCTCCGACGGGATCATTCTGCTGATTTACAAGTTGAATTCCGAGCTTGATCTGTGTCTCAACCCTTGACTTGGCTCCTTGCAACGGAATGCCCGTGATGTTGACTCGAAATCTAAATTAATGCACAATGATGTTTCAATGATTGGGAGGAAGGTAGTGGTTGAGAAGAGAGTGACAAAAGACAGAAGTAGTACAAGATAATATGAAATTGATGTAGAAGTATAGGGTATAGAGGACAGAAAAAGAATTAGACAATACACTCTTTAAAGGCAAATGAGCGAAATTAGAAGGGAAGAAAAAAGGGTTTACCCATTATAAGGCATCATAATGTCAATAGCTCAACACTCAGGAAGGGAATGTGAGGCAGATAAATAACCACTAATTTGAAAGAGGGTTTAATATAAATAAGTGTAGCAGTGAAGCAGGGAATGAGAGAGCCAGCTGTAATGAGTGAGAGTGTGATGAATGTTCTCTTAAATGCAGGGAGTTAGTGGGGTTGATCAGTGAGAGAGTAATTCTATGGGGTGACTGAAATGGCTGACGATTAGTGTGAATGGAATGTAGTAGAGAAAGATGAGAAGGGTATAGTAATAAAATGAACAAGCGATTATATGTTGAAAACGGAAGTGAGTGAGTAGAGAATGAGTAGAGTAGTTTGTTGAACAATCACTAGGACAGTGAGAAGAAGAGAAAAAAATGGTGTCTTGCGTGGAGAAGTGTGAAAAGACGAGGATGTGGAGAGAGTAAAAAAAAAATTGATTTGGTGTTTGTTGTGCATGATTCTTGTTCCACACAACACATGTCGCTTTATAAAAATCTCAACCCCAAGAATACGCAATAATAACATGCAAAATATGTTCTCACAACAGTTACATAAATATATTTATACTAAACTGGTCTAATGATGAGATGCGATGGACAGCCATCTATTTACAAGCTCATTGAGATAGAATGTGTGTCAACCATGAAGGCCACAATCAGTCAACAAGTTTGTCTTCGATAGAGAGTTTAATTTTTCATCAATCTCTATCAAGTCTACTTCTAAACTGTGTACTGTTTCAAATACTCTGACCATATGTTTGATACACTAAGAAAAGAGTTGGATGCAAGTTCAGGTTCCTGTGTTGTTGTGTGGGGTGAAGGCGAATGGAATTTATGTCTGTGTGTATGTTTTATATTTTGCATTTATCGCATGGGGTTGCATCTCGATCTCACCACGTTGGCGTTTAGCCCCCTTTTTTCTCTGAATGACAGTGGACTAGATTTTTTTTTGTTGGGATTGGTTCTCTTCATGTGAAAGTGAGACTCAGTGTGGTAAAACAGGCTACAATTTTTTCTTTAACGCGATTCAGTTGCTACTTAATTCCAAGAGCTATTTCCAGCATTTCAGCGCCCTTAATAATCCTGCAAAAGCGCACATCGCGCAAATTTGCCCTGGACGGTTATGGTAACGAATCCTGGGCTAATTACAACACATTCTCACTCTCATCCACATCCTTTCACACAGCTTCGCCTTATCTTCAATTCCCTCCATCTTCATTCGTCTTCCTTCTTTCTATCATGTCGCGCCTTGCTCCAGTCGTCATCGACAATGGTACCGGGTAAGCCCATCATCAACTTAGTCGTTTGACCACTCCAAGGACACTCAACCAACTTCAACCAAGCAGTCATATACAGTATTTGGTGTCTTTTACTGAACAACTGATGCGACCAACAACAGGGGAGACATGCTTAATTTGCAACGCGTTAATGCGCGTGAATTCGCTTTCTCTGTCGACATCAAGACGGAATAGGAAATTGCTCTATATATTACTTTTTTTTTTTGTTTCTCATCAGTGTGACGTTTTCTGTGCTCTAGCTTTACAAAGATGGGTTTCGCTGGAAACAACGACCCATCCTTTATCCAACCTACGGTTATTGCCACCAGGGATGGTGGCGGATCTGGCTCAGGAGCACCTGCAGTCCCCTCAAAGCCCTCATTCTTGAACTCGTCTGCAAGCTCCAACCTCGCTTCAAAGCGCGGTATTGAAGATCTTGATTTTTTCATTGGAGACGAGGCTGTTGCTAACTCAAAGACATATGCCCTCAACTATCCCATCCGTCACGGCCAGATCGAGAACTGGGACCATATGGAACGCTACTGGGAGCAGAGTATTTTTAAATACCTCCGCTGTGAGCCTGAAGATCATTCTTTCTTGTTGGTGAGTAGTAAAAGTAATAGCAATAGCCAACATATGAGTAGTTTTTTTAGATAGTAAATATGTATTGACAAATCCTTTAACCGGCTCTCGTAAAAACTTACCTTTGTTAGACCGAACCACCACTTAATCCTCCAGAGAATCGTGAAAACACTGCTGAAATCATGTTCGAGTCGTTCAATGTTCAAGGATTGTACATTGCTGTTCAGGCAGTGCTTGCCCTTGCTGCATCATGGACATCAAGTAAAGTTAGTGAACAGACCTTGACTGGAACTGTTATTGACTCTGGTGATGGTGTCACTCATGTTATTCCTGTGGTATGGCTCATGAACCTTGCTTTGCCTTTCATGTCTTATAACCGCTAACGATTTAAATGTACTGTATACTGAGACTTATCATTATTTTATTGTCTTTTTTTTTTTTTTTTTTTTTTAAAAAAAAAAAAAAGGCTGAGGGATATGTCATTGGCTCTTCTATTAAGAGTGTTCCTATTGCAGGTCGCGATTTGACATCTTTTGTCCAGAACTTGCTCAGAGAGCGTGGAGAGAACATGATTCCTGCTGAAGATTCACTAACTGTTGCTCAGAGGATCAAGGAGCAATATTCATATGTGTGTCCAGACATTGTGAAGGAATTTAAGAAGTATGACCAAGAGGGCGATAAATACTTTAAGAAGTATGAGGGCGTCCATTCTGTCACTGGCAAGGTATTTTTTTTTTTTGAAAAGAAAATAGAAAAAAGGTAACAAGCTTTTATGTGATAATGATACTAATACCCATTTCTTAAATTAGCCATACAGCGTAGATGTTGGATTCGAACGTTTCTTGGCACCAGAAATCTTTTTCAACCCGGAAATTGCTAGCTCTGATTATCTGACTCCCCTCCCAGAAGTCGTTGATACTGTTGTGCAGACTTCGCCTATTGATGTCCGCCGTGGCCTTTATAAGGTAAAATAACAAAAAAAAAAAAAAAAAAAAAAAAAAAATAGATAAATAAAAGAGTGAAAATATGTTCTAATACTTTATTGCTATTTACATTTACTAGAACATTGTGTTGTCTGGAGGATCGACCATGTTTGAGAACTTTGGCAAACGATTGCAGCGCGACATTAAACGCATTGCTGATACTCGTATTAAGCGCAGCGAGACTCTTTCTGGGGGCAAATTACAATCAACTCCCATGGAGGTCAATGTTATCACACACAAGAAGCAGCGTTATGCTGTTTGGTTTGGAGGCAGTTTACTCGCATCTACTGTAAGCAAAAAAAAAAAAAAAAAAAAAAAAAAAGGCATTCTATTTTGTGGTGTGGTCAGAGTACTAAAACTGATATTTGATCTGTTTCCATCTTTTAAAGGGTGAATTCCATTCCTACTGCCACACAAAAGCCGAGTATGACGAGGTTGGACCCTCAATTGCTAGACACAATGTAAGTTTCGTGTTTACAAATCTTTATTTACAAGCAGAAAATTTTTGGCTCCAACTAACGCGCTTTTGACCTCTTTTCTTTTACTACACAGCGTGTGTTCGGTACCCTTGGTTAAAGCTATTTCTGCGTCAGTAAAGAAGAAGGCAAAAAGGATGAAGGAAAAAAAGTAGGGGAATTAAGAGAAAAAAAAGAAGAGACTAGGACGGACAAATGCTCGTTGTGTTGGTAGCAATGATGTTTAATAGCCCCTGCAAGAGCAACTGATAGACCCTGAGCGCATATTAAAAATTAAACTTTTTAACTTTCAAACAAAACCCGTCAATCCAAATTCGATTTATTAGCCAATGTTTAGATGTGGATAAGGTGAAACTAGACCAGATTCAGGCAGATTTATGAAGCAAAAGAAGCAATATGAAGATCATAGTAATGATATAAGAGATATAGTACGTAAAATGATGCCTAGCTCCTGGAATAGCATGATGTTTTAGGGGTCATACTCGGCTCGTTGACGCATCACTTCCAGCATCATGTCATGACAGGAAGGATGATCCTTGTAGGGAGCAAATGGATCGCTGTCTTTTGGAAACATCGAATCCATGTTGAACACGATATAGGCAATGACTGAATTCTTGACCTCTTCGAACCGAGTACCCACTTTGAACAAGAGCTCAAAAGCATTCGACTCATTGATGTCATCGCATATTTCTCGCTCACAGCGTTCTTTAAGATCCGCCACACCATATTCCTCCGCTGCGGCCAATAACTCCGCCCATGTCGCATCCTTAAAACCCCAGACCACGTCTGACTCTAAAGAATGTGGTGCAATGGCTTTGGCGTATTGTCCTTGAGAACTGCTGACCCTCAAGCAACTGTTGCCCTTGCTGATGGCAAATTTACCAGTGTCAACAGCAAGATTAACCTCTCCAGTATAAATGTATAATAGCATGGCGCAGATCGTAGCTGCAGAAAACTTTTGCACAACCACTACAGCGAAATCGCTCGGGTTGTTATCGAAGTTTTCATTGGTCTCAGTCGAACAGGTGCTATACAATGTTTCCTCGGTTGTTCTCATATCATTAGTATCTTTTATCCAGGATAGCTTGGTAGGCTTGGGGACTCTTTTAATAATGTCGACAAAAGGTTTGTATCTGCACAGGATGGATCGGTGTGCCCAGAGCTCAACGTCAGAAGAAACTTTGTCCGATTTAAAAGTAAAGCACGTGTCGAGGGTATTGGTATCTCGAAGTAAAGTTAACATAATCTCGCGATGTTTGGAAAGAGCCTGTGGATACTTCAGATCTCCCATCATGAGCCTGCTCAACCGGCTCGTTTCCGTTGAAAGGACTATGTCAAAGCGATATTGGCCTTTATAAAGCACACTATTGACGGGAAACGAAACTTTTTTTTTTTTTTTTTTTATCATTGCTAATTTATTAGTATTTTCGACTCTAACACTGATATGGACTGATGTATTTAATACCAATGTGTGTGTTGCGCTCATATGCTTTACCTTTAACACCATCTTTGTAAAATTCATTCGCTTTCATGTAAACGCTACGAAAGGGTCTCATGGAATTTCTATGCGAAACGATGTGCATGGATTCATAGGGAATGATATATTTGCCATCATTACACTTCTGACACACTTCCTTGGCGATATGGACATTCACCACGAGGTGCGCATCCCGTCGAACCAAGGTTAAAGTTAACTTGTGTATAGTGTTGATGGCACATGAAACCATCGATCCAGGGCCAGATTCCGTAAGCTCATTACAAACAATAGGAAGAACCGTGTCGTGGCCCTCTTTAAGTGTAAATGAAGTCATATCGAGCCGTATGTGAGAGTAAGTAAATGATGAGCGTCCAGCAAGAAGCAAAAAGCCAATGTAAGCAGTTAAAAGATAATGAAGGAAGAAAATGAATGAGTAAGAGGAGGAAAAGAGAGTGATCCAAAAACACTTTATTTATTCACATCACCAAGCAGAAAAAAAAAAGCCTAGTTATCTTCAATCATGAGGCTTTTTAATCTGTACAACTTCCCCATCAATCAGTATCTATATTAATAAAAGTGCTTTGTGGTGTACATCAATCAAGCGGACCCCAAGCAATGATACTCTCAGCACTACTCGTTTATATATTCTTTATTCATGTCAATCCAGAGTTTAAATTGGACCGAAAGGTAGCCCTATCTGAGAAGAAATAATGGTCTGTTTCCCCTAACGGCTGACTTGTTTTATGCCAAGCTGATGATTATAATTTAATCTCAATGATAGACACAACGAACACTGGTACAACGGAGCCATCGGTGTTGTCCCTATATAGCTGCTTCATTGGAGTCATCCTTTTTTTTTATATACATAATTACCGTTATTATTTTATGGTTCGGCACTCTAGCTCTCTCAATAATTCTCTCTTATCCATGGAATAAATGTACCTCAATCTATATTAGTGCCTCCTACAGATATTTTATGAATTTGTCTGCTTAAAAAGGCTTTAAGCGAGCCTTTAAATGGTTAAAATACCATAGCTAAGGATTTATTATCTCACAACTAAACATCTAACTATTTAAACTTGTGTTTGCCACAAATGAAGCGTTTCAAGAAAAGCCTTTGCTTCCTTCCTCATTTTAACAACTTTGAGCAGGCTGGAATAAGCTCACTTAAGCCTTTCGCTTCATTTGTTCAACTTGGGCAGATGAGATATGGGTCAATTGTACATAAAATATAAAAAGGAAAAAAGAGAAAAGAAAAAGCGCGTCTCAAAAACTAAATGACAACGCGACATTTTCTATCTCTCGCGATGGCATGCGTTGCGGTTGGAGCTGTTAAACTCCGACGTCTGCTGAAATTGATCAGATCCAAAGTTCAATTGGACATGTAGTACAGCAAGTCATTTTTTAATGTGCCTAAAAATAAATACATATCGTAGGACAGATTATATTCACAGTTCTAGGTATTAATAAAAGGAGAAAAATAGAAAGAGAAAAGGGAGATAGGGCAGATAACAAAGGCCTTTCAATGTAGATATGTTGATGAACTGTCTAGACAATAGAATGTGTGTTAACTATAATATACTGTGTCCTTTAATTGGGGTCTATTAAGCGATTGTCGTGATTTTTTTCTATGATTCTAATAATTTATAAAAGACGAGGTATAATTTACCACTGGTATTTAAAAATAAACGTCTGTTAGTAAAACATCTTTGTATTGGAATAGGATTGGACCGATGGTATACGGGCATGTTGATTTCCTTTACCTTGTCACCATTGATATGGCGGCGTCGGTACTGAGCATATTCACTGAATCCGTAAAGTGTAAACAAGAAGCCAGCTAGGGTAGCTGCACCGACTCCAGTCTTCAAACCTGCCAAATTCGTAACTAGAAAAAAAAAGTAAAAGTCAAGTAAAAGCGAGTAGACTACAACCATTTTACAGCTAATTAAGTTCAAATACTCAGATAATATTGGGATTTATCCTTACTGGCAGCATGACAGATATCAGGCCTCGAGTGACCATTGACATCAAAGTTGTTGCAAAATTTGGTGATGCCCGTTCCAATAACAATGGCAGTAGAAAAGGAAAAGAATGACATGATTGGAGAAATCAACAATGCCTAGTATGATAAAGAGAAGGAAAGAAAACGTTATGACCAACAAAAAAAGGACGTTCGGGTCGTCTTAAAATTAAAAATGCAATAGGAGCATACTGCGATGGAGGCACGCCTGCCCTTGAAACGCTCTGATCTCTTCCAGGTGACATAATCCATTGAAAACAAGCCTATTCCTCCGGCTGCAATCATGAAGCTGTGTGACAATAAATAATTGTTGTAATAAAAAGTGAGTTGGATGAAGCCTATTGAGTTTCTTCGAGCCATAACACAGATCATTTTGCATACCCCACAAAGACTGTAAACACACAGGCTGATGAATGGAATTTTAATTCCCGAGGATTACCGAGAAGTAGACAAACACTCTGACCTGGCAGAATTCTGCAAGATACATTATATATATGAAAACTTTGTTAGACTCTTGTTCCTTAAACCCTTGTTTATAACGACAGCATGGGACAAGAAATAGAATAAAGGATCCATACTCCCACCAACTGTTCTTGGCCATTGATCCCAATACAATGAAACCCAGGATAGCAAGAAGTGTAGACATAATAAAGTCTCCTTTCAGAAAACCGGTTTGTGGCCCGAACGACATGATGAATCTGATGAATTAGTGTAAATGATGCTAATGTCCCTTTGCAATGTCCGATTCCTGTAAAAAAAAAATCCAGTGTGCCTCTCTGTAGTGTCGAATATATTTTAGGATTCTGGTAAAAAGGGAAGAAAGAAGGTGTAGGGAGCAAGGGAGGTCAAGTATGATGAAGGCATGAAGCTTGTTCACATTCAACATTCTCTCTTTTCATAAGCATTCTGCATGTTATTAGGAGCCTTTGCGCCTTGCATTCCAAAGAACAAAGTTGGATTGTGAGCAATTTCTACTTTCTAAAGACACTCCTATTAACCTAATAACTAACTTTCTTTTCAGGAACAAAAAGAGCACACGTGAATTCAAGTTTCCAACAAACATGGGCGGAATCGATAGTTCTTACTGAGTTTTTTTCCGTAGATTCTTCATGTGGATCCTTTAGATATAACTGTTCGCAAGCAACTAAGCCATGGAGCAGCTCAATAATCCTATCTAGTTGTCTCGAGTATGAACATATAATTATCATTCGTTTGACAGCTTTCAACAAGCACTTGACCACGGCCGTAGTTTATGTCCATCAGCTTCGCCGACTCATCCGAAACCAAGGCCGTCCGCTTATGCCGTCCCTCCACCCTTTTCAGGAGCCGGTGCTCTCTGCCTTATCAAGTTCGTTTTGGATCCCATCTTTTTTTTTTTTTTTTTTTTTTTTTTTTTCTTCACAGAAAGGATAGGAGTATCCAGCTGACTGATCCTTATGATTCTAAGGAACTAGAGAATAGACTAGGGTTTATTTTATTCCTGTGATTACAAATATGATCTGACGCATCTTCAGACAGATAATTTATACATGCTCCAAGCGTGTAATATTCACCAGGATTCTGATAGAGGCAGTCTTGGAGTATAGAACGAAGAGCATTGATTAGTAAAGAGCTATCAAAAACGTATTGAAAAGCAATACTGTATGTATATAGTTTTGATGATGCACTCCGGACTTTAAAGACCAAAAATCTTATGCGGATATAAAATTGTTGGCATCCAATCTTCAGCAATTTTGAACAGCAATTAGTTAATCCGATTAGTTAATCCCCGATTAAGTCTTCACCTTCGTAGCCCTTCTCTTTCTCTTAATGTCATCCCACTGTGTCTGTAGTCAATTCGTACAGTGGCTTTTTTTTTCTTCAATAAGTCTATGGATATTAATCGACAAGAATTGATGGGACAAAGCATGTCCGGACAAATAATACAAGGAGTTAATGGCTGCCCATGTAAACTATTTAGAGAAATATAATTCATACAAAATTAAATCGGCTCCTTTCCAGGTGAAGATAACCACCAGCGAAACAAAAATTGGTTGGGACTACTCATACTATGACAGCCTACATGCTCATTGGTGAATAAAATTGTTCTGTGGTTACTATCTTGAAAGTTATGCTCCTGTCGTGCTCTTCAGGAGATCATGGGACTAATAGTCTATTGCAGTGACTTTTACCATTACTTCTAAATACTAAATACTACAGGGCGACTTGATTGCTCTTTTGATGGGAAGTAAATAAGCTGAAAAAAACAATCCCTCACTCCGCGTCCGAAAATATCCACTTTTGAGATCTGCATTTCTATCATTGAATATGATGCAATTTTTTTTAAGGAAATGCCATCCCACTTCTGAAAAGGTTTTTACCGTTCGATCGTCCCTTGCATCAATGTTTATTTCCTTACGCTGTTGGCTGGGTGAAGGTAGCAGTATAGATATATGTATACATAGGTAATTGAAGATGTCACGTTATTTCTATGCCAAGCTTAGCAGGATGTTGGCTTGAGGGATGTGACTTTTAGGTGGATTCCTATCGACAAAGTATATCGATACTTCTACTTGAGTATGTGTGCACCCTCTTGTCTTTTTTTTTTTTTTTTTTTTTTTTTGGAGCATCCCTTGGAGGTATTAGACGCGTCAATGCGCTACCCTCCTTTTTTTTAGCCACAGCGGCATTGGCTTGTCAAAAATAAAAAAGTTTTCGTCAAAAAATCTTTTGATCAACATAGTTTTATTGATTGCACACACAATTTTTAATTATCTACTACTGCTTGGTTATTAAAAAAAAAAAAAAAAAAAAAAAAAAAAAAAAAGAGGTGAGATGATTAGCAAAAATCATGAGCCAAGGCACTTTTCATTGCCACATGGCATTGCCATCTCTATTGATATTTACCTCTTTCCCATTTTCCCCCAAAAAACTTCTTGTTTAGTTGCTCTTCCGTCATGTATGTATGAATATACTTGTTGAGATGATAAATGGCGTGAGCAACTGCACTGTTCTCCCAGAGATTATGGAAAAGACGCTTCTGTATTTATCGTGTTTATTTGATGAGATGTCACAGTGCTGGGAAGTATCATTCGTGTAGGACAAAATATTTGTGAGCAATTCTTCGACTGGTATCAATATGTCAACGAGCACAGATAAAACGCTCCATGATCTCCGCTGACATTCGTCTCTATTGAGATGAGCGGGTAAAGAGTAGCAATTATTCGGTCAATAATGGTTTAGTTGGCTGTGGATGATATTTGCTCACATAGCCCTCTGTCTTTTGTCCTTTGTTCTCTGTCCTCTGTCCTCTGTCTTCTGCCCTCTGTCCTCAAATGTAAGGTTATACATGTACAGCCTAAGGAGTGTGAAGGTTTCATAGCATTCATGACATATAGATTGTTACATGTAGTTAAGTCGATCGAAGGAAGAAAGGGGAACAAAGGAGTGAAGGGGGTGGATGAATGGATGAATAGGGAGATCTGGTGCATGGGGCATGGAGGTTAGGGCATAGTCCTAAGCTCATACCAATGTTTGCATTATTATTATCATAAACTTTCAGTCTAGCCACTTCACAGCCAAAACAAACGGAATTTGAGACTTTCAGGGCAGACATCATGCATTCACCAGCATTCCACGGGACAAAATAAAATTACAGTAAACAAGCACTTAAACATTAAATAGATATCAATTGCCCACAACACTCACCACGAGTGGATCGGGAACTAACGACTTCTGTGGTTTTTTTATTAGTATTTTGCAAACATGGGCCTTGGAGAAACCAGCATGTAGTTGAAGAAATCTCTCTTTCTCTGATCCTGAACCTTGTATGAACTCTCATTCCTTTGCTTTTTTTTACGATAGAATTCCTTTCTTGGCCAGAAGGAGGAATCACAATTAGGCACATTTTTAGAAAAGCCAACTTTTACGGAAAGGGCCCTCACCCTTTTTTTTTTGTGGGCTATTCGTCTTTACTGCTCATTAACAGAGTGCACGTTCCTCGATGAGTGTGGTTGATTGTTTTCCTCATCAAATCGGTAAAATTAACAAGTAGTAAGGGTGGGATGCATATCGGAACTTGGAAGAAGGTAAGCACTCCCCTTGCCAAAGAAGTTGCTGAGCATTGGTCAATTCCTCGTTAGCTTAAGAAGACTTGCCTCTTTAAGGTCTCAGGGATTATTTGGTGACTTGTAGATGTGCTTATAGTGTTCAACACAGTTGTGAGTTAAAAATGATATTAATAAAGGGATGCATTGATTCTTAATAAAAGATAATGTAGGAAGCTGCCAAGGCATTCATGTCGTGAGCAGGTAAATATTCCCTGACAAAGACGCCGACAGTTGGTGAGCAGCTCTGCTATCGCACGTAAGTGAAGAGGAAGAGGTCATGGATGTATAAACGCGTGAAACGATCATTGATCATTGATGCCTGGATATAATTACAAAGACGTTTGGATTGAATTGTTTGAACAAATAAAAAAAAAGAAATAACGCGTGCATGGAGTTGGACGAATAAGAGGGGCACGAATGGTGATTTGTTTATGCTACAGTGGAAGGGTAGGGCTGGCGGGTCTGCTAAAGATTGGTCTAAATACATTTCTCTTATGTCCGGGATAAAGTGTAGGAATACACTTTGTAACGGAAAACAAATAAACAAGAAAGGCATGCTGAAAATCCGATCTCAGACAAACACAAACCTACTATAACCCCTCTGCAAAATATCCATGTCGCCTTGTCCTGTTTGGCCTTGTCAGTCCCATTTCCGCTTGTTGCGTGCATCCCTCAAGCGATTAAAAAAAATTATGAAGCATTGCTATTCATCTCCCGTTTTGTCACTCAATCTTTTTGTCTTTTTCAAATAGCCCCCCTGATATAAATACCACCATCTGTGGCCCACAAAAAAAAAACTGTTCCTGTTATTGTTCCCTTTACCTACTATCTAAATTCTAATATGTATTCCTTTTAATAATAATTAGTCTCTCTCATCTTCATACTAACATTTCCTAGTAATACTCTTAATAACACATATACATCCTAATTCTTTACTACCCAGCTCACGTCTATCCTCCGGCATTTCTCGCATATAATTAACTGATACGAAAAAAAACAAAAAAGCATCCCATAATCGAATAATTTCTTTCATCTCAAAGTAAGGTCACACGCTTCAAAAGGAATCGAGGAGTGAGTTTCGTGCTTGACAACTTTTCAAAACCCATTCCTTCTTCTACCCTTTACTTTTATTTCTCGACACTTCGTCTCTGATTGTCGCTGTTCCTGTTGCAATATCAGAATCGATATTTTTCGCTCCAGGATGTAGTGAATTGTAATGTGGTTTCTGGTGCAGCTTAGAGTACCGCATGGCAGTGCCGCGCTGTCGCATGGAATTGAGCTTTTTCACTGTTTGTGTTTATGTTACACGTCCCCTTTGCTAGAACTCCTTGATTATTCATTTTCTTTCTCCATGTCAGTAATGTCAGTCATGCTCCTTTTTGTGTCATAGTCCTGCAAACCCATCCTTCCCTTGATTGCAGCTTTCTTTTCTTTATTTAATGAAGACCCGCTCCTTATTGCACACATATTGGGATGATCTCTCTACTGCTTTTTTTCATGTTCAGCTTCCTGTCCATTCGCTTGTACTTCGATTTGGAGCTTTGAAGGGCTGACTCCTTTCCTGTTTTGATTATCTGCCTATCCACTTTTATCAGCCTGTAGCAATAAAACAAAAAACCCATCGTTCCATCAATCGCAATCAAGGCTGGATCTCCTACACGCGTAGCCTACTCTCCAGGTAAAGAACAAGAGGACTAAAAAAAAAGAGGATCTTGCGGATGTTAAACCATATTCAGTTGGCTGTACTTTCAAAAGGGGAAACATGTCAACGTTTACCTTTGACTGTCGCTGCGCGCCATGGTTCCATAATTCATTTATTTGAGACATCTGCCTGCTTTGTCTTGTCAAATCCGTGTATGCATCCTGCCCCCTTGTCCTTTCTCCAAAATTATTTCTAGCACTTCATTAATACCATCCCCCATCCGCAAAATTTATCATCCACACTTCTATTTTTTTTTTACCTCTTTACAGTCCCCTCCATTCGGCTTGAGAGCCCTTTTGTCCTCTTGCCGTGCATTTAGACGGTCACGCAGCTTTACCTTTTTTTTTTTTTTCATTTTCATTTTTTTAAAAAAAAAACGAACGTATTTATAGTCTTTTTATACTCCGCAACATTCAGTTACAGGCTGGAGTATTCATTTGGCTGTATTCCTGGGGTTTGTGGGTTTGTGAGCGCGTTGAGCCATAAAAGTTAAAAGAGGTTACAAAGCGGAGAGACTTGGTCACCACTGTTACACTATAAACATCCTATGATTCATCTTCATATCCTCTCGTTCTTCCCCCACATATACCCTTATCTACTGCTGTTATATCGTACAAGACTTTCGTCTATTTTCAGTAATTTTTATCCATCGTAACACATTGCGCTCTTGATGACTCCGTTCTCCTGCGCAATACAAAAATAAGAGGACCTGCAACATCAGCAATACCCCTTGTCCAATGCTCTTGACAAATATCGTTCCATTTCCCATCCTCTCTCTTTCTCTTTCTCTTTTCTTTCACTTTCCTTCCGTCCCTTCTCTCTTTTCTCATTCTCATTCTCATTCCGCATGAATCGGTGCATGCTCTGTGCATGCGTCTCCATTAACTCCTCATTTTGTACACCTTTACACTAGCCGTTCTGCAAAATAAAATAAAATACCACAATTATGGTTTGTAAGGTCGCCTTTGTGTCCCATGAGTTACTAACCATATTCTTTTTCTCTTTGTTTTTGTACCACCGACGTGTGCCTGTGCTTCTGGAATCAACGTTCAGGAATCAACAATCTGACTCTTAGTCTCACGATACATTCCCATCAACATACCAACATATCAAACACAATCTATACTCCTACTCTTTTCCTCTTTCTTCTCTTCCCTCTTCATTTAAATTTACTCTCGACCCTTTTGTTTAACAACTATTGCGACATCCATCATGTCCGTTCGACTTGTTTCCAGTGCAAAGAGTTTGCGCGAGCAATTCAGAGCTGCTCAGAGTAATGGTAACTCAACAATGCCATCCAATAGCGCTGTTGCCCACACACCCTCAAATGGTGTATCTCGGTCCAAGACACTTCGGCCACCCATTGGTGCCAAATCGCCTTCACGCCAAAACACTTTGCTTCGCACCTCAAGCGGTGGCAACCTTCGTCGTGCAAAGAGCATACAAAAGAAAGGGCTCATTTCGAAGGTCTTTGCTGATGAAGAAGTCAATCCTCATGAAGCGCTGCCAGACCTCTCCATGGAAGTAACATCATTGATCGTTAAACGCTGCATTAAAGAGATCCGTGAACGAGGTTAGTGTGATGGGCGAATGCACTTGCCACTTTGACAATCTTATGAAGTATAAACGGCCGATCTGGAGTTACTCACGCAAATCCTCCCATCTTTATAGGATTGGCAACTAAGGGTATCCTTCGACAGGTCCAAATGGCCCAGAGTCAAAAAGTCATCATTGACACGATTCGCATAATTCTCGACGACGACGCAAGCACAGAGCTCTCGCCATTGCACCAAATTGACATTCATCTCGTGGCTCATGCCATGAAATGGGCCATCCGCTACTCTGAACAGATCCTTGTCACTTATGAGGACTATCAATCTCTCTATGTAGAGCAAGGTATTGTGAAATTATGTAGTATAGTATTTACTCTGCTTCATCCCCATTGGCAGTAACTAATTTATTCCTTATACTTGAATTATAGATCGTAACTTCACCAAATTCGCACACAATTTGCCACCAACTAACCGCGCCATCCTCCTTGACCTCTTTTCGCTCTGTGCTGATGTCACACTGCTCGCCCATCTCAATAACATGACCCTTGTTGCTGTCGCCAAGGCAATCTCGCTCAGTATTATGGCTGGTCCAGAACGTGAGTTCACAACATTTGATGCATCCTTGCAGCAGCGCAACCTCTGGGGAGCTGCATGTGAGGATCTTTTAAGAGCTTTCCTGCGCATCAAGACTACATATGACCTGGCCAAAATTGATCAAGAGGACGAAGTAGATGAAAATAGATACATCTGCAATGAGACTCGCGTTCTTAAGAGTGCCCGTCAGAGTAGCCGAGATATTGGACATATTCCGAATAGTATTAATCTCCCTTCTGGACATGACATCTCCTTGCCCTCGAGCACTGGTTCAAGTTTACCAGGCTCGGCAGGTTGGCGAACTCCAGGTGCTGGCACACCACAGTCATATGCTACCAATCATACCGGTTATTTTGATATGGTTGTTCCCCGACCAGGATCCCCTCTTTCACAATCCAGTGCAATGTATGGTGCGTCACCCTCGCAGCCTCATTTGAATGCGAAGCCCACTTTCCCCGTCTCCGCACCCATTGCGTTACCAAGCGTCCAACATATAGACGATATTACAGAGTATGAAGAGCTCATGCAAGATCAATCACATTTGAATCGCCTGCGATCAGATCGGAACAGTATGCTTCGTCCAGCAGAGCCCATGCGACGAAGGTCCTCGGTAACGGACATGGAGAGTCTCTATATGCTTCCTGTAGAAGTTACTTCCCCTGTTGATGGCTATGAATCAGACCCTGAAGTGTCTCACGCACATGAAGAAGATCCGAACGACTCCCTTACCCTAGATTTCGCAGACGGCCTCAACTGGGACTTTAGCAAGCATGTAGATATGACCTCAAATGATGCACCATCCTTAACCAGCTTCCAATCTCAGCCATGCGGAGCTAGCAAACATGTCAGCCGCTCAAATAATGCAAATGGACTCGGAATGAGTAGCCCAGCATATACGCCTTCGCCACAAGGCCTTCGTAATCATTTAAAGCAACAAAGCCCGTCCACTCATGTGGGACACTCGCAGGGCCCTCCAGCATACCAAAACTACCCCCTATCTTTGAGCATCCCTCCACAGGGCTCCATTCAACGTGTTATGTCCCCAACTCGTGCTCGCATCAATCAAGCTGTAGCACAGAACTATCCTTCCAGAACTTCTCCTTCTTTCCGTCCTCACCATTCGAGACGAAACTCTGCTATACGTCGATCCATTTCGATGAATCCAGCTGCAGCGTACAGCTATATCCATAGACGACCTGAAGAGTTGCAAGCGGACATTTTGGCCCACGACCTGGCTGTACAATTGGAAAAAGATCTTGTTGTCAATGACATCCGGTTCCAATTGCTCCAAGTTAAAAATGCTGATCACCAAGATCCCGCTCGAGCCAGCTCTGCTTTCTCATTGCACCTATCTCCTCTAGACCTGGAGCGAGGTTCGGTAGTCTCATCACGCCGAGGCTCTTCTATCTCTGCAAATGATCGACCAAAATCCATGATTGAGCTTAACACAACCAATCTTCCTCCACAGTATGAAGAAGCCAGCACCTCCGCAACCGAGCCAGTTTCTGCTGATGAGCTCAAGCCAACAGAGGCTATCACTCGGCCTACAGAGGTCAGCATTATGTTTGCTCCTATCCCAACGATGGCGCCCTTGTCACCTAGATCTGAAATGAAATCAAAATTCCACGAAAGCTTTCCTGAACGCCCTGTCTCACCGCCTTCTGGCTATCGCGGCACAGCATCTGCAGACGCGTCCAGGCGGTCAATGACTAATACCATTCCCAAGAGTAGTCACAGCCAAAAGCGACCGGTCAGCTCCACAAGCACTAAGATTCGCCCTTCTCTTAGACAGAGCGCGACCTTCTCTGGAGCACCGATATCTTCTCAGTCCTCGAATAGCGATAGCAAGTCCAGAACCTCTGGCTTCATTCGCGCTCTTTCATTCAAATTGCGCTCAAAACATAGTGATGACCAGCTTAAAGCTGCAAAGTCCAACCAAGAGGTTGGTGCTGTCCCTATGCCAACGCCTTCGGTCTCATTTGAACCTCCTCGCCTTGAGTTGAGTTTTATGAACGATGGCCTTGGCCCCACAGAGTTGAGCTTCTGCTCAAATTCTGAGGACCAGCTTCCATCCACCGCCGCACCAGCACCCTTCCAGAGTGGATCTGGATCGGAGACTCTGGAGAACTGTAAACAGTTTGCTCAGTCGCCCATTCCTATCCAATCCGACAACGTCAATTCGAATCCAACAGTAAATGGAATGCAGCAACAGCAACACAGAGAACTTCATCCAGCAGGATTCACAGGCATACGTCGTAAATCTGAGGTACTTCTTAGCTCGAGTAGCTCCCAATCTATTAGGAAAGAGCTTCAAAAGCCCAAGTCAGGCCCTATACTCTCCGTAAAGTCTCTGCAGCAGTCTCATTCAACTGCCAAAGATAGTGGTATGCCAAAATCAACTCTTTTATGAACCATATGAATCTTGTGCTTTAAGCCTTGTAATTGCCAAAAAAAAAAAAAAAAAAAAAAAAAAGATATGCAGGTTTCTAAATCATACCTCTTTCTTTATTTCCTTTGTTTGGGATTAATTTATTGTAAAAATAGACGATGATAATGCGAAAGCAAAGGAGTCAAAGAAGTTTTCAGGGCAGTCAGAGACACCAGCAACATCAACGGAGTCGATCATCCCCAAGACAGATGTGGTCGAGAAGGAACTCAGTTTCTCAACCGCAACTCTTTTGAAGGATGGTAAGCTCTACTACCAATTGCGATGGAATCAATTCTCGGAAATAGGATTCAAATCTGATTATTTCATTGAACCGACTCAGCTACATCAACTTCAACTGTCCCAGGAGGGTCCTCAGCAGCAGCAGCACCAGTGGCAGCACCAGTGGCAGCAAGACAGCGATCATATGAGAATATTATCAGCCAGCTTGCCCAGCCCAACTTTGGAACTCCCGGGACAGCTAGGTCAAGAACAAGCACAGAATCAACAACGAGGACCCAGCCAGGCGCAGAGGGCTGCGGCGATGAAAGTTGCCAGAGAAAGCTTCCTGGCAGTGGCGAGCGACCCCGAGGCGCTAGCGGCGCTCAAAGCGGAATCTGCGAGAAGGAACGGTCAAGCCATGATCATCAGCAGCGGCACATTTGCGAAGGACTCGATCATGCCCCAACTGGATCTATTTCCTCACCCACCCACTATCACCAGCAAGTCGATCGCGAGCCCTCAGCAAGTACAGCAAATCTACCCGAGCCCGAACCTCAGCCCGAATGGCAGTCTCAAATCAGCACGATCGATCGATGCGATTTCAGCAACAGGATTCCCAGCGGCGGATGGAGAAGGACGCGACAGTGTTCAGAGGAGTATGTCCGACAGGCCATCAGCAACAGGGGGAGCGCCCTTTTCACCTTCCAAAACCATCACGAAGCCTGGAACAGCTGTTGTTGGTGGTGGTGGACATGGTTCTTCTGTGTCGTCTTCGCCGGGAGCTCGTTATAAAAGGCAACACAAGCGTACTGCCTCTGCAACCTCGGATGTTGCAGCTGTTGCTGTCAAGAGCAAAGGAAGGAACAAACTCTTTGGAAGAAAATCCAAGAAGTTGGCCAATCTATATCTTTCGGGATCAACAACTTCCTTGGCCTCAGCCTTGCCAACAACAATTCATAAATCAAACAGTGGAGGCCGTAAGCGCAGATTGTTCCCTGTGGGTGTGAAGCGTCAAGATGTGATGACAAGAACAATAGAGTCGATGGATGAAGTATTCCCGTGGATGTGTATCGAGCACATGGCTGGACAGGAGAGCGGATGGGTGATGTTGGAGCCTGTCCAGGATAGAGCTGTTGGGTGGGTGATGGTTGATAGGTTGGAGGATGAGAGAATATCTGCAGCGGCACGAGCGATAGTACCACAAGCCAGCGAACGCTATGATCAACGAGAAGAGCTGATGTCAGAGCGTTACCAACCACTTCAGCCCAAGACCGCAATGCAGGCACAGGTCGCATAGTTTTAATATATATTGTATAATTCCAGTAAACCACCATGTATAGTAAATTGAGATTGACAGTGAATTTTTCCCTTTAATATAATATAATATAATAATGCTTCATCTCAAAAAGGAATTAGAAGCTATTTTTTTATTATCTTCGCTTTACATCCAACGACTTGTTTGTCCTTTATTTAGCTTCATTGTTTGGTATTTACAGCCTACTGTTCGATGGCATTATAGTTCTAGTCAGTCAATATTCGTTTGATTTTAAGAGTAAATGAGGAGAGAAGCGCTGATAACAGTGGCGGTAAAAGGTGCATTGCACTTTTATTTATGTTTCACCATTTGAAGAAGAAACAGGGTTCTCAGCTGGTGACAATAATGCTATCTCTTGTTTCTTTTGCTGCCGACTTCTCCTTTGCTACTTCTCGTTGCCCTTATTGACTTTGGAGTTTCCGTTGTAACAAGGCAGTGATACTATCAAAGAGGAACTGTGAGATCCCTTCAAACCCATTCTGCTCTAGATGATCAAGGTACTGGACGCGAAATTCATCAAATTTCATATTTAGGCCTCCTTTAGTGACCATATCTTTAAGTGCAGAGCTCGATGCAGGGGCTCGAAGTCGCTTCTCCTCAGGAATGTTATTTTGTTCTTCAAGTGACTAGGTAGACGGGCAAGCAATGGATGCAAGGTGTTATTTTGGTGATGACATGGTATGCATTTCCTTTTCTTTTTCTTTCTTTTTCCTTTATTTAAAGAAAGATGCCGAACTGTTACCTTTAGGAATCTCGCAGAATAGCCAGACATGGCGATCGAATGAGTGATAGACATCATATTGTTCATATTGAGTCCAGCATCTGCACATACTCGCTTTATTTGCGTAATGGTACGACTTTTTTTTTTTTTTTTTTTTTTTAAAAAAAAAAAATAAAATAAAACAGCACGGTGAGAAAGAGAACAATCATCTCAGCATAAGCAAACAATCATCAAAAAAAAAAAAAAAAAAAAAAAAAAAAAGAGAGGGGCACGTACTGGTCCATTGAAAATCCTAGTGCATTTTTGTCTGTCTTATTAAAAGCACGGTTCCGCCATAGAAAGTTGCAGATGTCCATTACAAAGCTATTGAACAGCACAACGTATTCACGATTATATCCTGGAACTTCGAACGGTGCCGGTAGGGCTGCGCCTGCTTGTAGTGATTGTTTCCCTGCTGGGTTGTCATCGCCAGTGTCGCTTTTCCGTGTAGACATCTGCGATTGTACTAGCAGCTCGTATTGCAGCTGCTGATCCTTTTCAAACGACTCGAACGCTTGTTTATATTGATACACGATCCCACAGATTCTCGAGAGTGCCATACCTGAATCTGAGAGGAAACACCTATAAACGATGGTCGAGTGTGGAAAAATGACCGCCAGAGGGACTTTATAGACACCAGAGAGTGAAGAGGTAAAATCGAAAAATGAGAGGACTGCGTGTTGGACCGCTATATGGTCGTGTTCCATCTCCAACGCCACGCTAGAAATACTGTCGACATGTCCTATTAATGCCCTTATCGTCCCCATGTAGTCCACATTTGGTGCTAGTGCTGAAAATAACCGACGGCTTTTTTTTTTTGCGGGCATAAAGAAAAAGGAAAAGAAAAGCAATAAAATAAATAAATATCTAATAAGTTTTCAGAAGGAAAACAATCAATATAGAGAGATGCTGCTTACAGCTTTTGCAGGCCCTCCTTTGAGAGCCGTGGGTTTCGGCCTACTTCCAAATATTCATTCCACTTGAATTGTGCCCAACGCTGAAGCAGCTTTCTGTAGCAAAGGATGAGTTCACCCTAAAAACAATATATGTTTCCTTTCAGTTTAGTTTAAGCTCTGAAACGCCTATTGTATTCAACTGTGCTCACAATTCCTCATTCCTCTTCTCCAGCTCCTTTCTTACCTTCCAAACTGGGCCCATGAAGTAAAAAAGACGATGTAATGGTTTCAGGAAATGCACATGTAGTTCTATCAATGAGGCACAGATAAAAAGAAAAAAGGATAAAAGTTATAAAGGATATGTCTTTTCAACAAGTACTGAGCTCACAGCAAATACATTAACATATGAAAGCCAAGTAAACAAACCTTCATATGAGCGAGGTCGCAGATATGTCAAAAGAGTAAAGATATTTCTTTGATGATCTTCTCCATTCCAGATCCTGAGAAACGACATTAGGAACTGTTCAACAATAGGCAGCAGATCCTTAAAGGCAGGAAATCCGACAAAGGAAATAACGAAGTAAAACTACAGCATGAGTATTGTTGGGCTGAATAATCATAGAAAGCAAGTAAACAGTATACTTCGCCTATATAGACTCACCTTGATCATGGCAGTAATCTCCACCACCTTGGAAAGGATACCCTCAAACCGAGCTTTTGTAGCATTTGTTTTCTCCCTCCAATACCAAAGATCCATTAGTTCTTGCCCAAGCCAGTAACTTATCCGTTCCACAACTGACTGTGAAGGTTGCAAACAGAGAACATGTTGTAATACTCGATTGGAAAGCACAGAGGAAAGTTGGTCCGGAAGAGCAAGAGTGTCGATGTGTTTTACAAGCGAATTTAGAGAGGTGATTTGAGATAATGGTATTGCTTTTATCTATATTGTGAAGAATGCAGTCGTTACATTAATAATAGAATTAGCTTCATTCCATTAAGATAGTCATATCAATGCGTTATTTTCTGTGTTAGTGCGTGCTGACTCCCTACATCATCTCCTTTACGATATATAGAGTATGCGTCAGGAAGAGAAGTATGTGAAGTTTTTTGTCTTTTGACCTAAAAGTAAATGTATACAAGTAGAAGAGTGTTACTGTCAGTTCTAATTTTTTTTTTTTTTTTTTTTTTTTTTTGAAGGACAGAGACATGATGGCAATCCTCTACTGTTGTTTACCCCGCTTCTGACAATAGGAGCCTTGGAGGCAACAAGTGTCGTCTCTTGACCTTGATTAAGATGGCTCCACTTCTCCTGCAATCCCATTATCAAGATCGACATGGGCTGGTCTGGACACTTAAAAATGGTTCGATTTGATATTGTCAATGGAGCCAGAATCAAATCCGGAAAATAGGACTTATAAACATGAAGCAGCCCTACAAGTACTGGCTCCTTTCCGACTGTCATCTGTAGGTCCATACTAAACAGTCCCAAGAGAGAAACATCATATAAAACATATCCCTTGCTTTTAGTTTAATATTCTTTGATATTATTCAACAATCCAAAGCCTCTCTTTCCTCTTTCTGCATACAGCTTCCTAATCCTGTAAGGCTTCACATCTTCCCGCCGGGTCATATAGTAGAGAAGATGGCATAGCGGTGTCCTATGTAGAAAAATTAAACTTTGTCAGACAGATGGATGCAGTATAACCCAGCTGTGCGCTTTTATTGTCCTACAGTTAAACTTATTTGTTCACATTTGAAGCTACCTCAACGTTTCATAGGACAGATAATGGAATGCGACCCCGTAGAGCCGCTGGAGTTTTGTCCGACTGTCAATGACGTTATAAACAACAATCATCCATCGAAGTAATGCTGCCTAAATACCATAGCCATAGATATAATAAAGATAAGATAGTTATTCTCAACAAAGTCTCTGTGAGTTGAGATCCAAAGAGCATCGCTTTCCATGTGTTGAACAATTTACTTGGTTTGAAAAGGCAAGCCGTCTGCCTAAGCATCCCATGACTTTGATGGCACACATCTCTGGTACATGTTGACGTGGAAGCAACAGTCTGATCAACTTCCGAGTCGTAGTATCGTCTAAAAATGAATGCGGTTTGATGGACCATATAAGAAGGAGCAAAAGGTGGTTGAGCTCAGATATACGGTATTCATTACACTTTTTTTCTCTTCTTCAGATCTTAGTAGGTATTGATATCTGTTTTTTTTTTTTTTTTTTTTTTTTTTTTTACCGATTTTGCCAATCAGGATGATGTCTAGCAGCTGTGAAAGTTGTTCTGGCGATAATCCAAAACTATGGGCAATAGAACTGAGTGTATTCAATGTTCGAAGTACTGTGGGTTTTCCGCCTCGTACACCACCATCTAAAAAAGAAAAAAGATATATTATTCCAGAACAGAATCATATGAGTTTTTTTTTTTTTTTTTTTTTTTTTTTTTTATTAAAACACATTATGCTTTTCTTCTATCAGGAACTTTTCTCTTTTTCTTCTTCCAGAGGAGATTCCATACTTCGCTCAATTCTCTCAAGACTATTGACAATGGTTTCGTCCGCTTCCTCTAACGTGAGTTCTTCCACGTGAAAGTTCTCAAGTATCTCTTTGTGGTTCGTCTAAAAAGACAATGCAGCATGATTTTGTCAATGCAAAACAGGTTTTTTTATTTATTTGCTGCCCTGTTAGCACTCTTCATGCAGCATCCTTGTAAACTCATAGCTCCATTGTTCCTGTGTCTTTATTGTAATGTCTATACCTCGGTCATCTTCCATTACGTTTAGTAATTGTGAGAAAAAAAAAAAAAACTTGAAGCAGGAAACTGGGACGTCCACAAAGCTTATTAAAGTCATGTGTGGCTGAGAGAATTGATTCCATGCACCTGGAGCAAGAAGGACTTGGATTGTAAAAATAAAGCACATCCACCTTGTCATTAAAGCAATTTGGCAAAGAAACAGGATGGCTCGCATCGTTAGTCTCTTGCCTTCCGCAGCAGAAATTGTATGTCAGGGGGAAATATGTACCTGTCTCTGTGGCTACATTTATTGGCTTACTGAATGTATCATGTAGGCCTTCGACAAAAACATGCTAGTTCATTTTTTTTATCTTTTGATACACATTATAGATTTGTTTAGTCGGTGGCGAATCCGAGATGGTAGCCAGGAGTCATGAAGGTATTACACTTTGCTCATCTAGCTCCTGTTAAAGGAAACTTCATTATTTTTCGCTGATTTTTTTCGCCCTGATACCAGATGACTTTCCTTCCACGATCCAGCATCTGCCAATGTTGACGCGTGCCAAAACAAACTTCACGAGCTCTGCTGACGTCGATCGTCAAGTCTCAGAGGCTCTCTCTCAGGGCAATAGTCTTTATCATCTAGATGTCGATCAATTAAAGGCCCTCCAGCCTACCATCATTGTCACACAGGTAAGCGCCCGCAAAAAAAAAAAAAAAAAAAAAAAAAAAGACCATTGCCATGAAGATATTTGTTTTTCTAGTTTCAAATGTATCTCTCTTTCCATTATATCAGGACCTCTGCACCGTTTGTTCAATTGACCTTGTGAGTGTGCAACGTGTGGCTAGTAATATGAACCCTCGCCCCGAAATCGTGACCTTAAATCCTACCTCAGTCGCCGAGGTCATGGAAAGTGTCACTACTGTGGGAAATGCAATTGGCCATGCCGAAGGCGCTGCTAAAGCCCGTGCAGAATTAGAACGAAGGATCCAACGATGTATCGATATAGGAGCTCAGGCCAAGAAGGACAATCCAGAGTACAAATCTAAAAGAGTCATGTTTTTTGAATGGACCGATCCTATATATCCTGCGGGTCATTGGACACCTGAAATGATCGAAATGGCTGGGGGTGTTCATCCTATCAATCCACCTGGTTCGCACTCGTAAGTTCATCCATTAACAATATTATCTTTTGTAACATTTGTACTTGCTAACATTTGTCATTGTTTTTTCTTTCCTTCTTTCTTTAGAAAGCGCGTTCCTGAGTCTGACGTGATTGCCACAGATCCTGAAGTCATTATTATTTGTCCTTGTGGATTGGATTTGACAGCAACACGTAAGGAGTATGATCTGCTGATGACTAAAGATTGGTTCAGAACCTTGCACGATAAAGCAACGACGGTCGCGTTGGTCGATGGAAATCAAATGTTCAACCGTAGTGGCCCTCGTCTGGTCGAGTGTACAGAGTGGTTGGTATCACTACTGCATGATCGCCCAGAGTTTGAGCCAAGTGGATTTCCCTGGGAGAGAATCAAATGAGCCAAATGATTGGAAATACCAAAAAAAAAAAAAAAAAAAAAAAAAAAGATATTCGCCTTAACTCTCTCGAGTTACATATAAAATGATACTTTGGACGCAGAAATAGCGATAATAATAATAACAGTAATAAAATCTAACAAAATGAATAAATGGCCTTCGATAACATATTTCTTTATATATTTTTTCGGAAATTTTCAATAACAGATAGACTTGTAACAGCATCGGTTCCTATTTCTCCTGCATTAAAATCTTCCTCTTGCGCCCCTGGTCTCTGTGTGTAACCTTTCTCCACTGTTTTGAATAGCAAAATGCGCTTGACTCGCGATGCTTCTGCAGCTTCTCTCTCTTTTATAATAGTAATGATAAAATATACTGTGGGTGGGTTTTTTCATTGATAGAGAAATAGCTCGTACCGTGGCTGCCTTCCCATGACATTCAAAGGGACCAGCATGAGAACTTCAGCATCCACCGCAAGCACTCCTGGTGGACGGCCTGTTGGACAGCCCTCTTTTTCCATCCCCTCCCCCCCATTTCTGTCGTTCCCTCGCTAAAGAGGTAAGAGAGAGAAAGGGGCGTTGTAGGGCTCACTAGACTTTTTTTTTTTTTTTTTTTTTTTTTTTGAAATATACCCAAAACATAAACGTATCCTTACACCAACTTTCGCTCCACGTTAATGACCAGAGACGAGTCAAAGACTTGGCAGAGCGTTTAAATGATGAATGAATGGAAACGGGATTGATGAGATAGTAATGAAAGGAAAGGGTATGGTCATAATGGAATAATGCAAAGACAGGGTTAATATCGATGACAGTTGATGGCGAGAGAGGAAATGGAAAAAGAAGGCCTAAGATATCCTTTTTCTGAGCAAGACACACCTGGACAACATTAGAGGATGGATTGGTGAGCTGATTCCAAGAGGCAATAGTTCGATAAAGACAAAAAAAGGAGCAATCGAAGGTAAGTGCTGCTCTATTTTATGTATACACTTTCTACCTATGGATGATAGATTGATGAAAAATATAATGATACAATACAAAGATGCTTTGTTGTTCTTTTGAGCCGATGGGCAATCTAATTGCACAATATATTTTTAACAAAGCACATTGACCAAGATTTGATTAACAAAGAAAACTTTGGGTAACTGCGACTCGTATTGATCAAGATCCTGCTCATGAAAAAGTTAAAAAGATAAAAAGGAAAAGGAGAAGGATAATGTAGATTGTTAGACACTTGATCTTCCAGTGTTGCGGAAAATGTGAGATGACGGGAATTGGGATACACATCACTCATTACTTGTGCCTGTGCCACCACTTGAGTCCGTGCCATGCACGCGGTCCATTACACAGGGACATAAGGATCTACCATAGTCAAATAGACTTTAGCTTCCCACCCACCCCCAAAGTTAAAAAGAAAAGAGCAAGGCAAACAAGTTGTGTCAGGCATAGGCTAAAAAACCAACATGTGTAAGAGCAAAGGGGCGGGAGGAAACATGGAGGACAGAGACATCATTCCAAGACATTTAAATGTCTTAGTGGAGGTCCCTTGCGCACATGTATCTGCATCCATCTATTCAGGTACGAAACAGACAGGAAAATAAATAAACCTTAAACAAGAGCTTTTTATCCTTTTACTTTTTTCTAAACGTCCATTCCATTATTATCTATAAAAGTGGAGAAAACCCCACCCTTTATTATTTTTTTTTCTACATCTTCTTGCATTCACATCCAACGACGCTTGCTCACATTCTCTGTCACCTGCATTCTTTCTAGCTTTCTTTTCTTTTCATTTTCTCCCTTCTATTTCCATAACCCATCATGAAGATCGCCTCAATTATTTCATTGGCAGTCGCTGTCTTGTCCCTTACAAATGCAGCACCCATTGATCGAAGGCCGCATAGCCTATTTGGTCCGCCAGCGGGGTCGTACAAGAGTCATTCCGTTGCTTTGACCCGCAACCCTCGTTTCAAGCACAATGTTCCAGCACAATTGGCCAAACTCAACAGTCGCTTCCCAGGTGTCGTGAAGGTCTTGGCTTCGTCCGGCCGTGTTGATGTGACTAATGTCGAAAACGATTTGGAGTATTATGGAGTTGTCTCCGTCGGTACGCCTCCACAGGAAGTCAAGCTGGTAAGAAATATTAATAGATCTGACAGATGATGCATGCAATAGTAAGGATGAAAGTGAGTTGTTCTCCCCAGTAAACAGTGCGCTGATCATATTTGGCCTTTTTTTTTCTCTCTTGTCCCTCATAGGATTTTGATACTGTAAGTTTTTTCTTTTTGTTGATTCGGAAAATTTTTATGTTGCTGCACGCTTTGACCTCGCATGGGCCCTGTCTCTGAACTGACACTGACACACAAATTTTATTTTGTTTATCACCCCTACATACACACACATGCTCACTTTTTAAAAACAGGGCTCTTCCGATATCTGGTTTCCCGCTGTGAACTGCACATCTGCCGCCTGCAAGCAACATGCTCAATATGATCCTTCTCTCTCTTCGACGTTCCAAGAAGATGGCCGTCGTTGGAAGATCACCTATGGTGATCAGTCTAGTGCCTCTGGTATCTTGGGCAATGACATCGTCACTGTCGGAGGCATTTCTGTTTACCAGACAATTGGTCTTGCTCAAAAACAGTCATCCCATTTCTCTTCCTCGATTTCGGATGGTCTCTTTGGCCTTGGTTTCAATACCATTGAAACCGTACCTGGCGTCAAGACCTTCTTGGACAATGCAATTGAAGCTGGCCTATTAGAGAAACCCGTTATCTCCGTCTTTTTGCCCTCAGTCCGCCGAAACGGCGGGGTTGGGGGTGAGTATCTCTTTGGTGATATTGATGAGTCTAAATTCTTGGGCGAGTTGACCTATGTCCCCATCACCAAGAAAGGCTACTGGCAAATCAAGGTTGAGGATGCTGGGTTCAATGACGATTCTATCCAACAGTCCTCTGAGGGTATTGTGGACACCGGTACGACATTGATCATCGTGAGCGATAAAGCTGCGAATGCCATCCACAGCAAGATCGAAGGTGCACTGAAAGATCCCAAGAACGGATGGACAGTTCCCTGCTCCTTGAGCTCAAACACTGAGGACAACATCACGTTTACAATGAGTGGAACTGCATTCAATGTACCAATTGCAGATCTGGCATTTGAGGATGTTGGAGATGGGTCTGGAAACTGTTTCTCAGGCATTCAAGGTGGTCAGGAAGGCCTTTGGATCTTGGGTGATGTTTTCATTAAGAACAATTACTGTGTCTTTGACCAAGGTGAAGCTCGTATCGGCATCGCACCCTTGAAGTATGACTAAAACACACGCATACACAAAAAAAGGCTCGGTCGTTCTAATTATATAATCAGCATTATAATGGGTGGGATGCTGGACATTCGACCCGTCTCTTCTGGTCTATCAAAGGCTGATACGCTCATGAATATACCATTTAAAATATATTTAAATATGTAGTATAAAAAATAAGATACATGTAATATTCATTTATACTCTGTTATCCTTATACAAACGTAAAGTAAACTATACCCTGTTTCTTACAAAAACCTATTCAAGTTGGAAAGATTCTGTAAAGGTGTTCAGTATGGAAGTCGCGCGCGTGCGGAAGAGCCCAACCATTGCCTCTAGTGTAAAGTCTTTCGAATATTTGGTTGCATCACTGCCCACTTCGCTAAAATAATATGAAAATAGCTCCTTTGCCACAAGATGCGAAACCACGCAGAAGTAAGGTCATGGTGTGACATGACGCGATATAAAACGATCTCGCTTTATACTATCAAAATAATCAATATCAAATTATTATTTATTCGTATAATGTTAAACACGGCAGTTCTGGATAGCGAACAAGAGAATATCACGGGCGCCAATGGCCTCTAAATCATCCATAGACTGTGCAACGTTGTTCTTGAGGACCATGGAACTGACTGCCACCCAGTCTGGGTTCTCGAGAGGTGAGACCGTAGGGGCCTGACGACCAGGGGTAATCAAAGAAGCCTCCTTGAGGTGCTTGCGTTCGATATTGTAATTGATGTAGACATACTTTTGTGCTGCAATGACTCCCTTTATCCGTCCAGCAATTGTCTGCACCAGATCAGGGTGTTTGGGTTTTCTGGAGGCGATTAATACTGCTTGTGAGGACAAAATCGTCTCGATGTCGTGAAGTCCCGCAGCCTGCATAGTTTCTCCAGACTCGACAAGATCGACTATTTTTTTTTTTTTTTTTTTTTTTTTTAAAAAAAAAAATAGGCGTATGCAAATTAGATTTGATAAGAAAAAACAATCGGAAAATCATGTTGCTGTATAAAAAATTCTTTGTACGACCTTCCTCTTCCCCACATCCAGTATATTTTGTTCCTGAATTTCATCATTCATCATTTTCACATTGTGTGCCGCCATCACCCTCCAGTCTCAGCTTATCCAAGGTCAAACTCATAATCCTTTTACTTTTTTTTATGTGGAATCTCAAGGAAGAGACAAATGGCTTACCAATACCGTCAGCGAGTCCAAGAGCACAGGCAGCTTCGACACTTCCGCTGACAAAGACCAGCTCTGTCTTCTTTTGCTCCGCTGTTCCCTTGGTTCCATTAGCATCAGCGACCTTAGCATCGATCTCCTTGAAGAAGTTGCCTGCAATGCCTTCAAATGAAGTAGCGATCCTCTTGCCGACCAGTTCCTGAACATTGGCTGCTCCATTCTTCATCGGGACTTGAACACACAATCGACATTTACCAAAGCCCAATTCCATAATCTCAGTGACTTTGTCCTGTGCACCGGCTTCTGCCACCATATCCTGACCTGTGATACCTAAATCCACGTCTCCTTCACCCACAAACTTGGCAATGTCACCAGCAGGCAAAAAGACCAATGCGATCGGCAAGTTCTTCACCAATGCAATGTCGAGACGGTTCTTGCGGTGGAACTGAATATCAGCGCCTTCGAGCAAAGAGAGACATGAAGCATGAAGACGGCCCTTCTTGGGGACTGCAAAGAGCAAACGGTCGGGGAGATCTTTGATGAGTTCCATAGTAATTTGAAAGACAAAAACAAATGACGAAAGTAAGGGAACAAGATTTAAGTGATCTGTAAGGAATTTCAAGGAATGAATGAATGAATAAAGAAATCAAATGAAGTGAAAAGAGTGTGTGTGTGAAAAAAAGAAAATCTCCGCCCCAGTAAAAGCTCCCAAACGATGACCGCATAGATCAACAACTGTGCCTGATATGTCTGTCGTAATGCCGTACAGTTGACGCCACCATTTTCTCTTATTCTTTGACTCACAATAGATCAAGCCAATTAACGACCATCTCAGGTGCACGTACAGTACATATCTATCAATGGGACTTGTATACGTGCAAGTCACGTAGTCTAACTTAAATAAATATTTAGGGTGAATCTATTTGACAACCCGGGTTGTCACTCTTATTTGACAACCCCCCCCTAATTTAGCAGTCACACCGGCTTATTTGGCAACCCAGGTCTTCAATTTTCACTTTTTTGTTATTTGACAACCCGGGTTGTCAAGAAAAGAAGAAAAATTGTCTTTTTCAACCTGTCACATGACAAGTCTTCACCATCTTGCACTTTTGGAGGGCCTTTCTCAGCTGGATTTCTAAAATGGTGGCAACACTCCATTATCATGACTGTGGTTATAGCTTCTTCTGTCTCTCTTTTTTTTCCTTTCCGCGTCTTACGCATGCGCCATCAAGCGTCGCATAACCACTCCGAATTTATGCATGCTTATATATCCAAAAACCCCTTAGTGCATGTTACCCGTATAGGCACATTTTCTATAAAAGCAAACCCTTGTTTTAGAAATCAGTTGTAATAAAAAAACAACACCTCGTAACCAAAAAAAAAAAGTTTGTTATTTGATGGAAGCTTTTAGATTGCTGGAGGGATTTCATGTTGCTGAGGGATAGCAATAGAAACGATTTTCACATAATAATCTTGCCAATAAAAAAGGGTTGTCAAATAATAGTGAGCTTGGGGTTGTCAAATTAGATATTTTACTATTTGGCAACCCCGGGTTGTCACGCAAAGAAAAAAAATTGAGAAAAATAATTAAGGGGGGGGTTGTCAAATAAGAGTGACAACCCGGGTTGTCAAATAGATTAATTCAAATATTTATACTTTTATTCACATTTTTTGAACTGAAAGCTCACACATCAATGCATCCTCCAGCGACCTTCCTAATGGCTGCACGGCCGTATGGGATATATGAGGCACTGTACCAGAACAGCGCCAAGAACTGGACAATGCACAAAATCAAGCAAAGGAGTGCTGCTTTAAGCTAAAAGTACAGATTTTTTAAAAAAAGTCCAAAAATGTTAGATGTCAATAGCTGATAAACTAAAGTAGAATTAATCTCATATCATAAAGATAACAAGGTAATCATTAAACATACTGTGAATGCGACAATGAGAGTGATTACGATTAGAGATAGGAAAACAATGGAAGCAACCATACGAACTACATTGTCAAAGGAACAGTAAGAAAAAAAAAAAGAAAAAAAAAAGAATTGCGTTAGCTGGATATCAATAGCTGTTACTTAATTTCCAGATTTGCTTTAATTTTTTCCTACCTGGGGCAAACATAGTCTTGAACTGCTTGGAAGGTCCAATTAAGAAAGTGGTGCTAATTTTTTTTTTTTTATTTTTTTTTTTAAAAAAAAATAAAGGATCGCATCTCAATGAACTGTTAAATCATTGCCATTGTAATTTTGAGTCATCGTATGCTGTTTGATATTGCCATTCGAGCCTCTTTTTTTTTTTTTTTACCTCAACAACGACACAATGTTGCCAAGAGTGAAGAACACTGCAAATAAAGCGAGCTGCCCAGTACCGAGTGACAAAGTAGACTATTCAGAGAGAGCAATAATGATATGATAATATTTGTCAGCCCTTCCTTTTTCTTTATTCCATGCTCTTTATTTTTCTCAGTCTGCGTCCATCCATATTTGTTGTGTTGATCTAACGATTAAAAGAGAAGAAAAAAAAAAAGGGTGCGAATCACAATACCAGAATCGAGATTAAGAATCCAGCCACGAAACTATTTTAAGAGCAGGTATGCCATATATAAAGTCATCAATGTTAGTAAAGAACCGAAAAAAAAAAAAAAAAAAAGAATTGTCCTGATGGAATTCTAAAATTGTCGATACGTCTCCTGGGATTATTAAACCCAACATAGTTTGAGAAAAGAATTTGAAATCCTGAGCTCCATGAACATGTTACTGCTTGCTCCTGTTGCTTCTGAGGAATATCGTTTTTCATTCATGTCGAATATGGAGGCTAGAACTGGGCTGTGTTACTGTGTAACTGTGTCACTGTCTGACTTGAAAAGAAGGTTCCTTGAAATATATACTTGTGGGGGTTTTTTTTATTTTTTATTTTTTTTTTTTCCGTCTTTCAGAGATGGGTAAATAAATATCTTACCAGATCCCGAAGCCATAGAGACGTTGAGTCCTGTTGAGATTGAAGCAGCTAATGGGATTCGTATCGTCCATAACCTACAATGTGATCCACGCACCAACCAACAATATAATATAAAAAAAAATAAAAGTAAAACAAAATAAAAAAATAAGGCGTATGTTAATTGTCATACTCTGTTATTTTTTTTTTTTTTTTTTTTTTTTTTTGGTAGTTGTTTTTGTCGTTATCATTGTTGTTGCTGTCTATCTGATCGAAGGTTGTATCAAAACATTCTACTACGGTGGTAACAAGATAAGAATGAGGATTAGTTGTATGCAATCTTGAAAATGCTTCTTACATCCTCATTGTTCGGCAGTGATGACATTCCCCAGATGGCCATGATGAACTATTTATTTCTTTTCTTCTTTTTATTTGCTAGTACTAAGGGAAGTATTAAGAGAGGAAGGTTTGGTTTGCTTGGCAAGGAATGAAAGAGATGACAAGGGCGAAGCAAAGCAAAAAGTCTAAAAAAGACAAGAAAAGAAAAAAAATCCCCACAACGGTCGTGTGTGTTGAATGTGTGGCATGTGAAGCACCCTTAATAACTGTAAAGGAGTATTTTTTATTTGCCGTTCCGTTCCTGGATAGGGAGAGACAGACAAAATGTTAGGCATCCGTCAGTTCAAATAACCTGACGCATTCTAATCCCCAATATGATAAGCGGGTATAATCACATGACCAAAGGATCGCGATTAACCAAACAAATCCTGCGCACTGTTCGCATGCCAATGATTTTGATTCCTTCTGGACAGGGTATGATCGAACCGGATAAAATTGTAAGCGCCTTTAAAATATGCGTTAGGACAAGTTTACTCATTCAACTCTCTTTCTTTTCTTTCTTTTCTTTCTTTCTTTTCTTTTCTATTATCCTCTCCATTTTACTTCTTCTCAAAACACCCCACCAACTACAATCAAGCTCGCCCTCCCCTCCCCTCCCACTATGCCTGTCTTCCCAAAATACGACCTTGAGAAACAAAGCATCGAGCTCCCAGGAACGAAAACCCCGGGCGCTACTGGTAACAATAACAAATATACACACACAAATCAGCCTTAGTATCGCGTATAGAAACACTTACGGCTCAAAGAAACTTATGACAGTATAAAATGGTTATTGCATTTCCATTTGATGCTATGTATAGGGCATTACAGGCACGCTGCTTTCGCTGATGAACTCGTTAGCCATATCCGCAGCGCACCTCATGTTGAGACCCTCTATGAGCTCTTTCAGCATGGTATGTTAAGATACTAAATTACTGGGGAAAAAAAAATGTGGAGTGGGAAAAAAAGGTTGAGATTTATGCGGAAGAGCGAAATGAGACATTAAAAAGGATAAAGTTTAGTCGCTGTACTTATCTATTTATCTATTTATTTATTTTAATAGGACTTGCTCAATTCCCAGACAAAGAGTTCATTGGCCATCGTCCATACAATCCTACAACACGCACCTACGACAGCTTTACATGGGAGACCTTTCAGCAGATTGACCAACGCATTAATGCTTTTGGCAGTGGGATCATGCATCTGAACGAATCTTTCCTCGGAAACTCACAGCTGAACCGTTGGGCACTCGGTATCTGGTCATTAGGACGACCAGAGTGGTACATCACGGAAATGAGCTGCTACTTCTACAATTTGGTTAATGTCGCACTCTATGATACTCTTGGCCCGGATTCAATCGAGTATGTTAGTAACCACGCTGAGATCAGAGTTGTCGTTTGTAGCGGTAAGTAACCATCTCGTGTCACTTGTTAAAACACTGTCTTGGAGAATAAGACTCAAGATGCGATCTAGCCCCTTGCTCCCTGGCAAAAATATAATATTCACACAAATGTTCTATATATTTCCTTCTCTGTAAATCCAGCCAACCACATTGTCGCCCTACTTAAGATCGCACACAAGCTGTCAAGCTTGCAGGCCATCATCAGCATGGATTCGCTTTACGATACCTCCCGTTCTGCTCCTAATGCTGTCGTTGATTTGAATGTCATCCGTTCCTTGAGTAATGAGAATGGCATTAAAGTCTATGACTTTGAGGAAATCGAAGCCCTTGGAAAGGAGTTTCCGCGCCCACATACCCCGCCAAAGAAGGACGAAGTGGCTACATTATGTTACACAAGCGGGACTACGGGCCAACCGGTCCGTAAAAGCATCAAAATGTCTTAAGAAGCGTCAAATGATCATACAAAATGCATGTAATGCTTATACTATGAGGGCCTTTCTTTTTAACTAATGATAGAAAGGTGCCATGCTGACGCATAAGAATTTCATTGCCGCAGTCGGCACTTGCTATGAGGGAACACACATTGCCCCCGACGACGTAGTCCTCAGGTAATGCTGTTTGATGTTTCTTACAATGAAGATTTAATTTTCCCATTCTTACTGAACGAAAAAAAAAAAAAAAAAAAAAAAAAACAACTTTATAAATAGCTATTTACCGCTAGCTCATATCATGGGCCGTGTAGGGATTCTGGTTAGTACATCCGTGGGCTGCAAAACCGGATTCTTTCATGGAGATATGCTGGCGCTAATGGATGATGTCAATGAGCTCAAGCCAACGTTTTTCACAACAGTCCCTCGGTTATTGAATCGAATCTATGCTCGGGTTGTAGCGGCTACAGTAGATGCACCAGGGGCTGTTGGTAAATTATCACGCCATGCGGTAGCTGTGAAGCTTGCTAACCTTCACGCAGGGAAAGGTGTTCATCATCCGCTCTGGGACCGACTCTTGTTCAACAAGGTCAAGATGGCCCTCGGAGGAAGAGTTCAAGTCCTGGGAACCGGAAGTGCCCCTGTCGCCAAGGAGGTCCTCGACTTTTTGAGAGTTGTTTTCAGCTGTGTCGTAGCTGAGGGATATGGCTCAACTGAAACAACAAGTATTGCTACAGTTACACTCCCCGAGTACGTGGAAATAGTTGTATCGTCTTCATGTTTGTTTAATATTATCATCATGATAATTACTATTTTTGTTTTATTTTCCTATTATACATACCGACCAAATGTCTCATCACTGATCTCTTCTTTTCCCCTTTTTCCTCAGTGAACACGTTTCTGGCCATGTAGGCTGCCCTCGTCCTGGAATAGAACTCAAACTTGTGGATGTTCCAGAACTGAACTATCTCACCACAGATCAACCTTTCCCTCGAGGGGAGATCCAGCTACGAGGAGCTCCAATCTTCAAAGGCTATTTTAAGGACGAAGCGAGCACACGAGAAGCTGTTGATCCAGAGGGATGGCTAGCCACCGGGGATATTGGGGTTATGGATGATCGTGGATGCCTTACGATTGTTGATCGCAAGAAAAACATATTCAAGGTAAGTGAATAAAAATAATGTGGACTCCTCCAATGATTGTCAATATGTTGGATTTATTGATTTGGTTTAATTTTTTTTCCCCTCTTTAGTTAGCCCAGGGCGAGTATGTTGCTCCAGAAAAAATCGAGAATATCTTAACGGCTCGCTGCAATTTGGTGATGCAAATCTATGTGCACGGGGACTCACTTGAGAGTATGCTCGTGGCTGTAGCCATTCCCGATCCGGAGACATTCCTGCCGTTCGCTAATGCTGTGGTGACAAGTGAAGGAAATGATGCTCAAGAGGTAAAGCCTGGTGATATGGAGGGGTATGCTCGACTCTTGAGTGATCCCAGAGTCAAAGCGGCGTTTATACAGGAGTTAGAAAAGGCAGGTCGAGTTGGAGGTCTGAATGGATATGAGTTGGCCAAGAAGGTTCATTTGACAACGGATATGTTCTCAGTCGAGAATGGAATGGTCACACCAACGCTCAAGATCCGCCGACCGCAAGTCCGAGAATACTTCAAAGAGCATATCCAGGCCATGTATGAGGAGCTGCGACAGATGGTGTCTGCTAAACTTTAAATGCTTAAACAAAAAAAAAAAAAAAAATGAAGACGGTGATTATGGATAGTTCCTTATTATTTGTAAAAATTAAAAATAATAACAATAAAAGAACTTTCAAGAAGTGCACTATATAGTACTTTTGTTATTTACTACCGCCGTTATGCGGAGAAGTAGAGGAATGCAGACTAACAAAAAGTAGAAAGCATAGACGTAAGAATGTTTCTTGCGAGATACAGGTCGTAAATAAATACAAAATGTTATAAAGACTTGTCAGAAGGCGGAAACAGGCAAGGTCAATTTAATTTATTAAAACGCGAAGATAAGTATCGGTGAGTTTATTCTTTTCTTTTTTTTATTGACAGATTGGTTAGACGCAAAACACAATAGTGAAATATCCATAAATGCCAGCAGCTTCATTCCCAGCGACTTGACTTGGTACTATTGCTGTTAGAGACAAGAACCAAAGCCTGCAATCAATCGATCGAAAAAAAAAAAAAAAAAAAAAAAGAGAGGGCGTCCCGGAATGACCACCATCTTTGGGCCAGTATGGAGGCTTGGCAACAAATCTCGAGGAAAGAAGAGGATAGGAAGGAGATAGAAAATAAAAGAGACAGGGTAGAAGGTGTGATATTTGGTTTTTACAATTTTTTAACCTCCTTGACATGCATTCACATGCGTCAATGCATTGATTGCATCTCATTACTTCAGTCCGTGTTATAATGCCAATTATCAAGTAGATTACGGCTCTGGCGGCGCCACCATACGCTATAGTTGTATGTGCGACTTCTTATGCTGGTAGGAAGCACAGAGAACTGAATCTAGCCTGCCTATAAGTTGGTGAAAGCTGAACTCTCTAAACGGGCAACTTTGCCCGCTTTATGGTTCAAGAGTTAGAGAAAAAGCAAAAGCATCAAATTAGAGCTCCAGCATGGCACTTTGCTTTCACTCTATAACAAAAGCGCAGACACTTTTGAAACTGAGGAGAGTTACTCGTTTTAGCGCTAGGAGCATTATCAAAAGTTTCTTTTCTTGAATAGAAGTGAATATGAAGCGTTGGTGATGATGTATCATGAAAAACCCGTGAGTGTTGTTGCCATTTCAGTACAGCATTTGAGACCGTGCTGAAGCCATATGAATAAAGAATGACAGCAGCATACATATGACTAATAGAGCTATCATATAACATCATGAGTGTATTGATTTGTAAAACGGACAATGCAAATACTAAGGAAATAACTGTGGAGGAAGAAGAAAGAGAAGAGAAAGTATAAATGTGACATGACGTCTTTTTTCTATCTCGCAGTAACGACAAAAAAACCACCTTGAACTTCAATAAAACAGAGCTCAAGCCTTGATCTCGCCAGCTCGTGTTTAGAGATGTTACAAAATACTACAGGGAAGCGTTAAAAGTTCAGCAATCATTAGCTTGTCAGTGGCATTACGTCTATTCACTTTTACTCTTGGTTTATAGACGAGTAAAAAAACCCCTATGAGCGATCACGGAGTAGTCGAAATGTAGACATCTTTCAAGAAAAAAAAAAATCAATTTATATTGTATACCATTCTCCAAAATGTGCGGATGGAACGATTGACTTTTTTTCTTGTTTTTCATCCCTGTAAACAGGACAGAGCCACTGTTAGACTAACATCCGTATGCAGTTGTCTAGTTAGGGCAGACATTCTCATTTCATTTTATTTTATTTTTTCTCTCGTTGAGGCAATGAAGATTGCCAAACATTTTCCTTCAATAATCAACATGTTTATGAGAGGAGGACTCTTTTACATACCTCCACTGCATCTTTTCTATCTCTGATATTATAATTAGCATGTAGATGGGCGCGGCTTTATCCACAGACCTGAAGAGCCCACATAGACCCTTTCAACGGCTTATATCATTACAATGATCAGAGAAGAAAAAAGTCGCCCACCAAGAGTAACAGTTGCTGTGTCACTGAAACTGGTTTTATCCGATATTCAAGTCTTTATTCCATTAACAGGTTCCCGTAATGTTGTAAAAGCCTCACCTCCTTCATAGCAGTGGTATGCTTGAAGCCGTTAATGCATGGAAGGGAAGGGTAAAGAGCAAATTAGCCAGTGCCTTCCGGTTTGGTAAGCCAAAAGCAAGCTTTATTACTATGAGATATTCCAAGGCGCGATGTGATTGATGAAAATAGAGTAGAATAAGTATACAGAGCTGACTTTTTATTTTTTTTCTGCTGATATTGCTAATACAATGTTTAGTCGTCAAATGGTATTTTCTCGCTCAGCACGTCCTCTTGATCAGAGTTTATATCCTTCCTACTAGTGCTTCCGTTGTTTTGGCCATCTTCGGACACCATGTTACGGCCGTGGCCCGATTCGCGATTGGCACTATTCTTACGCTGATGTTCATGCTGCTGGCGCTGATACTTCCGTACCTCCACTTTCTCATCGTCCCCAAACTCAAACAGGGACCCTACCCCATCACCTATCAATGAGGCTCCAGAGCCGACTCTTGGTGTCTTTGCATGGATCGAAGACTGACGACTGATATTCCGACTAATTCTTCCTAATGTCAAATCCAAATTCGGTTCCATGAGCGATCGTGACCCACCCGCAACACTCGAGTTCGAGCCTGTAACTTGGATGCCGTCTGTCACAGCAACAGCTGCTATCCTAGTAGAGAAAGCAGTGGTATTGGACTCAATCCGAAGGTCATTTAATATCCCGATCATATCGTGTAAACGGCTCCTCTCAATCTGAAGTTGGCGTGCCCCAAAGTCTCTCATAGCTTTTTCCAGCTCCTTGGTATGGTGGTTCTGTAAATGCGCTAGCTCTTCAAAGAGCGATCCCCGCAAACTGTTCAATAGGCTGGACGCTTCTCCAATTTTGCCTTCGATCTCTTCCAAGGACGAAGCCTGGGCTGTTGACTTTGAAGAGGTTACTGTAGTAATGGACGAGAATGGCGGCGTGTGGAGAGATGTACTAGTCATCATGTTTTTCGTGACTGGACTCTGGCCGCCTCTACGTGATCGAAATGGACTGGAGATGATGCTGTTACTACTAGCGGCGCTAGTCAAGCTGGTTTGAGACATGCTAGGCGTCAGTTTCATAACTAAAGATGAGCGTTTGTTATATGGTAACAATGGTGGTGTCGAAGGTGATATAACTTGCGGTGTTGAAGAAGATGGTGACGAAGGGGCAGATCTAATCTTAGATGACCTGCCCACGGCGCTTTCGGATGCAGCCCTTATGTGCTGCCTTCTTCCGGATCCTGAGGCGAAAGACTCAGAGACAGCTCCGAAGGCTGAAGTGGCCACATGTCCAACTGCACCAAGCGCTGCACCTGCACCATTGACTGCATACTTGGCCCCTCCTCCAATAGTAAATAATCCCGACCGCCACATATCATTCCGACGCATTGATTGTTCTGTTTTCTGCGCTACCACTCTCAGTTGCCGTATAGACGCGATGATTTCCTGTGGGTGTTTCAGCGCCTTCAATGTCCCATCAATCACAAATGAAAAGTCTAAAACGAAAAATCGTTAAATAAATTATCAGCGTATTAAATAAATATATGGGTAAGTAAAGATAACTACAAGAATAATAACACTAAAGGTTCTCTGGTCTACCTTCAAACAAGTTTCCAAATGACTCAATGTCAGAAGCACGCATAGTAGTTTGCGTTGAGGCAATCGCTTTTGTTGCATTAACATATTCGCTCTTATTATCAAAGTCAATCAAGTATGACCGATCCAAGGCTCCTGCCAAAATATCGAGCTGCTGAGGTACATCTGTATGTAACCAAAAAAAAAAAAAAAAAAAAAAAAAGAGAGAGAGATGGCAACAACAGCATATGGTAAGCCCTTTATCCAGTAGCGGGATCGCTGATATCATATAAAATATACCATAGTCTTCGGATCAATGCGCTGACCTTGTGTGCTTCGACTCAATTTCCTAGCACACTTTCTAACTTGCTGTACTGCTGCCTCCAGTCTCAAGACCTCTTCGTTCAAATGATGGAAATACATCTCTTCATGCTCCAGGTTCTCGATAGTGGATGGGAAATTGTCAAAGATACTGTCGATTGCATTCTCCTGCTTAATCATTGATCGCTCTAATATTAAATCACGCTTTTATTATTTTTTTTTAAAAAAAAAAAAAATGTCGACGTCAAATACTTAGTCAGGCGCTTGCGGGGAGTATACTGTCTCTCTATCACTTACCTGCAACTCCGGTATTAATATGAACTCCCAAACTAGTTCGTGGTTAGCTAGGACTGGATGGCTTGACAGATAGTTCAAGAACATGTCCAACCTTCTGGCAGATATCGCAAGAACAGTTTTAGAAGGTCGGCTTGGAGAGAGCAAAAAGGGCGAATAAAAATCTTTGAGCGAGGGTATACAAGCATCAGGCCCTTCAATTAATAGGTTTTGCCGCAAGAACTGAAAATCCTCTAATGATCGCAACATTGTTACAATGGTTGACGGGCCTGAGGACTATAAGAGTGGACATGTATAGTTATGTATTGATTTTTGGCAAATGTAGTCAATAATTTTTAGCATATTAGTTCGCAGTATATCCTTGCGATAACCAAAACAGCTGCCTTAGTATCATGAAGACATAGAAAGGCCATAAAACTTTACCGCTCCACTCTTGACGATATATCGGACTTTACCATCCCGCTCCATAGTTCCTCTGACAACTCGGATAGCTTTCTTAGGTAAATTGCTTGATGGAGTTGGCTTCTTTCCTTGGACCTTGGACAACGACAATGATAGAGAAGACTTTTCTGAACTCCTGTTATGAACATAACAATGATCATCACTATCCCAGAAAAGCATTGCATTGTCGAGCATATCAAGAATTATAGGGTCATTCGTCATATCTGCCGGCGACTCGTTTGCCCAGTCTCTCAATTCCGGATTAGCGCCCCTCTGCAATAAAAATTCGACCACGACAGCTGAATTTGATTGACATGCTAATTGAAGAGGGGTACTGCCATCCACTGCAGACTGAATATCGACCATTGACGTCCGTTCTTCTAGTAGTTTGACCATCTCTAAATTACCTCGAAGACACGCCATATGTAGTGGCGTATAACCTCTTGAGTCTGTTATCAATGGGTCCACACAATCACCAGTCGCCAATAAGCTTTCAACGGCAGCGGTGTTATCATGAAGAGTCCATTTCAGGAGAGGCGTCCATCCTGCATAGTTTTCAATATCTGGATTTGCTCCACATGAGATCAAATCCTGGATCAGCTTCGGATCATTTATGAAATGAAGCGCTGTATCACCACTATTATTCTGTCGGTCCAAATCTCTGGGTGCCATCTTTTTGGTAAGAGCCGATATGATTTGGTTTCCGCCATGATCACGATCACGGTCTTTACTATAGTCGTCCTGCTGCTTTTTTGCAGAGATGATGAGTGGAGTATCGCCCTCGTTATTGGGAAGACCAAGGTCAGGTTCAGATTTCAAGAGTTCTTCTAGAACTACCAGATTTTCTCTATTATCCTTTTTGGCCGCCACACACACATGGACCGCAGTATTTCCAAGTACATCCTGTCTATTAATAATAGCCTTTAGATCTGCTTCCTTAATACCCTGAGCCTGATGAAGAATAAATTGAATCATATCCTTATTCTTCAAGTTGGCACAGAGCATGAGTGGAGTTTTGCCTTCATAATTCCACACGTCCACCGACTGACCTTGCTCCTCCACAAGGTATCGTAGTACTTCCATCTGCTGTGCTTGACAGGCTATCAATACACCATTATTACCAACAAAATCTCGACTCTTTATAGCGGAGATAGATGGTGGCTCCTGGATAACTGACTCAGGCATAGAATGATCACTATCAGTTCCAAAACTTGCCACTGACGTTCTTCGAAGTAAAGGTGACGCCGATAATGGTTGTTGTTTTTGCTTAGTTTGATTACATTCTGAAGCTTCAGAAAAAATATTTTTGATTCCTTTCATATCACCTGAACGGACCATGTCCCAATACTCCTGATTTTTGGCTGAGAATGGCAATAATTGTTTGATATGGGTAATAATGTATCGTGAGACAGCTTCCAGCGTAGAAAGAGAGTATCCATATTCACCGCTTGATGGGTCTCCAAATAGGACGAAGTTCTTCATATAATAAAGATTTGATGCCAAATTGCTGATATCTGAGCGAAGAACTGTAAGAAGCAAGATGGGAATAAGGTCATCTGCCCCTCCAGATAATGTGCTAGCCACTCGAACAGACCTTATCAAGTAATTTAGTTTCTCTTCGGGTGTCCGCAGTATTCCAATGGACTGGAATTCATTCAATGCAGAGACAAGACATTGATAGTGTTGTGGAGTATCCGATAGTCCAATCTGAACAAGATCTAAATTCTGAGCAAGATAAAATGTCAGCTAACTTTCTACATTGCTAGCTCTACTAATCCCGTTGGATAGTCAGAAAGCATCATAGAACACAAGCATTACCCGGAGATCCCTTATAGCCTCTGATAAATCCCAGTCTTGTTGCTTAAATTGAAGGGTGATTTTGAAGAATACAATATCATAGGTTGAATTCATGATGTGATTCTCTAAAAGCTGATCCAATACATCTACTGTCACTTTGTATTCGTCTAACAGTCTCATAAGTATTTTCGAGTCCAGTTTATTCATGAGCTAAAATATGAAAATATGAAATGAGGAATCGCTATTAATGATATGGGTTGTCTGATAATGACTTTTTTTTTTTTTTTTTTTTTTTTTTTTCCATTGAAAAAATATATATACCTCCACACTATTGGCTAAAAGACGATCCACAGCAGTCCGTATATCATCCAAGTTGTTTTTCGCCATCATCGCGTCATTGAAATCCATAATCAATTTTTCCAGTTTCTGTGATACGCCAGGGAAACGTTGCAGCACAATATGAAGGGTCAAGAAAGGTCGTCCTTTGGATCGTCTGTGGACATAACTGTAAGGATCTGTTGCATTATATATTGAGTACTGGCCCAAGCGATACCGGTTGCGGCGACTGGTGGTAGTAGCTGCTATTGGGGAATGGGTCTCTGCGCGCAATGGAGGACTAAATAACCCCGATGATCCTGTCAATCTGTCAGTGTTGCTTTCATTGCGATAAGTGATGTCATTTCCTTTGTCTTCTGGGATTAAAGTGGTTGCAGTACTTGTTGTAGGATGACCTAATAATATCTGATCGTTATTTTGCGGGATTCCTACGAGAGGGCGGTCAATGAATTGAATAAGCCAGCCTCTTCCCTCATCATCATAAAATATCTGTTCCGAGACAAGACGCGCTTGCTTCAAGAGCTTAAATCCCTTGGCCGTCGTCACTAAGGAAAAAACAAATGCAATGTTCATAAGGCGAATATGTCGATGGTCAATTGTGCGAATGACATATAAAGTTACCAATGTCAGAGATAGAGCGTTTTTTTCTTTTTTTCTTTTTGCTTTGTACCAGTCGTATCTGTGACAATCAAGGTGCGTCCGTTCAGAGTTGTAACAGATAGGCTTTTAGTCACTGGATGATCTCTGTCAGGGATACGGACAATATGGCTCACTATATCACATATTTATTCAAGGTGAAGCGCAAGAAATTATAATGTTAGTATAAAGTAAGACAAACTTTTAATATCATCACAGGGCGAAGTAATTTTTTTGGTTACGTACTGATGAATTCCTCATCCATGCCACCCCATTCCCATTCCAATTTCAAAAGCGCATTAGTGCCCATGAGCGACTGTTGGACCGGACAAAGAATGACCAGCTGATGACCATGTTGTCGGTCTCGTTCCCGAACTATTGATGCTAAACATGTCTCAAATGTCCGTTTCAAGGACTGGACATGCTTGAGTTGCTCGGGGTCGATGAGGTCGGATGTCGAAACAGAATTGGATTCTTGAAAGAAGAGCAAGGACAGGAAGTGATTGGTGGTTGTACTGGGCCATAATCGGTCATCATGATAGGGATGATATAACACAGAGTTATCCCCTGCGGTTGCAGTTGCAGTGGCACTTGCGGGTGATTGGAACAAGGACCGCGTCAGGTCCATGGCACATTATCTGTCAAGTAAATTGAAGTGCGAAGAGATTAAGATGTAGATCAAGAGGAAGTGAATTATATTTCACGGGAAAATCGTAATAGCCACGTGCTCTAAATTGAATAGGAGTGAACCCACCACCAAGTGGATTTGTTCATCCAACGCCAAACTCTACAAACAGCCCTCAACAGCACTGGACCGGTACATGACTTAGCAGAGTGAATCAATAGTATCGCTGTAGAAGACAAGGTAACGAAACTTGTACGAAGGGCTTCTGCAGACTTGTTTTCAATGCAACCTGTCCAGTCCCAACTCTCCTTACGCGTACTCCCTTTGAGTGCCAGCTTAAATCTGAATTGACCACATGATCCTAGATGTCTTTCTGACGCTTGCCTATACTCCATTCCTTCCTCCTTTCTACCCAACAGCCATTCAACTTATCACACTCAATCCTTCTCCACTATATATCTCAGCGGCTTATGCGACTGTGCAAGGTACGTATACAGCCTTTGTCCCGGCAGCAAAAGCTTAGTCTGCGCATCAGTGTGTTCAATCAGCCTATCCCTCGACAAAGAATATTTAAATACTAATACCAACTTGTTATATTGCAAACGTATTAGTGGTGCTGCGAAGGGAGTATGGGGCAAGCTTGCGTTGCTATGCAGGCGAGGCATAGTCTTAATGACTCTAATGGAATGAAGAACCTGCAGGCACACTAGCCAACTTTTTTTGTATCAGATTACAGGCCATCCTTGCGTATCACCACATCGTTTCGCGTCTTCGCAACCCACTCCTTCATTTCTTGCAGAAGGTTACAGCCCTGTCCTTCATATATCCATTTTGTTTTTATAATATTGCGTCATCAAATTACGCACTCAGTTGGGCAGTTCAGGAAACAATCGTGGTGGAGCCCTCCGAGGCTTGTTGGCATTATGTTTCCTAATTTTCGATAATACTTTAATCCTGCTAGCAATGACAAGCCCATAACGAAGGAGATGCGTCTTCCCTATTTGCGAATCCAAACTCGTCTTAATATTCGGGCATCTTTAAACTCTAAGAGAGGAGACGAAGCTCGATCAATGTAGACATTTCTTTGAGTCAGGCCATCAGTTAGGAAAACGAAGACAAAGAGGGAAGCGAGACTCTCCTTACCCTGCTCCTAGTTCTTAATGCCAATTTCCCAATATTGGCTAAATTCGTAATTTCATCCGTGTTTTATCTTGTCGTTTTTTTCCTCTGTTGGATTTGTTATCAGGATCTATCTCTAGTGGGCAAAGAACGGATATTGAATTATTTACACCTCTGATGTTATCTTTTGGTCATCTGCCGTCTGTCACCTGTGGTGCTTGGACCTTCCACGCGTCTTGCCTTGTCTAATAGACAAGCGCAATTAAGTTCAAGGGACTGTCCCTGGCCATAACAATAAATAATAGAAGCATCTCCGATGCATTAACAAGAGATTGATCAATTGATGCCTATTATACATACCTTGTACACAGAAGCTGGGGGTTACATCATTGCTCGGGGATTATTATCTCTCTCTCTCCTTCCCTGTTTTTAGTCACTACGCGTCAACAATGGGAGGAAGGAGACGAAACCCAACCAATGGTGAGACGCCGGATTGAGGTCTAGGGTTTTGGCAATAGGACGAGAAATGGCTATTTTTAAACCCTTATTCCTAAGTTCAAAAAAAAGGAGAGAGGATGAAGAGAGAATAAGAGAAATAAAAGGAAGCTGTTTCCCTGACTTTATACCCTTAAAAAAATCCCCGGACAATTGCTTGGTTCCTTCCTTTTAGGAGCAGGGTTTGCTTTATAAGTCACTGAATGCTGGTGTAAGGTTCAGGGTGATAAACAGTAATGAAGAGGTTCAAGTTTACACAACATTATCCAAGCAACCAAAGAGTTTATTTTGCATTAAAGGTTGAATAAGTGGCAATCCCATACAAATTTGAAGAACCAGTCTTAACCACAGACACCACATATTTTTATGCATCAGAAAAACATGTACATGTACATGTATATTATACACATATACATACATCCAAACATTTTTTTTAAGCTTTTTGTAAGGTTCATATGCAGCAAGCTTGGGCCACCAAAAAATCTTAAATGGGACCAAAGAATTACAAATGATCCCAGATGTGGGGCGTCAAAATACAACGCATGAATTTCCTTTGATTTGATCCTAGGAAAAAAAAATAAAATAAAAGGGCAATTATTGTGGATCTCAAGGAGAACAAGAAGAGTCCAGAACGTGCTCAAAACAATGTAAGCAGTTGCCGTAGCTTATACTAAGTCCACTAATTATCCTCTATTTCCCCTTAGAAATAAACTTCTTCAGTAAGGCTTCACACCAAGACATTATTATTATTATTATTATTATTATTATTATTATTATTATATGGGAAATTTTTTTTCTGGAACAAAGACGCACCGTTACTGCCGTGTCTTTTTATCCTAATAACAATTGCTTGCTTTTATGGCGGAAGTGTCAGTTGAGCTCATTGTTAGGATCAATACTTCCGATTTCAAGTTACGACTTCAACGCCAGTAATCAAAGGAGATAGCATGCAAGGCATATATATGTATATATTACAACTGCTACTGTAAAAGAAAATTGGATGCACTAATTTTTTTTTGCATTGACCACCGACCGTTGGACTCAGATAGCCCCTTTCATTGCTGGTATAAGCGCGGTTGCCCGTTTGAGTCCCCTCCTCTTATCTGAGGTAAACAAACATTTAGATTCCCCCTCCCCCACATGGATGCATATTTTTATGCGATTAAAAAAGGGGGAAAGGAGCCAAAAGAAATAGAGGATCCAAATATGATGCATAAATTCGTTACTATATGGTGCTTTTACGCAGTATCGCAACCTCATTGAGGACCTTCCGGTTCTACAAGTGTCAGGTGCTGAAGACTCTGTATGACATGGCATTATTGTAGGTCTCCCATTGGCTGACATGTTATCCAAATCATTTTTTATAGGCTTCATCGGGACCATTGTTAATTCAAAATTTATGTATTCTAAACATATAAAATATGGAAAAAGAATAGGGTTCTAGTAGACTGGACAAATGGACAAATGGACAAATGGAGGAACAAACCTTTTGATCAATTGAAAGAATGATCCAAAAAAAAAAAAAAAAAAAAAAAAGAATGAGCACCAGAAATAAGGGCCCGGTTGAAAATAAAACACTCGGAGATGAAACATTTCCAGGAGATCTTTACCTGCTGTCAACCAGCAGTAAGAAATGAATAAAATCGTCAATCGCTCTCAAAAGCGAAGAAAAGAGGAAGCAAATGAGGACGAGGGTGAGCGAGAGAGCTGTAGAAAACCTGAGCGAAAAAAAAAAAAAAAAAAAAAAAAAAAAAAAGAACCGCAGAAAACGTAATGCAAACACAACCCTTACGATCTTGTGCGACAACACCTTGTTGCCGATGTTTGGAAGGGAAAATATGTAAACTATGAACAGCTGCCTATAGACTATCTTATCCATAGGGCCCTCCTACCCACCTCACTTCCCTACGTTCCTGTCTCTGTATTTCTATCCGACTATTCCTCTTTCTCTTTCTTATTTCTTGGGGAACTCAAGGCTAGCTGATCGTATGGTCGTTCTATTTTTGCTTTTTTCCTTAATTGTTTCGATATGATTCCAGGGAACAATATCTAATGAGAGCTGTCATATAAATATAGAGACAAGAATGAAAGAAATCGAGATTCGATAAACTAAACAAGATATATACATTGCCTAACTTTGGGTATGAAACAGGGCGCAGCGGGCGGACAAAAAAATAGAATAGAATAGAATAGAATAGCCATAAAAACAAATAAAAAATGAGATCCATGGTAGAGCCTGCGTTTTTATTGGTCCTCTTGTGTTCAAAAAAACCGTTTTGGCGCGCAAAAAAAAAAAAAAAAAAAAAAGGCGCGGGCATGTTTGCATAATGACCATGCAATCGTTGAATGATGAACTGTTGCTATTGTAACATCTGTCTTGGACCGTTGAAATTGTGTCCATTTGAATCAGGGCCCTGTCTTTTTGGTAACACTAACACTTGGGTCCCTATTTATTTTTATTTTATTTTTGAACTAAAGGACCCTTCCTTACTGTGCCAATTGGATCCGTAATTTCTATGGATTGAGTAAAGTAAAAATAAAAATAAAAATAAGATCGTCCTCCTTCTAAATGCTATCTTTGTCCGTGTACAAAGATTAAAAAAATAAAAAAAAGGTATCACAAGAGAAAGAAGCCATTCAAGCATTAGGAATCAGCGTCGCATTATCGCCAATAGCTTGACATTGTGGAAGTAATAAATAAATAATCGGGCTTACAACTTGCATAGCATGCAATGCATGTACAGCAGACATATTAATGTGTATATTTTCTCCTAGCGTTTCAACGCAACGCAACCTCCTTTTTTTTATGCTCCTGTCCTTGTTGTAGACTCTTTTGTAATCCCCTTTCCCGCACACCGCCATGGATGAACAAACACGCTATGGGTAGAAAACGGTAAGTAATAAGATGCATTGTTCATCGTTTTTCAGTATGTTTCTAGGGACAAGTTAATCCTGATCAATGATCCTGTCAAAGACAAGGAGATGAGTTAAATAAAAATATAAAAATAAATATAAAAATGGATAATAGTAACAATACTCGCTTTACCAATCACAATGGGAGAGTAACATGGTGACCATGAGGTACTTCCGTGTTCATTAAATGAAATAAGAAAAAGTACGATCTCATTTTGTCCACCATCTCCGCTTTTTTTTTTTTTTTTTTTTTTTTTTTTTAATTATAATACTCTAATCGGGCCTACCTTATTGTTAAATGCGATTCTATTACTTTCTTTTATTTAGTAGTACTCTTTTCTATTCTTTTTTGGAGTTCTGTTTTTAGGGTCTCAACAGAGACGTTAAATTTCAAATCCCTTGCATTGTACACTAATGCATTATGCATTTGTACAACACCAACTCCCTCTTCCCCGACCCCTCCACAATCCACTCCAAATCCTTTTATTTCTCTTTACATTCGATTCATTCTTCATTCAATCGTGTTCGATTCAACAACATCTCAGTCTCTCATCTTTAGATTCAACCGCTTTATTGGTTGTTGCTCCCATCCTCAGCAGCCCATTCGGTACCGAACCATTGCTCTGTGTGGCCAAGGGTAGATCTCGGAGAAAAAAAAAGATATAAAATGAGGCTTCATTCCCGGCTTTTTTTTTTAAAAAAAAAAAAAAATCATCGTTTTCATAATACTTCATTAATCTGATTTCTATATCTTGGTGTTTTCTATTACTTTCTCTTCTCTTCCTCTTCCTCTTCCAACCTTGATCTTCCAACTCCTCTCAACAGGCAATTTATATGTATTAAATACATCTCATTGCTTCAGTATAAATCAATTGCCCCGCACGCCCACACGGCAAAAGAACAGCCCTCCTCATACTCATCTACCTCCTCATTAAATACAGTCCATCCAACCATTCTATTTCCTATCCTCCATCTAAATCCTTGTAATTTCGCTCTATACCAAGGACTTTTTCCCTTCACCATCTTTACACTAGTTCTCACTAATAATTAATAACATGTTTATCAACTCCGCCCGAGGAAACAACCGATCTGGTCATGGGTATGTTATTCTGATTTATGTCGGATTTTTAACAACTTTGTGGCGGTTCTTTACACACGCGCCTACTTGCATGCATATCTGTCCAGAACGGGGTCGTTGCTTTTTTCTTTCCCCTAGAAATGTGAATATTACATCAACACTAACCGACCCCTTATTTTTTTATTATTTATTTGTCATGCCTTGGTTCTCTCTGGTGTCCATGTGTCCTTCGACCGACAACATCTCATGTTTTTGGACTATGCCCCTTATATCTCCATACTACAATGCCCTGTTGCATACCCAAATGGTCCTTGTCCACAACAACAATGGTTTGATTTAAATAATGCCTATCCGCACCTTCTTCTATCCGTTTCTCATCATCATATATTCTCAACCATCTTTCCCTTTTTTACAATCTTGTATCTATTTATACCTTTCTCTTTCCTTTTCTTCTACTATACCTCGTTCGAACATGACCATTTTTTGAATAAAATAAAATGCTTTGCTTCTGCGGATGATTGACTATTTCTGCAGATCAACAAGCTACCATCGTCGCTCAATCAGCTGCGTCACCTCTCATGATGACCTTGCCCTATACCCTGTTGGAGCCATTGAGGAAGAGACAACCACAACCATTGCTACCAATGGAGACTCCCCAGCCCCTCGGATGGAAAGCAACGGCTCCATGGCTCAACGTTCTGGTGATAATGCCGATGACGCAAACAGCATTGGCGCTGGCTCTCTCGGTGGAAAAATCAAGGTAACAGCAAACTCCAATCATTCCTTCAACTCATTTTTTTTCGGACTCTCTTTTTTGTCAACATGATGCGATGTGTCATGTACTCTTTCATTTGCTATTGTGATGAAGCAAAAGAGCTCAAACATATCGTCATTTTCATTGTCATTTGTTATTGTCATCAATATTGGAAAATTCAGTAACCGACACAAACAAACAACAAACAAAATATGTGCAGGCAGCCGTTTGCGTTATTTGATTTACAATTCAGCCTCCAAGAAGAATAGGCAGACGAACTTTCTATTCTTTCATATTCCCCACCCCTGATCCCTTTCTTTCTTTTCTTTATGGAGGATGAATGTGTGTGTGATCTTGTCTTTTTTGATGCATAAAAGCATGCCATCTGTCAACATGACATGCATGCATGCGCTTCTATGTTTTTCCATGCATAAGCTTAAAGATTTTTTTTCCTTACATGATCCAACTAACCACATTCCATCCAACTTTTTTTTTTTTTTTTTTTTTTTTTTGCAGCTTACTCCAGGCGCTCCTGGGCCACGCCGATCATTGTTATCGGATATGCTCAACAGCCAGAACCAAAGTACCAGTCGTTTGGAACAGAATGCTCACCGTCGTCGCATGCTCAAGTCGATGCGCCGATACTCTATAGATGCATCCGAGATGAACTTTAACATCGTGGGTTTATACCCCTCCGGCCGCGCCTCACCCATGAAAGGGATTCCTTCTGAGGGTGAGGAGCCCGCTACAGCTGATAGTGGCGCAACGGCTGGCGGTGATGGAGGCAATGGTGGCGGTGTCCGTACTGCACAGGATTTCAGAGATATTCCCACGGTTCGTTATCTTCGTAACCCTATTCAAGCCACTGTTAAGACCAAACTTATCCAAGGCAGTGTTCGACGTGGTGCTGGAGGTGACAATGAAGCCCCTGATTACTTTGGAACAGAAGACCGCGTCTGGTAAAAAGAAAGCGCTCTCTGTCATCTTCACCATGCCAGTTGTCCAAGCTGACTGGAACGAGAAAAAAAAAATTGAAGAGGGAGGATCTCGAACACATTATTCTCTCTTCATGGACGCGTCCCTCAGTCCTTCTATTTTTCTGCCTTTCGAACCTTATTTTTTTTTTTTTTTATTTACCTTTGCTACATTATTGTATACTTCTGCATACTTCATTGTTCTTCGTAGTTTGTACTTTATCCACACCCCGCTCTATACCCACATCTTACTTTTTTACTTTACCACCCAACTAGGTGAAGCACTGTATTCTCCAAGCTACTATTATTATTACTATAGCTCCTGCTACCAATAATAATAATAATAATAAAACAATAATCGCTATCCCTAGCTCCTTGATGACATGCTATCTGTTCTTTTCTGAGGCATATAATATTATAGGATGTGTTCCGCATCCAACTTTTCCCCCGCTTTTATTGAAAACCTTTCTCGGTTCACTTATTATCATTGTTGTTATTTTCACAAGCCTCGAGGAGTGATGGAGAGAGGAATGTGAAAAGGAGAAGAAAAAAAATAACGCATATCTTGCACCTCCTTTTTTTAAATCTCTATTCCTTCCTTCTTTCCTTCGGCATTTTCAAGCGAGATTAATAGATGGCTTTTTTGTTATTGGTATATAATATATACTATTACTCTTCTTCTGAACATACTTTTTTGAATGGAGCATAAAACTATGCTATAATAGCTGTGGTATTTACTCAATGGCGTTGACATAGGTTCATGCAATCTTGTCTATTTTTCTAAACAACAAAAAAAAAAACCACAAACACAGACACAGACACAGACATAGACACAAACACAGGCCGGGCACAATACAGCCAACTCCTCCATTTGGACACCAACAAATGATGCTTCGCCCAAATAGAGAAAGAAAAAGCATGAATAGAATATATAGGATTTTTTTATTTATTTCATGATGCTCATTTTTTTCTAGAAAAAATATAATACAGATTGTGTGAAGCAGACAAAAATGCTATAGAAGTCATTAGATTACATATATAACAAGTGGTGTACAATTGAAGCCAATAACAAAAATAACGTATATACTACGATGAATAGAAAGAGAGGAAAAAAAAAAAAAAAAAAAAAAAAAAAACATCACACAAGATAACAACAAAAAGAAAAACTCCTCCTTGTTTTCTCCTCTCATCTATCACCACAACCACTTGCATCCTCTGCCTTGCCCTGCTGTTATTGTTGTTGCTGTTGTTGTGCTCGAAGACTCTCATGGAATCCACTCATTTCCTTCTCAATATCCAAGTCTAGATGAGATATAATCACATCGTCGCTCGCGCCACCATCCACAACTCCATTTTTAGCTATTATAGGTTCACCCGAACTGTGATGATCAATTCTCTCACTAGCAGTCGCAGCACTAAATAGTGGCGAGTGCATAGGCGTCGGACACGCCGACGACGGTGGCTGAGATACATCTGTCATCAGATTTTGCAACGCATCTGTATCTACGCCTGCACCTGTGCCTGCATCTGCATCTGTATCTGCTCCTCTTCTTCGATTTTTTGGACCATTTCCTGTAGCTGCAGTCACAACAACACCATGGAGTGAGTCAAAATTCATCCTTGACCCCGCTAATTTGGAAATGTGGTCTACACCTAGACTATGAGGATTTGATCGTGGTATGTGGTCAGAGCCATGACTGCTTCTTGCTCGTCGCCTCCGAACACCGACACGAAGTGAATCCTGCGCCATCCTGCCCACCTGTGCAAGGGAAGACGAAGGAGAAGAAGATCCAACGGTCCTGTGGATCCGTGATTTAGTTTGCATAGTTTGCATACTTTGCATGAATCGAGTCACATCTGAAGAAGCTGATGAAGAACGATGCTTCCGTAAACCGCCAGTTACTCTTCTCTGAAGACAATGCGGTTCTTGATAGAACTGTTGCTGTTGTTGCTGATGTTGTTGATGATCAGCTAGCAAGGTTGCTGGCATGGTCGTTGCGTTTCCAGACTTAAGAGCTCCCTGTAGCTGCAATCCTACATGAGGCAAACTAGGCAAGCGACTTCGTCTGAACATACCAATAGGTACACGTTCCCACCGGTGCAGATCCTTGAGTAACGCCTTCTCTCTTTCAGTCTCTTTATCAGCACCACTTTCATCCATAGTTCCCCCCGTATGTTCTGGAGATGGAGACCTAGAGGATGATCGATCATACAATGCAGAAGTATCCAGTAGATCATCCATTGGTATAACTTCGACAGTTGATGGCTTTGCCTCCTTAGACTTAGAGATGCTATACTTGCGCGTACGAACTGAGGATCCTTGCTGTTGCTGTTGATAGGGGTTCGGGTTTACTCCAGGCTTCGGAAGCGTAGTCGAAGGCATGGGAATCTTATCAGATAGATCTATGAATGGCATGGCTGCCTTGGAAAATTCATAAGCCACTGTTGATATGGCCACTACCGCCGGAGCAAGCTCAGATATAGATCTCGCGATAAGTGAGGGTGTTGTATGATTATTAAAGGCATGAGTACCGAATGAGGGTAGAGGTTCGAGCAATGATGGTACTGGTATGGACTCGGATGGTGATGAAACGCTGATTGAACTAGAATGAAGAGATAGCTCACTTCCTGGTATTGAAATTGAATCCTTTTCATCCATTGCTGAATTGCTTTTAGAGCTAATAGTCGACAGGCGCCTCCTCTTTGCTTGATATGGCGTCTCCTTTGGAATGTTTGCAAAAAAAAAAGTAACAGACAACATGCAATTAGTAACTTTTTCCTTTTTTATGTGACCAATAGTTGTCTTCAATGATGCAAACACATTACATACCTCCTTGATCTTCACACCATCATCCTTACGCTTCCTGGGATCATTATTAGGGGTATCTACAGACATTGTGTCCAAGGGATTGGTTTCGCTTCTGACAAGCCCAAAATCATCCTCTTCGTGTACATTTTTGGTAATAGGTGTGATCAATGCCTTCCGAGCATCCTTCTCAAAACCTTTTCCGATTTGGTCTTTGGACTGGTGGTTTAGCATGGAAAGCTCGAGATCCGTCACCACTCTATAAGTGGTCTCTGATAACACGGATTGTATAGGCTGTCCATTAACATTCGACAAAGGTTCCTGAGCTTTAAAATTGCTGTCAAACAATGCTGATGGCGATAGTGTGCTTGTCGACGAACCTACGGATGAATCTACATGTGAATTTTTATGGGTTTCGGTCTCAGTATGTAGTAGCGGAGATAGGGTGGCTTCTGTGGTTGTTATTCTTGCGGGTGTAGGAGTGTTGGCGATCGTATGAATTGATGCAAGACTGGAAGATGAGGGACTAAGGCTCGAGGGTAGGGAAGGAGCAACAGCTGTTGTTGCAGCTGAGGCCCATGCTGTATCGCCTGAAGACTCTGGAGAGAATGCGGAAATTGGGGACACATTAGGACCGGGAAGAGTGTTTTCCATATCTGCTGTTACTATCGCTGTTGTCCTTTGCGCTATCATATCCTCATCCCCATCATCTGGCACTGGGTCTGAAAATAATGAGCCATTCTTCTTGGCTGCCATGCTCATAGCAATGCTGTTAGCCAGCGATGCTGCAAGCTGTTCTGATACAGCGTCAAGATCTGGTACGCTCGACATATCAAATGTAGGGAGGAGTTCGGCGCCTGTCAATAAATCAGGAATCTGAGTGTCAATATTAGGCTGGTCTATTGTGGATGCTTGCAGCTGATTCTGTTGTTGCAGCTGGTACGGTTGGTCCTGCTCCTGCTCCTTCTCCTTTTCCTGCTGGTGTGATTGAGATGGTAGTCCTTGCTGTTGCAGTTGGAGCTGCTCCTGCTGCTGACGATGGGTCTCCCCATAGTGTTGTAGTAGTAGCAGCTGCTCCTGCTGCTCTGCAGGGATCGTCATAAGCGTTTGTATATCTGATTGAATGCCCTTTAAGCGTGCAAGGATCTCCTGCTCGTCGATTTCATTGTATTCGTCTTCTTCATAGTAATCGTCCTCCTCATAATCATCTGAGTAATACTCATCTTCATCAATAAAGTCACGCTCATCATCCTCGTTATTATCATCCTCGGAACTTTCGAATGGGTTTCGGTCGGGATCTGAGTCTTCATCACTTAAGATATCGAGCAGACCATACGCCTTGGCAAGATAAATACGCTCCTGCTCCGCCAAAAGCATCAATTCTTCCTCATCAATTGGCTCTTGTGAACCATTCTGGTCAAACTCAATTACTTCGTCCTCGGAGTCAGAGGTGTCCCCAACGTTCTCAGAATCCGTGCTAACATCTGAAGAGTCTGAGCTATCTGTGACCACAGAGTTGATGGATGAATCTGAATCGACTAAAGACTCATCTTGCTCTTCCATGTCCGAATAGTTGAATTCACGAGGACTACTAGTACTACTTGCGTCATCGTCCTCATCGCTACTATTAAAATCAAGACCATCCTCCGACAAGTCGTCAAAATCATCGCTCATGATATCGCTTAAATCTCCACTTAACTCATCACTCAGGTCACTGTCTCCGAATAGATCACTCTCACTGAACGATTCCGAAAGAGCCTCACTCCGAACTGCAGTAGCAGCAGTAGTAGGTATCTGTTGCTCATCACCTGCATTATCATTTTCAAGAGCATCCAGCACTACCCCATCCTGGTTTACATTGGGGTCATGTGAAACAGATGACGTCTGATCAGTTCGAGCCATATATTTGTTTGAAGCGCGGGTTGGCTTGTTCGAGCCTATCTTTGGTTTCCGTGAAGCAACAGCTGGAGTATAGAGCGTCATTTCATCCTCTCGGCTGACAATAAGCGGATCCTTGTTCTTCCTTTTCCTGGGTCTGCCTGGGCCACGCTTACTGACCATAACCGTCCGCTCGCTTGTGCCCGATGTATGGCCTTCATCCGTATCCATTTTAGAATACGCAGGTTGCGGAAATGACATTCTGCTGGCTTGTCCTTCTATGAACCTGCCTGCCATCTTTTTCGGCACAATAACGGCCTGGGTAGCATCATTCTCATCAAAATCAGTCAATGAATTAACTGAGCTTAATGATAGAACCTCATCCATACTCTCTTCGTCTTCTTCTCCTTGATCTACGCTATCATCATCGTCGCTCTCGTATCGTGCACGCACTCGAATAATGTTCCGATCTGTAGGTACATGGAAGTGCTTGCTATCCTCAGCTTCATTGTATTCACCCGAGATGTCAGAGTCCGAACCTGACATCGTCTGGTAGTAAAGGTGCATGACATCTGCGCTTTTCCCGCCTTTCAAACCTTTGCCGCGCCTATTATGAGAAGTATATTGATCTCTGGCTGCATGCATCGGATAGGAGGACTTTCCAACGCCTTTACCCCCACGTCGCGTGACCGACAAACGCCTCTTGGCGAAGGGAGGGATGCTAGTAGCCGACATCGGGTTTTTGGCAGAGGTACGGAAAGATTCTTCGTCTGATGTGACATCGACATCAATATCAATATCAACATCAGGATGCTGGTTTCCCATCTTGATAACAGGACGTTTCTCAGCGTTCATAAACGAAGAACGATGCTCTTCATTGAGATGATCTGACTGTGCATGAGTTGATGAACCTGTTCTCAATACAATATTTGGTTGAAAAGGGACTTTAATTGCAGTGACAGAATGAGGGCCTTCCATCATTGTTGTTGATACCAGTGCTGGCTCTGGCGGTGGTCGTGGGAGAGAAGGAGCCAGTAGTGTCCTGTCAACTGGTCCACTGTTGCCGTTGTTGCATGTACATTCAAAATCGCAGACTGGACATACGTCCTCATCTTCATCATCTTGCGAGATTCGTTCTATAAAAAAATGTATCCCACTTTTTGTTAATTTCATTATATAACTCTTCTCTTTAATATCATATACTAACATGTATAAAGCCTCCGACATACCAAGGGAATTAATAGTGTTATAAGAAGGCTGGGTATGGGATAGTCTCACAGTGAGGGTATTATAATGCGTCATATGAGTATTCTGCTGTACTACATTAGGCCTTTGGTTTGGCCCTTTAGGAGAATGAAAATAATTCGTATTTGAGGGCAGAGATCTAGCATAGGTTAAACCTTGAGGCGCCTGCTGCTGAAAAGGTAAGGTCATAGCACTCTTGTTGATTGCTTGGGCGCTATTATTTGTCATAGTTGTATTTTGCGATGAGATAACATTAGAGGTTGATTTCGTCTTAATCTTCAATGGTGACAATGTCTGATGATGTATATTTGAGGCTGATGAGGTTTCGTAAACATCCTGCTTCCTAGAACGCTTTTCTTTTTCAGTGTCCTTTTTGGATGCTGTTTTGCTTTTTGTACTTTTCGCGGGCTCTCCAGTTACATTTGTGACTCCAAACATTCTCCGTATGCGCTGACAAGTATCGCAATAATAATGAGTGCTCTTTTTCACGTCCTGAGGCCTCATTCCGATACACCGGCCATGGAACCACTCTAAATGCAAAATGGACAATAAAACGAGAATCAGTTTTAGTAATAATGCGAAGATTAAAAAGGCTAGTGCTTATGTATCCGATCAGATCAGTGCTCTGTTTCCTTCTCAAAAGCGTTTTTTTTTCTATATTCACCTTCACAACGATCGCAGGCGACCATGAACTCAACACCATCATAAGGCTCCCGACATATACAGTAAACGTCTTTAGACACTGTCTTTGGCCTGCCTACTTTCCGGCGACCAGACTTCTTGGTTCCATTAGTAGTCATCGAGGTTTTTGATTTGGAACGATCTGCAGCAGTGGTGTCTTTCGACTTCTTCTTGCGTACAGCAGGGTCATTAGAAGGGATATTGCTCATAGAAGATGTAGATGTAATAGTATTATTTGCTAAAGGTGATGTTGTGGCTAGAGTTTGGGCGTGGGTATGTGTAACAGCACTGGCTCCGTCACTGAGTGATACTGATGAAGGATCGTCAAAGTCAATGACAGTGGCACCTGCTGGGTCGTATTTGCGAGCTCCATGGCCAGTCAATGGAGCTCTTCCTCGACCACGTCCTCTCTCTCGGCTAGAGGCCAAGCTACTGGAATAATGGTTGCTATGCTTTGTGTTCGTGGGCGAAAGTAGGATAGTCCCCTCCATGATCTCTTTTGAGTAGACTGGTTGTGAGGCCGAGAGAGAGATAGGAGCCTTGGCATCCATGGCTGCAGTCCCTGTTCCTTTAGCTCCCTTCTTTTGTATGTGCACAGCAGCCTGATCTTGGTCTGTCGAATCTTCATCCGAATCCGAAGCATTTTCAGACTCAGATGTACCAAAGGGTGAAGAGGAAGAAGGAAGAGAGGCATAGGTATCGTGTGCTGTTGGACGAGTAATTGAACGTGGCAGTGGTAGTCGTGGTGATAATGAAGATGAAGGGATTTGTGATTGATTCTTGTTCTGCTGTGACCGCTTATGATAGTTTAATGGTGAGGGCCGTGTCCCTGTTGCGACTGACTGCGGCTTCTTACCCCACGGCACGTCAGCCTCAGATCCGCTGGAATTGTCGGACGACAGGGACGAGGCTTCTGAAAGATCGGAGGATCCAGAGTCTGAACCCGACATAGTTCTCAGAGGATTATCCAAATGCAATTGAATGTAGTCAACGTGAAGTAGTATTATTCTTTACACTATAAAGTTTTTGTTGATGGTTGGTCGGTTGGTTGGTGAAAGGGAAAGTATAAGTAAAAGGTACTGTCGCTGTGAGAAGTTGAAAAGGACGATAAGGAGCGAAGAGAATAAGTGTGAGCAAACAACTATCAACAAGAAGAATACAACTGTGAACATGACAAGTCTTTACCTAAAATAAGAGTGAAAATAGTATCAAGGAGACGCGCACAGTGACATTAACAATTAATGTGAATAAATGAAAAAATGAAAAAATGAAAAAATGCATGCATGAACGAAAAAAGGAACCTTGAAAAAAAAAAAAAAAAAAAAAAAAAAATCAACAAACCGATAATACACAGTCACATAACCTTATCACAAAAGCGCGACAGATTCTAGCCAATCATGTCCGATCGTCTGGTTTCGTAAACTTTTTTCTAATTCAATTTAATCAATTTTAATAAACGAACACACTTAATTTTTTCCTTTTTTTGCATCCATTCAATATCAGCTAACCAGCATTATCTGTGTAATATTGTAATGTTTAAGCTGGGATTGTCAAGTCTTCAGCATCCCTTTATAGCTCCATAAGAGTAAATAGTTACTGACATTTTTCAAAACTGCACACGCTGCAAAAGAACAGCCTCTTTTTTATGTCAAAATCGTTCAAGCCGCAGAGGAACAACCCCTAAACTGTACCACTCAATGACATGCCTTCAATCCTGCACTTGCCGGAGGGTACATTTGCAGAGGCGCCACTAAACCAACCTGTCTTTTTATTTTACTTTAATTTTATTACTTTTTATTTTTTATTTTTATTTAGTTAGCTGGCTATCTAGCTTATCTGGCTATATCCCGAGCTACAAAAGGCCAGACTCTTAGCCACCTTGGGATGTCTTTTTTTTTATCATCAAAAAACACTCTACCAAGATGTTGTCCGGAGCACACCACGTGGAGGTGGTCTGGCAAATCGTGCTCCATTGGTCAGGCCCCATGGCCTTGCAAACGCCCGCGCACACACCATTAACCCATTAACCCATTAACCCATTAACCCATTAACCCATTAATCCAGCCGAAGGGGCTCCACCACCGCATGGCTCATTTGAGAGTCAGCTCAGGTTCATGCCCGTCCGGACCTACCTTGGATATACGTTGTTGCTATATTAGAATTTGAAGTGTTAGATTTTTTTTTTTTTTGTTTTTTTGTTTTTTATAAGTTCTTTTCTTTGCTTTTTTCTTTTTTTTTTTTTTAATAAGTTTTTTTTTTTGTTTTTTTTTTTTTATAAGTTCTTTTCTTTTAATATGCTTTTTTTTCTTTGACTTTTTTTCTGATTTTTTTTTTAAATGTTTGTTTTGACGTTGGAATCATTCAGTTTTCTGTTGGTTTTGCTCTTTAGATAGGGGACGTCCGGAGCTGGTCGCCATGGCTTTGAGTTTGCCCGAGAAGGTGATCAAGCTGCTTGAGCGAGGCAGAGACGACATAGCCCGGCTGTTTGGACGAGAAGGCAGCCTAGCTGGCTGAGTGAGAGGCTTTGGCCTGGTCGTCTGAGTGAGGAAGCGGCTTGGCTGTTTGGACGAGATGCTCTGGCCGCTTCGGCGAGGAGGACGGAGCAAGGCGGGCTGGCGCCATTTTGTTTATGGAGACACCAGTTGATCGTGGAACTGGCTCGAACTACCAGGCTCCAGTTGGTTTAGGAGGGAATTCATATCGTTTGTGGCCTAAAGATGACATGGAAGGAGAGAGACAGGCAGGAAAAGATAAAGTTAGAATAAGAACAATGTAGCATGGGATGAGAGGGCTGAACACTTCAGTAGGTGTGGATGTTTGAGGAGTATTGCTTACCATTCTAGCTTGATCGAGAAGGCCAAGGAGGCCGAGGATAAAAAAAAAAAGAGAAAAAAGGAAAATTGAGATTGACCCTTTTATATTCGTTTTCGAAAGCACTCGCGAAGGAAAAATAAAAGAAAAAAGATCAGTGATCAGGAGAACAAAAGTAAGTGAAAGCCATTATACGACAAGAAAGAATTTGACTGAATAATGAATATACCAAGTTCTTTGCTTTTTGTACGTTCAAAAGCCAAACAAAAATTTACGAATGGTGGCAAAAGAAGGCTTATATGCCTTGATGCCTTTGCCAAGCATAAGGAAAAAGGCTTGAAGAGGTTGATAGTGAATAACGATGATATCATTCATCCCCTTACAATAAAGAAGAGGAAAAAAGAAGAGCAACAAGGGAAATAGTCTCACGGGTGAAGATGAGAATACTATCCTATCCTCAAGATGTTTATCAGACTTCACAACAACCAATCTACAGACATTAAGCTCAAGTAGCTTTTGATCCATAGTAACGAAGCACATCTGTCAGTCAAGCTTGTTTCTTTATTCTCGCCATTTATTTTCTCTCTTCTCGTCTATTGAGGAAAGGGACATATTACATTGGGTGTTGTACTGCGGCAGGTTGTATCCAAGCTGCCTTTTTTTTCAGATTGTAGAAATTAGCACATGTCAATCTCTCAGTTTGCTTTTATTGGTCATACAACAATCCGTTTATGCCAGGTGGGTTTCATGAAAAATATGCTCCAAAACATGGATGTTTGCATAGAAAGCGATCCCGTGTAGTCATTTATTGACGACGACAATTTTGCGAGCATCAAGTACCAGTTGTGGCCTCAATGCTTTTGGGGAAAACACAAAAGCATCTCAATATTTTCAAAGGATACAAATGCCCAAGACAGTACAGATGGGGTTTTAAGCGCCACGCGCAAAAAACCACCGCATGGATGTTGGGAAAGCTTACAAGTATGACTGCCAGTACTTGGATCTCATTAAGAGCGATAATGAAGGAGCTATGGAGGGATCGACACTAAGACGCCACCACAATAAATACCTTGGAAAGTAAAAAAAGTAGATCAGAGCAACGACGGCCGTACGCCGGACTGTAACAAGGCAATATTCTTTGAAATATTTAAGCAGTAACGTCGAGCAGGTCATCCTTTAGGGAAGTAGGAATAAGCCCTAAACTGACGGTCGACGAAGAAAGTGTCATGTTGTATGTTCCTTGTTCCTTGTTCCTTGTCGTCTGTACCAAACATGCTCTGGTAAAAGTGAGGCTTCATTAATTAGTCGTTCGATAAACTGCTGCAATGGGGCTTCAGCTTGGAGAAGTGAGGCCTACAGTCCATTGAAGAAAGGAGAAGACCTGAGACAGAACATCAGACCGAGGTAGAACGCCTTTGGCTTGGAGGATGAATTATAGAGCTGATAGTCATTAAAAAAAGTAAAAATGTTAAGAGGTCATAAACAAGACAATAAAGAATAACAGAAGCAACACGGATGAGTGCGAGCGCACTTATTGAGACTATGGAGATCAGGTACAATAAGAACATTTCACATTCATCTTTGTTTTCGATCTATACACGCGACTGGGTGCGGCCCATTTCAACACGATGTTTCAGTAGAAGCCCTCACTTCTTCCATGATGTCACAAAGACTATTAGTAATGTCATGCGAAATCAAAATTGTATTCAAACACTGATGTGGCATGAAGTCTAAAGTAAGGGTTTTTGTATACTACATGGATTTTCTAAAATACAGAGACTTCCGACTTGGACAGGGACTGAATAGGGTCTGGGATAGTCGTGTGGTGTTGAGACGATTCGTTCTCTGCAGGAGAATTGTTCGACTCGGCTGAGGTCACAGATGAAGAAGAGTTAGAAGACCAGTTCCTCTCTCCACCATCCGCTCCCTCTGCACCATTGTTATGATGGCCTCCAGCTGCCGCCATCATCAGACCATCTACAGATGGACGGTGCATACGGAGCCGGTCCCCACTAGGAGTCGCGCGGCCGCCCGCCTGTTGGATTTGTTGGAAGTTACCGGTACTGGTCATCATGCTCCCGCCCGCAGGACCCGATGAAATAGACCCAAAGTTGACACTGTGTCTGGTCGCCAGGATTCGAGCCTGGCTAGCTTGAGTATGAATTGAAGCCAGACGCTCATACACATTCTGGTTATCTTCCCAAGGACCGCTAGTGCGTCGCGCGTTGTTGAGGTGGAGAGGCATTATGTGATGTTCTTGATGGTGGTTGCCGTCTGAGCCATGGACCATGTTGGTCGCTGTCTGCGTTGTTGTCATCATGTTGGCTGCACCAATCCGACTGAGAGGGCGAGCGTTTCCATTGTTGACCTTACCAATAGAGGATGCAGTCGGACCGGCAAAACCGGCTCCATCCGATTCAGATCGAGGCAGAGGCATACGCCGACTGCCAGGACCAGGGCTGGGCGTACTATGGCGACGGCTATCATAGCTATGACGCAGAGACTGGTGGCTCTTGGCATGTCGAAGTGGGGGATGACCAGGCCCGAATCCAGTCTGGATGGTCAAGGGAGGACGAGGAGGGTTATGCGAGGGCGAAGGAAGAGGGCCATCATTATTAGAGCTGTAGCGGGGTCGATTAGATGATTTGGGTCCAACAGCTGGGCTGCTTCCAGCTCCGCTTCCGATTGGCGTAGAGCTGCGTCTAGCAAAAACATTTTCGTGCTGGCGGCTGGATGCTGTTGGAGCATACGCTCTTGACAATTGAACATCCATACTACCAGTCGAGAGGCGGTTCGAATTATTGCTGCTACGGTTCGCAGTACTAGTAGAGATGCCGAGGCCTTGCCCAGTGCTTGCGCCACGACGATGTCCATACGTTGCTGTATTGCTTCTCTGGATTTCGGGGCGCTCAGGGATAGTCTTGGTACCTATAGCGCTAGTGCTACTAGAACGATTTAAGCGTTGGATTTGCTGCTGCTGTTGTTGTTGTTGTTGTTGTTGCTGTTGTTGCTGTTGTTGCTGTTGTTGTTGCTCTTGCTCCTGAGGAATGTTATCCTCTGTAGCCATAGCTGGTACACCAGCCCAAGAGACACGGCGTTCTTGATTGACAATCAACATGCGTGAGAACTCTCCTCCAGTACCGCCAACCTTAGGAGAAGCCTCATCTGAAGTCTTGATGGCATCCTCATAGAGTTGGTCAAAGATAGTAGAGACACGCTTCGACTTGTCACCTAGGAGAGCTTCTGCAACCGATCCAGATGAAGGGAGAGCATTGTCGGGTAAGGGCGTCCACATCACATCCTTGGGGTCATTTCGACTCAAGATTGGCGACTTCATATCATCACCTCCAAACGCAGCACGATTCAACCGAGCAACTTCAGCATCATTCTCATCTTCCTCAGATGAGCCATCAACGTTGGGCCTAGCCATGGCATCTGAAGATCCAAGCTGACGAAGCTTTTGCTCCAATCCATCGCAACGTTTCTCGTATCCGAGTGTAACTCCTACGGCAGCCTGACGCATAGCCTGCAACGCACGTTTGAGCTCCTCAATGATCTTCTCTTGGTTTGTAACTTGAACAAGTAGACTATTCTCGTGGCTGCGCACAGCAACCATGTCCTCAAAGATCATCTCAAGGAATTCCCTTGCCTCATGAAGATCCAGCGAGCGCAAGATGGAAATGGAAGAGTCGAACGCTACAGCAGCACCAGAGCCTGGCGGAAGGCCCATAGCGTCTTCTGCCATGCCTTGACGGATCAACTTGGCCATCAACTCTTCCTCATCACAAACAGTGGATCCATCCTTGCCTTCTTCATCACTCGAGTTTCTGATGGCGGTCACGAATCCCAGAGCAGCAGCCTCGGCCTGCAAAGCTTTGATTCTAGCGTTAATGTAAGCAATCTCTGCATCGATCATGTTGAGACGATCATCCATGTACTGTGGCTCGCTTGCAAAGTCGAGCATGACAGTGCCATTGGCAACAGCGCTCTCTTCTTGAGCCTGAACTACTTTGACACGCTCCTGCTCCAGCTCTTGCTTCTCACTCCTCAGGCGTTGGCGTTTCTTGAGCAAGTCCTCCATAACGTTAATAGCATGTCTTCCAGAAATGTAACCATAGATGGCACGGTCGATGACCTGCTTCTTTTGAGACACCTGCAAGCGAATAGAGGTCTTATTGGCTTTGGCCCTTGGTGCGGGCACAGAAGAGCCCATACTGTCGTTGCGCTCGGAAGATACGCCGATGCGAGGTGATCGCTTGGGTGCTTTGGTGATGCCCTTGGGTGTTTGAGGTTTCTTGAGGAAACCAATGACTTTGGATTGTTGATTGTTGGCATTGCCGGCTGTGTTGCGCTGAAGCATGGCGGCTCGCTGTTGCTGCATCTGCAACTCGACCTCGCGCTCTGCCTTCTTGCGTCCATCTTGAGCAGCCTTCTCGGCACGTCGCAAGGCCTGAATTTCACGATCATTGGCAGCATTCATTTCCTTAATACGCTCAGCGTCCTCCTTCATACGCTTGATCATACGCTGTTTCTCAGCCTTGAGAGTCTCCACAGCCACACGTAAGCTTCTAAGCTGGTTCTCGGCGACGCTGCGCTTCTCGTTCGCGATCTTGGATACATCTGCATACTTGTGCTGCAGATCAGAGAGCTCAGACATAAGTGACTTGATCTTGGCTTCATACTTGATCTTAACAGAACCTGAAAGCTTGTTCTCGCTGCATTTTTCACGCTCACGATCCATCTCAGTCTCACGGATCCTATCTTCCATAGCGCGGATCTCCACCTCATACTGGGAGCGCATGTTGTGATAGTCAACTTCAGCCCTCTCAAGTTGATGGACCAGTTCCTCTTTGCTGTCAATACCGTTCTGGACTTCGTTGAGCATGCTATCAAAGTTCATCTTCTCAGAAAGCTTGGAGGGAATACTCTCACCAGTACTACGAGGCACGGACTTGACCGATAAAGGAGCTCTGAATGAGCTAGACTCATGGAGAGAACCAGAGCGAATCGAGCCAGTATCGGAATCTGGAAGAGCAATAGCGGCGGCCTTTTGCTGCTGGATGGCTGCTGCAAGACGAGATTGCTGCTGCTGCTGGCTTATCTGCATCGTATCCGAGGCAGACAATGGGAAGCTGAAACGGTGCATGGCCTTCATAGCATTGGCGAGGGTCTCGGCCGCCTTTTGCTCAGCCTCGAAGAAGACCTTTTGATCCTGAGGGCTAGCAGTGGCCTCCTTCCAGGAAGAAAGGCCTGGAGGCAGAGGGAATGAAGCTCGCATAGGCGAAATGGGGCTACCATTAGCAACGTCCTCCAAGGTGGGAAGGGCATGGAAACGAGATCGATGGCTGGAGCCTGAAGACATGGAAGAGGTCATAGAGTCGCGGCGACGACTTGCTGCTGGGCTGGGTCTTAGCTGCACAGCGGGTGCAGAAGGATCAAGCATGTTAAGCAAGTCCATGTCCATACCCATACCATTCTTCTCAGCCTTAAGCAAGAGCAATCCACGGCGAATGTCCTCTTTGGCTTTGTCTACATTCTCGCCAACACCGCCAGACCCATGACGAGCAGCTCTACGTCTGCGTGAGAATTCATGAGATGAGTCTGAGGAGTCAACAGTAGTGAGACGTTGCAACATGGACGAGGAAGACGAAGAATAGTCCAAGAGTTGGGCCGACAAGGGTTGGTTCTCCTCTGTCTTGAGGTTTTGGAACCACGAGGAAGCGCCGCCAGAGAGAGTCTGCTCCACTTGAGGGATTGGTGGGCTGGAAGGAAGCTGTGCAGGCTCAGTGGTGATGCTACCCACATGGGAACCAAAATCAAAACGCGAAACTGCACGGGATGACTGCCTACTCCTACGCTTGGACTGACGACCACGTGGAGGAGATGAATCCTTACGACGAATACTATGCTCTTCATGCTCACCATCTGCATCGTGTTCATCATCGGTGACTGGCGGCTCATTTCTCTTGAAAGGTGAGGGTGCCTTGTTACGCGAGGGTGGGGTTTGTCGTCGACCAAAGACAGCACTAGGCTTCTGTTGAAGAAGCGTTTGAAGTTCCAAGGCTTGGTCCTCGGCTGCGATCAAGCGGTCTTTCAGCTGCATAACCGTGCGGTGATAGGTGATCATGATGGGATGAGCCTCAATGTTGTCGCCCGATACCTCACGTTCGACTAGAAGAGTGTCACGCTCTGCTAAGACATCGCACAACTCTTCACTACTTTCACGGAGACGGTCGCGAAGACGCGTGACCTCGCCTCGTAACGCCTTGATTTCCTCTGCAGCGCGTCTTTGGTCCAACTCCGCGGCAGGACCGGATCCCATGGCCTTGAAGGCACTGTTCTCCATTCTGAGACGATTGATCTCTGCTCTCAGTTGAGCAACCTCTGCGCTGCTGGCATCTTTGAAATCATGGTTGACAACGACCCTGTTACGGATGTTTCTGGCTCTGTTGGCGTACACAAGTGTGCTGATAGTCTCATTGATATCAACATCAGCTCCAGAAACGCAGGCTAACATCAGCGTAGCACTGTTGCCACCAAGTGAGTCCTGAAGCAGACGTGTCAGCTTAGAATCGCGGTATGGGATGTGGGAGGACTTTCGTGACTCGTCACCAAGGGCGCTAATGACATTACCAAGAGCCAACAACCCTGAGTTGATCGAAATACCCTCTTTTGCACGATCTCCAACAGCCCTTGTACGTTTAAGCTATTGATTTTCCATTAGTATACAAGGTAAGTATTTATTTTATTTTATTTTTATTTTGTAACACCATTTAAAGCTCCATAGACTTACTCTTTCTGATCCAGCTAGATCGACAAAGTGGAATTTTGAGGAGAGCTTCTTCATGGGTTTGCTGTTGTTTCCATTCTTTGTTGTGACAACTGTTGTTGTCGCTGGTGATCCCGACTCTTCACCCTCTTTAACTTCTTCAATTTCTTCTGAGCGTTGTTGCTTTAAGATGACTGAGAAAATAGCGTGAGAACGGGATGAGGTCTGGTTCATGTCTGTTGCTGCTGTTGTTCTACATAATGTTCCTTTTTGAAGCCAGCTGTAAAAAACACCAGAGATTGCAAATTTTTGTCAGTAAGCTTTTTTTTTTTTTTTTTTTTTTTTTTTTTGATAAAAAGATAGGCTTATTTCTCAATATCAATAACACTTACTCCAAAAGTTCTTGCGCTGAACAAACCTGCTGTTCCTTTACTCCATGCCATGAAATACCACCGAAGCCATCTTCGCGGACTTGGATTGAATCTTTACGGGTACGGGGTTGTGTTTGTAAGAGATCGATGAGCTCTTCGTTGTATAGTTCTAGGAAAGAGACGAAGACCTGGAACTCCATAGCTGGATCTTTTTCTTTTTCAGAGATTAAAGATTCAAAGATGGCATGGGCTGCTCTTGGTACAATAGCTAATAAAAAAAAAAAATAAAAAAAATAAAAAATTAACAATGAGCACTCAAAATAACCAAATAAAGCAAACAAATCCCTTTGGATGGAATATTGTACCTTGATCAGCATTTTGATATTGCAGACCTGTTCCCATACTATAAGTCTTTCCACTTCCTGTTTGACTATTTGCATCAAGGTCAAATTGTAAGACGAGGATTTAAGACAATTGGCTTTTGGATTTAAAAAAAGAGAGAGAGAACGCGTTTTTATGCTTACCCGTATGCAAGAATTGTGACATTGAATCTAGTAGATGAATAAAGTAGGTTAGTTTAGGAAAGAGAAGGAATTCTCCAAAAATGAAGAAAAAAAAAGAGTCTAAAAGAGTCTAAGGGTGTTATTTACCCTTCCAAGAAACGCTCAACAAGCTCCTTAGCGCATGTTTCGTAGACCATACGTTGTGTGGTCTCTTCATCGAAGACATAGTCAAATGTGAATGATTTGTCGGATCCAACGATGCCGATTTGTGGCTCGTTAGGCACATATGATATACTTTCTGAACAGTTGTTGATCTGCTCCTGAAGTGTAAGCGGACGCACACGGAGTGCGACTCTAGAAAAGAAACAGATCAGAAGAAAGAAGAAACAGAATGATAAGGGATGTAATGTATAAATGTCGAAATGTGAGTATAGGTTTGTTATTCCTTTGTATGACTGCTGCGACTGCAACCACAAACTACAACCCCAAGACTTGGAAACCAAGAAAAAGATAAAGGCTTACTTGACAGCGGTATTCATCGGGCGTGGGGGTATATGTTTAGTTCAGAAAAGTGAAGGATGAGGAAAGAGGAAAGAGGATGGCTGTGACTCGTAGTGAATGAGGTGGGTGGATATGGAGGATACTGAGAAATGTGTAAATTAAAGGCTAGTTCTATAGTCGTTATCGCTATTATTTAAGATTGGTAGTATACATAAAGAAACATAAATGATTAGTTCTAAGAAAGATGTCTAAAGTGAAAGTGAGATTTAAAAAAAAAAATAATAAAAAAAAAAGTGGGAGAAAAGGGGGAGAGATGCATGGTATGTCCCTATTTATATGTGAAGAGGAGGATGAATGTGGAGTAACAAAGGCATGCACGCACCGAGCCGCACAACAATTGTACATGTACACCCCTTGTACCTGTCAGCGCTTTTTTTTTTTTTTTTTTTTTTTTTTTTGCTGGGGTTAAATGAACAATTGCAATTGCGATTGCAATGAGAGCCATTGCAACACATTCATGAGACCCTTTTTTTTCTTCCCCTTTGTGTTCTCGAAGTTTTGTTGTGTAACTCAAGAAGGAAGGAAGGAAGGAAGGAAAAGGCCCTTGATTAAAAAAAAATGTTTGTGTCTCCTTTTTTTTTTTTCCTCGGCTATTATGCACGATGCGCTCTTCCTCCTCTCATAATAAGCCGCAGGAGGAGGAGGAGGAGGAGGAGAAGGCAGTGTGCGGGAAGAAGGAAAAGAGGAGACGCGTCGAATGTGTGGAGAGTGAGGGTGGGAAAAAACTTGTTGAAGTGTGGCTGACGTTTGATGGCTGATCAGCAGGCATGTCTTTCTCACAATCCATGTATTATATTTATATACCATGGATCATTGGATCCATTCTCCTTGAAGTCGACCCATAGTATTTATGGTATATAGAACAGTAACGTTAAGGGAGTGTGCGGGATCATTGTTTCCAAAAAAGAAACAAGTGGGCTGATCTGTTCTTTTTTTCCATTCAAACAAAGAAAAATTTTGTATTTTTGTGTTTGTGTAAATGTGAAGAGATGGGAAAGAGACTTTGTGTTCACTTGTCCCTATTTTTCTTTTTTCTTTTTTTCCTACTTTCCCTTCATTCCGGACTGCCCAAAAGAGATGTCGTGTGGTGGTTGTGTCAATGTGCATGTGCAGGATTTGATAATATCGCTGAGTGTATGTGGGAGGAAAAGGAGGAAATCGAGGATTTCAAACTGTATTATTCATTTTGTTTTGTCTGCGTGGGGTGTGGGGTGTACCTGAACCCTCTTAAGAGGAAAGAGCTTCGGACAGGGCAGACAGGGGGACAGATCTCCAAAAAAAAAAAAATAACACCCAAACTCAGTTTTTAGGACGAAGCACATAATAGGTTACCAACATTTTGTTCTTTTTCCTTCTTTTTGCTTACTACAAAACCGCACTTCCTGCATACTGTCATTCTTTCATGCAATAAACGAAAGACAAAGAACAAAACGGGCTACATGGGCTACACCTAGCCACAACACACATCACATCACATCATTTCACAAACATAGACAACTTTCTTTTTTTTTGGCTCTTTTATCTACCTCCTTTCCGAGCCTAGTCTTCTACCCCCTCCTTCTCCCCCAAAAAAATTCTCCCATGACCTGGCTCTTGTTTTTTTTTTCTTTTTGCGTGGCATGGTGTAGACATTAAGATGCTCCCGTTCACTGGCTACGTTTTATCTTTTTTCTCCACATCTAAACATCTCAATGACGGAAAATGCTCATTTTTTAGAGATGAGGATAATCTATATTTTTTTTCTTTTAAAAGCGTACCCCACATACACCATGCATCATACCCATATACATTCCCTCTCTCCTCCATATGAAACGCTCTCTTAATCTCAAAGAATAACGTGTTTCATTCAAAGTCAATTGCACCCAATTGGAATAGCAATAACCAAGTAAATCTCCAAGGTGTAAAAAAAACCCAAACCGACGCGATATTAGAGTAAAGGGACCATTACACAGAGAGAGCGAGATTTTGTGTAAAGAGTAAGAGAGAATGAGAGCACACGCGGGAGAAGAGAAGAGGAAGAGAGAGCAATTGAAGAAACAATGCAGAAAAGGAGAAAAAGATGATGTACAAGATGATTGAATACTGTACCTGGACTAAAAAATGATCCTTATGTGAATAAGTAGGGCAATAAGTATACAAATAACTACAGGGTATAATACAATAAAATAAAATAAAAAACAAAAGACAGCTGCTAAAAGAGCAGAGAACAAAAGGAAATTAAATCGTTCTGTAGACAATAAAAATATTAATGAACGAATGAATGAAAGAATGAATGAAAAAGAAAAGAAGAGAAGGTTGATGATGAGGCGATGACCCGAAAACGATCAAGTGTGCAATGACGAAAAGGTAACAAAAAGCAAGTTCGTACAGCCAAAGCGTTGTGCCGTGAGTTTAGCAAAAAGGTGTGAGAGTGAGAGGATTAAGAGATTAAGAGTAAAGTAGAAGTGATAGAGAGAAGTAGAAGTGGTAAAGGATTACTAGAAGGCAAAAGAGTAAATCGGATCAAACCAAGGATTGATGGCATTATATACTTTTCTGCTCCTTTTGTCCAGGTTATTTTATTCAATACAAAATGATCTTATATTGACTTAGAGAGTAAAGACAGTTTAAAAAAAAAGCCAATGAGTACCGTCCTGTTGAAAAGTGAATGTGTGGAGATTTATACACATCCACAACCATGTCACTGGTCCATTCAGCTTTTTGTGTTACGCTCTCAGTTTCTTTACATGTAAAATTGCAACCTTCTTTCAAATACTCTTGGTCAGGGGAGTCTATTGAATATATATGTGTTTAAAAGCTGATGGGTCATCTTTTCAGTTATAAAAAAGAATACTGTTCATCTTTGTATATTTTTGTATATTATGCAAACACATATTTATATTTATTTTAATGGTCTATTTAACCAAGATAAATTATACGACCTCTATTAAACTCCATCTTTGTCTTTTTTTTTTTTTTCGTACTGTATACATATCTATGTGCTACACATATATATATATCTGTTCTTCCTTCCATCAACAATTCCAACAATCCTCAATTGCTGACATCTATGTATTCATTAAAAAAGAGCATGTAAACTATTCCGGACAAAACTTTCTTGTTATGGTCGAAAAGTCTTTTTTTCTGATCTGTAGAGCGTACAAGAAAAAGGAGATTGGAGAAAAAAAAGGGCCATTGCTATTATTGTTGTTGCTGTTGTGGAGAGGAAAAAAAAAAAAAAAAAAAAAAAAAAAGTCGAGGCACGTTAGGAGGGGTTCAGAACAATTATGGATGAAAGGACGCGAGGGATATGCGCAACAATAACCTTGGATTGGTGAGGGGTGCAGTGATCTAGTCCGACCAGTATTCCAATAAGATGGACGATGGGGTTCATCATTCTCAGCCCACGTTATAATATATATATATATATATATATCATACCTTGAATACTTTAGCCTATTGATACCCGTTTTAAATGAGATCAGCACAGATATGGGCTTCGGGATATGGAGCATGCAACCCTCTTGGTCAATATTCAGTTGCATAAATGTATATTATATATATATATTTATACTATGTGGATGTGTGGAGAAAAAAAAGCGTTTGTCTGATCCATACAGTATTAAACACAAAAAAGCAATAAAAAAGGGTAGTGGTGCCTAATTGCCCCGGTTCTGGTGCAGGATAGAACTATCATTTGCATATTGCCTTCCTTTTATGTATATAAATGCTTATACGGTCATTGTACTGCTACCATTGATATGTATATGTATACTTTATTATTCCACTATATACCACTCTCGCAGCTTTCTATATATTTCATTTTTGTGAGGACAAAAGGAATTTCTTCACACGCCCACAACTCGGTTCCTCCGAGTTTATTATTTTACAAAACAACTATTCTGTTTCGAGCTTTTTCAGACGTTTATAGATCAAAGCGCGTTGAACTTTTATTTTTTTTTACTATGTCGCATATATTGCAGTTGCTAGAAACAAGGTTGGGTCCTTGAGCCAAGAACCACCTTGCCCTTCTTATGCCTTTTTTCATTCCCAGCGTTCACGGATCTCCCTTTATTGTATCGACATCCTCACACAAACTCCTTTTTTTGTTGTCAATCAACCTCACCCCAACAAACAAAAGGGAAAAAAGCGACCAAGGCGCTCAAAAGTTTTCAATGCTTGTTTTCAAATAAAGATCTTGCCTTGTAGCGTAACTATGAACAACATTGGAAAGCCAAGACAGAACACTGTATTTCCACAAGTCGTCAGACTTGGTTCAATAGTTGTTGCACACAATCTATACACATCCACATCTAAGAAAAACCAATGATGAAAGGCTCATTGTAACACCAATATCCTAATAAGTAATGGGTAGTAAGCCACTTCATAAAAAATTACAGCTCCCGCTCATCATGGGTTTGTAATAACGTGTTTGATGTGTTGAGCGCATGGCTCAGATCCCTACACCTTTTTCTTTCTCCATTTTATTATTTTCTTTACGCCAGTGTATGTGCGTACTTGTTTTTTTTTTTTTTTTTTTTTTTTTTTTCACTTAATTTATAATGTTCCGTTGGAGTAAAACATGGTCTAGGCTACCATACTATGATCCAATGGCTCACCGTAAGCATCGTAGCGGTATACAGTTGAGTTGTGGAGGAAGAAGCATTATAGGACTATAATAGACACAGAACATTTGGCGCATTTTATTTCTTGTAGAAACATTTAGTGGGATCGGGCGTAATACTACGGGAAAAATAAAATAAAAATAAAAAAATAAAAAAAAAATATATATAAAATATAAAATATAAAAAATAAAAAAAATAAAGTGTCCAACGGAAACCTTAGATCTCAAACTACAAAAAGTCCTTATTGCCAAGGCACTTCCCCTTTTTTTTTGTTCTTGAATCATTCTCCCACACACGAAGGAACAACGTTATAACAAAGTGAAAAAAGGTTGGCATTCAGGGACCCTTGAAAAATATGCGCTTGTTCTATAGACACAAAAATATTACTCGATCAAGGGCAAAACTGTATATAAATGAAAATTTTTTGCTCTACATTGTTTGTTTTCCGAAGGGGATAATGCGTCATAAATGTCTTCTTGATCTGTGGTGTGGAAGTTCTTGGCTCTGTACAAATTTTAAGTCTGTAGTTGTAGGCTGAACAACAACCAATGTTTAATGTGGTCGTTAATCGATGAGGGCCATTTGTGTAATGTTTTTTTTTTTTTTATATTTTTGGTGGTCCGTTTACTTATTCTCCTTACCCCCCTTTCCCGACAACTTCACAATTTCCCACACGCGTTACGTGTTATGAACATTGTTCTCCACAAATGTAGGAGGAGAAAATCGGAAAGAGGAATATGGCAAAGGTCTTGCCCCGTGTCCAAGGAGGTATGCTGCATGAGTCTCAACGTTTATTCTGCCCGTATTCGGAGTCTTTCGCTCTTCCTTGCCCTTTTTTTTTGTCTTAAAGAATAAAAGCAAATTAAAGAATGCGTCCATTGCTTCGCCACCAACATCCTCTCCATCCTCACTCACCCCTCTATTCTCTCCTGTTTCCTATACTTGGTAAGAAGTGAGAGAAGGGTACTATATATATGATCGTTATTTTTTTTATTTTATTTTATTTTTTTTAATTGAGCAATTCGACGATCAAGGATCGGGATTTTGTTGTGTTTTCTCCTCAAGCCCAATAATAATCCTTTTCGTCATCTGCGCAAATAAAAAAAAAAAAAATAGTGGGGTTGAAGGTTTTTCAGTCAGGTGGTTAAAATCCTGCATTGCATTGCATGCATGCGAGACAAAATAAAATAAAAGAAAACTATAGGCTGTCAGAAAAGCCGAAGCAGAAAAAAGAAACTTTCCCCAACCTTGTCACCGCCGCCATAATTATTGTTGATGATCGAATCATTCACTTTTCTTTGAAGTATCAAGCAAAAAAAAAAAAAAAAAAAAAAAAGGGGGGGGGGGGGGAAAGGGATGACATTATAAAAATATATAAAACGTGTAGCTTTTCAATTCTCCACAAAAACTGATCTAATGGATCAACTGGCAGTGATGTCGCGATGAATAAAGTGTGGCAACGATGTGACGGATGACCATTTTTTTTTGTAAATATTCCGTGTTGAAGAGGTCATTTGCGTTGTGTGTAAGCATCTAATTTAGTCTAGTGTAGTCAATCTTTATAAATATATACCACATGGTACATGTAGAAAGTCCCAGCAATGGATGACCATAAATGTTTTGTTATTTGTCAATACAATAGATTTGTTTAATCTTGTCCTGCTGGGAGAAGAAGAAGCAATTCCTTTGTGGTCTTTGTACGACTTCCCTAATGTTTGCTCTCACTAGCCTTCAAAAAGTAAACAAAAAACACCAAACAAATAGAGTTTTGTAGTTGTAATATATTCATGTAAATCATAAAGAACACGCGAGATGGAAAAGATTATTGATTGACGTGATAGTGATGGAAATTTGGATGTTTGGTCGCCAACAATAGTATCATGAGCTAGAGTATATCAGTATGTAAAGCTGTTGATGACACTAACAAAAATACACCCTTTTTTTTTTTTTTTTGCAGTAGCCAGTCAACGAATGAGAACTCGCACTTTCACTGACATGGTACATCATCCAAACAATTGAAAACGATGTTCAAGGAAGAAGAACCTTTGGCTAGGCATTTTCCATCAAGATATCTTGTGGAGTACATAATTGGATACTTACATACATATATAATATATATTATGTTTATACGTGAAGGAAAAGGCTGTCCGTTTGCTCATCTTTTTTTTTTTTTTTTTTTTTTTTTTTTGACATAGTTATTCTGGAAGCTACTTTTCTAGAGCGCTTATTATGAACCCGGAGCAAAACACAATTTGCCCGGCCTTAATACATATACCCGCAATAAAATAAATAAATAAATAAAAAGACCTTCAATCATTCAAACAGTCAACTGCTGTTGTTAGAGTAACGGCGAAAGTCTCCACATAAAACACTCTTGCCTCAGCTTGATATAACGCGTGCACAGGTACATTTAACCACATTTAAAATATCAAATAATTGCTTTGTGGTTTACATGAGGAAAATAATCAGCGGGCTATACATAAATAATGAACCATGGTTTTATATACCATTTTGTAGACTTTAAATTTTATTTCATGGTACCACCAGCTTCTGGGTGTTATTAAAAGAGCTCGATCTATTGTGTACGCCGATTTGTTTTGGAGGACCGCTGGGGAGATGTATTTGTCCTATTGATACTAAAGAACAAAACAAAAAAAAAAAAAAAAAAAAAATAGCAAAAAAGCTTGAGACTTCTGATATATAAATATATTATATATATGCATATATACACTGTTCTTTTTTATCCAACTCCTTCCATGGAGGTGTTGAAAGCTGCTGCATGAAGTCAAGGCAGTCTAAAACAACAGGCCAAAATGTAGACCCTTTTTTCTATAAAAAACAAGAGCGTTTTTTTGGATCCAGAACAAGTGTACATGTACCTTTTACAGAAAACTCTAATTCAGAGCCCTTTTTCGCAAGCACAACAGTGTCTATTATAAGCATTCCTGAATGGACAAAGGCTGTACGCGTCTCGTATTATCTTTTCTATCATTTTTTTTTTTTTGTTGATCTTTTCCATCTATATCCATCGGGTTGATGCTGTTATTGTTAACGCTTCTGCAGCTTTAGTCCTGTCCCGATGGTATATATATATAAATAAATGTATTCAGTGATGTTTAGACATGCATCAATGCATTTTTCGTAAATGCAAACAAGCCGAATTTGCTTCCTGCTTGAACGGAACAATGTCTGGTATAAAAAAAAATACTCGAATTTCAGATCAACTAACATTTATATCTACATGCTACGCGTTTGTTCTCAGAGAACCAATCAACGATCTCCTGACCCATTATTCAGAGCTCAATTGGCGTCACCACTCATATCACCTGATTTGATTCTAATGCCAAGTCATAATTGGTCACAAGCAGAGTTTCATGAATATATTTATACATGTACATGGTGAGGCGCCAGAAAGCGCGAGACAAGAGAGCATGAAACATCAAATTGAAAAAATAGTGAGGATGCTCTTGTCAGTTTCAGGAACATTTATTATGAATCACACCCAGAATCAGAATCCTAATTTGCTTTCGGCTTTGTGCCACAATGCCTCTGGTTAGAAAACAGACAAGAACCTATCATTTTTATTGCATTTAGGCTCCTTCCTACATGAACGTGCTCTAAATGAATGTTCAGCCAACATTAGACACGCTGTCTAGCAGGTTGTGCCACTTCTGTCCTATTTTGAACTACCCGTAGAGGCAAAAAAAAAAAAAAAAAAAAAAAAAAAGAATCCCCATTCCTTTTTACTGAATGTAACTCGTTTCAAATTCATCATTCATTTCCTTTCTGGTTTTTAATATTTTTTCACTCCAGCAGCTTGAAATTCACTTGATTTGTCTCCAACCCGAGAAAAGAAAAAAAAAAAAAAAAAGATGGTATCAACAATAACATCCAAGTCACTTAAAGTGATCATTGTGGGTTGCGGGATCGGCGGATTAGTGACAGCTATAATGTTGGATCATGCTGGGATCGATTATATCATACTGGAGAAAAGGATAGCTCATGGGTTCATGGGGAGTGCGATCGCACTTTCACCTGTCGTGCTTCGCGTGCTTGAGCAAATTGGGGTTTATGAGGATCTACATCGACTCAGTAAAGAGTTCAGTCGAACCAATGTGACGATGGCAGACGGCAAGAAAATAGGCGTCATTGAAGGAGATTTTTCAAAGTCGCGATATGGGTAAACAACAAAAGTTTTGGCTACTTTTTTTTACAGAATCACAGATGATCCGTATTGCTTCCTTCATGCTTGTTTCCTCCATTTTGTTGACTATTTTGGCTCTCTATCCTACTCTAATGTCTCCCATCGCTTACGCCATGTAGTTACTATAACGAGGTAAATAAGTTTTTTTCTGCTCCTGTTTGTTATTTTATGTTTGTTTTTTCATATTCACTTGAATCAACAAAAACCGCCATGACCATCTTCGCGGCATCCCTTTTTTCTTTTTGTCCATCTTCTTTCATGCCCCTTATTCATAATACACAAGAATGTACCGTATCCTTGGCAACTGATCTGATTCACTCTTTCATTTTTTAAACATGTAAACAAACAAACAAACAAACAAACAAAAAAGATTTTAGCACGTCCAGATCTGATGAAGGTGCTTCTGTCGAGAGTTGCACCGCATAAGATCAAGATGGGCAAGAAGGTCCTTCGGGTGATTGAACACGCAGACCATGTTGGTGACCGACCAAGGTCCATTCATTCAGGCTCAGTTTCTGTTTACTGTTCTGATGACAGGTATAGTTTTTTTTTTTTTTTTTTTTTTTTTTTTTAAACATATTAATATGAAAAACAGGATAATAGCAGTATCATCAAACAATGACAACAACGTGGCCTTCAAAAAGCCACGCGACCATAGACATACTGAACAAAGCCCATCATTTTTTCATCTTTTTAATTCCTATTGTTTACTGACTTCCTTCCATATTTATGTATTAAAGCGAGTATAAGGCTGACCTCGTCATTGGATGTGATGGTGCATATTCGACTGTCAGGCAACGCTTATACCAGAACATGCAGGCCGAAGGCATTACTGTTCCTGAAGCAGACTTTGCACCCTTTCGGTTTGATCAACATTGTGTACGTTCTGATGAAATTCTCTATATAAACTTGGAGCGACCTTCTTGCCCTACAATTGTCTATTTTTTGATGTGAACATATATTGCTTTGATTATTATTACATCCCATGCTAACCTATATATACTCAAAATGCTGTATAATATTCTCATTTTTCTCCCGACATTCATACATACCAGCTAGTTGGAGTGACTAGGCCACTAGATCCAGAGTTATATCCTGCGCTTAAAGAGCCTTTATGTGAATTTGAAGTGATTCTTGCTAAGGATTACTCATATTCTGTTTGGTTGATGCCGCTTAAAAACAACTGTATCTCCTGGATGATTAACGCAAAAGCTTTTTCAGGGCAGCGTCAGTATCACGGTCGGAGTCAGCATCAACAGCAATATCAGCAGCAACGATCTGGATCTGGATCCATATTTCAAAGAGGAAAAGGAAGTCATGAGAACCCACCCGAAGAGAACTTCATTTTCCCAGAATGGGGACCTGAGGATGCTGCCGAGGAGCTTTGTAATAAAGTCCGAGTAAGCCCTATGAATATTGTCTGAGGGAATAGGGATGAGAACAAGAAACAAAAGCAAAACAAGTCATTAATCCAAAGACATCTTCAGGGGTTTAGGTCACCATACCATAATGGAACAGTTGAAGATTTGCTTAGTCAGACACCCAAGGATGTCATTTCAAAAGTTATGCTCGAGGACAAAATGTTTGAAACCTGGCATTCTAACCGAGTTGTATTATTAGGAGATGGTAATAATGCAATTTTGCTTCCTATGTATCTAAAACTTGATGTCAAAAAATGAAACGCTTGAAGCATAGGAAGTACTGAGATTAGCTAACTCGGGTTCTCCTCTCGTCAATATATACATATGTTTCTAAAAAATGGTGTCGCTGATGTTTGGTAGCATGCCATAAAGTCGTCCCTTTCGGTAAGTTAGGATGAATAACCTTTAAAGCATCCCAGCGCCATCCATTGAGCGCTTATACCAGATAAGACCACTAACACTAAAAATACTTCCCATATACCTTTGTCCTTACTCCATAAATTCATCATGCTAGGCGGCCAGGGCGCAACACAAGCGATTTTGGATGCAGTCGCACTTGTGGAAATACTACACACACTACCTTCGACCGCAGCCAAAGACATCTCTCAAGCCCTCCAATTGTACCGAGAGAAGCGTTATCCAATTGCACAAGCAGCCATAACAGCCTCACGGCAAGGAGGAGCCATCTTTAGTAGTAAGGTAAGAAGACATAGCACTACGGTGTAGTGGCGTCAAATTATATATTAGCTTTTTTTTTTTTTTTTTTTTTTTTTTTTTTTCGTGGAGGGCCACTATTAACCTTCCTTTGCTGCTGATTGATATAAAATTGCACATGGATATATCATACAGGGTGTTTTTATGGATGTCCTTCGAGCATGCACGTTTCGGTTCATGCCTCGTTGGTTATATCAAATGACAGCCGATCGCGCACAAGCATCACGCCCCATTCTATCTTTCCTGCCTGCTGTACCGGATCGTGGATCTGTCCGAGCGGGCAGAAGTTAACTCTTTTTTTATCCAATTGTTGCTGGTCACCAATTTAAAACATCATATTTGCACTTCATGCCCATTAAAACGAACAGATCAAATCATCAAATACTACTGTGATGAAGGAAAGGAATTAAATTTGATGAGCTACAGTCTTCCATCAGCATTGGAGTAATTTGTCTGCTACGAGCGATGAGTGATATAAGGCAATTGACTATCAAGGTGAAAAGTGTGGTCATTTTAATATAAAAACCAAAGAAAAGGAATACGGAATCGACAAAGCAGATACAAACATATTTAGTGGAGTGAGATGTTTGTTTTCATAACGTAGCCCGACGTGTCTTTAAAGATCACCACCGTGAACTATGGTGCGTTACATTTATCTTGATGGATGGAGTTTATATAGCTTTGATTGACGCAGGCCTTGTCCTTATCAATTGTAGAGTCGTAAATAGTCTCCATTCTTTACCCCTCATCGTCATGGTCAATATAGCTTTGCACCACTGCAGCATTCCATGGGTATGTACGAATCCTGAAGATCGATACTGGGATCCAGCTCTGCAACATCTTTGGTAGTACTATCAGCATCTCGATCCGTTCCTCCAGTTGGCGTCAAGCGATCAACTCTAGAATCCTGCCTCCGCACCTGAAGACGCCTCTTTGTTGGCGAGAGCATATGACTGTGCGCATCCACGATATGATAGTCTGAAGAAATACTGAGTTTATAATCTTAATTATCGTCCATGCTCTTCTTCAAGATCCTATCCTGAGAGTTAAACGAGTGCTTGAGAATAGATTGAAGAGAAGAAAGAGTAGATGAAACTGCTGATGAGGGTCCTCTCCTTAAGAGTTATACGTCTTAAAAATACAGTCAAAAGTGGATTTTACGGCCAAATTCATAGTGAAATTGGCTGTAAAATGAATGAATTGACCTCCACAAAGTATATTTTAAAACGTGAGAATTAGAGCCACATTTATTGACGCACACCATAACCAAAAAGATTCGGCCGTTCTCAGATGAAGTGAAGAAACGAAAAAAAAAAAAAAGAGGTCTACCATCCTTTTGCTCTCTTCTAAGGATAAAACATACACCAAACATGGACTTGAAGAAATCCAAACGATATTATGGCCTTTTGAGGGGATATAGGCATATAAACTGCTTCGTGTCATGTGCGCCAACATTTGTGGCTCTAATTCTTAAGTTTTAAAATATGTACATTTTTTGTGGAGGTTAATTCATTCTATACATTTGACCATAAAATCCACTTTCGACTGTACATGTACGCATGTCATTTGCCTACTTTAGAATAATATGAATAAGGATTAATCAAACTTCATTTGAGCCAGTCATTTTATCACAAATGTTTATCCTATGGAGGTTACATTATGTTATGGGCAGGGAATTGATTTTTGTCAAGATGATAAACATTTTGTTGGCATGATCATTACTACTACTACGGAAAGAGATATCAATACAAAAGATGATTTGTACAGCCTTCCATAAACGCGTGTGGAATGAGTCCGTATATCGTTCATCAAGTTTGACCGTGTGGAAAGGAACTTTTTTTAAAAAAAAAAGTTTTGATACTTCCATTCTGTTGTCACAATGACCCATTATCGGAATAGTGTCTTGTCAGACCTCTGTGTGACCTAAACGCTTAGCCTGAATTCAAAGTATAAATGTATAAGATTATGAACGTCTTGAGCTGCTGATCCAATGCGCAGCATCTAAGCGGACGGGATGGATAAGTTTCTCATCTTCTCTGCCTTTCTGGGAATGTGGGAAAGAGAATTAGGTAAGGGTAGAGAAGAAAGAAAAAGAATGAAGCTCAATAAGGAAGTAGAGGAGGGTGTTTTGATTTTGCCATTGATGCTGTGATATCAAAGGATGAGAATGGGAGGAGTACGAATTGAAATGGACACCAAAGAAGGCAGGGATTTCATTACTTTTGTACATGTACATGTTCATGTCGTGAATTTGGAGCTTGTGTTACAAAAAAACATCAACCTTATTCGGCAAAGTGCTTTTTTAGAAATTTCAAACACAGACAAACAGAGTCCAAGGGCGAAGTTGATGAATGCAAGTGTTGGAGGCATTCTATTGCACCAATATCACATCAGACCATGGGAATTAGTAAGGATTTCATTACTCGTCCTTGTAGTTTACAGGAGCTTGGTCTGAAAAAAAAAATGGAGAGAATGATCATCATTTGGCCCCAAAAATGAATGCGATTGGTGATCGGTGGGTCCGGCAAACGTTTGCAGTCATATCTTTCCTCTTCCTCCTCCCCTGCACATCGTGGTTGTATAAAGGGAGGGGGCGGAAGCATGCAAGATTTTTTTACTTTTTTTATTTTGTGTTAATAGCCGGAGTTGGAAGTTGTTCAGTCTGGCGTGTTCTGTTGAACAGCCCAAAAAAAAAGTAGGCCCCACTTTTTTCCTTCTTTAAATGTATAAAAGACCCCGATCTGGGACCCCTCTCATATTACTGGTCGTTTTTTTTTTTTTTTCTGTTTTGTTGTTTTGCTTGACTGTGCCTTTGTGTCAAATTACAGTACAATCTTCAGGCATTCTGCGCAACTGCGTTTACAACTTTCTCTTCACTACAGCATTGACTATTTTCTCCTCTCCTCTTCATTACATTAATTTTTATTCCTGTGAAGTCTTCACTGGATAGCTTATTAAAAAACAAAAAACAAAAAACAAAAAACAAAAAAAAAAAAAAAAAAACATTCGCACATTCATATATACACAATGACAGAATCTAAGCACCCTCCTGCTGGCATTGAGAATTGCAACCCATTGTCCTACTTCTCATTCAGCTGGATTCAACCATTGCTCATCAAGGGATGGGTAAGTTCATCCCTGTCTTTGGAGAAAAACAAAAGAAATATATGCACTGAAACTTGAAATAGATAAAATTACATTCTTTTTCCCAACGTCGCTTTTCTCCTTTGATCCACACTTGGCCTCTCGGAACGATTTTTTGGATTTTCCCACTCCCCTTTCTCCACAACTCCTACATCATCACATAGCTGAATACGTTACTCATAATGAATTGCACAATTTTTACAATCATAGAGCCAAACTATTGTCGAAACAGATTTAGACCAGCTTTCTAAAAATGATCATGTCAAGAGGATTACTGACAAGCTGCTGCAAGAATGGACCAAAGAAGTTGAAAAGAACGAAGCCAAGGCAAAAGCAAAAGGAACAAAACCAAAGAGGCCTAATCTATATCTAGTTCTTTGGCGATGCTTTGGTTTCTATTTCAGTTTGTCCATCTTCACTGGTTTCATCGAAAGTGCCTGCAAGATCGGCGAGGCCATTCTCATGGGGTAAGAGAAAAAAAAAAAAGCTGCACGAATAGTATTAACCGTTCAGATTACCCATAGTCGATCAAGCGAGTTCTAACCACTTTTTCTTTTATTCTGCTCTCTTTTCTTTTCTTTGTATCAGATTTGTGATCCGTTTCTTTGATGACCCAAATATGTCGATGGGTGAAGGAATGGCCTATGCTATTGGTCTATTCCTTGTTACCCTTTTTCATGGAACCATGCATCATCATTACTTCTTTCCAACAATGCGTACAGGACTCTGGATTAGACAAAGTTTGATCTCACTCATGTATCGCAAGTGCCTTACCCTCTCTACCTCCAGCTCTATTGCAACAGGAACTGTCGTCAACTTAATTTCTAATGGTATAAAGACAGTGACAACAAGTTTTTTCGTTTGTTTGTCAATACTTCATTTCAAACCTTGTTTACTGATATTCTCTTTTTATCTGGCAAGACAGACGTTCAACCTTTTGAAAACGCTACACCATTTATGTTGTATGCTATCATTGGCCCAATTGAGATGGCAGTTGTCATGTATTTCCTCTGGAGAGAAATCAATGTTGCCTGTCTATCAGGATTACTGGTCTTTGCTATCTTGGTGCCAATCCAGACATACTTCTCACGCCAGTTTGCCCGCATTCGCATCAAAACAGTTGATGCCCGTGATGACCGTATCAGGACCCTATCCGATGTTTTCCAGGGCATTGAGCTTGTCAAACTCTGTGCTTGGGAGGTACCCTTTCAGGAAAAAATTTTGATGCTTCGATCGCTGGAGCTTAAATACATTTGGAAAGCTAACTTGATGAGAGCAAGCAATATGGCCATCTACTTCTTCTTTCTACCATTGACCGCACTCTTTGTCTTTGTCACGTTCTGGCTACAAGGCGAGACTCTGACCCCGGACAAGATCTTTGTATCACTCACTCTCTTTAACGTAATGCGTCTAACTATGACAGCATTCTTTCCAAGAGCTCTCGAAACCATTGCGGAAACTCGTGTATCTGTTCGTCGCATTACAGACTTTATGTTATTACCAGAACTGCGTGGAATCGAGAATGAGTTCCGGACAAAGAAGACGGAGGAATTGGATGATGATCCAGAAGGGCGTGCTAATGTGGGTGTGGAGAAGGTTCTTGACCCATCCGTGTTACTTGAGATGCGTGACGCGTCTTTCTCATGGACAGTAAGCACAAATGAGCAGAACGAAATTATTGATTTGTCTGCTAAAGAAAATAGTACACATGGACATATTCATGGATCGGTGAGAGAGAAGGATCAGCAAAGTACTGATAACCAGACTGTTGGTAGCCCTAAAAAAGCCATCCTCAATAACATCACCATGTCACTGCGCCGTGATGAGCTTTTAGCTATCGTTGGCCCAGTTGGGTGTGGCAAGTCCAGTTTCTGCATGGCTCTGCTGCAGGAAATGCCCTTGGTCTCTGGATCATTTGCACTGGCCAAAAAAGACAAAGATCGTGTCACAATGTCTTATTCTGCGCAGTCACCTTGGATCTTCGCAGGAACCATTAAGAGCAACATTTTGTTCGGTTCGCAGTTTAACCAAGAACGCTATGACAAGGTCATTAAAGCTTGTGAATTGACGCGCGATCTCTCCTTGTTTCCACAAGGTGATGAAACTGTTATTGGCGAGAAGGGCGTGACTCTCAGTGGTGGTCAACGGGCCCGTGTCTCATTGGCTAGAGCTGCTTACAGAGACTCGGATGTGTATATTCTGGATGACCCTCTCTCGGCTGTCGATCCCAAGGTCGGTCGTGCTCTATTTGAAAACTGCATCAATGGACTATTGAAGGGCAAGGCGCGTGTACTAGTCACTCATCAATTGCAGTACATCAAGGATTGCGAGAACGTCATTGTGCTGGAACAAGGACAGGTTACTCATGCTGGGCGTGTGGATGCAGTTATGCAACACGAGGTCGAGGTCGAGAGGGTGATTAACGACGGTGCTTCTATCAGGAGCATTAAGACACGTGCAAAATTCGTGGATGTTTTACGTGAGTTTGCCAAGAAGGCACCCGAGGTGACAGAAGACGAAGATACCATGCTTATTCTCAAAGCGGAAGAGGCTGGTGCCGATCTAGGGGAGGTCCTTAAACGTGTCAAGTCTCGCGCTGAGAGCAATAAAATTATAGAAGATGATGTCGATGCTCCAGAGAAGAATTTGACAGTTGAGGAAATTCAAGAAGGCGACACGCCACTCCGCGTTTATTACGATTTCTTCCGCCTTGGATCGACTCCTTTCCGATTAATGCTAGCAATTCTATCATTGTCTGCCGCACAGGGCATTATGGTTGCTGGAGACTTTTTCCTGTCGAAGTGGTCGTCTCTGCCTCGTGAGGAGCAGACCCGCTCATATTATCCTACAGTTTTTGGAATTTACTGCCTTGCCACGGTGATTATGACTCTTATTCGCTCATTCCTATTCTTTTACTGCGTCTCAGAGAGTTCACGCAACATTTTCAAGGCTATGCTCGACGCATTATTGAAGGCGAACATTGATTTTTTCCATGCCAATCCTCATGGACGTGTCCTTAATCGATTCTCTAAGGATATGGCCAACTGTGACGAGTTGCTGCCCTACACATTCTTTGATGCAACGCAGATTGTATTTATGCTGTTTGGATCTGTCGTGGTGGTTTGCATTGTCAATGCTTGGGTAGTGATCTCTATTCCGTTCCTTCTTGGAGGCTTTATCTTCCTTCGCCAAATCTACATCAGGACCAGTCGTCAAGTCAAACGTATCGACAGTCAAACCCGTTCACCCATTTACTCCCAGCTCTCAGAGACTTTAGATGGCCTCACCTCTGTCCGTGCATTCGGTGTTGGAGATCGCTTCATGAACCGCTTTGTGGAAGCTCAGGAGACTAATGGACGAGCTTTTTTCGCTTACTTAATCTGTGCTCGTTGGCTCGGATTCCGTCTGGATGCGGTCTCTGCACTCTTCTTGGGCATTACTGCAGTCGCATGTGTTGCTGTCCGTGATTCTCAAGAGGCCGCCCTGGTCGGATTGGCGCTCAATTATGTAGTCCAATTGAGTGGAGAGCTACAGTGGGCTGTGAGACAGAGTGTCGAGGCTGCGATCTTGATGGTTTCTGTGGAGCGCATGATGGAGTATGCACAAATCAAGCCTGAGGAATCGAGCCGTCGTGCATTCAATCCCGATGGTACCTCAGTTGTCCCCAATGGCTGGCCAAGCGAGGCTAAGGTCACATTCACGGATATGTCTCTCACGTATCCACGTGGCGAGGGACCTGTCCTCAAGCATATCTCATTGAACTTCCGCGCCGGAGAACGTATTGGTATTGTTGGCCGCACTGGTGCAGGAAAGTCCAGTTTGATTGGAGCACTCTTTCGACTGGTTGAGACCACAACTGGTAATCCTCCTCAGCGTGGTGGAATAACGATCGATGGCATTGATATTAGCAAGATTGGAATGCACGATCTGCGAGAGAAGATGGCGATCATTCCTCAAGAACCCTTCTTGTTCCGAGGCTCATTGCGGTTTAATCTTGATCCATTCTCTCAGCACCAAGATGCAGACCTCTGGGCAGCATTAGAAGCGGCAGAGCTGAAACGGACGGTTGAAGGACTTGAAGGGGGGCTGGATGCTGTTGTGGATGATAATGGCAAGAACTTTAGTATTGGAGAGCGTCAATTGCTGTCTTTGGCACGTGCAGTGTTAAGAAGATCAAAGATCATTGTGATGGATGAGGCGACCGCCAATGTGGACTTACAGTCTGATCGTATGATCCAAAAGGCGATCCATTCACAGTTCCAAGATGCAACGGTATTCACGATCGCACATCGTTTAAACACAGTTATCGGGGACTATGACAGGATCCTGGTACTGGACCAAGGCGAGGTGATGGAGTTTGATGAGCCATGGGTGTTATTGAATAAGCCTGGTATGGGAGAGACGAGGCCTGGAGACGGTAGTGATGAAGCGGTATCAGGAGGATGGCTTCGTAGGATGGTGGCAGATACTGGTGCGGAAAATGAAGCAGCGCTGCGCCAAGAGGCAAAAGAGCAATGGGAGAGGCGACATGGGAAGAGTACTTAAAAAAATATACATATAATTTAATAAGGAGCGCAGTCCACGTGATGTGGCTTATTGAACTAATTATTTAGAAGATACTTTTAGAAGTGAGAGGAAGGAAAAAAAATCCAAGTCCATGGAATTGTGGACTTCAAAAAATTTCACTCGCGGGTATAAATATCTGCAATGTCCCCCTTTCTTTCTTCCACTCTTTCTTCCATATTCTCTTTCTCTCTCTTCTCTCCTTTCCCTGATACTTCTCCTACTCCATACACACGTTTCATTCCAACGTCACCAATTAACCTAACACAACATTAGCAATTTGTATACTGCATTACATTATAATTACTTTTCAAACTCAACCACTGGAAAAAATAATAAGCAAGAAGAAAAAAATATATATAAATAATGTCGGATTCAGAAGATATGCCTTTGGCAGAGAGAAAGAAGCAAATAATCAATAACAATAATAATCATCATTCGACAGGTATGTTTTCTTTGATGAAATTAATACATTTAAATACTGAATTTAAAATATGAAGCTGGGAGAGGGAGGAGACAAAAGAAGACTTCTATTTGATCTACAAAAGCACAAAAAAAGTTGTAACTGTATTAAAAAAAGCGCGGAAGTCGGAACGCGTTTTTTTCTTTCTTTTTTTCTGCCTCTTTTCTTGCGGATCCGCAATACTGCTGAAGATATGAGTGTTCATATCACCTCATAGTTAATATGTACAAGTGCAAGTGAAGTAGGGCGGAGATTAGATGAAAAGGGATATGGCAGAGCATGAAAAAAAGGGAGAGGAATGGAAATGGTGATTGTAAGACAAAAAACTGCTACCTCCAACCACCACAGGGTGGTCCACAGACATGATCAATCGTACTTTTTTCTTTCATTGGTATGATTGCAGTCAGGTTGACATAATGGAAAAGTCCCTTTATTAAAGTATTATGGTATGACAGTGTGTGGTATAGTGTATGCATCAAGGGAGTGAGATCTGGTGCCACCATTTTTTTTTTTTTTTTTTTTTTTTCGGACAGTACACATGCGATCTTTCCAATTCTGCCATTGTCATTGCAACACCTTTCGATTAGCCCTTCGTGAAACAATTCTTTTGTCTTCAATAACAATCATCAGTTATTGGCGAAATAAAAAAATGAAGGCAATTTATCTGTTGGAAACTATTGCTTCCGCAATCTGAAAATGATCGATCGATCAAAAGAGATCAAGGGCTCGACATATTGCATGCATGATCATCTGATTTAGGTCCATACCCTCATGAGATCGTGCTTAATCCCACTTTTTGAAATCCATTAAACTCACATGTCAACATCAAAAAAAAAAAAAAAAAAAATCTGAAATGAACAATAGATGACGACAATATCGACAGTGGCAGTGATTCCGACACTCCCCTCGGTAAACGCAAGAGACCCCCTGTCAGGAAAAAAGTTATTGATGACGACGATGATGACGGGGATTATCAGAGTAGCGATTCAGCAGCGCCGCTTTCCAAGCGAACTCGTCCTGATATTAAAAGGAGCTCTTATAAAGAGGAGAGTGACGATGCCTCGTATGGATCACCTTCTGTCTCCAAAAAATCTAGTTCTTCTCTTTCAGACGCTGGTGAGTCTTCAGATTCGGATACGCCACTAGCAGCTAAGAAAAAGCCTGTAGCAAAAGCAAGCACCAATGGTAGCAGCAACGGCACTGCTAGAGTAAAGAAAGAGCCAAAATATAAGGAGGAATCCTCCTCTGATTCGGATGTGCCATTGGTAAGCATTGCTATGTATTATATTGCTATCATCATATGGTAGCTTTTGATTTCATTAAGTAATGATATCTAATCTCATATATTTCCTATAACTGCGTCGCCTGGCATAGTCCAAAAAGTCATCAACATCTAGCAAGACTAAAGCCAAGCCTTCAAAATCTATCAAAGTAAAAGAGGAACCTGAGGAGCCCACGTTGGGCAAGTCTAAGAGTGCCATCGACTCAAAGCAAACATCGAGCAAAAAGCGTATTAAAGACGAGCCTGACTCTAAGTCTAATGCGAAGAGGATTAAGAAGGAAGAGGAAGAAGCGGACGAGGAGGAGGAACATGCTTGGTGGCTGCAAGAAAGAGAGAACGAGGATGACTCTGTAAAATGGAAGACCCTCGTACATAATGGCGTCTATTTCCCTCCTCCATATGTTCCTCATGGTGTCAAGATGAAGTATGATGGTATGACATCTACACAATCCTATCAAAATATTTTAGTTGTACAAGGTGAATGGATTGGTGTGTAAGACTGCAATACTCATTCGTTCTTCTGATATCGCACTGGTTTGTTAGGCAAACCAGTTACTCTAGCTCCCGAAGTAGAGGAAGTGGCATCATTCTTTGGTGCGCTCCTGTATACTGAACACGCAGAAAACCCAGTCTTCCAGCAAAACTTTTTCAAAGATTTCTCCAAGCTTGCCAAAAAGCATAAGACGGTAAGAAAATTATCATCTGTCTCTCTCTTTTTTTTTTTTTTTTTTTTTTTTTGCCATTGCTAAATGAAGGAGGTGTCAATTTATCACATCCAAGAGTTTAAATCTCAAGCTCATATTTTAAATTATTTTCGTGTGTGGTTCAGGTTCCTGAGATTACTAGCTTTGGCAAATGTGATTTCACGCCTTTGTATGAACATTTCCAGAACGAGAAAGAAAAGAAAAAGAACATGACAAAAGAGGAAAAAAATGCTCAGAAGGCCGAAAAACAGGCTTTGGAGGAACACTATGGTGTTTGTTACTTGGATGGTCGAAAGGAAAAGGTTGGAAACTTCCGCATCGAACCTCCAGGTCTGTTCAGAGGACGTGGAAAGCATCCCAAGACAGGATGCTTGAAGGTAACTAAACGGGCATCGTAATCCAACATTTTGATGACGCTGCCCCATTTTTAATGGAAGGTTGGTTGATCGATTGGAATTCTTGATAAACTATGTACTACTTAGCTACGTGTCATGCCAGAACAAGTCACCCTCAATCTAAGTAAAGATGCACCTATTCCTAAGGCACCTGAGGGACATAAGTGGGGCAAGATTGTTCACGATGACACCAAGACATGGTTGGCCACATGGAAGGAGAATGTCAATGATTCGACCAAGTATGTCTTCCTGGCTGCAGGAAGTTCTCTCAAAGGTCAATCGGACTTTAAGAAGTTTGAGACTGCACGCGAGCTGAAGAAATGTGTTGCCGACATTCGAAAGGCATATATGACGGATCTTAAGGACAAGAAAATGTTTATTCGCCAGCGTGCCACGGCCATGTACCTTATTGATCGCCTCGCTCTGAGAGCCGGTAATGAGAAAGGAGAAGATGAAGCCGATACGGTCGGCTGCTGTTCCTTACGTTATGAGCATGTTACATTGGAGAAGCCCAACCTCTTGCACCTCGACTTTTTGGGTAAAGACTCTATTCGTTTCCAAAAGACAATGGAGGTTGATGAACAAGTTTTCAAGAACATCCGTCTCTTTAAGCGTGAACCCGCTCAGGAAGGCGATGAGCTTTTCGATCGTCTCAAGGTATAAATACTATGAATCACAGCCTACTCTGGATCTAGTATAATGTTTAAAGAGTTGCGGCTATTAACGCGCATCTGTACTATTCATTCTGAATTTTGACACTTCTTGTAGACTTCAGAGCTGAATAAGCATCTTCAGAGTCTTATGAAGGGTTTGACAGCCAAGGTGTTCCGTACTTATAATGCCTCATTCACATTCCAAGACCAGCTGAAAAAACTGACCCCTGCTAACGGCACTGTGGCTGAAAAGTTACTTGCCTATAATCGTGCCAATCGTGAGGTTGCTGTTCTTTGTAACCATCAACGTGCTGTCAGCAAGGGGCATGCTCTCCAAATGGATAAGATCGTTGACAAAGTAATGCTTTTTTTATTCATGTGGCTTTTGACGCTATATTATGAAAACATTGTTTCTGATGCCTTTTATATTATTATTGTTATTTTTCTTCACTTTATAGATCCGCGCACTCAAGTATCAAAAGATGAAGCTAAAACGTACAATTTTGACACTGGAGCCCAAGTTAAAGAAGAAACGGCCAGAACTTCTGGAACCAGAGTCGGATCTCGAGGAGGACTGGATTATTGAGTATGAAGCACAGTTGATGGAGAAGGAGCGGGAGAAGATCAAGCTTAAGTTCGATAAGGAGAATGAGAAAAGGAAAGAGAATAAGGAAAAGCCCTTATCTGCGAAAGAACTGAAGGAGATGCTCAAAGAAGTAGATGCGCGCGAGAAAGAGCTTGCAAAGGAACGCAAGACAGGTGTTGTACCAGGATCCAAGGGTGCGACCGTTGAGAAGTGTGATGCACAAATGTTGAAACTGGATGACCGTATTGCTGCCACCCGAACTACCATGGTCGATAAAGTAGGTTTTTGCATTGCTGTAAGATCTGTTAGATCTCTCGCTCATCTTGAGTAAAATGACTGGACTAACAAAAGCTTATACCATCTCTCATTTTTCCTGACATTTACAGGAGGAAAACAAACAGACTGCATTGAGTACTTCAAAGATCAACTACATTGATCCTCGTATTTCTGCAGCATGGTGTCAAAAATATGATGTCCCTCTTGAGAAAATTTTCACGAAAACGCTTCGCGAAAAGTTCAAATGGGCCATGACCGTTGATGGCAACTGGGAATTTTAAAAAACTCGAATAGATATTTTTCATTTTCATTAATCACCATCATTATCTTGAATACTCTCTAATTTTTTTTTTTTTTTTTTTTTTTTTTTTTTGTTACTTTATTTTTCTCCAGAAAAATAAGTCATTAAAATAAAGTCGAAGTGCTTAATCGAACTCGAAATATTGAGAGATGGATGAAGAAGGACGAGGCGAAGAATCGATCATCTTCAAAGTTGTAATGTTGAATATACAATTGAGTACAATACCCAAACGAGACTCAGGAGCTAAAATGGAAAACCAAGGATTAGTCAGACATACTTAAATCTACACCTGAGCTAAACACAGTCCGTTGGCTTTTCAGCTTAGCGTGCAATTCACATGTCGTACGCTCGTGTTCACGAGCGGCAAATGTAGTAAGAGCGAACTTATCATGATATTGTATTGTCAACCAAGCTTTCTCTCTTGGCAAGGGGGCAGTAAGTTGGGGATAGGATTGACATCTATTGACTCTCAGTATGGTTTTGTGCTTTTGTAGCCAGACAACTGAACGTTCTTATTTCCTGGTTCGAGATGGAGATTGACGTGGCAAGCAGTGACGAGTTCCAACCAAAAAAAAAACATTTCTCTTCCTATTTCTTTTCGTGTATAAATGTGGTTATTGAGCATTTTCTGGAAATAATAAGAACAAGAGGAGAAAGTGTGATGGACGATCCAATAGGTATAAATAAGTGAGCATTGATTTTTTCTTTTTTCTTTTTTTTTTTTTTTTTGACGTCAGATTTATCGTAGTCAACGCGACCGAGCGTGGCCCGTGCTCAAATAAAGTGGCCAACTCATGTTCTAAATAATAAAGCTTACTATCATTGTTATTACCATCAATACTATTATAAGGGCTTCACTAAATCCTTTAATGCGTACAAGAACTTGTTCTTAAAATGATGATGGTGACAACCTGGGCGCTACTCAATAAGTCTCGGTGTATATTGTGCATATTTACATCCAATCGATTATACAACATCTACCCTTTTTTTTTTTTTTTTTTTTTTCGTCTGTTTTACTCTAAATTTTCATTTATAGTAACCCACTTTATAATTTTTAGATAGCAGTAACCAGATCATCCCAAAATAAGTCATGAGGGCCCCTCCTTAATCAGCACACAGGAAAAAGAAAAGGCGTTCAAGGCTTTGCAAAGACGAGTAAATATAGATTTATGTCAAGAAACAGCCGCTTTATGATCTGATAACAAAGGCCAATTTGTTGATGTTTGGGGCTAAAGGAGAAAAAATAAAAAAATAAAAAAATATGGCGTAACAAAAGCTTGGGAAAAACCTGTAGCGGCCATGACCTAGCTCAGACATCACTTTTATTATCGAAAGAGCCTTCCTTCATTATCACCAAAAGCCTCCTTGAGGACAAAAGTCGCTTATTAGCCGACATCTCCGCCTTTTTTTTTTTTTTTTTTTTTTTTTTTTTTTTTTTAAACTCCAAGGTTCAAGGCGCCACACAGTGCTTGTCGGTTTTTTATTCTTCCTGACGAGCTTGGAACAAAGGAAGTCGAAAATAACAAATGCAGTTTTCTCTTTATCATTATTATTATTAATATTACACTTATTCCCGACCATCATAGCCAACCTAGCTTCAAATAATTAAACTCAACAAATGGATAAGGACATTAGTTCATTATCAACGAACGTTCAGCTTCGGTCCATGCTCAACTAATGTCCTTATCTGTTTGTTGGATTTAAATCTTCAGAACCAGAATAACGATAGAGAAGCAGGAAAGCCGTTTCAGATGGGTTCCCCTTACTGATAAAAAGGAATGCATTAAAGATTGCTGGATCGCTGCTATCCCAATCGAGAAAAGTGGGACTGTATTTAAAACCGGGTTGGTCTCATGGGTCGTGAGATTTTTTATTATACAGACAAAAACAAAAAAAAAGAGACTCGAGAAATGAGAAAATAGAAAACAGTAGTTTAGGAACGAAGAGCAAATACGAACAAATCATAATCGTAAAACATGAATAAAGCAAAAAAAGATAACGGAAATAGGTGGTTGTCATTCTCCTCTATCATAATCATAAACTCGTCATTAAAAATAAAAAATAAAAAAATAATAAAAAAATAATAAAAAAAAATAACCCCAGGTGGGAAATGGTCATACGAATCACCATTTCTTATTCTAACCGAACCCTCATCCATCATTAACGGGCAAATCCTGGCCTGGAAAGTGAAAGATGGCTTGCTTTTCAACGCCTTTGGGTACTCAAGGGCGAGCTTCCCCGATTCATGAAGACCTCATAGATGTCTCATTGCTACTCTGTCTCGAATGCTGATAAATCGCTTCCATGTCTGAACCAGCACCTTCGCGCCCCTCAAATTTCCCGCCTATTTGCCGCTTTAAAGGGTTATAACCATTCATGTGGCCATGTGCATGGCCTTGCTGATGCTTTTGTGATTGTAGCTGATATTGTTGTTGATGTGTATAAAATGGCATATTTGGTGAGTCTGTATAAACACTAGGGTGTTCTCGTGCAGGGCTCTGCGGATGAGACCGTCGCTGCTGCTGAAGTCCTTGGCGCTGCTGCTCCAAGGAATAGAAATACTGTTGTTGGTGTCGTGTCATATGTGGTGGCGTCGTCGGCACCCCGTTTTTATCCCCGCCATCCGATGGTTCCGTTACAGGGTCATCTACCATCAATATACGAGATGGGTGCATAGTTGCTCCATTACTACTAGAGTAGTGTTGACTTATATCTCGGACAGAGACACTTCCAGTGCTGGCTCGATGTTGTAAATGCCGTGATTGCTGCTGCTGGTGAGGTCGGTGAAGTGGCTCTTGTATGTCCATGCCACCACTTGTATCTCGAGGTACTGCCAGTACCACGGATATTGGAGTCAAATTTATAGAATTAGGTGTCGAAAACGAGTCCCAACTTGCCTGTTTTCGAATCTCAATCTTCATGTGTTCTGGACTGCCATTGTGAGGTGAAACTGAGGGCTCATTGATGTGAGCACCACCACCTTTATTTGGCTGCTTTGATATATCAATCTGCATAGGTTCTGAAGGACGGCCGGGATTGTTGTCGCCGCCGCTGGTGGTCGCGCCAATAGATCCGTTGCTTGGTTGCTTTTTGATCACATTTTGATGGTTATAACCATGATAAGGGTCATATTGCTCGTCTGAAATGTACTCCATGTCATTTTCACTGCCCCAGTAGTCTTGGTGGTGATAGTAGCGATGCTGTTGATCACCATAAGCTCTCTCAGGAAGCGAATTTGAAGAAGCCATTCCTCCTGTTACCACGCCAGAGCTCGACTGCGATGCCGATGTGGCTACAGGAGAGCGGGGATTTGCAGCGCTCTCCTCTATCCGATATGACCATGACCTCGCGAGCGGCGGATTAGAGTACCTAATTCCCTGTTGCTGAGCTGCCGCTGTTGCATTCCGAGACAGAGTTGAGCGTCCATGTAATGCGACTTCTTGCTGCGAAGCTCCCGAAAAGGACTGTTGAACATATGGGCGAATTGAGGATCCTCCACTGTATTCGGGCTGTGCAGTATTACTGCTGTGGTATGGCTCACTGTTTAGCTCCATGGGCTCGTCTCGCGCATCGCGGGGCTCTCTACGGCCTTCTGGGCTATTGCATCCTTCACTAGACTCTGCAGAGTTGGACTCTCGTCGTCCCAGTATAAAGGAACTTTCTGATAGTTGACGACGAATTGTACGTTGATTAGCATCGTTGCTACCGTGGCCTTCGGACATATTTTCGAACTCAGAGCGTTGGTGTGGTAGCTGATATAGAGACTGTCGATGTCTGATTGAAGGCGATTGCTTTCGAGACGAGCCCGCTAGTAAATGCGAGGGGTTGGTGTAGACGTCGTGTAGCTGATTTGAAGAAGCATGGCGAGAGATGACTGGCCGTATGGGAAGACGATCCTCTTGCCTCATATCTTCTGCACTTAATTGAGGCTTTTCGGCTTGAGTCCTTTCCCGACCATGGTTGGTGGGCTCTTTTTCCTGCCCGTGCTCCGTCGTTGCAGCTGGGGATGCACATTTTGTGGGCAACCCACCCAACCCCATGGAGCTATTTGATAGGTTTGGCGACGTCTGCGATTGTTCTTGTGAGCTGGGGGACGACGACGGCCCATCATTGGAAGAGATGGCTAGCGCCGCTTCTAGCTCGCGATTCCTTGCAGCTAGTTGCAGGATTTTGCCTTCAGTTTGCTGCAGCAGCTCGGCCTTGCGTTCTAGCTCACGAACATAGAGATCTTTACGTTGTCTGAACGCGCGTTGAGCTGCTCTGTTCTGAGCTGCACGCTTACTCGTGTTTCGTCCCTGCTGCTCTGTGGCAGTAGAGCTGCCGGTTGATCCTGCCTTACCGCTACTGCTTGGAGCGCTTCTAGGCTCTGTTGTTTCGGACGAGGAGGCTGTAGCTGCAGCCACTCCATGGTCGGTTGAAGGAGTCGCAGAGTCAGCCGGCTGGCGATGAAGCTGCTGTTGATGGGCAGCGGCGGTCAGGTTAGCTCGTGCAAGTCCCGCAGAATGATAATGGTGTTGTTGATGGTGAAAGCTATGCCTGCTACTGGTAGTACTGTTCCCGCTGCCAGGAGTGTAGCCCAAGCTATTACTGGTTGTCGGCCCTGCTGTAGTGCTTCTGTTGTCATTAGCACTGGAGTAGTGGCGATGTGAGAGACCACTGTGGTGAGGATGGCGTGCACCTTGAAGGGACTCCGTGCTTGAGAGCGAATCAGCTCTCGAGAGACTGGAGGTTGTTGTGGTAGAAGGGGCAGAGGTCGAGCTCATGTACAAATCTGCTCATAATTATTTTGAGAAAACAAACAAAGACGCATAGCATAATTTAGTTGGAGGTCTTATCCTTCTTTCGCCCCTCGTTCACAATTTAAAAAATGGAAGTGCGTTCGGTCCCTAGCGCTTGGCTTAACAGAAATCCCTTGCTAGCAAAACAAAACAAAAAAAAAGCATTAATGGTTTGCTGCTAAAGTAGCGATACCATATTACGAACCTGGAAGAGATCCAGCAGAGGATGAGTGACGACTGTGATGGGTGCGTGCATAAAAACGTTGAGGGCCTGGCCCATGAGGCGATGGCGGCAGATGTGAGGGATACTGCGTATAATTGTGCTGAGGGTGGGGCTGATGTTGAAGCGACAGAAGCTGGGACTGTCCTAGTCGCAATGGAAGATGAGGAGGGCGTGGATCTAGTACCTGTGTCCCTAGACCTGTTGGCATCATCTGTTGCTCCGATCGTATTGCCTTGTCAAGCTCTCGGAGGGAGGGTAAGGTTAGTGATGGTGGGGGGGCTGGCCCTGGCCCTGGCCCTGAATCAGATCCGAAGTCATGCATTTCTGCGTGAGGATTGTGGAGCGATATGTTGGAAGGACTAAAAGGACGTAAAAGAAAGCTGGTCGAAGGTACACTCTCGCTCTATGGAAGTAAACCAGTGATGACGAAGCACGAAGTAAAGCTAAGACTGTCAGATTGTCCCTGAAGCGCTGCTATTCCTATCGTTGGAGTTAGGCCTGGATGTTATATGAGAGTCTAATAAGAGTGCATGAACAGGGGGCACTAATAGGGGTTAGAGGAAGTGAAATTAAAATTAAAAGAAAGAAGAAAAGAAAAGGAAAGACAAGGGAGTGGTATAATATTCTGAGATGAGAGTAAAGAACGAACAAGTACATGAATAGAGGCAAAGAAATAAAAACGAAGCAGCAAGAAGGGAGGGACAGAGCCATGGTCCATGCGTCCATCTGATCTTATAGGCCCATACAAGCGTATTACTACAATACACGATTTTCATCAAGGCGCGCATATGAGAAGGTTTTGCCACGCTGAGTCATATTGCCCAAAGAACGATCAAACTCAGTTTAAATAATAGGCCATACCCATGTCAAGTTTGTTTTTCACGATTGCAAGAAAAAGTCCCAGGGGCACACAGCAGAAGGAAATAAAATAAAAGAATCAAACACAGGCATCTTTGTGCACCAATGATTAATGATCTTATGATCCCTTGGCCCATGGCTCATGTCATCATCACCCATCCATCCTTCATTCTGTTTGATCAGCATCATGCCCCTTTTTCCAACATACCCCCTTCTCCCAGCTGGCATATATTATCAATACCGTTAAAATTGTTGATGCTGCCTCTCCATCTATTTGTTCTTTTTTTTTTTTTTTTTTGTCCTTGCTGCTTCCACCCGACTCTCCACTTTCCCTTTCAGGGGATCTGGATTGACATCCACTCCAGAAACATGTCTTTAGAATCATCATATGGTAGATTCAGTGCATAATTCTCTTGTAGAGTAACACCAAAATAAAACAAACAGATCTACTTTAAAATTGAGTAACCCTTGCGGCCATGTTCAACTATGCACACAAAGGTAAAATTTAAGCTACTGCCCATCCTCCTGCTGCGAATTTAAGATCTCTTTTTTTTTTTGTTTAGGGACATATCATGATGCGTTTTGGATTGAAGAATGAAAAAGCAATTATATGTTGTGTGGAGAGCATTGAAAACGAAGCAATAAGCTGCTGATTGTATGTTAAACAATGTGCTCCAGGTGATAGGGGATATAGTAGAAAAGAGCAATGTAATATATAGGGATGAGGGGAGAACCATCAAGGATGTTCTAGTGGTTTGGGAAACCACGGAGCCCCCCTGTCTGCATTGATGCCAACGGTCAAAAGGGTGAGTCTTCAATGGATTGAAAAAAAAATAAACAAAAAATACATCTGCTAGTGTGCCTTTTAATGAGGATTCATAGAACATTCAGGAACAGGGCACACGGAATGGAGATCTGTGCAACGACCTAACTATGAATTACCTCCATCTCCCCGTCTAGTTCAAAAAAAAAAAAAAAAAAAAAAAAAGAGCTGCTTGAAAAAGGAAAGGATAGAGCACAGAGCTTGCTATCCATAAATTCAAAACGCGCTTTAATGCTCAACAACTCAATTCGACCAAGTACACACACATACAAATTCAAGAGTATAAAGGATTATGAGCTGCGGTACTGAAGTCACTTCAACCGATCCACCAGCCACCAAACGAGGTAGAACACTCACGCTTCCTCAAATTGCAAATATTAGATATTAGCACCGCTTAAATTGACTTAGAGCATTGACTATAAACCACTGGAATAAAGATTCCAGATCGCGTGGACTTAGTGTGATCAGATGTGAGTATTGACACAAGAAACCAAAACGTTTGAAAATAGAGACAGAAAATGGCCCACAATAATATACCACTTCTTACGTGAAGAAATGAGGAAGAATTCTCAAGAAACAAACGAGGAATAGCGACGAAAGATGGTTATTGACAAAATAGCAGGTGAAATAAATATTTTTTTTAAAAAAAAAAAAAAAAACCTAGAGAATATTTAGGAGGGCAACGAATGAAGCATAAGTAAAAGGATGAGAAAATAAAGGATAAGGGTTCAAGCAAAGGCGAAAGAGACACAACATTCGTTTTGTAAGCCAGATTACAAACACAAACACATAAGCGGCATTGATTTCATAAAAAAAAAAAGAAAGAAAATAAACGCACACACATTTATACACCAAAACGGCATTGCGTTTCCATCTTTTTGGGGCGCGGGAAATTTTAAAAATGTAGGCGCATGAGATGTACGGATGTTACATGGTGGGACAAATTGTGGCAATTGGGTAAAAACAATGATGTGTATTAAAAGTGGGGAGTGTCATGTGCATTTCAAAGAGAAACGTCCTCCTCCCGTATGATCAAGTCGGCTAGTGGGTTCTGTTATATGATGGCGTACATGGAAGTCTAGTGTTTGTTTAGAGTCCGAGTCCGAATCCGGGATGTTAGTTGGAAGAGCTGAGTAAACTATTTTTTCTTGAGTTGTGCGTTCGGATGTAAGAGGTAAAATAATGGAAGAGAGTAAGGGGGTGCGCGCGAAAAAAGACGAAAAGGAGGAGAGAGGTAATACAAAGATTCGGATGACGAAGAGTTTATGAGGCAAGATTTAGAAGATTTGGGGAGAGGACTTATTTGGCAACAATTATGGGCAAGGGTCTCGAGTCAATTGTTGGCCTTCAAAGTATGATGAGAGCATGTGTATTGAGAGATGCACCTACATGCACACAATAACGTGTAGTGTAAAAGTGGAGCCGAGAGGAAATTGAGAGCGAGCAGATATACAAGAAAAAAAGTGTAGTAGAGTAAGTTGACAAAATGGATTGGGTGCAGGGGAGGAAGCAGAATAATTATGAGGCACAGAAAGAGAATGAAGGTAAAAAAATAAAAAATAAAAAATAAAAAATAAAAAATAAAAAGAGGATAAGACCAAGTTGAGTTGATTATAAAAAATAGTGCTCTATATTCATCATTCATTCTTGGCACAGCAATCCTTTGCATTATATAAATGCAATTACATGGAAATAGAACAACAGATGCTCAAAAAAGAAAAAGACGAAATGCAGTAGCCGATTTTTCTCCAAAGTTTCTTGTATCCTCTCTTCTTTCTTCTTGATTGCTCCCACTCTCTTGCTCATTGTTTTATTATATTTTTTTATTTTTTTGCTCCTCACAATGCATCACATAATGCGGGCGACCTCGATTTGTGGATATCAACACGACAGGACGTCCAAAGATTGGACACACAAGTTAGATTCTGCGGGACATTCGTCCGACATCAAGAAAAGCAAGATTGGCGAGAAAGGGGCATGCAGGGCAAGGGAACATGTCTCCTCAATTACCCAAACAAAAGGGCAAAGTAAAGTTTGAGTGCAGGGGGATGATACGCCATAATAAAGGATATGTCGAGGGGCTTCGCTACTAACATGCTGGCTTTCTCTTTTTTTGTAGCCTGACTTCCTTGCCCCAATCCCTCGTTAAGATTTCGCACAAACAGCCTAGCTTGTTTAGCATGGCCAATAAAAAACATCTCCAGCCATCATCGACATTTTTTCGCGCTGAATAGGGCGGTTGAGGAATTATATTAAGAAGGGAAGCAAACAAGGGATAAAACAGAACGAAACATGAGTATGGAATATAGGCGGTAATAGCAATGATAGGGGGGAAAGTGCAGTAGATGACTGGTGCTTGCTGCAGTACTATCGACGGTGCTCTTTAGGCCAATAGTCAAGTTTTTTGTAACTCATGAGGCCTGTACATAATAAGGGATGGATTTTGGTTTCAATCTCGCGAAAACACTGAAGCTCTGGATACAAACCTTACAGGAACATACGCATCCAAGAAAAACGTATAAACAAAAGAGATGGATACTAGAATAAACCTTTCGCTTGATAGGCTACTATGAAGACACATAGCTATGGGTCTTTATCCAGAGCTTGTAAAATGATTCAAAGGTCATGCAAAATGCATTTTACTCATTCTAGCACTTAAAAAAAAGTCTGTAATATTGATTGTCTGTGCAAAAAAAAAAAAAAAAATAGATGGTCTTTCCACAAAACTAACTATCACTATACAAGATTCTTGTAGTATCCTGATGATAGATAAAATACATAAAAAATCCCCCGATGAGCTACTGCTTAGCACTGCACTGCAAAAAAATGATATTTCTTGAGATATCTCGTAAGCTATTGACTTTGATGACAGTGGGAGCTAACTGTGTCGTGGATTCGGTACTATCCGTGACTAATAATATTAAGCAGGAACTATAACGATAGTTTTACGTGGGTTTGATCGTCCCATACTTGCTAGATCTAGGCTCTTACCCCAGATTTGATAGAAGCTTTCTGCGGAGCGAATTTTAATAGCCCTAGAAAAACAAAGAGAACCTTTTAGTCTTTCCTAGTCCTAAGATCTGTAATCCATTTATCCCAGGAAAACTATTGGTTCTTTCAAAAAGCCTCCTCTGTCTGTTCTATGCGCTCCTTTTGGACTAACCTATAATTTGTTGAACACAAAAGACATTGGTGATTGGCAACATATTTATGCTTTTGAACGTAATAAACATACATGCATTATAAAGCATGAATGTGAAAGATTTCTATACTCGCTACAATCGTTATTTTTTTTTCTTTTTTTTTTTTTGTTTCTTTGTATGGAAGGATGATAACACATGGGCATACAAAGGAAACTGATATGAAATAATCTGACCTCCACTTAAGAGTCACTCAAGCTGCTCAATACCGATGTTTGCATAATCCACCATTCTGTGGTAAAAGATATGGTCTCAATGAGGCTTAAGTCGCTCTTTAGTGCTTCATAAACGCATTGCGGTGAAAGTAACTTGAAGGAAGGCCGCCAACTGAGCACGAGTAAGGCTTAAAACACCGCCAAAACATATAAAATGCAACGATGGCTCTCCAGCTGATCATTCCTTGTGTTTGCATTTACTTTTTTTTTTTTTTTTTTTTTTTTTTTTTTCACACTGACCTTGAGATGTCCTTGCTTGTTTATCTCAGTATAAATGTCAGCAGGGCTAGGGGGCAAACATTAGGCGATACGAGTCCATGCATTATAGATACGGTTTTGAGTTTGTTGATACGTATAGCATCCCGCAAAGGGATACTCGTGCCCAATCCATCCTTTGTCCCATTCTCATGCATAATGGCTGGACTCATCCTCTTTACCGTTTTGTTACTGCTCTTCGGAATTTGCGGGAAAGTACCATTCGAAACATCTCTTCTGATGTTAAAAACGGCTCGAGATCATTTAATGTCGCTCTCGCGCGCTCCCTCAACCCAATACAACCCTCTACTGTCCTGATGAACCTTGCCTATTTATTTTTTTCTCCTTGTCAAGTTTAACTGATGACCATATATTACGCCAAGCTGTCATTCAAAGATCATAGCAACCTCCTTTTAATATCAGCTTTCCTTGATCCATAATGGCATTGAATCCTTTCTTGCAAATCTAGAGATTCGTAAATTGGAAGAAGGCTGTTGGAATGCAAGGCGAGGGAAGGGAGCGGCAGTAATGCTGGTAATCCCTGTACCGATATCGAGTACATACCATTGAAAATCTCTTTTCTTGTAAAGAAAAGGAAACGAGGTTGATCTTCAACGATTTGATTAAGTCATTGCCGATATCTGAATATTTGCAAGCGTAACATTTTTCTTTTTCTTTTCTTTTTTTTTTTTATTTTTTTATTTTTTTACTACTCTCATTATTAGTATTGTTATTTTAGCGATGATATGAAAAGTATAGGAGATCGCTGAAATACGGATGAAGATCAACTTAAGGAAAGAAAGGAAAAGGAACAACATCCTTGCCCAAAGGCCCACACCTATACTAAACACAAACGGACGTACATGAAAAGATTTTGAACTTGAGAGCAAAGAGCGGAGGAAATAAAATAAACATTCGCACAGCACGCTTTTGCCACGAGGACAGGAAGAACAAGAAAAAGGAGTAATCTACAATAAGCTTTCGGGTCGTCAGATCAGATACAATAGAAAGGTGGAAATCTTCACTCTTTTAAGCACTCAAAGCCATCTTTCTAATTAGCAAACAAGTTGTTCGATAGCACCTTTTTATTATCATTAGTATTATATTCCGGAGTGCTTACAAGAAAACTTTATCAATGTATATTGGAATTTATGATATTATGGGAATAACAATACTCTGAATAAGATCTATAAAGCAAAGTGTTGATATTACCCACCACGTAGCAGGATATAAAGATATATACTATTAATGTATCATTTGTAGGAGACATTATTTTTATTCATAAGTTGTGAAGGTCAGCATGAGTAAGAGACATGTGGCTTGCAGCCCATGGCTGTTTGTTTGCATTTTCATCAAACCCTACCAAATGTAGGAACATGCCTAATTATACGCGATGCATATTAAGTCCAAACAATCTGTGTATTTAATAGACATTCCAGTATGTGTCAATATCATTGCTTGTGTGTAAAAAAGCAGTTGAATAGTCTTTACCTTTACTCTTTACTCTTTACGCTTTACGCTTTTTTTTTTTTTTTTTCCCTATTAAATGGTAGAAATGATATTTCGATTGATGCTTTAAGCTTACTGGGTCTATTGTATATCAACTTGTTCTGAATACCTCAAAGTAGAAATAACTACCAGCATTTCTTTTTTCTTTTTCTTTTTCTTTTTTTTTCCTGTAACTGACTACATGTAAGATGATCAAATACGTTCAATTATAAGAAATCGTTCAGTAGAAAGCGAGTAAACATTGCAAGTAGCAAGAATGGTATGGTATTTACACAAAAATCATCCCATTGGGGAGGTTTTTTTTTTTTTTTTTTTTTTTTTTTTTTCGAAGCGAGAATTTCCTGCCTCCATATACACACACATCTATACCATACATGACGACAGCATGTAAATAATGTGGTTGCAAAAGTGCAACCCCCATTCATGCACGCACAGACATTCCCTTCATTTGTCCTTTTTTAATATTTTATTTTTTTTCGTGCACTAAATTTCTTTCTTCCCTTAACCCAACATGGAGACTCTATCGACACGAAGATAGATCAGAATGTAAGTTATAGAACTTGTTCATGTACATCTACACAATGTTTTTTTTTTTTTTTTTTTTGTTGCTGTTGTTTATTTATCCAGCCCCCCCTTTCACCGAGGATTCGGGGCTGAATAAGAGATTCACAGGTCAAACAGAAAGTCAAATCCGCACTGACCATTTTTCTCCTTTTTTTAAATTAATCATAGTTCGCAAATCCTTTAAGTGGGCAAATTTGAAACAGAACTATTTTTGTGCCAATGAAACTCCCCCCCAAAAAAAGGAAGCAGAGAAAAAAAAAAGATCATCATTTATACTTCCATGGGTGAGTGTTTAAACATCTTGTTCTACACCACTTGTAATTAGAGCTTTAATATCATTCTATCGTACCATCGTATCTTTTTTTATTATTAACCTCTACTTTACAATATGTAGCTGAGGAAGAGGAGGGAATGTTAAGAGATGATTATATATAATGGGTATATCGGTGTGTCGTTTCTAGTAGCCATCCCAGGACGGATAAACAAGTTGTGCATTTTTTTTCCTTCTTTCCTTCTTTTTAACCCTTCCTCCCTTTTTTTTTTTTATCCTGAAAATTGACACCGCGTACTAACTACCATGCCATTCACTTCGGCTTCAGCCCTAATCTCTGTAGCTCCGAAATACATTCTTAGCTCAAAGACCATTTTATGACCCGGTTGGGCGCCTGGTACAAACGGTAGTGGAATCAAGAAATCCCCGATCTTCTCCACCAATGGTGAATCCACATACCGAGGCAAATTCATGGATGAACATGCAAACAGGGGCGAATTGACAGGTTTTGGGTATTGATATGTAATGTAGCGTTTCGTGATACATTCATCTACACCAATAGGTTGTCCTGGTGAGACATAGACCGAGAATCGATCCCGAGCTCGAATCATACCCTCTCGGTCTCGAACCTTCTTGTGTGCAGCGTCCACACCTTCTTCAAAAGCCATCAATGAATCCACTCCGTACCAACGACGCGCCACACGTTGAGTAATCGTCCGAGGCATCAGCCCTGCATAGGCTGCTCCACGGACCACAGCTAGCTCCGCCCTCGGAGGCACTCCAATCATCGGCACTCTAGATCCAAACTCGGCCTGGACTCTAGAATGTAAATAGCTCGAACATCCAAACCCTCCGACAAGGAAAATGGCATTACATTGATACTGTGTCTGTTGTAACTGGTGTTGAATCAATCGTAGAACATCATTCACTACAGGATCAAAAACTTCGCGCCTCATTTCTTCGGCACTGATTGTTAACACCCCGTCTTCTAATCCAATGTCATAATCCGTCAGCTCTGCTCTTCCAGGCACAGCTGGCATTGTAATATATTGATCTTCAATACCATCGAACAATGGCTTCACATTATGAATAAAGGTTTCCATCAACTGAACCCAATTTCCTGCTGTCAATCCTTTCTCTTGCCATTTTGCGAATCGTCGTCTCAACAGAGCTTCCATACGCTCATCCAGGAAGATGGATCCACAGCTATGTCCGCTACCACGGGTCACTTCTCGTAATGTCCTCCCCTGAGGTCCTACAGCAACTTCAAAGACAATCAAATCCACAGTGCCACCGCCTGCATCACAGATCATGAAACGTTGACCATGTCCAATAGAAAATTGGTCGCACTTCTTTTCACAGTACAAGGCCGCAGCCTCAGGCTCTGAAATTAAGAGAAGTCGATGAGGTGGGTCTAAAGGTGAGATCATCCCTGCCTGAAGGGCCGCTTGTCGCATCATCGCCTTGGCATTGTCGGTCCACATGGCTGGAACCGAAAGACAGTACTGAATATGCTGCTGATCAAATGATGATCCAAATCCTTTAAGAACCGTCTATGCGGAGGAAAGAACGGAAGAAAAAAAGCATGTTAAGATTGACTTGTACTCAAAAACCATAATATTATTTTCTTTTAAGGTTTCATACCTGAATAACATGTGCATGGAAGAGTCGGAGATAATCCGCGATTGCGTCTACAACTGTCAATCCATTTGGTAAGGGTGGATGCGGTCCTGCAGATTCATCGAGATGCAACTTGTATTTCGATAACAGCACGTGGTTCTTGAACGGCGGTTTTGTGATTGCATGTTTGGCTGGATAACCCCACTCGATAATCTCTTTTGAGCCTGGTCCATACAAATTGCATGTTGGTACTTTGGGATAGTTGTGCGTTTGCTTAGGCCTAAATTCCATTTTTTTTTTTTTTTTTTTTTTTGGAAGGTTTATTTTATCAGAGTTTCAACCAACGAAAATGAAAGATGTGAGATGTGAGATGTGAGCATAAAAGTCGACGATTTTTTTCTTGTCCGATCTGCATAAAGTTCAGCACATGAGCTTTCCTCTCTTTTTTCCTTTGCCTATGGTTTTTACACTCAGTAACAGGACAGGAAAAGTGATGACTATCATGTCCCTTTTCACAGGAACCAAACCCAATTCATATTAAATTAAAGATAACTCTAAGGCAGAAAGTGTGTGTTTATTCATTTGTACTTACCATGCAGACACTTCATGCACTTCACCATCCTGTTGGAACGCATATGCCATGGAGGAATATGTTGTACCCCAATCAATGGCCATGATAATTGGATACGTTTGATTTTCACTTCCTGGAATAACATATGGCCGATGCCCATAATTCTGTGCGCCAGCGATAGAAGTTGCAGGTGAATATGGCTGATGTTGTGGAAGCGAAGTTGTACTAGCTGTACTCCATGGGCCTGATGCACTCGATATCGCATATGGGTGCTGAAGACGATGGAAACTTTGATTCGAAGGTGATGCCGATGAAATTGTTGGTACTGGAGATGGCATTGTAGCACTATGATACATCCCAATAGAATCAGTCTGATTGGGCAATAAGGGAGCATTTGGCGGGGCCACATAGGACATTGGAGAATGGGCTGGCGTGGAAATACCAACACCAGCAGCAGAATTGTTATCAAAGGACATCATAGCAGTATTCGGTGATGTTGAAATATTGGCCAGATCTGGCGACGGTGCTGAGGCTTCATAGATTGTATTATTCCGCGCAGAAGGTGGGAGTGGAATATTGAGACTGTTATATGACGGTGGTAACGTTCCTGATCGATGCAACGTTGTCAAATCATCTGTATCATCATCAACTGTTGCACCTTCCATCATGGAATGATTGCCCCCACTTGTCGCAACCATCTGAATATTCATATCTGGCCCTGGTACTGGTGCACTTGGCTGCTGTCGGGGGTGGAGTTGATGTTCCTGAATTGCCTGCGGTCCACGAGGTTCGGTCTCTGATGAACGAGCGTCAAGAGTTGAAGATCCTATTGGTCCATTCTGTGTCCTGACCAAGGGTGTATTCCCTACTAACTGTGGATTAGAAGGAGCTGGATAGGGTACTCTATGAATTCCCTTTGAAGATGGAACAGTGTTGTAACCATTGGGATCAGCGACCGTTGATTGTGGCTGTGCATATCCTGCAAGATCTACGATTGATATGGAGCTGTTGCTGTTGTCTGGGTGAGGTGTGGAAGGTAAAGGGGCCGAAGGAGAACCTTCATAACGAACAATTGTGTTTGACCTGACGGAACTAGCATCAGATTGATGACCTATCGAGTGTGTTGTGGTACTACCGTTGGATTTAACAACAAAAGATGATGCTAATGACTCTGCATTGGATGGATTGTCATTACCATTACTGATGTTGCTGTTTTTCAAAGACTTTTCCTTCTTTTTGAAGGCATTTTTGATAGAGGACTTGAATGAGTTCATGAAGCGAATGTTTTATTGTGATGCATGCAAGTTGTAAGCAAGCAGATGTTGGTGAGAAAGGGCAAGAAAAAAAAAAAAAAAAAAGAAAGTAGAGAATGAAGAGTGCGGAATAGAGTGAGCACAGTAAGAAGGAGGGTGAATAGAAGAATGAAGAGAGTACGCGTATGGGTTTATGGATGTAAAGAGCGGAGGAATGAGAATGGGAGAATGGGAGAATGAGAATGAGAATGAGAATGGAGAGGAAAGAGCAGGAGAGAGCGTGTCAAGTTCAAAAAATAAAATAAATAAATAAAAAGACAAGAGCTTTGATGTGTGTATCAAAATAAAGAGAGAGAGAAGGAGAGAGAGAGAGAGAGAGAGAGAGAGAGAGAGAGAGAGAGAGCAAAATGGGTCAAGAAGGCCAAGAAAGAAGGAACTTGGATTTGTTTGTTGACACTTTTTTAAAGAACTATCTGTTCCTTTGTGCCAGAGACGACATGTAAATTATTATAATAATAATTATCAGATATTTTATCCTATCCCCGCAAACGAATTAAAGGGAATTAAAAGGGATGATCATTCACTGTAGTCAGCCCTGATTTTTTTTTTATGTTTTATTTAATAACCTTTACATTTAAACTCCTTACACCATTGTCTTCTTTTTCTTTTCTTTTTCCATTAATAGGTTTATAATCCAAACAACAGACTAAAGCACTTTGAAAAGTTTCAAAGGTCTCTATCAAGTAAAAGTCTGCTTGCTTCTAGATCTGTGATCTTTGTGATGGGAAAGAAATTCTATTCGAGATTGGTTGGGGAATTAACATCATGTCATGTCACACTTTCTTTAAAAATAAATTAACCGTTTTTTTAATTGGGTTTTTAATTATTTTTTTAATGATTGTAAATGCAATGGATGCCATGTATTATGGATAAAGGATACTTTAGACTATTGCAAAAAAAAAAAGTATACTAAATATTACGTACGTTTCCTCGATTCACTCCTCCCCTTTTCCCTCTTTGATGTTCTCTCCCATTTCCACCACCTATGCGTCTGTCTAATCTCGAGGCCTGAACAGATCTCTCAAGTGATGGTGCCCCGAACTTGAATGTGGACGTGAATGTGGACGTGAATGCTCATGTGGACGCTCGTGTTCCTCCACCCTTTCTTCCTCCACTTGAACTCTGTCCTGTTCTTCGATATCATGACTCACTGTCCTCACAACGCCATTGTCTTCTTCACGCTCTGTTTCATGGATCTTGATAATGGACGATCCTGTTGATGAATCCTTCCCGTGAGATGGCATGAGCTGAGGCCGTGGAGATTTCTGATCGCTAGTCGAGGACGTCGAGCTACTCGAATCACCATGGCGAGATGAGGATGATTCAAATCGCTTGATCTCAGGTGAATATGGGCCTGTTTCATGCATCGCCGGATGGTTCTCCTTCATTTCTTGAGCAATATCTTTCTCACCCTCTCTTTGTGAAGCTGTCTGAGAACCACGGACATTCGGGATGTTGAAACTAATACTGACGCTGTCCCGTGGTGCATTAATATTATTATTGTTGCTGGTGTCCCCATTATTGGTGTTATTGTCCTGGATGGTGCCTTTATTAGTGGTGGCAATGCCGTTAGTGTTATTATTCAATCCTCGCGAATTTCTGTTCACGGCTGCTCCCTTTGAAGCCTCTTTCATTTCTCTGACGACATCCTGGAGTGTCCTAACAGTGTTTTGAGTGCTACCATGGTCCTTTGGCTTGCTCAGGTCTGGAACGCCCGCAATGCCGAAACCACCGTAACCATATGACCGCTGATTAATCGAGCGCTGATTAAGGTCTTGGTATCCGATCGAGCGCTGATTGTCATATCCGATTGAGCGCTGATGGTCATATCCGATTGTCTTTTGCACTTCTCCGTCACCATCTGCGATGGATCCATTGATCGTTGGTGGTCGTAAAATAATCTCGTCTCCAATGTTGATATGAGGTAATCTGGCCACCGCATGGTTCGAGTCTTCACGCTTCCTAGACCACGTCCTCGTGTATTTATACTGCAAGTGCAACAATGGGACAGTGATACCATGGATCAACACGCTTGCAAGTACCAAGAACATAACCACAGGGAAAATAACCTCACGAACACGGTTAATCCTATCGAGATTATATGTGTCTCCACCAAGGTGCTCTGGACTAGTCAACATGGCCGTGACCTTGGTGAAGAAAACTGCACCAACTCCAATAGGACCAAACCAACCCGCGAATGCAGCCTCACGATAGCTAGCAAGTGCAGGCACTACCGGTTTGAGAGCCAACATAAATGGCATTCGACGGAATACAAGGATTACAATCGCGAGAACCACCATGCGCCAGAGCGAGAGACCTAATGCAGCGTCGGCAAAGCTCGCGAACGGGATTGAAGCTCCAATATAGACAAAACAGGCCAAGTTGAGCAACATATCAATAATTTCCTGGATGTGTGCCTCTGCGATTTCGTTTGAAAACCAATCGCTATAAATGTTTAAAAAAAGTGATGTAGTGCTAACAGTTAATAGGCTTTTCCCTTGTGCACCATATTTCTGTCCGAATAATCACAAAAAAGAAAGACATACTCCCATGCGAAAACGTTTCCAGCGATGAAACACGCCAAAAGATCATCTGATGCCAAGATACTGACGACTCCTGCGACTGCTAGCGCCAACGCGATCGAGAATACCAAAAAGGATTCCTTGTCAATAAGGTTTCTATCGTGAAGCAAAAGTTCAAGCCATGATGTTAGACTGATGATATTATATAAAAGTGTATACCAGAGACTATGAGAAGAATATCAAAGAAGAACGTACCTATTCTTAGCGCCCTTGACTGCTTTCCTTGCTGCTGCTCCAATGACGCCACCAATGATGATACTCAGCAAAATCTGGTATGCCCATACCAAGTAGAACCACTTGGCGAAGGCTGACCCAACGGTGTGCTCGCGCAGCAAATAAAGACCCAGAAACAAAAATGGAAGACCCATGCCATCATTGATGCCTGATTCTGCAGACAAAAGATAACGAATACGAGGCGGGACGTGTTTCTCAGCAAAGCGACCCTTAACAACTGAATTGGACAGAACGGGATCTGTTGGGGTGACACAGGCTCCGATGATCATGGCTTGAACCTACATTTGGAGAAAGAAAAAAAAAAGTGAGTAAATTGATGATGTGTATAAAAGCTCAGCTGCCTGAAATATTAAATACATTGCTTTGCGCTTACAAAGTCCAAGTTAGGGATCAAACCCCAGATGATGAGTGCAGAAGTACCCCACATGAGGAACATGAGCGGTACAATAATGATGAACAGCGACAATCGTTCCTTGACAATGTAGGACCTGTTACACATTTTTTCCGTAGTACAGACAAAGTAAAGATTCTTCGGTAAGTTTTATTTGCGTGTGGCATCACATGGATTATCAGATGGAGCCCAAATAGGTGACACCTTTGTTCCTCTTACTGTATCTGGTGGAATACAAGAACAAAAAAAGAAAAATACTCTAGTCCATATGCCAAACAGAACACAGGACCCTAGAGTTGATAAGGGTGATGCTTCCTCAAAAGACTATTTAGCAAGTGCTCTTTGAAATTCTAGTGCTGTATAAATTTCGGAATAAGATTGTTCCCGCATTCCTGTAACCACACCTGCCACATTTGACTACTAGAACGACCACCTTTTCGGATTTTGCTCTTTTTTTTTTGCCAGATAAGATGAGATACTTACCTCGGTAAAGAGACTCCTGCGGCCATGACCTGAACAGCAATGACGATCCTTGTAAACTCAAGCGTGACAGTGTCGTAACCCTTCCAACCCACAGGATCAAAAATACCAATAGCATAAGGTCCAATGATGATACCAAAGGCCGTCGATACGACTACGCGTCGTTTGAGTTTATAAAAAAGTTGTAGAACAATATGAAGGGATAAATATTGAGTAGTTAATGTCAGGCCCAAGTAGAACTTTTTCAATAATTTATACGCTATCATCATGCGATGTTGATGATGACTTTCAAGCTTTTCTAATCGTCATTTGGTTTGGGTCAACTGCGTATGTGTACATGTCTAAATGAGCTTGCTATGAAACATCTCACAGGTCCCTGACCCAGTTGCATGTTAACCGTCTCTCTCTTTAGATGATTATGACTCCAAGGAAAGGGAAGAAGAAAAGAAAAAAAAAAAAAAAAAAAAAAGAGAGAGAGATGAAAGCGGTGAAACTACCAGGTCCTGGCAAGGATGATGACAACATCATTTGAAAAGGGAGCCAAAATAGTCTTTACAAGATTACCCTCATCATTAATTTTGAAAGCACAGACGCGTAGAACGGCAAGAAAAGAAGCAGTAGAGTGTCTAGTTCTCCCATTTCCTCCTGTCTCTCTGTGGTTGGCATTTTTTTTTTTCTTTGTGCATGGAATTCTGCTGCTCCTGCAGGTTAACATTCTCTCTTGGAGGGTCCATCAAATAGGAGAGAGCACATGGCGATGTGATGTGGGCTAGTCTCATCAGGTAAGCTTACTACTCCCTCTTCACTCAGCAACAATGGTTCCCTTACTGCTCTACCCCATCTGTTCTCCCTGTCAGATTGTTGAAGATAGAAGAGTACCCGTGTGATTTCACTCGCCATTTCTCATCTCCCAGCAACCTTTTAATTATTTTCATCTCAGTCTCTATAAACGGTTGGCGGATCAAAAAAAGTAAAAAAATAACCGTGCATGCATTGAACACGCATGTCACAGATCGCAGCTCAACAATTAAAGAAAATCCAATTGAACAAACAGGTTAAAAATCGGATGATAAAGCGATAGAGAGGTTGCTGTTGTGGTTTTTGTGACAAGAATGTGTTGTAAGGAAGGGTATGGGCGAACTGGGAGATGTTCCCAGCGTAAAAAAAAATGGGTGGGAAAGCCGAAATGCTGAGCAATTGTGCTTGTGCTTCTGTTACACTCATTTTTGCTCACTTTTGGCAACCACCCCCTACCCACGTTGCTGTTGTCTGACACTCCTTCCATGGATCATCACACCACCCAGAATTATACGGATCTGATCCCGAACGGAAAAGCATATCGAACAAGGAGAGAAAAAGGGGAGAAGAGACTAAAAAAATGTAAGAATAGAGAGAAAGAGAGGAAGAGAGAGGAGGGGATAGGCTGAGGGCAGGGAAAAAAAAAAATAGTCGTCTGGTCATGGTTCTTGATTCCATTCATGACAATAGTTCTTTTTTCTTTTTTTCTTTTTCTTTTTTTCTCTTGTGGAGAAGAATAATTAACAGGAGAAGGATGAATAAAATATCTTGAAATAAAGGAGACTGACTTACAAGCCTCAGAAATGAAGAGTTTCTCTTTGACAAACAGACTGACAAGGCCAAAGAAAATGATGAAGCATCCCAATAGCGCATAGGCTATATGCTCGGGCGATGCCTCGAAAACAATGCCACCGCCTGACATTCAGAGAAAGAGATGTCGAATGAGAATGGATGTTTCAAAGCAGAGGAAAAGGAGAGAAAAAAAAAAATGCTGATTGATGCTGATACGATAACGATGATAAAAAGGCGTTATAATTAATGAGATATAGAAAGAAGAGCAAAATCAGCTTGCAAGTGCCCGTGGGTATCAAAGAGTGGGGAATAAAAGGAGAGAGGATAGGAGAAGATGATGATGACAGCGAAGAATCTTCGAGTGTGAGTGGTAGATCGCACTACTGATAAGGAAAGGATAAAGAAGGAAAAGAAAGGAAGGGAAAGGAAGGAGAAGAAGGAAAAAGGAAGAGAAGGAAAAGAAAGGAAAGGAAAGGAAAGGCGGCTGAAGAGAGGAGAGAAGAAGAAAGGAAGGAATGAAGAGATTAGGTTAAAGTAATAAGAAAAGCGAGGGAGTGAAAGAAAGTGGGAGACGGAGACTTTAAAAAATAATAATAATATTTAATAGTAATGATAATAATGAGTGACAAACCGTTAAACAAGCATATGACGAAAGCTCGTTCATGTCCATTCATCTTTGTAAATGCCAAATGAGTTTCATTGCAAAAAAAAATACATACATTAATGAACCGAAAAATGAAAATGAAGTTCCATGATGACACCACATCATTCTGATTCAACCTTAGCAATGGATTAATATTGCATACTGCCTTGGTGACAAAAGAGAGTATATACTCAATGAGCGTTGTTTGACTGCGTATCCCCCACATTTGGCCACTCTTTAGACATCAACAAGGGCAAATTCATTTTGCATGCCACAATCTTGAAGTTCTCTAATATTATCAGAAGTGGCGCAGTTTAAATGCAACCATCACAAACATCAATCTCCGCATTTTGATTTACAATACAATCTGTAGTATATAATTTGGGATGTCTTTCTGCAACAATTATGCACGATGTAAAAAATAGGAAACTGCAAGCTTCACAACGTTCGGTGGCGTGGAAGATGGGGATGGCGATGTTTTATTGGAATCAACTCACATCTGCTTCTGTTTCGTTCTTTTGAAATACATAGATTATACATACTCTTCAACATTAGATTGAAGTAGCTCGTGTTTAGGCGCTTGGTCATGCCCTCCTTGCCTCTGTCTCTGCTCAAATTCCAGACGGAGAGCTTCCTTCTGTGCTGAAGACAGGTCATGAAACACTACCTGGGTCTCCACTTCATTTCTATTCCGATCCCCATCATTACCCCCACATGTCACCACTTTCTCTATTTGTGTACAAGGTTGATTAGGATAGATGTAATTCGACACTGTCACGCCACCTGAACCTTGTCGGATCACCGATTCTGGATATCCAAATTGTAAGGGTGAATATCCCAGCTCTGCCATTCGTTCCAAGATTGATTGTGGATGCTGTGTTCTTACTGAGGTAGTGGAGTACCGTTTCGAATCTCGCCGTTTCCTGCCACGTCCATCACGCTCTGTACGACTCTGATTGTTGGATATGGTTCCAAGACTGAAGGCTTCAAAGAAACCTTTTGCTCCATTACGATGGTTGGCTGATGATGACGAAATTGCTCCTGCTACAGATCGTGATGTCGTAAACTGATCAATGTTTTCTTTTGCTCTCTGATTCCGAGTCCTGCGTTTCCTCTTCCGTACCAGTAACCAGAATACACCGCCTACGATCGCAAGAGTGACCACAAATCCAAGGCCGAGAACCATGCCTACGCTCATAGGTCCCTTTCCTTCTCCATCCACATCTTGTACGCCACTATCATCGTCATTATTGTCGCTGTCATCATTGCCAGAATTCCCAGTGCCAATATTCATGACTTGAGGATCGAATTGAGTGATCCAGGTGTTGGTCCTAGTGTCTAGTAATACAACAGTTGTATTGCCAGGTGATTGTCGCGAACTTAATCCTAAAGATGTAAAGAGAAGAGGCCAGGATATCATGGAACCATTATTCAGTAAAATATTCAAATGATGCGCAATGACCAATAACAGTGCTTTAATTTCCTGTACAAAACCAAAACCACAAAAAAGCCTTGATTTGAAACTAATAAGCTTTTAATATGTGGGCCCACACAGAAAACAGAACCTTCCTCCTCCTCCCCAACAAACAAGTGTAATTCTTCGACCTACCAAATGCAACCACCATGACGTTCCCAGCCATAGTAGCAGTATGTCCCCATCGTCTAGGAGTTATTCCTTGTGCCATTGGTGAGGTCCATGTCCAAGTGGGCAAATCAAGATAGAACGTGGCCCAGTTTGCAGATTTGAAATCCGAAGTGCCACCATATACAAGCATTGTAGTTGCGTTCACCATAACTGCCGTAAACTCCATCCGTGGGGCCGGGGGTTGTCCGAAAAGAGGTACTACTTTCCACTCTGCAGTTGTTGCATCCGCTTGAGTATCCAAGACATAAGCCTGTGTCAAGTTGGTGAGGATTCCTTGGGAATTAATCCCGCCGAGGATGATGGCACGGCCATCTGGAGTCAACGTCATGGTGTGTCGCGCTAATGCTGGAGCATTCCGAGCTAAAGAGATGATTGCTGTTGTCGTCTGTGAAATGCTGCTTTTATCGAAGTTTGGTTTCAGTGTAACCAAAGATGAAACTATTGTCCTATTATTATTGCCAATCAGCGACTGATATCCTCCCTGCACGAGGATTCCATCCTTCCTAGTTGATGTTGTGGCATGATACATGCGATGAATTGGGGAAGGCATTGTTGAGCCAGTGCTGTTATTATTATTATTATTACTATTATTATTACTATTATCGTTATCATTATTAGTATTATTGCTGTTACTGCTATTAGAAGGGTATTGGAGGAGGAGTGTTGACCAGCCGGTTGTGTTTGCGTGCTTTGTGTCTACAAGTAAAATGGACGAATTCATGGGATCGGTGCTATTCTTATTGCTTTTGGTGGTGTTCCTGCTGTTATTAATGGACTCTCCTCCCACGATCACTAATTGAGAGGTGCCTTGGATCTTATTCATGGAATGGCCGCTGAGTGGTATGGGTAAACGGGCAGTGTCCAATATTTTGAAAAGAGGATTGTCGATACTCCATGACTGGGTCAAATCTAGCATTAGAGTCTCATCTAGGGAAAGTAATTTCCCCTGATGATCCCGGGTTGTGCCTCCTGTAATATACACCATGGTATTGACAAGTGTCTAATATTAAAAAAGAAAATATATGGCATGAGACATGAGGCATGAGGCATACATACTGGATAAAAGCTTTTTTAAAAAAAAAAAAAAAAAAAAATTACAGCGGCATGAAACCATCGTGGTTGAATAGGTTGAATAGTAGTCATGAGTGATGCAGAAGGTAAATGATGAACAAAAGTGAAATGAAATGAAATGAGAACGTCTGAGTGTGAGTCGTTTGTGAGTTGAGTATTTAGCCGTGGTAGAAGTACAATTCCTGTGTAAGTTAATATTTATATAAAGTATTAAAATAGACTATTAAATAAAATAAAATAAAATAAAAAATAAAGAGGACAGGAAGGATGAGAGGAAAGAGACGAAAGAAAGAAAAAAAAAAAAAAAAGGCAAACGGGGTAAAGGGTTGTGCAAAGGCTCCATCATTTGGTTCCTGGTCCGAATAGAGAACAAGGAGCAAAAAGTGTATAATTGAGGTTGAATCGTAAAAGGGCTGGTGCTAAAAACAGCAAAACTCAACTAAAAGAAAGCATTGAATTGTGCCTGTTCATCTTGGAATTGCTCAACTGGCTGTGTTTCTCCGGCTTAAAAAAAACTTCCTCAGACCCCTACAGCCAGTTGCGGTTTTCATGTTACATGTGTAAGGGTCAAGGCGGCAGCTCTATGCACAATCACCACCAAAAAAAAAAAAAGAAAAAAAAAAAAAGAGTAGAGAGCAAAGCATAATCTAAAAGTCTAAGTATCTAAACATTCCTCTGTTGGAGTCCTGTTGATCTATATCTAGCCCTGCTCATGCTCAAATATTTGCTGTTGTAATCAACTTTAAACGGTGGGTGGCTCGGAATTGAGAGAGGTATAAAGGCGATAGAGGAAAGTGATGAGAATAATAAAATGCATGCGAACTTCGCAGGACAATGTTAATCTTGTATATCATTTACTGCATATGAACATGGTTGAAAACCCTAGTCAGCAAACCCAAAGCAATAAAACTAGACCACTAGATTATACTTTGATACGGTTTAGTTTGTAAAAACATGCGCAGACGGCTCTTGAAGCTAGTCATTTTAGAATTTGATCTTGTGAGAGTCACTGTTCACTCAGACAACGTAACTTATGATATGACATTAAAAATATTAATGAACAGAACTGGTCTTATTCAGCATCTACTCACATGTACTCTCTGTCTTAAACAAGCTCCTCTTCTTTTCCAGTATAGAGTTCATTGGCTGTTGCTAGATGTGCGGACTAAGGCAGTAGCTGAATAATCAGTAATGGTTGGACATCATATCTTCCAGTCTTCTAGCCTTCTCGTCTTTGGATTTTGTTCGACAAGACATTGTTGCCAAAAATGTCGTATCTTACAAGATCTTACAAGAAGAAGGCTTTCATGGGCTGATAGTGATAAAGAGCCTCCTTCTAATTTTACAGTTTCAAACGATCCCTAGTATTTGCAACATCTATTCTCTACACAGAATGCATCCTACAATACATAATTATATACTAATGTATATCGTACTGAAGTCAAGTAAAAAGATAAAACTTAAAGACGACTTGCTTTGTCAACTCAACAAAGCAAAAAAAAAAAAAAGGCAGTTCTGCAGTTTTGATGATATATTTTTTTTTTTTTTTTTTTTTTTTTACACAGCCCTTCCAGATCAATGTCCATATTTGGCCTAAAAATAATTTTCTGTGGGTTGATCAATAAACAACCAAAAGTCAGGGACAGGAATCAAATTCAACACACAACGCGTAACAACAACAAAAAAAAGGATCTTCTTACCAATTTCGCTTGGTTTCAATCTTTGTTGGTTCAAATGATGTTTGAAATCACTTGTCAATTCGTTAAAGTCAACTGTAAAAATGTATCAAAGCTTCATAAAGTCTCTTGAATCTTCCATAATCCAACCATTTCACTGCTTTAGTATAAGTGGAAAGGTGGGCACAATTAAAACACTCTGTCTGTTACAGCAATCCCCGACTTTTTATTTTTCTTTTTCCCCTTTTTACTTCCCCTTGTATCTCTCCTCTTTCCTCTTCTAATCTACATTCTTTTCTACAAAGTATACATAATAGAGAGGATTCATTCCGTACACTCTTACAGTCTCAAGATCATATCCTGTATATGACAAATATTATTAGAAACTAGACTCTTTACTTTCTTTTACAAATGTCCTTCGTTATCAGGCCCTGATTCAGATCTGCAGAAAAAGAGAAAAAAAAGAGACTCGAATGCACACTTTTACTCTCAGAAGAGAGAAATCGTCTCGATGTAGGAAGAGACAGAAATTATTAGCGCGCCGATTATCTTCATTGTCAATGAGCATTTGCGTGGTCCGGGAATCGAACCCGGGTCTACCGCGTGGCAGGCGGTAATTATACCACTAAACCAACCACGCTCTTGCTTGTAATATCTGAGAATTTGAACTCTTTTATTGTTTTGAAAGTCAGGTGACGTTTGGTAGAAATATTCTTGCGCATTCACGTGATTATATCTGCGACCTGCGCTTAAAAAAAAAAAAAGAGTGATGTAAGAATTCGGTCGTACAGAAATCTGGAACAAACGGTGTAAAGTCACTGACCTCGTGGGTCCTTGTTATCAAAAAAAAAAAAAAAAAAAAGGTGTAAAGTCACTGTTGAGTGGGAAAAGGCTCGTGGAATCATTGCTTTGAGCAAACGCGCCAGAGGACGCAACTGTGTTGGAGTAGCGATGATTTCCTTGCCCCTTCCCTCAGACAAAGACAGAAGCTGAATGTAAAAGAGATCTACAAGATCGCGGATGACCGAGTCCGGGACAGTTACCTTGGGAAAACCAAACTGGACGTGATGGAGTGGCTAGATGGAATGAAGTTTTTGATGACTATGGATAGCGGATAATTTGTCGCGTTGCGCAACAGGTCACGTCGGAAAGGTGGACTTTGAGTACCAACCACGGCGGTCAGGGTTTATGAAATCATGGATGCAGCGGCTCTCGCCGTTTGTGCAGTAATAACTGTTTATTGACTATAATTTCTGGAGCATTTTGTTCATTCATAGAATGTAGAAAACAAATCCCATGACCCTGAGGGTCCTTGTTATCAAAAAAAAAAAAAAAAAAAAAAAGAGTGATGTGTATATTTCAACGCTAAAAATTAGAGATAAGAGGTTTCGTGGGGTCAAAAAAAAAAAAAAAAATAGAGATAAGAACTACAAGATACACCTTAAATAAGGGTCAGCTCCCTTCCCAGTCTTTCAGAGGTAGAGAGCAGGCCCTATGAGACCTTCCGAAAGCATCTTTGTCTTTATAAGCAGACACGGACTATAACTGCTATAATCTTTAAGTATACGTCGTTTGATAAGGAGCTTATGAGAGGACAACAAAGGAAAAGGATTTTTTTGATTACCAAAGATAGTGGGTTCAGATGTCGCTCTTTGCTTCAATAACTCCAGTAAATTAGCTTTAAAGCAGAGACATTCGCTGGCTCACAGGTCCCCCCGGCATCAATGAAGAGGTAAGAGGGACGTTGTTGGTTATGAATATTGATTGGAGTGAAAGTCATTAATCGCCCTCTTTTCGCACTGGGAAAAAAAAAAAAGATCTTTCAAGATTCCACAGTAGACAAGAAGCAAGCATTATGTTTCAAGCTTTTTTTTTTTTTTCTTATTTTTTATTACTATTATTACATTGTTTTACATTACTAAAATCTAAGAAATAAGCATTGCGAGGATTGGGGTTGGGTGAAAGCTATTTACACAGAAGGATTTGCCCACATTTCATCCAAAGGGGCCCATGGTCTAGACAGCGATGCAGAGTTCTGCTGCTGACGTCGAGCTGCTTCAGCTGCTGCGGACTTTGCCATCGCAATTGCCAAGGCATCACTGATGATAGTCTTGACATCAAACGTGCGATCAGAACTAATGATTGAGTATCGCTCGGCAGCATCATCGGTCCCACCGATATAAGGACTATACAGATAGTTGGGAGAAGTCGGAGATGTTGGAGACGATTTGTAGGCCCAGTAGCTATCATCTGCACCCGTAGACGAAGAAGCCGCAGTAGGAGTTGCAGTGGAAGCTCTGCTAGAGCTATCCCAGCTGCTAAAGGACGCTTGTCGTCCTTGGTAGGTAGCAAGCGAAGGTCGAGGGGGCTTCATCAGCTGAGCATGCGAAACAGGTGAAAGAGGGAGATGATCCGCAAGTGAACTTGGTGTCGACATTGGCGGGGTATTAGGCGTGAACCTTGAGGGAAGAGGCATGGATGGTGAACGAGGACTACAGCCAACGGTCATCGCACCTAATGAAGATGACGCCAAGATGCGTGGTGCCTCAGCCTGGCTGATGCTCTTGCTCTTGGCACGGCGGTATTGAAGCTTGTTGCTCTTTACGACGGCTCCTTGCTGCGAGACTGAGGTTGGAGATGGGTTGTTCAACCCCGCAGTTGGACTATCTGGTCGGTTTAGGTTCAGGACATTGGTAGTCGTGTGGTGTGGGAAGGGCTGACCTGCCGTTGCAACGAAGGAAGAACGCGATGACTGCATTTTGCGCGGGATCTGGATCGTCATGGGCGAATGCGGTGGAGATAAAGGCGAAAGAGGCGAGCGTTCTGGGGATGCAAAGAAACCGGTACTCATGATTTGGCTGGGTGTTTTTTGGTGTCCTTTTCTGCGAACATGGACAGGAATCTGAGATTGCTGAGGCTTCGCAGCGGACATTGGTGTGGATGAAGAGGGAGAAGCAGGAGGAGGATTGCTTGGAGGCATGATAACCCTTTTAGTCTTGGATTTGGAATGAAGCTCAGAGTTCTCCTCTTGACGATTTGAAGAGTCGAGGCTGATGCTCCTAATCGAGGCGTTCGACTCTGTTAAAGCCCTGGGACGTTGTCCTCGAGTGGGGGTTGTGGCATTAGCATTAGTGACATGAATGTTTGGTCGAGACATTGCCTCGGATGAGATTCCATCTGTGCTTCCCGAAGATGTAGACGGGATAGCGGGTGGAGGTACAGATGGAGGTGGGGGTGGTGGAAGATGTGACATGGAGATGCGTCCAGAAATATGATTGTCAGTACTCTTTCGCAAGACCAATGGAGGTCGACGAGGAGTGGGCGTTGGCATGATTGGAAGCATAGAAATGATTGGGTCATTAGGTGAACTGTCGTTACTCTGTTTGTTGATCATGGCACGGTCTTGTTGTTCATTTAACTCCATTAATTCTTGTGGTGTGTTTTTTGGCTGCTGTGCCTGAATTGAACGAATGAGAGGAGCAGGAATTGGGGTATGTATTTCTTCACTAATGATGATGGGCATAAGTGTCTCAACATCCACATCAAGCATATCAATATGGCAATCCGTGGGTTGGTCTCGGATAGCATGCTCCACCATGGACTTGCGCCGAGCCTCGGCAAACTCCGATGCGGATGATATTGATGGAGATGATGGTGGTGTGCCTGATGTAGTAGAGCGTGTGGGTGTAGGTGGAGGAACAGGAGAAGATGAGGGAGAGGGTGTTTTGGAGAGAGAATTTGTTGAAGCTTGTCGCCTGTGTTTTTTCTTTTCTATTGAGCGTGGTCGGTCTCCAGTGCTAGCTACACTGTGGATAGAGGGAGTTCTAGTGCTTTGAGCACTGGAAGAAGTTCGAGGAGGGATTTCATGTGGTGTTTTGGGAGTGGATGGTCTAGAAGATTGTAGGTTGTAAATATTGTCGATTTTCCGTGTGATTTGTGTGCTATTCCTTGGTACTCCATTTGACCTAGCCATAGCCAGCTTCTCATCATCGATTGAATGGAGACTATGCTGTTGTTCAAAGTCGTTAATTTTGGATGGCATTGATGGAGACGTCTTTGTCTGCTGTTGGCGACGCTTGCGAAGCATCGTCCAGAGGGAAGTAACCATGTTTGCAATCGACGGATTTGTTGCTTATAGAGATGAAGAAGGGGAGGAGTTTCTGAGTGGTAGGAACTAGTTGTGATTGGATCTAGTTTTGTGTAAGAGACATACAGCCAAGATAAAATAAAAGTTAATCGAGATGTCAAGTAAGAAGGAGTGAAAAAAGAGAAAGAGGGAAAGAGGGGGCTTTTTATATAAACAAATAAAAAAGGGTTAGAAAGTAATCGAAGTAAGGGTGAGACCAAATCAATCGTTTGTTTTTTGGCGGGCAATGGTCTTGTGGAACAACATCGATCGTTCCGAGGAAAAGGAAAAAAAAAAGAGAATGTGCGTTGTTTGACTGTAAGCAAGCCCAGCATCATCATGCTTTTTTTTTTTTTTTCCTTCTTCTGGCGGAATGTGGTAAAAGCACAGAAATAAACATGTCACTGAGTTTGGATTACGTACATGCACACCAAAAGAGTAAATTTTTTTTTTAGTGAACAGGTGATCGAAAAATAACTGAGAATGGCGGGAAAATAATTTTGGATTCGGGAAAGAGGGAAGGAAGCAAGGCACAGCAGGAGGACAAAAGGGGCGTACACTGCGGCACTGCGAAATTTGCAAACATGCAAACATGCAGCCCATGTAAATGACAATATAACCTTTGCATCAACTGCAAATTGTAGAAACTGTATGCTGCTATGCAATATAGGGAAAGGTTGGGAAGCAATGAAAGATGCAATGGCTGGAAACGTAGGGGATGGAAATTGAATATTGGAAATTGAAACTGGCGCTGGTAAACGTCCTTATTTTCTGCATGTCATTTACTTTTATGCCTTTATGTTTATCACCTGTACTGTTTCTCGCGTCTTTTTTTTTGTCCTATTATCCTATCACCCTATCATCCTATTATCCGGTCTACAATGAGTAGTACAAGCTTTCTAATATTTGTCACATTTTTTCTTTTCAGTAGGACAAGTGATCAAGAAGGTTTTGTATGGTATTGCAAAATATTGAGCCCCTCTTTCTAATCAAACCCAAATCCTCACCCCCATATTTCATACCCTCCGACTCATTAGGGTTGTGTAAAATATTCTGGCGGGAAAAACAAAAAAAGCAAATGGAGAAAAATTATCGACCGCAATATAACGTTAAGCATGCGCACAGGAAAGTGAACACAGGAACATGCGTTGTTATTTCGCCGAACGATAACACAAATTCAATGCACAAATATGAAGAAATACGCCGCCAAAACAGATTTTGAGCAAGCGATCAGGGCGAGCGAGCAAACTACCAGTTGCAATTGGCAAAATTTGTGTCCATGCGCGTATGAGTTAGGAAGCAAGGATTGAGCGAATATAATAATGCAAGGATTTAAAGGGGTAAGGGAGGGGTTACTACGAAAATTAAGTTTACCTCGTCGATAATGATCGCACACCACTTTGACCGTTCGAAAAGTGTATTGCTGTTGGTCTCGCTCACAATTAGTCTTTGAGAGGAAAAGAAAGAAAAAAAAGAGGGGAGAAACGAAGAGACGTTTTTGCTGAAGTGTTAGAGATGGAGTGAAAATGTATTATAATGGGTTGTAGTTCTGTTGACAGATAGAAGGAAGGAGTGTTAGATCGAGCGAAAGAAAGGATGGAGAGTGTGTGAAGGAGCGAGAGAAGAAAGAGAGGGTATATGGTATATGTCAAAGTCTCTTGGCTGCACTCGAACTATAAAAGCTGAGAAAGAGGGATAAAAAGTGTAAAAGTGAAAAGGATAAGTGGTGGGAGAGGGGGGGTATTTGAGGAAAACGAAGAGTAAAGGCCAGAAAAAGAAAAAAGGAGATGGAGAGAATAGTATAATACAATACATTAAAATTAAAATAAAAGAGCATAGTATAAAGACACAATAAGTATATATATCGATTTAATATATATTGTATTGAGTAGTATTTAGAATTGAATAGTTATAAGCGTCGAGTATTGAATACAATAAAGAAAGATGCCAGGAGAGAGAGGATGGGTAAATACAGGTAAATAAGGTTCAAATTGTAAATAAAAATTACCCCAAGCGTCCAAGGTTAAATTTCTTTATTTCTCGTTGACCAATCCTTTTTCACTCCTACAGCACCATCCGCTAATGATTTCTCACTTGTGTCTCTCCTTCAATCAAATCAAGTAACAAAAAAAAAAAGCGATACGGTGTAGGATCGTCCTCGCTTCGTTTATCTGATTCTGTTAATGTCGCATTGTCCGTCTCTAGAACACGGACTCAGTTCCTCTGACCCGGGACTTGAATTTTTTTTTTTTTACAACACGTTCATTGATCATCTCCGCCAAGAAGGAAACACGAAATATCTCCTAAACAATAATAATAACAATAACAATAACAATAACAGCAGCCATAGAAAAAGCACATCTCCATCTCTTCCTCCCCTTCCTTCTCTCTCTTTGACAGATGTGAGTCGTGGTCGGAAATTTATGGACGAACAATTCTTTTTTTGATATCGATTGCTTTTCTTTGCGCCACTACTACAATAACCGCTGTAAACTACTGAATTATTTATTCTCGTTTGTAGATGTTACTCATCCATATGTATATATAATATATACTTGGTTCTTTTCTTTTTATACATATATTTATTGAATCCCGCCTTTTTTTTTTTTTTTTTTTTTTGCTATGCTCAAATGCCCGGCAAGAGCTGTGAAACCTAGATTGTCGCTCTCAATAATTGGCATAACAGCCTAAAAAAAAAACCAACAAGGTACTACGGCAAGACCTACTTGTATAAATCAGCAATGAGTACAAAGAAGCCACCAAAAGAGAGGGTGAGAGAAGTGAAAGAGTAAAAGAGACCGTTAATGCAAAGTTACAATTGCTCTTTTCTATTCAATGCTCACTACTCTTGTACAAATAATCCCAGTATTTGTGTTCATGTTTTTTTTGCGAACCAACAAAAAACAATAACGACATTATATAACATGAACCACAAACAACATCTATACTATACCAAGTGAATAAAAAATAAAAAATAAAAAATAAAAAATAAAAAATAAAAAAAACGACCAGGGTACCTTCATGCATGCAATCCAATGGTGCCGCAATTGATAAATATATAGTTACAGAATACTCAACTACCACGTTTTTGATTCATTGCTGTTGTGTAGCCATGCTCATGTTTGTTTTTCGTTACAATTGCTTGAGATGTGATCTATTTGTGTGCCTTGGTCTCTCTCCTTTCTCCCTTCAAGTCTATCCGATGCGATCCCCAAACTTTGTATCTATGGTTAAAAAGGCTATGCCTATGCTCCATAGAGTTTGCGTTTGTGTAATTGAATGTAGGGTCACCCCCTCTTCCTTCCAAGCACCTTAAAAAAAGTTGACAAAGACAATAATTAATAGAAAGACAGATAGGAAAAAAAAAAAAAAAGGTGGGAGAGTGAAGTATGTAAGAGGAGAAGTTGAGGGATTGACGTTTTGGCAAAGTCGGATGAATGTGCGAGGATACATTCTTGGATCGGCTGATGGGAGATGGATTCACACGCGCCAATTCACACCCGACCCGGCGGATCCATCTCCTCTTTTCTTCTCTTCTCTCCTCTCCTCTCCTCTCATATTTTTATTTTCGGTGTTCAATGCGAATGCAACAAAAAAAAAACAACATGTGTATATTTGTATTTGTATAAATAAAGATGTATAGAAAACCATTCAATCAAATTAAGATTCCAGGCTTTATAGTATATATCTTTTTATTTTTGGTCTTCATTTGTTCTCTCTCTTCTCAGAGAGAAAGTGAGAGGAAAAAAAAAAAGAGCCATGCTTGACTGGGTAAGCAAAATGCAATAGGTTGTAAGCAAAGTAAGCAGAAAACCTAATATGCAGGTTTAAATTATGCATACAGCACTAGTCGCTTTCTCATCCAACCAAAGCGAAGAGAAGAGAAAGTAAGAGGAGCAGTTTGTTAGTATACTCACTGCTCTGGGTCTCTTGAGTGAAGGACATCTCAGATCGATCACCGATTCAAAACAAAAATAAACCTTCGGAGAATGTTCACAGACGAAGGATATCACCCCTGCAGTTTACTGTGCAACATACAGACTCTCTCTCTCTCTCTCACCCTCTTCCTATCTCTTTTATTATATTATATTATATTATATCTATATATATTTTTATTTTTTTTATTTTGTTGCTCAATCTACTCTTTTTCAATGATATAGATCGGCGATATTGATTCGATTTTCCGATTTACTTTTACTTCCTTCCTTCCTTAGAACAAGGTTCCTATATTTAAATAAAAAAATAAACGCTCATTTCGAAACAAAGATAAAAAGAAGCAACTCATCAGTAAACGTGTACGAGTAGACTCATCTTTTTTTATAATTCTGAAGACGCGCCGTAGCAAAAAGAAACAATACGAGACCAATCAGAGTGGATTGAAAGGCTCGTTTTTTAGATCGCCGTGTTCTAAATGTCTCATCTCTCTTTTTTTTTTTTCTCCCCTCTTTCTCTCTTAAGCTGTGTGCCTGTGGACGGACGCATATGCGACTCCTGGCTTTTTTCCTTTTTAGTCAGATCACATCGCAGAAGCCATTCATCATCAGGCATTAAACAATAGGATGGAGTAAGAATAGTTACTGAATACATACACATATATATTTGTATATACTATATGTATACATACTTTGGTAAGTGTTGCATAGCAAAAAAAGAAAAAGTTAGAAAGGATCGGTTATCTAGAAATACCCATCGAGTTACAAATGGCGTAATCGACATTCATCAGTATAGAAAAAGGTTTTTTGTTCATCTTCCATAAGCTGCACTGGGTATTAGACTTCAACTAATAAGGATAGTTTTTTTTTTTCTCCTTTATCATTCTCTGTGTTCTTTGTTTACCTCCTATTCACCTCATACTCCAGTACACATGTATATTATTTAGCCCTCTCTTTCACTTTTTACTTTTCTCTGTGTTCTTTATTCACAATCCGACCGTTAGATGTTATAAACTTTATTTTATTTTAAAACGAGATCTTGATCCTTGTTTGGATGCATGCATAGCAATCTGTTAGAGTGATACAAAAAAAACCAAAATGACGCTCTTGGACATTGTTTGGCTGACGAACAAAAAAAAGAAAAAAAAAGGTTACACGACATTGACATTGACTTTGACATCGAAATCGAAAATGGGAGTACCATGCAAGGCTAAAAAAGCGTTGGACTCTTTTTTTTTTTTTTTTTTTTTTTCCTTTCTTTTTTTTTATGTGCCCCATGGTTCCATAAAAAAAAAAAAGAAAGAGTAAAAGAATGAGAGGGAGAGTAGAAAAAAAGGGGGAAGGATATAAAATGGGGAGTGGGAAGGAACCACACCCCACCCAAAAAACTATAAAATATTGATAAGGGGCTCTGGCCTACGCATTCTATGGAGCAGCAGAGAGAGTGGTGTTTTTTTCTTAAAAATGTTCGAGGAAGCTGGGCGGATCATTAGTTACTTAGTTATGCAACTTGCACGACACCTGATTGGTCGATTGACCCTAGCAACAAACGCGTGGTCCACCAGAATGTATTATAAGGCGTCTTTAAGGGGGGAAAGATGGTCAGGGGAAGAAGATAGGAATGGGGATAGGAATGGGGATAAGATGTGTCCAATAGTTATTAGTATACTAACACATTATGCATGTTGATGAGTTAAGTGTATCCCAAATTCAACCCAACCCAATCTCAACTTCTTCAATATGTCTCCTGCTTCTGTGCCAAGCGCAAATGTAAAGCGCCAAGTGTGAAGTACTAACGAGCAAAGCATCGCAAAAAAAAAAACTCTCCTCTTACAAGTGATCTAGGCAACATAGTATCCAGCTCTATTCTTATTTGTTTCCAGGTCTCTTTTTAAACTTTCTTCATAAGGTTAGATATGTTCCAAAGATGTGGAGGACTCCTAGTGAACGCAAGGTGCTTACTAACATGTCGCATCTTACATGTACAAAGGTATCCTTGCCCTACACACATATATATATACATATATATACAATGCACCTCTTTTTTTTTTGTTTTTTTGTTTTTTTGGGTCCCCTTTACCCCGTCGGAGCAAAAAAAAAAAAACAAACATCCCTATCATCTTCATGGTGCATTGGTTTGTACAATTTTTTGCTGTTTTTTTTTTTTTTTTTTTTCTTGATGTAAAAAGCGGGGGCCATGTTCTGGAAAGGCAAAAGGTTTAGTATTCCATAGCCCCTTGGATACATCTTGATGTTTTTTTTTTACGCATATGAGCACTCACAAGAGGGCTGCGGAAAGAAATATGTAGCGGAGGTAATCCTTCCCCTTTCTGGATATCTTTCGATATTCTTTTTTTTTTTTTTTTTTTTTTTTTTGCTCAAAAAAATATAATATTATATATATATATATTTATACATATAAACTGCTCTATTTTTATTGCCATTATTGTCGAGCCCTTAAAGAGCTCTTTTTATTGTGCCACTAATTTTTTGTTTTTTTTATTTTGAAAAGACACAGTCTAAAGAGTGTTTGATGAACGTGTAACTGTACTGGAATCAATGCATACAAGCAATAGATAATCAGAGGTGCAAGTTCTAAGCGTTCTGGTTTTTTTAAAATAAAAGACCGATCAGCCCTTGATCAGATCCCGCATGAAGAGAGGGTAAATGTTTTTTACAAGAAGCCGTGCGGAAAACTTGGCTCATATATTATTGCATCGTTCTTATTTGTCAAATTACTCTTTCCTGTTGTTTGTTGTTACATATTTCTCTTTAATATGATTACTCTATACTATCACTCGTCACTTTATGTGCGCCTTTTTTTTTTTTTTTTTTTTTCTTAGTTCATAAAGGATATATACCATATTTGAAACGACTCGGGAACCAGGCAAGGAAAAAGCATTCGTTGAAGGAGACCGTGTGTAACCCTAAAAAGCACTAATACATTTATCCTTTTTTTTTTTTTTTTTTTTTTTTTTTTCCTCTCCTTGAGTTACAGATCATATGCGCAAAATTCGCTAAAAAAAAAAAAAAAAAAAAAAAAAAACGACGACATACGGCGCCGACATTTTTTTTAAAAAAAAGGGTGGGGGAGCCACGAAACTTGGTGATGAGATGGATAAAAGGAAAGAGCTCGAAAGACATTAACAAATCATGGGCGGAGATTTAACAGAGTAAACACAAAAGCAATAAAGTAAAAGGAAGTAAATGTATAAATGCATCGTGACTTGACGAAGCAGAATAAGTATACTTGGTATTTATATATTCAATAACACATGCTGACTATAATGTATATACTCATATCTTCTTTTTTTTCCCTTTCTTTCTTTCTTTCTTTTTGTATTTAGATGAAGCTAACAGCGAAGAGGAGGACGTAAAATGGGACCATATAACGAGCAATGTTCCAAAGATCCCATCCTACCATTTTCCAATATATGCTCGTTCGCAATGGGTACACAACAGCCTTGAAATCCTTGCGCCAACTAACGCCATCGTATTCCCCACCTTTGAAAAAACTATACTCAAACGAGTCCCTCTCGATATAATCATCATCGTCCTCATAACGCCTATTGGTGTAATCATCTTTACTGTTCATATGATGGTAATCTTGGGGTGGTGAAGAAAATGCTGTTGCAGTGGTTGAACCTTTTGGAGGTATCACTGTATCATTCTCCTTCCTCCACTGAGCCAAAAGGGGTCGTGTGCCCTGCAAACGTCGGCTTCGCGCCATCCAACGGTGCCGTTGAATGAGGAGCACACCTAGAGAACCCACAAAGAGCAAGCCATAACTCAGATAAATCAACAATTGGTTGGGAAGCATGCACTCCTCATACGCGAATGTTGCCTCCCCAAACGGTCTCTCTATGCTACCAGGGGCTATTCCTTCTCCTTCTCCCATGGTTGATACTGGCAATCTAGCAGCAGTAGTATTTGTGTTAACAACAGGATAGAGATTCTTGGTTTTGTGATCTGGATTGTAGAGTGAAAGCATGACAAACCCAGGCTGTTGAATGCCCTGTGCAAAACTAAACGTTGGAAGTGTAACCTCGGGTGTGTAGCTATAGTGCTTGTTGCTATTGCCTCTGCTCTTGACATTACTGTTCTTGTAAGCATGAGCTACTTCGCACCAGTCATGGTCGTCACCACTGAAAACCATGTCTGGTTGGATGCCTTGCAAGATCTCTTGTGTGAGAGGTGCATGGATCATGTTCTGGTATTGTTCTCCCATTCGGTCTAAAATCAGCTGTTTCGTCTCCCGAGCAGCTCCACAGGGAGTTGTCTCGATACGATATAAAGGGATATGGGTAAATAAGATCCTTGGAAGTGTAGGGGTTTCTAGTCAGTTTTTTTTTTATAAAGGTGCCAATTAGACTGGAGCATACATTTGTACACGTGAAGAGCTTACTTGTAGTAGCTTCAATTCGGAAATACTTTAACCAGCATGGATATTCATCGATAATGATAATAGTAATATAAACAATAATAGTAATAATAGCAGAACCAAGTATAAAGAAAAACATAAATCAATACTTACCATTCATCAGCTGTGACAAAAATTGTTGAGACTCTTGTCGGATGTCTGGGAGCTCGGAACTCAGTGCCAAGGTATCTAGTACGACTAGCGAGTGATTCCCGATCTTGATCTCATAATTTACAGAACCAAAGATCCGTTTATAGCGCACCATGGAAGGTCGGACCAATTTGTCGCCAAAGCCTACATCGTGATTCCCCGCCACATACAACCGTACACTCTTGCCCGCATTCCGTATCCTTTCTCGTTCTATGGAGCTTAAGGGAACATCAACCAATTGCTGATAATGTCCTGTGATGTTGAAGGCAGTTTCATCAATCCCCATCTTCTTAGGGTCTTGTGTGATTTCTAGCCTCGTTGAATCTTCTAGATCCACGATAACCGGCCGCTGGTTCCATCCACTGGACAGAGTTATAAAGACGCGTTCAAAGAAGCGACCCTTGTTTTTATCAAAGGTCTTTCCAAAAGTCGTTCGCCCCCCATCTAGTAAATCACCCAAGAATATGACAGCATCAGGCCGTAAAGAGGCATGTAACCGCTTGAAACTACGTCGCATAAAAATATCAGTATAGATCTCGACTAGGGCCAGCAGCAGCCCAGATTGATGATATGACATCCAGTCTGTGAGCTGTGGGTCTGCAATTAACGCAATCCTATAATGTTCCTTTCGAGTCTCAGAGCTCTGATCCTATTGAAAGAGATAATCGATAATTGCATACCCATCCGATAATGTCGGAGAGAAGTTAGATAAATCTATGCTTGCTTTGGTATTCACGTCATGTTTACGGAACGCGACTGTAGGAACAAGTGGGACTGTTTTGGAAGGATCATGTGAATGGCTTTAAAGAGACCACACCAAGTATTCTTTCACACACACACCCCTTCATTATCTCCATGTGATATTGGCCTGGTTTCTCTCAGTTTGAATATGAATGAACGTTTTTTTTTTTTTTAGTAGGATAGTATAATATACACTTTGCTCTGACACGATTCACATCATCCAAAAGGGGTCACAGGCTTCGAGGTTAAATAAAGTCCTCTTCAATTCGGAAAATAAAAAAAGGGATCACTCGTAACTCAAGGATATCTTTTCATGTCAGCTATGAATGAAAAAAAAAAAAAAAAAAAAAAAAAAAAAGCCAGTGCGCATTGGAAAGAACTGATGAAATAGAATATGGAGATGGGGATTTGGGTAAGGGAAAGTATTAAATAATAAACTTACCCATGACGAGTTCTCTGGCCAAGAGCACCGATGTATCAAAACCCAGTATACACCGTGTTCACCCATCAGCAACACCATAGACCACACCAATCGCAGTAGGCGTACATGGATCGATTGATGGCTAATGGTTCTTAAACGCCTGCTGCTGCTACCACGTCTAGGACTGCTTCCACTACTTGTACTACTTCCAATACTTGCACTACTGATACTACTGCTATCACTACCACGGCGTTTATTGGTATAACGATCACTATCGCTGATAAAGATGATGTTACTGCTACTATTATGGTTTTTGTAGTTGATGTGGTTTTTATTGATGTTGGAGGATAGGCGATTATCATGAAAAAGAGATGAATCTGTTGAAGAGGGCAAAGGACATTCATTTGAAGTCGAGGCAGAGGAGGAGGAAGATGATGGATTTCCAGACATGGCTATTGGTATGTTGTCGGAAATGGGGTCCTTATCGTTGTTGCTGCGTTTGCTTGGTGTCGCTTCGCAGCCAGGCTCTACTGTGCTGCTGTTGATATTGAGGTCATCAAGAGGCTTTAGCTGCTGTGCCATGGTTTTATTGAAAGGGGTTCGTGGAGAAAGAAGGGAAAAGAAAGATGAAGAGCTGAGAGAGAATTAGAAAGTGTGAAGAAACAAAGAAGAAAGACGGGATATAAGATTGAGGGTGAGAGTAAGAGTGAGAACGAGAACGAGAACGAGAACGAGAACGAGAGCGAGAGCGAGAGTGAGGGAGAGAGGGGTGTGTGTAAATGGGAATGTGCGCGAGAGTAAACGTTTTGCTAGAATGTGTGATTAAAAGGTAATGTGATTATAGGGAGTAAGGAATATCCATTATCAGCCTAGCAAAAGTGAATGAACCACAACGTGAGTGGGATTATTGCTTTACAGCAAGCAACAAGCTATAAAATAATTCCCTCCACCTTTTTTTTAAAGATGGAAAAAGGGGAGAAGGAAAAAAAAAAAGCTGACTTCCAAAGTACACGCGTAAGTATATTGCTTTTATTAATCTTTGTATTTAAATGAATTAGCCCAATTCTATGTATTATCTCATATCTTTGAGTTGGGTCGTACAATATCGTATCGGAGGAGCAGGGGCCAATTGAATCTTATGCTCCGAGGCGCATCCTACAAATCTCGAAAAACAGACGCAACCTTTTTGTTTTCCTCTCTTTTCACCTCTTGACCTCTAGACATCTAGACTTCTAAGTACATGGTCTAAGCCAAAGGCTACCAGGGACAAGCAGGTAGCAATGACAGACAAACAGATTGATATATCTATAAACAAACAAACAGACAGACAGATAGACACGGCGCTGTATCCTATGTAAACATGACATACACTTACAATTTTATTTAAATGATATAAGCGAGTCGAGAAAAGAAAGAAAGAGAGAAAAAAGTTGAGGAAGACTGGCATAGATAAAAAAAGAACGATGCATTCGTTAATTTTATTTAGGGCCTAGTTTTTTGCCATGAATAGTCTATTCTTGTTTATACTCCCATACATCTTCTCTTTCAATCGACCTATATACACTGAGAGCTCTGCGGAGACAAAGCCATGGGACTCAACAAAAAGGCTACCTGTTGGTAAAGGGTAGGTCGGTGAACATTATAGAGTGAGACTGGCAGATAGGCAGAAAAACACTTACAACGGCTTGTTTTTGCAACCAGTATACATTACGTTTTAAACACGTCTCCCCATAATCTTTTTCTTTTTATATATAGATACATATTTTTATCTTCTAATATATGATTCTTCACCATTGAGTCGACTTTTATTCATGCAATTATTTCATGTTGAAAGAGTCTATCGGAAGCTTACAAGAGCGTTATCATATCGGATTTCGAGTAGAGGAGCAAATTGACCCGTTGTCATCTTTCGCGGTCCAACATGGATCCCATAGATCATTGATAATGATGGAGCTCCGAGATCACCATCTCGCTCTCGTTACCGTGCTTCATTCGTTGATATTGGGTCAAACTGAAACACTTATTTGCTTGAGGCCATCAAATGTTATTGGGTTGCTTGCACTTTTAATAGTTATGGTAGTTTATTTTTCTTTGGATGGTCACCAGTCCCGATATCGATGTTAACTCACCTATCAAGGATATCCACAAACATTATGGGATCACTCTTTACCTTACAGGATAGACTTTATGTATCGCGGTAGCGTTTATTATTATAATTATTATCATCTTTTTAGTTGGCCTTCATTTTTTTGATCAAACCCAGATTTATTGAGCATTTCCTGATGTGAAGGCGAAATTATGCTTCAGATACTGTACTGCTGTAGTTCATGTTGCTAAAATATGTTGATTATTTCATTCTTTTCAATATATTCCAAGCTAAAGAAAACGGTTACGAGTCGTGCGATGTAACATGCTCTTTTTACTTATAGTAAATAATACCTAGTCTATACATTTTTTTTTTTATCTAACGGTGCATCCCCCAGTTTATTGCTGTTGGACGAGGTTGGGCAATGTATTAACTCCATTTGCTCCCTGTACCACGCCAGTTCCTGTTTCTTTTGCTGTAGGAAAATTTCTCCAGTTTAGAAGCAAGCCCTTCAAGGAACGGATCTCACTCTTCAGTGCAGACTCGGGTGATGTAGGGTCTGATAAACCGCCCTTTCCAGAGGCTGCTGCGCCTGCGGTGTTATAGCCGTAGTACCGTGAGGTGGGGTAAGCAATGGAGCTTGTCAGTGCATATGTCTCCTTGGTGATATACTCTGCCAAGTCTTGAGTCACGGCCCGCGTTGCCTTCAATTGCTCAAAGTTTAGGCTATTAGCGTGCGCCTCCAATTTCTGTGAGAACGTATCAAGCTGTTTAACGGTCGATGGTATTGCTGCTGCTTTTAATGTTGTTGTAGTAGTAACGCTAGTGGTAGTAACCCTCTTATCACCATCCTTTGATTCAACCTCGTGCTCCTCGTCTTCCACAGTGGTCTTGGTGTCTTTGATCTTCTTAACATTAGGCGTAAAGCGATTGCTTCCCAGTTGAAGTCCTAGTAAGTAACCCTTGTATCCCTGCAATTTCTCCTTAAGTTTGCTGAGTAATTCTGTCTGTGAGATCGCAAGCTTTTGGCGTGCATTCGTGATACCACGAACCATGGGATACAACAATTTCTATAGTAGCCAGTTAAGAGAAAAATTGTCACGTTAAATAAAAGGTCGTTTCGCAGTATTCAAGCTATTAGTATTATCATCATCATTTACCTGAATAAGGACAGTCGCCAAAACAGTAATACCTCCAGAGAGAATCATCGCAATGACTAGCTTTCTCTTGAAGGCATTTGGATCAACAGGCGCAACTTGTTGGGATGGGATGAGAACGGGTTGAGGATGCATTGGTGCTGTGGTATAGGTACGAGGTGGGACTGGAGGCGGGGTTAGGCTGCTTGGTGGTGATGCGGGTGCAGATGACGGCTGATACGAGGACTGTTGCTGTTGCTGTGAATGAGGAGCGACGTTGGCCGTGGTCTGAGGATGTGATAGCATAAATGATTATTATTGATATACAAATATTCATATATACTTGAACAGCAAAATAAACAAAAGTTGTGCACTTACAGTAGCAGTGGTCTTTCCAGCGGCAACTCGGGCTTTAGCAAGCTCGATCTCTTTGGCCGTCAAACCCTTTTTCTCCAAAAATTGAATCTTCTTGGATTCTTCCGCTGACTGAACATTCGGAGAAGATAGGAAAGCAACAGCCTGTTGGATCATGTTTTCCCGTACAGGCGCTTCAGGGACAGGCGCTGAAATGGCTGGCGGGATGGCTGCTGGTACTGGTGCCGGTGCTGGTGCATTGGCAGGTGTAGATGCTGTAGCCACTGAGGCTGCACCACTGGTTGAAATGGATGCATTTCCATTTCCAGTGGCAGCATTAGCTCTCGCAGCCTGAGAAATCTGCTGAGCTTTTTCCCTCGACTCCCGTTGACGCTTCAAAAGCGCTTCACGACGTTCATTTCTTTGTTCGGCTGTCAAAGCCTGTCCTGGAACACTGTTACCACCATTGCTTTGCAAGAGCTGGTGGACTGGGTCAACTGTCTGCTCTGCAGTGCTGTTGCTATTTTCGTTGCTGCTGTTGTTGTCGCTCATCGGATCCTGTTGGTATGGGATTTAGCCGCAGTTGTTAATGGACAGACCAAGTGTTAACGATGGGAAGAGTAAAGAAGAAAATGAGACAGAAACGAAACGAAACGAATGGGTCAATAAAGTGAACGGCCAAAGAAAATGTAGCGGGGAAAATAGTGGTGTCATGTGACGATGATCGGAACCGGCAGACAGGAAGTGAACAATCCATTTATGGAGTTGCTGCCTATTGGCTCTACGAATCAGAATCATCGACCAACAGAAGCGAATGTTTTATCCAAGATGAATATTTCATTTTTATACTTTTTTTTTTATTTAGAGGAAGAATGGATTTAGATGTGTATGATACAAGAGAGAACAGATCAATGGGGTTCTTTATGATGACAAAATCCCATATTTTACTGCTTGAGAGACTTCATGGCTTGGACCTTCTCTTTAAAGAGAGCCTCAGCGCCACCCCAGACAGTGCTTTCCTCACGACGCTCTAAATCAATGATGGTGGGCAAGAGATCTTTTGAGAAGGCCTCACTGGATTCCCTCGGCAACAGTGTGGGCAAGTGATCAATCGAGCAGACATCCAAAGGCAAGGGGTTCTTGGTGGAGACTGGCACGACGGGACTGTCGAATGTGGTGTTGATACTGTAAACAGGGATAGGGTTATGGGGATTGGTAGTATCGCATGAAACGTCAACAATGACCGACAGGTTGCGTTCTCCGTCAAGCATAGCAGGAGTGAAGAAAGGAGGGATGGGCTTGTTCAAGTAGATGCAGTTGACAAAGATCTCTGACTCGAGAATACGAGGGAAAGGACCGCCATCTTTAGTCTCTTCCAAGTCCCACTTGATGATCTTCTCCTCAGGAATGCCCACGGCACGAGCCAAATCGCAGGCTCCTGTTCCGCAGCGACCCAATGCTCCCATCACCATGACCTCAGGGACTTTACCATGATTCAAGGCAACTATGTAAGTGGTTACGTACACCACGCAGAAAAAAGTTAGTCACTGGCTAGGAAAAAATCAAACACACTCAACCGAACCAAACAAATGGTCTAGTCGTGGGAAAGCTCATAACGCCAAGAGTAATATCAATCAATCTATCTATTACCTGCATGCTCCAAACGCTCTTTGATATAGCTGATCAAAGAGGCATCATTAGGGAAAGGCGTGTAACCAGGCAAGGGCTGACCAGGATGTAGCTTTTGATGGCACCAGTTGTCAACTCCAATAGCTGCCCCAGCAAATCCAGCATGGTATCCAAATGCAGCAACACGGCGTCCATTAGAATCGTTCAAGAACTCAAGATCCAAGACGGTTCCGTTTCCAGCATCGAATCGCCCGAGAATGTCGGTCCATCCGCTCTGATTCTTAAAGCAATGAGCGAAGAAAATGTGGGTATGGCGCAAAGGGTCGTCCTCGCCTTCGGGCAACTCCTTGAGTCCGACAATATATGCATCCTCAGGAGCCTTACGCCACTCTCCAATTGGGACCATATGGCATCCAACCCTAAAGAAATATGGAGTTGAACGTGGTTAGGATAATATGCGATGAAAGCTTCAAATCGGATTACGATCACTGTGGGAAAAAGAAAATAACATGGAAAAAAACTGAGGACATACTTTTCATATTCCTCATCGTCAAAGATGCGCTCCGGGGATCGCTCCACGGTGATCTTGAATCCTCGATCAAGGAGTATTTTGCAGGTAGAGGGAGTCAGAGCAGCTCGGTGCTCCATAGCCTTAGTCTCAGCTCTTAACCAAAGATAAACCATTGTTGTGAATGTGAATGTGGATATAGATATGAATGGATAAGTGAAGTATGAGTAAATGCGAGGGCAAATCAAAGAGAAGTGAGTTGATGTGTGGGAGAAAAGAAAAGGAAAAAAAAAAAAAAAAAAAAAAAAAGAATCGAGCAAGAGATATTTATACCAGGGCCGCAGCGCATGTGTTGTCCCTGATGCGATTGATACGCGATGATAACTTTCGCTGTAAGGTTTGCGATGCTGAGATGTGAGTGTTCATTATCATATCGCTCTTCCCGTCTCTTGTCTGACTGTGTGTGAGTGAAAAGTGATTGATAGTCACATTCCACACACACACCAAAACCAAAGAGGAAATGAAAAATTATCAGTCCCTGGTAACTTTATCGATCTATCCCCATCTGTCATCCTTGTGCCATGGACACCTTGATATTATTGACGTATTGATCGGATACATCTGCGTCCATCGATCGACATTAAAATAATAGAGATTACAAACATATGGTTTCCATGACAAACGTTCACACAGTAATGTACGGGATTTCTCCTTAACGTCGATAACAAACTCATTTTGGTGGCGTATCGAATTGATCTTCAATCTTCGTCTCCAGCTAGATACTATAACAGGCATTTTGCAATCAGTGCATAGTACAGTACAAGGTCTCTCTACATTTTATTTTTTATCGGACGCTTTTGCGAGAATACGGATTATTCTGAATCTGCATTGAGACTGAATGATATTTTTTTTTTCCTTTGAACTCGGGTGTATGTATGGTTTGTATGCATTTTGATATCATGCCAGAAATGGCAATGACACACATGCACCAGCTAATGTTTTCCCACGATGCCACTAAAGCTAAACATACAGGAGATGATTTCTTATCGGAATGAATAAAAAATTACTAAGAATAGTTCATAAAACAGAGGAGTCTTGAAGGAGCCAGAGTGCCAAGAAAAAATGGGCGAAGCAATGAACCGGAATTGCTTCCGGGCTCTTGATGAATTTTTTTATAATCTCATATGAATAGAGCAGGACATACGAGTAGAATTTGGCTACCGACCGATGATTATTGCAGAAAGAACCCATGGAGGGGTATCATATTCGGGCGTAGACCCGTGTTTGTGCATTCTCGAATAGGATGTGTAACTTTTCATTTTTGAAAGTTTCTTTCCATTGGTGGACCGAAAGAGGCAGAGAGGAATAAAGAATTGAGGGATAAAAGGGTGAAAAAGATGCATAAACAAAAAAAAAAAAAAGATACATCCGTAAGCTGAGAACAGGTCGTACTTGTGTAGCGTGTGGGCTTTTTTTTTCTTCCCTTTCTTTACCCCTTGTCATCCTCCTGTCGTTGCGCACATACCGCATCGAAACGAGCAAGGCCAATCAACATGAAGCAAAAAAAAAAAAAAAAAAAAAAGACGAACAAAAGTGGATGCATTGTCACCTCTTCTGCTTTACCATCCTCAGTAATGACAATGATTGTGAGAGCGTTTTATCTGTCTCCCTGTCAGGTTGTCAGCTGGTCTGGTTTTGGGCTTGGGCTTGGTGGTCAGGTCAATTGATACCATTGTATGCACATGTATATTCCAAGAAATAAGCTCTTTTCTCCTTTCTTTCTCTCTTTTTATTACCTGCAACTCAAAAAACCACTCGCTCATTTCTCTCCAACAACACACATTCATCAGAACAAGCCCAGTTTAACAACTACTGAAATCCTCACAGGACACTAATACCACAGACATCGCCGCCATAAATAAAAGCACAAAGCAGACGCGCGACAAAGAGTAAAAAAAAAAAAGAAAAAGGCGTTAAAAAAAAAAAAAAAAAAAAAAACAGTACATACCATAGCTCAAAGTAATACAACTCAGCCGGCAGTTACAAGAAAGAACCATGCCTGTTTTTGCACAGATATGCTCTGCTAATCCAGTTGCAGACCAAACAGCTGTGCTGGCTGCTTGCACTTGTGGAGATGAATTGTGCATGGACACAGACGATGTCATCGGCAAGGACAACAATGCATCATTCATTCACCCTGACGGTGTTTGTCACCTCCCAACCTGTGCTCTCTACGCGTCCGCGTTCAGTAGTCTCAACGGCAAAAACGCGCTATCCCAGCTAAAACAGCAACAAACACAACTCAAGTTGGTCGGTGGGCTGGCCTTGCTTCGGAAACCTCCAGTTTCGACTATCCCTCGGCGGCACGATCCTTTTGCGCCAGTACGTCTACAACCCTCAAGGTCTTGTCATCTCTATCCAGGGAGTCAGTTTAAAGGCGAGCAAATTTCTGGAAGTAGCAACTACGTTGTCATGGTCGACATTAAGGTATAGCTTTTTGATATTTTCATTGCCGAGTAATCAGTTGGGCTGCTGAAGCCTTTTTTTTCCTTTCATTATTGACCATGGCCTTATTCTTTTACTGATATCACGGCTTTTTGGGACAATCTATAGGATGTTAATCTGAGAGGTTCCTCATTATGTGGATATCTACATATCAATGGACTCACTAAGGAATACCCAAAATTGACTACATTCTTTGATGCCGAGATCGTAGGACCAGATTATTCTTTTGTTACAGAAAAATGGGATGCCACCGTTAGTACAGACAAGGAGCATTGGGTAAGGCTTCAGAATGAATTCAGCTTCTATCGTCTTGAGAACAAAAAAAAAAAAGAAATGGATTATGGCTTTGAGTTCAATTCCTCCTTTCTTGTTCCCGGATTCACGGTAGCAACTTCTCAAATGCACACATGACCTTTCCTCATTTAATCCTTCTCTTTGTGCCACCATCTCTTAATCTACAATTTACTCAAAACATTTCATTTTCCAATATTAGAATAAGTTCAGCCCATTTGCACCAATGATCGACACTTTTGGTGACAAGGAGATCAAATATGACTTTCATAACAAGGATGTGATTTTTATGCGTTGGAAGGAGCATTTCCTAGTGCCAGACCATCGTGTTCAAGGCATCAGCGGAGCAAGCTTCGCAGGATTTTACTATATCTGCTACAATAAAATTACAGGGGAGATTGATGGCTACTACTTTCATCGATCAAGTGAAAAGTAAGTTTTTTTTTCTCCTGAACAACTTGTAATGCTTGAATTATGTCCAAATTGTTTATTGAGATGTATTATATCCTTCTATAAAAAAACCAATAGGTTCCAAAGACTGATGTTGAAGCATGTTGCAGATCGACCATCGTCACTTGGATCTTTTGAGTTTCGTTAATTTTTTTTTTTTTTTTGGAAAAAAAAAAGCTTCTGACCAGTCATACAAGTATTCATTGACAGTTTACTACATTTGTATCCTTATCGTTTTACTCGTTTTGTATATATTGTCACGACGTACTCTTGGTCTTTTATAAAAGAAAAGAACAAAAAGATATCCATATGTCGTAAACGCAAAAAAAAGTAAATGTTATATTGCTTTTGGTTATTTGTTGAAGTCGAACTTTTTCCATTCTTGTCCTCTTATACTTTGGTTTTAGTTATCTGTTATCTGTACGGTTTTTAAAGTTAGTCCAGAAATTTAGGGGCAAAAGATTAGAGAGGATGGATACAGGAGACGAAAATAAACAGAACTTACAAATTTTTTGTGGGTGTGCCGGCACCCAAATACTTGTGTCTAGCGTCGTGCGCGCTTTGCAGCCGGAGCAGGTGACTCTTCCGTGGGCTTGTACTTTGCAGGTCTCTCTTGCCTCTCAATTTGAGCAAGACCGATTCTTGCGATGTTTTCCGCCCCTACTGCGTCACGGTCGAAGAATGCCTTACATGCCCGGCAATATTTAGAGCGAGGGTACACCGCCTCTAAAAAGTAAAAAGCTATCGCAGAGGGGTCGGGGACAGTGGGCGCTGGTGTAAAATTCGTGCGCCCCTACAGCGAAGTGTCCTCGCGCTTTGACCTAAGCGTTTCAAATGGCAGTCGTTTATTAGCAAGGGTTCTATGGCTTTCCAGCTTTTCTTACTTTTTTTAAAAAAGTCATACCTGTGTGGCAAGGTGTCTCGTTATAGCAGTGTGCTTGCTGGGAACTCCTTTACTACTTTCAAAGGACCCTAGGCCGACGACAAGCACTCCTTTTTCCCCGAGCATCTTCAACACTCGCTGCACCACGTAGTTGAACGTAACTCGTTGAGCCTTTCATAGGTCCCATTTTTTTTTCAGGTGCCAACTGGACTCGTAGAACTCTTGAAGCACATCCAAATTCTTTGATCCTGTCTGTGTCTGGGACTCCTCGTTCATCCATTGAAAGTACTTATTGTACGTATCCCTTCCAAACACAGGGATGGCGCTCTCAACCTCAATCATTCCTTTTTCACGCTTCCTTTTGTTCAACAGGTGATTGAAGCGGAGGACGGGGAGGTACAAGAACCTGCTCCTCACCTTTACCGTTTGCCGCAAATTAGGGTTGTGAGGGTCCAGCGAGGAAAACGTAAGGGCGTTAACCATACCAGGATCGCATCCGACGATAGTTGTGGTGTTTGCGGATGGGCATCGCTCTGGCTCGTTGAATGTGAGCTCAACATTTTCAAGCAGTTTGGAGCTCCTCTTCCAGTTTGTGTTTACGTAGTCTTCATCTGCCAGGACTTCACCGGCTGCCTTTGAACACATCGTGTTGAGAAATCCCTGAGAAAGCTCCAGTTCTTGGCTGGCGTCTTCTTCATCTACGTCAGACTGCTGCTGTCTCTTCGTCTGGGTTGTGTCATAGGCAAGTAGATTCAGGACTAGACCGTTGGTAGAAATCGTTCCTTTGAGTTTGAACCGAGTTATATCTTTGTCCTGTGACTGCAGGGATACTTTATCTCGATATCCATGAACCAATGTCACAAAAGAGAGCCTGTATCAAAACCCCTTTTATTCCCTGTATGTACACACTCAAACATTGCAGTCTTGGAGGGATTATTGGGAGGCAGAATACGCTCCAGCAGCTGCTTGGTATCTTCGTTCGCCCAAAGGATGTCAACTAGGGCGTGTTCAGACAGATACACATACCCGGGTGAGCAGGGGGACGTAGGAAAGTCTGAGTATTTTTTCACTTTTTTATTCTCCCGCAAAAAAACTCAATGTCGCTCGTTTGTTTTCTCGACATCAAACTAGAAAAAAAAATAAAAATAAAAAAATAAAAGAGTCTAAATAGAGAGATTTGATTGCAGAATATGCATGAAAATACCTACACAAGGTTATACAATTGCGTTCCTGTAGTGCTTTTTGGGATCAAAGCCTTGCACGTCCCCCAATGTGATGTCTATTTCCTTTATTGGGGAAAGTTCAGTGGTGGTCTTGAAATGTTCATAAGCGAGGAGATAGTGAGGCGTTTCTACCGCCCTTCCTTGGTTTTTTGCCCTCGCGTAAGCTGAATTGGGGCCACCTTGACCACTTAAAAGAAGGGTGGCGAGACGGAAGGAACAGTCAGTGCTATCCAAGACCTCGTCCAGTGCCTTTTTCCTCGACCTTGCTGCCCCTGGTAGCCGCATGATCCTCTCAATGTCCAAGGCAATCGTCCAGTATGCATAGCGGCGTAGTCGGTTGAAGACAACAACTGCCCCTCGAATCTGGCTTGCAATATTATCCCTTTCATCTGCGTCCAGTCTGCCTTTCCTTGCCATGGAAGCCTTGAGGGACCCAATTGTTAAGGCCTTGATAAGGTGCTTACTGCTGTAGCTGTGATCAACCTTCGTAGCATCCTTCAAGTTCCTAATTGGTGCACCTTCTTTTTTAGCCCTGTGAGGCTTCTTGTCTTTGTGCTTCCGCTTTTGTTTTTTCTGTTGCTTCTTTTTTACCTTTCTCCGACGTGGTGGATGCTTAAGGCCCGGCCTATCGTGCTTACGGCAGTTACTGATAGCAACTGTGCGCCGATTCGATATACTCGGCTTGTCAGAAAAGATGGGCCGCAGCTGGTTTCTATGTGACCCTTCCGCTATATAGAATGATAGTGCGTCTCTACAATATCCGAGAAAGGGACTAACGATTAGTATTGGGGACGTTTGGTTTCAAGACAAAAACTATAGCTTGAGCTTTCTTACGTTCTGCGGCGCTGCGCTCGCCTTTGCTGAGCCATTCTATGGCGAAGATCCTTTCCATTGAGTAGACGCTGCTTGAAGTTATCGAACTCATTGTTCGATGATAACGCTTGGGCAGACGTTTGATGGCCGGAAGTAAAAACGCGGAAAGCTACTCTGAAACGGCCTTCTTTAGAGGCTGCATCCCTTCCCAACACCTTACTAGCTTCCCTTAGGTAGTCTCGAAGCATTCTATTGTAGTGCTTGCTCCGTGCAACCTTTCGAATTAATCGAAGGTTATTAATCGGGCCCAACATCTCGAGATTCCTTGAGTAGTCATTGCCTGCGATGGCACAGAATAGCACCAGATGTTCGTGTGATGGCAGTCTTAGTGATTGGATAACGTTGTCTACATCGTAAACCCCAAACCTCCGTCTACGGTGTGGAAGGGTCGCACTAGGATGCAGACTCGTTCGTACGCAAAAAAATTAGAGTCTTGGGATATCACGATCCTATCATTCTCCTCATTATGGCGCCCTATGCATGGATCCGCTTCATCTGCACACAGACAGCCATCGAAGACAGAGCCAAGGCCTGTTGCCAGCTGATTCTTGTCCTGGACGCTCAGGGTGTGGACATCTCAAAGACCCTTCTGGATGCGCCTCATGACTTGAGGGCGAATCCATACCCCACTCCGAGAATTTCTCTCGAAAGTGCTCATATCGTTCTCCAAAACGTCCATATTTTTTTGTCTTATGGCTTGCCGTTCTGTCCTTGCTGTTTCTTTCTCAGTACAAGGTCTCCCATCAATATGTATAGTCAGATTGTCCGTTATGAAAGGATCCTTTATCTCGAGAGCCAGGGACCTTCCTACATCAACGTTGGGTTTGTTTTTCATCTTAGCATGGACGACTCTACGGTGGATGTCGTAATAAAACGTACTGAGAAGATCTACATGAACAGAATGGTCAGGATTTGCCGCCAAGAAAGTGCCCACGTCAGTCTCCGAAGGTAAAATCCCACGATCCGCAACCAGTTTGAAGAAGGACTTCAGCCCCATGGTCAATATCTAAGCGAAAGAGAAAGGAAAAAGGAAAAATGGCGGTGATGAAAAGAAATGAAAAAGAAAAAAAAAAGAACGACAAAGGTATAAATGAATGAGCTTTTTATGGTTTAAAGATCCATAGTGAATAGATAAAGAATATTGAGAAAAAGATACAGGAACAAGTAGCAGTGGTAAAAGGGATGGGACTTTGGAGTGAGCGAGCGGGAAAGGAGTAAGACAATGATCTCTTTTTATATCCTGGATTGATGATGAATTTTAACATTGTCTCATATAGTTTTTTGGAACAAGTAATTACATCCTTGTCAAAGGTAACAACAAGAGAAAAAAAAGTCTTTTTTATCAGAGAATGGGTTCAGATGTCGCTCTTTGCTCCAACAGCTCCAGCACTATTGCGTTAAAGCAGAGATATTCGTTAGCTCTCAGGCTTCGGCATCAATGGCGGAGATAGGAGTGATGTAGTTGCATGCGCTTATTGCTTGGAGTAAAAGCTATCTAAGCACCCTTTCTTAGTGCACGGTGCCTTGTTAATGGTGATATTGTGCAGCGCCTTGTGGATGGAGGGAGAGCAGAAGCGAGAGTGGTGGTTTTTAGCGGTCGTTTGGTGTGTGTAGGTCTGAATTTGATAGTTGATACCAATCGCCAAAATATATGCATCTAGAATTACAGAAGCGAGATTAATACCGACGCGTTTGATCCTTTCCAAGGGATTATTATAACCATGGCATGATTGTGGAGTGGCCGCCAAAATAAAGTTTGTTTATTTCTTCTGGAGGCACTAATGGAAAACGCATATGTTTTGGAATTGCAGAAAACAAAAAAAAAACGCCGCGATGCAAAATGTGTTTATCCATGTACAGAAACCAAAGAGACACTTCAATAACCTGGTGCATGTTCGTGCACACAGTGATTGACGAACAAAAAAGGAAACAATATTTGCCAAATATTTTCGAAACAATAAAAAAAAGCCTGCGATGAAAGAAGGCATGTGCAGACAACAAATAAGCATAGCAACTGTTTGCTCACATTCATTTTTTCACCGTTGTGTCTGTATGTCTTTTAAGCTTTTTGTCTGGCCGTTTTACACAAGGAACCCTTAGAAAAAGAAATACCTCGCATGATTGGTGCCAGGTCTGAACACAACAATAATGCAATGCTGTGCGTGGATGATAGGGTCTTGAAACTATACCATTGTTATGCTGACTCACCGAAATCAACTTGTGATCATAACTGCTACTCATGCTCTGTTGCCAAGGACTTGAACAGGCATACCAACCCCTTCTTCCTTGCTCTCATAACCGTTTGCATGCCTTCGATGCATTCTTTCGCCGTTTATGTCCACTACATTTGAACCACACACAGTTCACCATTCACTCCAACAGAGATATTTGTATCACCTTGGGTATGATATGTTGCTGTGGTTCCCTCTGGTTTCAACAGGCCCAGCAAACTCTATTAGCAGTGTTTACCAACCCAGATATATTAAGGGAACGCAAGAAGACGAGAAAGCAAACGATGTGACAAATCAAGTCTTGCCGAGCTGTACAGGAAAAGATCAAGTTAGTCAAGCTCCATGGTGCGGTAGATTGAATCAACTCAGATTGCCCTCCTTTCAAGTCGATACTACGGCAGCGAATATTATCGCTGTTATATTACATCCGCCAATAAATAAACGATACAATGAACAAAAAAGTCATTAGCTTTCCAAATGAGACAAGCCAATGTCACAACCTATGACGTAGACGAGAGCTTATTAAAGCAAAGTATGAGAGTTGTATGCATATACGGTTTCTAGAAATGAAAAAAAGAAATTTACATTGGAATGAACCATTGACTCAGTTTCGCATTTTCACTAACTGTGAGAACTCTGTATTCCCTTAAAGTGCTTGAAATCTCAGGCCCCAGGTCCCAATCTTGAATGAGTAAATTAATGTGATACAGAGGTGACATGATGAAATTTTTGTTTCAGATTTTTTCTAGCGATGTATTTAATGGCAAAGGGGGGTTGTCGTGTCGGATTTTTCGAAATTTGGCGGATCGGTAGCTCTGGGTATTCTCTTTCGAATGATCCAGACCCCAGGCCTCAGTTCCCAGTATTTGAGGAGCTATGGAAGCTTAAAGTGCCCGGTCGAGAGTAAAAACAATAATTTTTTTTTTTCATCTCAGTAAAGCTACTTTCTCTAAGTGCTTGATGATCTTAGCAGCCGGTTCTTATCATGGTTTGCACTTGGAGAGATCTTGCACTTAGGGCGTCGTGTCCGATTTTTTGGAATTTGACTGATCGATAGCCCCGAGTATCCTCTTTCGAATGATCTAGGCCCCAGGCCTCAGGTCCCAGTATTTGAGGAGATGTCACAGTTCAAAGTGGCCGGTCGAGAGTAAAAACAAATTTTTTCATCGCAGCAGAGCAGCTTCTTCCAACAGTGGTCTGGTGTAAACGTACGAGATGCAGAACATGGTGTACATGTACTTACTGCGGATAAACATCCTGCCGAGATCAGAACTGAGAGTTTGTCCTTCATTTCATTTTTTTCTCACGTTGTTTATTGTCTGCGCCTCCCAGAGAAAAAATTTGGTTTGTGCTTCTTTTTGTCACTGTTCCACAGCTCACCACTTTTCTATTCCTTATTTCTTCAACACGTTTTATCTTCGCGGCAGCTGTTACCTTACCTTCAACAGGTGTATCCTCTCGTCTCTTTTTTTTTTCTCTCTCTGCAACAGGCGTTACCTTATTTTAGCTGCCATCTCTTTTTTTTTTCTCTCTCTCGGCAGTTGTCACTCTCTTCTACAGCTGTTGCCCACTAGCCCACATATTATTGTTATTATTTTTTTGTTATTTTCGAATCTGCCCACTGTCTTTTTATTTTCAGCTTTCTCTGCAACAACTGTTGTCCCCTTGTTGCGGCAGTCTAAGACATGGCTAGTTTAATGTAAGAAGTCCTCCTTTGTTATTTGCTTGTCCACGCAGGATTTTTTATTTTGCTTGTCCACGCAAGAATAATTTTTATTTTACTTGTCCATGCAAGAATAATTTTTATTTGCTTGTCCATGCAAGAATAATTTTTTATTTCGTTTGTCCATGCAAGAATAATTTTTTATTTTGTTTGTCCATGCAAGATTAATTTTTTATTTTGCTTGTCCATACAAGAATAATTTTTATTTTGTTTGTCCATGCAAGATTAATTTTTTATTTTGCTTGTCCATACAAGAATAATTTTTATTTTGTTTGTCCATGCAAGATTAATTTTTTATTTCGTTTGTCCATGCAAGAATAATTTTTTATTTTGTTTGTCCATACAAGATTAATTTTTTATTTTGCTTGTCCAAGCAAGATTAATTTTTATTTTGCTTGTCCATGCAAGATTAATTTTTATTTCGTTTGTCCATGCAAGATTAATTTTTTATTTTGTTTGTCCATACAAGATTAATTTTTATTTTGCTTGTCCATGCAAGATTAATTTTTATTTGCTTGTCCATGCAAGATTAATTTTTATTTGCTTGTCCATGCAAGATTAATTTTTTATTTTGTTTGTCCATGCAAGATTAATTTTTTATTTTGTTTGTCCATACAAGATTAATTTTTTATTTTGCTTGTCCATGCAAGAATAATTTTTATTTTGTTTGTCCATGCAAGATTAATTTTTTATTTCGTTTGTCCATGCAAGATTAATTTTTTATTTTGCTTGTCTTGTCCACTCAGGATTTTTTTTTTTTTTTTTTTTTTGCTTGTCCACGCACTAATATTCAGTCTTTTCTTTCCCTTTAGGCGTTGCTCAAAGAAACGGAGAAACGATGACTCAATTACAGTACTTTCAGAGAGTAATGATGTTGGATCTGAAGATGATGTCGTTGATGATAAGGAGATCGAGAAGATCGTGTGTGATTATTGTTCGAAGATACGAACATTTGAGTCTATCCGAAAGCTCACTGTCCATATCGGTGATTGTCATACCGTTGATGGCGTTGTTGCCTTGGGAAAGAGGTGTCTGGTTATAAGAAGAAGCGGTGATGGTCAATTTTACTGCAAGGAGTGTAAAGCCTCATTCGAGACGAAATCTGGCTTCCGAAAGCATTTGTTCGGGTCCCAATCGTGTTACACGCAGTATGAAGCCAAAAGAGATTCAGACGCCCACCCTGTCCCATCCTTTCAGTCGGCTCGGCCACCTCAGAGTTGGCGTCCATTTAACGAAGCTCTGATACACGCATGTGGACTGGAGTCATCATCAGAACAGGAAAAGCAAAAGATGCTGTATTATTCTGACAGAATGGGACAATTTCCAATGGGGATATCCATCTCTGGATGTGAGTTTGATGCTCTTGTTTCAGAAACAGTTTATCATTCACTCCCAACAGCATCTGTCCTTGCTTTAGTCAATAAATCTGTCCATGCCTCTGGATACCTGCCTCCATGGAAAATTCAGGAGAACGAACGATCCGATGCAGTTCCTCCATCGATCGAGGGAATTCTCCGCCACTCGCCATTTGCGGAAGCTATCAATAAAAGGTCCTTCACGGAATTGACAGATTCAACGAGTGAGCAATTAAACCTTTCATGGGAGCGAACACCTCAGGCCTGCCATATTGCAAGTCATTTGTTATCAGGGACACTACTCCTTAACTCAAGGAGTGAAACACTCCTCCTCATTAACGAGGTGGAGGTCTATGGAAGAGGAAGACTCCATGATTCTCATCATGAACAAACAGGGATAGTGAAGGATGTTCCCAAAGAAACATCCATGCCAAAGACAACCGGTGAGGACCATTACTTTGGCGTTCGTCCAATTACAATGGAAAGGAGTGGTGGGAAGCACCTCGTAATTGGGACATTCAAGTGTGATATCTTAGTCACCAGTTGTTTGCGTCTCGACATCAAGTGTGTAGAGTCAATTTCAGCTGGCGGAATCACACAAAATTTCAACATTTCTGAGAGCGAATCGAAGTACATCAGGATCTTCCTTGACAAAGAGCGCCTACAACAAGTTGAAAAGATGGAAAACTTGACTTGCGAAAAAATCACCAGACAGATGGGAACCGAGCAACTACGACAAGTGAGGACAAAGTTTCACCTGATGGACACTTACCAATTGTCAAGGCGTTCTGGACCACTCACTGATTCCACATTGTTCCAGCCAATTACTGTTTTTACTTTTGCGAACCACAGCAATGTTAAGGGTTCGAGCTTTGCAGCTGGTATAATTCTTAATGGAGTCGGAAAATCGGTGATTGTCGATGGAGAATGTGCTGTTCTCAGACTGGATGATGTGAAGCGTGCACTCCCCCATTGCAAGCCCTCCAGTGAGGTTCTTAGGTTAATACAAAGTATCCATGCACTCTTCACACCTGGTGTACAATCAATCCCAATCATTGAAAACTCTGAGCTCAACACTGTACTGGAGAGCCTTGCTACTTTCTTGACCCAAAAATTACCAAAAGCCAACATGACGAAAGTTAAAGAAATCAAGAAGTTGTTTATTTCTTAACTATTCTAAGTGTTTATAACTATAGTTGTCCCTTAAGCTTACGGCCCATCGCAACATAAAGAAATAAATAGGAGGTGTTTATAATTTCAGTTGATCGTAGCAACAGGGCTAATCTACAGCTTACACTACCCCGTTCAATTAAAGTCGTCTGCAATGGATTTATCTCTTCCAATATTTGAAATTAACATCAGCAGGCATGCAAGCGAAATTGCTATTATGATTTTGTACTGTACGACACAGCATTTCGCCCAATTTTCTAGAGCATTCCTTGCAGCAGGACGTTAGCTGGTATAAATAGACTCACTTTTCTATCTAGTCCTGCAGCAGAAATTCCCTGAATAAAAGACACCTTTGTTACAACCTTAGATCCCCTAGAATACTATTTGACTTTTGCAGATAGCCCTTCCAAAGAACGAGCTGCTTAGAGGTCTTGCCAAACATTTTGAAGTCAATGATTTTGTCGACTTCATACTCCTCCTCTCCTTCTACAAGCTCAGGGGCAGGGCGTAGTGGTGAGCGGCCGCCGAATTCACGAGATAACTCAATGTAGGGCGAAGCAGATCGGCATTAAAAACCGGATGCTGATGCATGTCAGGTGGTAATTCCAACCTGTAGGCGTTTTCGTTGACCTTGGAAATGATCTTGTAAGGGCCTATGTATTCAGGTTCCAGTTTCTGCGACGATCTGTTTTTATGTCCGGCGCCAGAGATGTTTTCCGAGCTTAAGAGCACCATGTCACCCACAGCAAATGTAGCAGCCTGACGAGTTTTGTCCGCTTGAGCCTTTTGCCTATTCTGCGCTTCGATGATGCCATCCTGAGCTAGCGCCAAATTCATCGACTGGGTTCGAACAAAATCACTGACAGCTGGAACATTGGTATCAGGCGGCTTTAAAAGAGATCCAGGGACTAATGGATGGTAGCCATAGTTCAGAAAGAACGGAGAGAAACCTGTCGTAGGATCAACAGAGTTGTTGTATGCGAACTGCATCATAGGCAGTAAAAGATCCCAGTCGTTTTGCTTGTACGATATGTAAGAGCGGAGCATTTCTTCTAGTGTTCTGTTGGCACGCTCTGTTTGTCCGTCTGATTGTAGATGAAAGGCAGTAGACATGTTAAGTTTGGTGCCCATGAGTTTCATCAACGTTGTCCATAACTTGCCAGTGAAGCGCGAATCTCGGTCTGATACAATTGTCCGAGGCATGTCGTGCAGTCTAAAAACATTGTCGAAAAAGAGTCGTGCAACGTCAGAGGCTGTGTCGGTAGTTCAGCTAGCGGAGAAATGAACTTGCTTGGACAGTTTGTCCACAAAGACTATGATCGCGTCATAACCTCTGGTTGTCTTCGGAAGCTTGACAATGAAGTCCATTGTTACAGTATCCCATCGTTGACTTGGGATTGCCAAAGGTTGGAAAAGCCCTGCAGGAGGCTTTAGTGAAGGCTTGTTACGCTGGCGTTGTTCACAGGAAGCAATGAATTTTTTTATATCTCTCGCCATGCGTGGTCAAAAATATGTTCGCCGCATGCTACTGTACGTTTTATCGAATCCCAAGTGGCCTGATATAGGAGCGTCGTGAGCGTCATGCAAGAGTTGTGAACGGAGTCCGTCGTCCTTGGTATGCAGAGGCGAGGGCCTTGTCCAGCGTTGATCCAGAGTAGACCATCAACCACAAAGTAACGATCCGAGGTGGAAGCATCCTTGTACTGATGCACGAGGGGACCTAGAATTAGATCGTGTAGGTAGCAACTGGCCAGTTGTTTCCGAATGCCAGGGTCCAGATTGATATCCAACGAGTTCAAAGTAGTAGGGGTAGCCTCCAAGTCCTTGAGGTCAGGTCTTCGTGAAAGAGCATCAGGAAAGACGTTATCTTTACCAGGTTTGTGCTTGAATACGAAATCATACTCTTGAAGCAGTTCCATCCACCTTGCTTGCCTGTGAGTTATCCAGGGCTTGAAGGCTGAGGTTAGAGGGGGCGAGGCTGGCCTGGCTTACTGCTCGCCCTCCTCTTTTCCCGACTCAGAAAGCGTATGGTCATTGTTTTCTATATTGAAGACAGAGGTAAGTTGGCATTGTTCGGCTCTATGGCCTCGGTTCCGGCATCTGAAACAACGTCCCTCACGGACGCAGCGTTCTCGTTCAGCTGTTATGAGCTTGGGTAGCGAGCTTGGCTGGAGTGGTTTCTGTTTGGTCGTTGCTGATGGAAAGAGGTGTAAAGGTTGGCAACCAACACTCTCATGTTATCAAGCTCCATTGGTGTACGGCCAGAATTATTCTCATGATGGGTGATAAGGCGTTCGGGGCAGCGGACACAGGAGTGGCATCGACGGGAGGTAGAATGTTATGGATAATGGTCGCCTGCTCAATGGCATCGTCCAACGTCTCTGGCTGTCTAAGTCTTACCTGCTTGCTTGTTTCGGGCTCGAGGCCTAGCATGTATTTTTGCAAAGCAGAGTCTTTGTCGAGATTTGTAGCCAGACGTAGGTGGCTTCTAAACTTGCTCGTATACGCTGCCACACTCATCCTTCCTTGGCGAAGTTTATCCAACTCACGGCGAGCTGCATTCGCAGAGTCTGGAGGGGTGAACTGACGGAGGAACGCTTTACGGAAGTCAACCCAAGGTGTATCGAGATTCAACCCGGAGTCTCTCCACCATGCCTTGGCTTCGCGATTGAGACTAAGGACAGCGTATCGAACCCATTTGGATGGTGTGAGAGTGACAATGGTATAATGCTCCTCCAGGCTGTCGACAAAGTTTATTGCAGCAACAGCGTTAATAGCTCCTTCATAAGGCGTAGGCTTCCGTGGCTCAAGGATTGTGGCAAGGGTTCTGGCTAGGTCATTCTCAGCGGCTTCGTTGGCTTTGGCAGTAGAGAGAGCCTGATTAAAAGCAGTGGCTATGGCTTCGCGAATGTTCAGGGTGTTGCATATTTCACAGTACACGTGTTACATAAAAATTAATATGTGTATTCATGTAAAAAGATAATATAGTTTTTGTACACAAGATTATCAAAACGCGCCCCATGTGTAAATAGTAACAAGCAGGGGGCACAGTGCGAACATAGTGGGGGCGTAGTAATTCACGTTTGCACCGTGGTTACTCTATGTATGGTGCCCGTAGACAAACTTATAGTTACACTTAGATATATACGATTTTGAATAAATACCTCATGGATGTGATGTGTGTTCCCACATCTTATTCTCACTTACTTCTATTCCTGATTACTACTTGTCTATCCAAAAGTTTTCACAGGGAAGATCAATGGACGAAAGGGCGTTATCCAAGTGTTCCATGGCGGGGGTGGAACTCAATGGGTACTTGTAGTTCTCTGGATGTAGTCGTGGTGTCCTTTGCTACCAATGCAAAAATCAAGGTAATATTCTAGGGGGCTCTAAGGGTGTAATAAAGGTTTCTTTATTCAGAGGATTCGTGCTGCAGAACGAGATAGAAAAGTGAGTCTATCTAACGTCCTGTTGTAAGGAATGCCCTTGAAAATTGGGCGAAATGCTATGTCGTACAAAATCATAACAGTAATTTCGCTTACAGGAGTCGTCAGGTGTAATTTCGTACGCTGGTTCTTTTGGAATCAAGTAGGGGTTAGATCGACTGGATTCAGAGCTAGTCGAGAGAGCCTCAAGCCGGCCGGTGAGTGTAGCCAGCTGGCTCTGGAGAGAGTGTATAATTGGATTAGAAGTGTCATACTCGCTCATTTGGAACTTCAATACGCTGGATGTGTTCCTGAGTGAGAAAAAAGAAGATAGAGAGTGGATCAGAGCGAACACTAGATTTTATTTAGTTTTCTCGGTCGGATTATTCTATTTGGCAGTCTAGATGCCAAATATTATTTAGCAGCCCATTACCAAATATGATCAGTTTTGAAAACTCTCTTTGGCAGCCCAGCTGCCAAATAGCACCCTCATAAAAAAAGGTATTTGCACGGTCCCATACACACCTTACTTACACTGCTCCTCCCGTGGAAATAAAAAAAAAAAAAAAAAAATTATAACGGAGTGTTTCTTTATGGACATGTTGATACCTTGGTGCTGTAAGCAAAGTCACTCATTTCAAGTCCAATTTTCGTCGCTCCATCCGAAGCCGCTAACAGGCATCGAAGCGCAACTTATTCATATGGGTTTTACTCTTTCTGATAAACACTAATATTTGTAATTACATGATGAGTGCAACAAGGCGTAGTGTGTGGCCAATCAACCTTTCCATATTAGTTTTCCAAAACATTATTTGGCAGCCCAGCTGCCATCTAAGCGTGTGAAGTTAGGTGGCTGCCTCAAAAAATAGGCTGCCAAATAGATTAATTCTTCTCGGTCAGAAGAGATAAAAGGATTAATCTATTTGGCAGCCCATTGCCAAATATAATCAACTTTCAAGACTCTCTTTGGCAGCCCAGTTGCCAAATAACATTCATTATTTACTTGGCAGCCTACCCAGCGTTATTTGGCCTCTAACTATTTTTTTTTTTTTTTTTTTTTTTTTTTCATTCCTAGGAACCGTATATGTTTATAACGCTCATACTTCAAATTAATAAAGCTCCCGTCTTCTACGTCATAGTTATGTGTAGTGACATTGTCTTGTCTCATTTAGAAAACTAATGACTTTTTTTTTCAAGTAGGTCGCTCATACAGTTTTGGAGGTGCCATTTGGAGATCAATGCCTATGAGAGGTTTTCGCTCGGAGCAAACGCGTCTCACCTACTACCTAGACGTCTTCAATAAATCATTCCCTAACCGTGTACATTGAAGGCTGTTTTGTGAAGATGTCATCGCCGCTGCCCTTAGTACCTCCGGCGGCATTAGCTGTGCAAGGCAATGTATCCACAGAACGCTGCTTGTTTTACCACTGATGTTATGACCCTGTTTATCAAAAAAAAAAAAAAAAAAAAAGTAATGTATTTGGCAGCCCAGCTGCCACCCAAGAGTGCGAAGTTAAGTGGCAGCCCCCAGAAGTAGGCTGCCAAATAGAGGCAAAAATTACTATATTTGGTATGGGCTGCCAAATAATATTTAGCAACTGGGCTGCCAAATAGATTAATCCGAGATAAAAAGAGGTCTTACATCTGGAT